ATATGGCAGAGATCTTAATTACTTACTTCGTAGTTGCTGTGCATGAAGATTTAAACGGTATACACGACCGATAAAACAACCAGCGTACGCAAACAACCTGCCTATGCGTATACATACCCGAAATGATCTTGGTCAATCTGTTAGTCTTCAATACTCAAACCTATCACATAAAGAAAGACGAGATGTTAAAATTGACCGAAATCTGCAGCGCTACACATTGATTGTGGATTAAAAAGTCAGTTAATAAGAAAAAAAAGATCATAAATGACAACCTCTGGTCCTCGGCTGATCGAAGGTCCTTCAAAGACAAATTGCCAGCCTCGAATTAAGAGAACGTTTTGTTTTGTATGCGGGCGTTGGCCATGAAACGTTTCATAGTCTAATTGGTTGCTTATGATGTCAAGACTGCTGTGATAGGGTAGAATGAAATAACAAATTTTGTATTTAAAATGAAACAATAAAAACTCAGTTTACAAGAGATTACAGTTTGTAATCTCTTAGTATGTAATATCGTTTAATGATTTTCGCGGTTTCCTTCTTTGTGCATGTTTTGGAAGTATTATTTTGACGAAAAGCTACGTCGCAGGTATGCGATCAATAACGCGGGCTCAAGCGCTCGAGATTCAAGATTCAGCGAAGTTTGCGGAGAAAAAAGGGGCTAGCATTTAAAACCCAGGAATTTTCTTGTCGTTGAAGGAATTTTCCAATTTCCGGTGTTTTTAAGGAGAAATGAATTTTTGAAATTTTTAGGGGGTGTACAAAGATTTTGGAGGTTGTTCTGTAAAAGGAAAGCAACGGGGGAAGCAAACGCCTACAAGTAACAGAATGGGAAATCAAGCATGCAACCAACTCAAAATCCGTTTTCCTCGTCGAAGTCTTGCGTATGCACAGACGTCATTCAGTTCTGTCATCTTGTCATTGATTGACCATCAATACATGCAATCGCGTTACTCCAACACAGCGGTCCATCGTCAGGCATGCTCAGAGAGATCAATTTTGGCCGACCGCGCGACAATTTCCAGCGCAAAATTTTGCAGGAAAATGTAAAAGACAACCGCTGTTATGCGCAAGTACTGAAAATGAATTGGAATACTTATGTGTTTTCCGGAAAAAAAACGTTGGGAAATGAAGAATTTGAGACTTTTCCTGTTCATTCATCATTTTGTTTTGAATTTTTAAAACACCGTGACCACCTAATTTGCGCAGAGGTTCTTTGGCCTGAAAGTAATCAATCAAGTGGCCTCGTTTCAATGTTCTCACAAACGCAAACGTCTGACTGCTGCGTTAATCACTTTGCACCTCCGGAAATGTATCCGTTCCTCGAAAACCGCATAGAGAATTTACCGTTGACTCATCCTTATTAGCAATAGGCAGTAATAAGCTCTAGTGGTTACGGGTGACCCTTTTCACTCGCGACTCATTGGAAAGGTCCGCGCACCGACCATCATCGCACCAATTAGAGAAGCTAGTAATACAATCGACGCACAACACTATCCACGATCAATCAATGACATTTAGTCGGACCGCAAGTGTCTGCCCAATCAAGCTGGAAATACAGTACAAAATGATTCCGCTTTTTTCTCGGCAAATAAATGAAGACTTTTAGAAAACGGAGAAATACCTCAGAAATGAATAACGACAAAGAGTACCTACTCAGTTGGTTTGGAGTTCACTTCATCTTATTCACAGCATTTCATGAAACGCTATTTTATTTTTCAAAATTATTCAAACTTTTACGAAAGTAGCTTTAGATTTCCTTTTCTCGTGTCACAAAATTTTAGCACTTTTGGTCATCAAAAGACCAAGTTTTTTGAACCGGATGACAATCTTTCTAATAACCTAGAATTCCGTCGGAAACATATGCAGTAAAAGAAAGTAAAATGCATGTTATTTCAGTTGGCATGTAAGCATAAAAAAAGAATGAATGATCGACTTCTCTCCGGGCCAAATTATTGGTTGGCAAATCTTCATCTTTTGCCTTCATTTTTACCAACTTCAGACACAAATTCTGTATTTTATTAAGTCCGGCAGTTTTTGATGATGTTCGTATTATTCTCTTCAGGTTAGTAACGTAGTAACAAAACATTCCCTGTTTGACCTTACTTGTTTGCTTTTTTACTACGCTTTGCCGCGCTTAATTGTGATGAATAGGCGTTTTCTGTCCCATGTTCTGTTTCTCAGAATGCTTTCCGGCAACGCCGCTACCCATCCTCAGGTGAAAAGAAATCAAGATTTTGTCAGGATCATACGGGTTTTGTTCATGTTTTAAGAAATTATTTCTTTTAACACTTACCTACTATTGAAGATGATGCTCACAAACACAACTACCCCTCTGATCATGTTCAAACGCTTATTAAGAAACACTTTTCAAAAACTCGCTGTGTCTAATGAAGAGGAGTTCTCTTATGAAGCAAGAGTCAAAACAAAACTTTTTAATGCCAGCCACTGAGATAAAGATGATGTAAACCTGAATCAAGATGACAACTGGATTAGCTCAGTTGGTCAAGCCATGATCTTATTCAATTAAACTGGGTTTTTTCCACACTTCTCTAATTAATGCCATAGAAGTTTCGCGAAGTTGTCTACTGAGTAAGTAACAATATATTAAGTAATAATATAGTTTGATAAAGGGGATGATTCTTTAAGTTGCAAATTTATGCGAGATGATGCAATTACAGTTGTCACAATTTCGGCTCTTAAGATAGAACGCTCTACTTCTCATTTAGACATTTATCTGTTTTAAATAAGATTACAGAAGGTTATAACAGGTGCATTTTGGTTCTGTAGTGTTACTGTGTTACCTGCCACTGATTTGCTTTTCGACCACTTCATGCGGACAAATTGTAGTTACCACATTGACACCAAAGTTTAAAGATGTGTTAAAGCTGTTTTGCTAAGCACGTTTGGAGATTGTTCTCTCCATAGAATCTGCTTAACCTTCTTTTTCGACTTCAAATTGAAAACATTGGAACTAAAAAATAGTGACTTCTTGAAACCTATGAAAAATTCAGTTATTTAGTCCTCTGTCTCTGATTTTCATTGAGTTAAACCCGGTTTTTACTACATATGTTTTGCTGGTATGAATAGGGTATGTGCTTCTTTTTTTAACGGATGTTAGAGCTCCAAAATGTTTCAAGTGTAATAGCTACGATGTACTTTACAAATCGAGACGATTAGCAGAAGTAAGATATGTATAGATATTTCAATTCTATCGGGTCGTTTGAAGAGTCCAGAGACCTTAAAATGATGTGCCCGTATAACAATGCATTGCTAAAAGAATTATTTTAAACTCTTTGTGTTATTTGTACAAAGTGTAACTTAAACTTTGATCATTCAACTCGACCACACCGTTGTTAATGACAATGACTAACTAATAACTAACAATGAATTATTTGCCGAAATCGAAATGAATATTGTTGAAAAATCCTCAAGATAAATTCTTTTGTAATTTCGTTTTGTTGTTGAAACCATTCTGTAGATGAAGAAAGTTTTGCTCGCCAAACTTAGTGGCATCTTTTGTGCTCTTCGGAGTTGAATTTTCTCCTATTGCGTTAATCAATTCTTTGGTGATATTATCAAAATGCGAGGCAGTGGGGTTAGGCTGTTTCCCTGATAAACACATCCGCCGTTCGTCGTTCGCCCGCAATTTCACTCCCTTCCACTGACTGAGGGCCTGAAAAAGGCTATGAAAGGAAGATGTTCTTTTACTATTCGTAAATAAAACCTTTATCACACTAAATAGCAATAAACTTTTGAGTCGCTGATAATGAAAGAACATCCCAATACCCGGTAGTCACTCTATTAAGCCGTTTTACAATTGCCGAGTACCTTTGTTAAAATACTACCTCCAAATAAAAGCCTAAACATACCATCTATATTTCCTTTTTTCAGCTTTTCTTTTTTTTGCATCATCACCCCAGTTGAGCGATTATGACTGCGAACATCTGAAGCCCTAATTCTTAAAAGACACCTCAACATCCCGTTTTGAAACTAAATTAACTATTGTCGTTATTTCCGAACACTTTGATTGCACACTTTTTCCACACACCTACCACCAATAATGAATTCTTTATTTCCCTTTTTAATAATTCAAGTCTACATTACAGAAAGAACTTATGCTACCAGCTGATATTAAGTACTAAGGCTAAGGCCTTTCCCCTGTAAAGTTTTAGTAAATCTGATTGTAAGGTTCAGCGGTAAACGTGTGACGTGCTTCAGTTTTAATTACCCATCATCCTTCAGTCACTGCCACAATAACGGAGTTTGCATTCGGGCGTTTTCACCAGTTTGTAGACAAAGAACGAGTCACAGTTTCGTACTTCAATGCTGGTATCCTATTTACAATTGTTGCCATCCCAGTTGAAACAAACTTGTCTGGATACCTAAACCAAAAAATATTGGAATTAAAAAGAAAAATAAATGTCTAGTCACCACAAATATAATCTTATGTTAAAATCTGGCTGTGTCACAGAAGCGGATTGAAAACACTCAAGTTTTTTTTCTCGTATAACGTCATAAAACCTGTGCCCTCACTGGTACAGAAATGTACAAAGAGAAGCTCTGTTTAGGAGCCCTGTTGTAAAATTTTATTTTTTCCTTTGAAGAAGTTGTGTGTTGCAAACTTTTTTCGGTAAATATCTGTACTTACAAACGTTTTCGCCAAAACGCGATTGGTTAAAATGTGTCGCGTGGTCGAATATGCCCTGGCTAAACCTGGAGATTATCTGGTTATATTCCTCCAGTGATATTCTCCAATTTTCAAACATTGCTTACAATGCGATGAAAGTCTTCTTTTAAAAGTTGATTTTAGCAGGAAAACGTTCTGCTATTGTTTCATTAGAAGGGATAAATTTGTTTGTTAATGAAGTCGCGCTGGAAAGTCAACATCTGTTTCCGATGTGATCGTTTCGTTCCACGCACAGCAATAAAGAAAAAAGAGAAAGAGAGAATAAATGCATTCATTAGACTTAGAAATGTGCAGGTATATATGTTATTTGGCATCATCTGTTATCCGAAGTCCACAGCTTTCCTAATACTTCGCTCTTCGCAATCATTCGCTTCTCGGAACAAATAATGTCCATGGATAAATTTTCGAGAATAAATTCGCGCCAAACGGAGGCTAATGTTTGTTTCTATGAATTACCCAGAAAAAAAAGGAATTTTTGTAAGAAGAGTGATCAGTGTACCTTTCCCTCGGCAACAGATGGATGTCGTCCATTCAGCCACCCCGGTGCGCGCGTGCCACACATGTCTTCATTTGGTGGTGACTCTGGCATCTTTGAGCCTGCGGCTCCGGTGAAGCGGTACCACGCTTCTTCTATTTCGTCGTCACATGCAAGGCCGCCCAAACCGTAGGTATTCTTCCTGCTAGCCCTGACCAGAACTTCGTAGCCTTTACACTCTAGTTTGCAATATGGCAAAAACAGAGCTGAACTTACTTGTTAATCCATAGCAACAGTGTACATTTATTAAAATGGCGAAATTTTTTTTTAAAGAAGCGGTTTTATCCACTTTTTAGTTAAAACACCTGCGTGTGTAAAGGCCTTATGGTTACAAAAGTAAAACGTCAGACGTTGATTACGTACCTGAAATGATCTTGGTCAATCTGTTAGTATTCAGTACTCAAACCTATCACAAAATGAAAGACGAAATGTTAAAATTGACCGAAATCTGTAGTGCTACACATTGATTGTGGACCAAAAAAGTCATTTGAAAAGAGGAGACAACCTCTGGTCCTCGGCTGATCGAAGGAATCCTCCAAAGACAAATTGCCAGCCTCCAGAAAAGTGACGGTTTTGTTTTGTAAGCGGGCGTTGGCCATGAAACGTTTCATCGTCTTATTGGTTGCTTATGATGTCAAGACTGCAGTGATAGGGTAGAATGAAAAAGCAAAGTTTTTATTGTACTTACAAACAAACAATAAAAACTGTTCAACTCGACACCTCTTTTTCTTAGATGTGACTTTAGGTGTAAACATATAGTACTTTTCATCCTCCGCACTGAATTCATAATCAAAAAAATTAAACGAATAGCACGTAGCTCTCTTGGAGGTGGTACCTTGGGTACGCCCTTTCTTCTCCGAATTTCCTGTTTATTTTGTCGTTATGTAACAGTCTTCCAGAACTATATTCTCTCAGGATATCTCCTCGACTATGATATTAATTCTGTTAATAAGTTTATTATAATTTTTTATATCGACAATCTTGTTTTTTTTTGCCTGAACTTGACCGTAAGACTAAGAAATTCAAGGTAGAAAATCATTTTGTAAAGCGTTAACATCTCGAAGGTAATATGTGAACTCCGCTCTGCGTAGCTCAACGTGATTCGCAAGTTAAGTGCAAAAGCTTGAGGAAGGTAGAGATTGACAGCTCAGTAAGCGTCACCTTTATAAGCGGTGACCCACACTTTCTTAGAGAGATCTGAGCTAGTCCCGAGGTAATTAGTTGTACGTAAGAAAGAGAAGAATAAAGAAAACTTCAACTGAACAAAAAAAAAATAACTTCTAACAAAATTCAATGTACAAGAGATAGTAGTTTATAACCTCTTGATGTTATAAACTACTAATATCGTTTAATGATTTTTGCAGTGTTTCCATGTTTGTTCAATTATTTGAAAATATTTTTTTGCTCCCCATTATGGTGGAAACCAATTCAAATTACGGTACTGGTTTAGCCTAATGAATGAATGTGTATTTTCAACTCAAAAAATAGACACTTCCAAATTTGATGATGTCCTGAAGCCTCAGCGGCGTATTTTATTAGCAAAAGCTTTTATGTTCGTATTTATTGTGGATTACATAACAGATTATTCATTGACACTTGATATTTTCAAAAAATTTCAACAAGGGCATCATTGTAATAGTGTGGTTTGATCGTCCGGGTGAGTGTAGTCCTGAGAAGGAATTTTGTCGGTAGTAACGATTGACGTTTTGACAACCTGAGGGAAAGTCATCATCAGAGTCCAATGAATTGTTGTTGTCGAATGTTTTGAGTCTTACCTCTGAGTTATATGGCTATTCTTCTCTAGTCGTGTAGTGCTTTGCATTCCAACTATTTGTTATAGTAGTAGATTAACTATTGTCGGCTGATTGATTAACTATTGTCGGCTGATTGATTAACTATTGTCGGCTGATTGATTAACTATTGTGGGCTGGTAGATTAACTATTGTCAGCTGGTAGAATAACTGTTGTCGGCTTGTAGATTAACTATTGTCAGCTGGTAGAATAACTGTTGTCGGCTTGTAGATTAACTATTGTCACCTGCTAGAATAACTGTTGTCTGCTACCTATAGTAATGATATAACTAATAACTTTGCACTTAACTTGCGAATCACGTTGAGCTACGCAGAGCGGAGTTCACATATTACCTTCGAGATGTTTACGCTTTACAAAATGATTTTCTACCTTGAATTTCTTAGTCTTACAGTCAAGTTCAGGCAAAAAAAAAACAAGATTGTCGATATAAAAATTATAATAAACTTATTAACAGAATTAATATCATAGTCGAGGAGATATCCTAAGAGAATATAGTTCTGGAAGACTGTTACATAACGACAAAATAAACAGGAAATTCGGAGAAGAAAGGGCGTACCCAAGGTACCACCTCCAAGAGAGCTACGTGCTATTCGTTTAATTTTTTTGATTATGAATTCAGTGCGGAGGATGAAAAGTACTATATGTTTACACCTAAAGTCACATCTAAGAAAAAGAGGTGTCGAGTTGAACAGTTTTTATTGTTTGTTTGTAAGTACAATAAAAACTTTGCTTTTTCATTCTACCCTATCACTGCAGTCTTGACATCATAAGCAACCAATAAGACGATGAAACGTTTCATGGCCAACGCCCGCTTACAAAACAAAACCGTCACTTTTCTGGAGGCTGGCAATTTGTCTTTGGAGGATTCCTTCGATCAGCCGAGGACCAGAGGTTGTCTCCTCTTTTCAAATGACTTTTTTGGTCCACAATCAATGTGTAGCACTACAGATTTCGGTCAATTTTAACATTTCGTCTTTCATTTTGTGATAGGTTTGAGTACTGAATACTAACAGATTGACCAAGATCATTTCAGGTACGTAATCAACGTCTGACGTTTTACTTTTGTAACCATTAGGCCTTTACACACGCAGGTTGTTTTATCCGTCGTGTATACCGTTTATATCTCCATGCACAGCAACTACGAAGTAAGTAATTAAGAGCTCCGCCATACTCCGAAGGATTTCTATTTTCAGTAGGAACGCAAAGCACTACACGTTCAGAGAGGAATAACTATATAACTCAGAAGTACTCTTGTTTTAAAGAAGAAAAATTCCTTCAATAGCGCTCGACGGTCGAGGTTTTTATCGAAAAGTCTTTAGCTGATTTTCACCCGTTGCGCTCATATAATCATACCATACTAACAAAAAATAATTGGTTCCATTACTTTTTCGTGCACCATGCATAATTCTATAATTTTACACGGTAAAAAGCCAATGAATTTAAATTGGCGAGGATGCTCCATGAATTTCTACAAAAAACACAACCTTGATACTCTTCTTAAACATCTTTAAGTTCAAACATCAAAATAGTCCTCCCTTGTTTTTGCTTACCATTCAAATGAAATACGACCTATTTAAAAAGTTATTAAGGAGTACTTTCTTCTCAGAAGCATAATACTTAATTATAAAAAATGACCCATTACTATTATTTAGCCAAGAATCCTTATTGTGAATACTGATGATCATCCCGAAAACACATTCCTATCTTTAAGTGGCTTTTTTACCCGCATAATCCCCACTAGCCTCATATAAATCTGTTTTGAGTCCACGTACATGAGTATAAAGTTCGGGAAAAAGTTAAAAAAATTAAAAAATAGAAAATAAAAAAAGAGTAAGGATCCTTTAAAAATAAAAAATTACAAGAAAGACTGAAAAGCTCAAAGAGAGAGGATGAGATCCAGTCAGCGACAAAATCAACTGCAACACAGGCGGAATAACACAGGCGGATAAAAGTTCTTAGGGGGTTAGAGGTATTGTTATAAAATTGGTGAATAACGTGTTTTTCAACCGTATCAATTTTTCTGTGAGTGCGGAAGACAGTAACGAGTAAGCTGCATTTTTACCTTCATTTACCCAGCGGAAATGTCTACCCGACGAATATCTACATTTCTGGTTTGCCTATTGTTAGTTACTCTGATGGAAGAGGTAAAACCTGTGCTTGGAGGGAAAGGAGGAGGAAAATTTAAGAAGCTATCGAACAGGGTGAAGGAACTGGAGGAGAGCATGGAGGAACTAGGAGAATGCAAAGAGGGTAAAATTTAACAATGAATACCTAATAATAAACTTGTAACCCGCTGTAGTTAAAAAAAAACACTCTTAAAGAAATAGCAACTAAGATGGTTTTCTTTAGGTTTTCACGACAACGCAGATTTAGAAATAAAATTAGATAAAAAAACTGTTCTCCCTAATTAGGACAAAGTTGACAACGAATTAGCTGTATAATTTTACCTCTCGGCAGCTTATTGAAAACTGAAAACAAGTTTTCCATTCCGTTGCTCTTATATTTAAAGCATAGCTTCACTAAAGCGATTCATGGACCATTGTCTTAATTTATTTTCAGCTTGCTCGATGATCTCTGAACTGAAAGAGCGGCTTACTGCTCTAGAGGGAGGGATTGGAGGTACATTTCCAGTAGATTCTGAACTACGTTTTAGAAGGTCCAAGATGACTCGAATCCTCGCTAACTCGAACCAAAATTGAACTCTAGGACTTTTGTCATTCATTTGATGATTTTTTTCACCCCCTGTAACTCGTGCATCCTTTAGAACTAAAGCTTCCCGCTTACTCAAAAAAATTTTCGGTCCCCTTCGGAACATTTTCTCAGACCATGTTTGTCTTTTTCTATTTTTCTATTTATATTTTTGGCTATCTTAAATTACCTAGAACAACTATTGGCCCAAGGCAGGTTCCGCTGGTCTTCTCCCTCCCCATTTTTATCAATTTGAGCCATCGCAGGTCATCGCAAATCCTCACAGCGGCATCTCCATCCCTAACCAACAAAATTCTAGTCAATACTCGACGGTTACCACGAATTCCAGATTGTTTTTCTCACCTAGACATGATTGATATGTGCCTAAATGTCCAATCAACTTGCTTGAAAAACTGAAAAACGTCTCCGCTCGTCACGAATTGTTGCGGACTCAAATATAAAACCATAGTGACATCATGATAACATGGCAAAATTTTGGAAAAAATTGATAAGCAATGCCGTTTTTTGCCCAGGTTTAAATTATTCAAATAGCAAAATTAAGCTTTTAGTTTCTCTACCAACAGTCCTTTGACAGCGGCACAAAAAATTCTTTCATTCACAAAAATGAATTCATCTTGTGTACGCTGAGCCTCCATGATGTTGGCATGCGTGCTGAATGGTCTTCGGTGTTTTAACTAAAAAGTGGATAAAACCGCTTCTTTAAAAAAAATTCCGCCATTTTAATAAATGTACACTGTTGCTATGTATTGACAAGTGAGTTTGGGACACGCGCAGACATTTTTCAGCTCTGTTTTTGCCATATTGCAAAATAGAGTGTGAAGGCTACAAAGTTCTGGACAGCGCTGACAGGAAGAATACCTACGGTATGGGCAATGAAGCATGTGACGACGACATTGAAGAAGCGTGGTACCGCTTCACCGGAGCCGCAGGCTCAAAGATGCCAGAGTCACCACCAAATAAATACACGTGTGGCACGCATGCACCGGGGTGGCTGAATGGACGACATCCATCCGTTGCTGAGGGAAAGGTGCTCTGATCACACTTCTTACAGCAGTAACATTTTTTGTTAGGGTAATTCATTAAATGAACATTAGTCTCTGTTTGGCGCGAATTTATTCTCGAAAATTTACCCATGGACATTATTTGTTCCGAGAAGCGAATGATTGCGAAGAGCGAAGTATTAGGAAAGCTGTGGACTTCGGATAACAGATGATGCCAAATAACATATATACCTGCACATTTCTAAGTCTAATGAATGCATTTATTCTCTCTTTTTCTTTTTTCTTTATTGCTGTGCGTGCAACAAAACGATCACATCGGAAACAGATGTTGACTTTCCAGCGCGACTTCATTAACAAACAAATTTATCCCTTCTAACGAAACAATAGCAGAACGTTTTCCTGCTAAAATCAACTTTTAAAAGAAGACTTTCATCGTATTGTAAGCAATGTTTGAAAATTGGAGAATATCACTGGAGGAATATAACCAGATAATCTCCAGGTTTAGCCAGGGCATATTCGACCACGCGACACATTTTAACCAATCGCGTTTTGGCGAAAACGTTTGTAAGTACAGATATTTACCGAAAAAAGTTTGCAACACACAACTTCTTCAAAGGAAAAAATAAAATTTTACAACAGGGCTCCTAAACAGAGCTTCTCTTTGTACATTTCTGTACCAGTGAGGGCACAGGCTTTATGACGTTATACGAGAAAAAAAACTTGAGTGTTTTCAATCCGCTTCTGTGACACAGCCAGATTTTAACATAAGATTATATTTGTGGTGACTAGACATTTATTTTTCTTTTTAATTCCAAAATTTTTTGGTTTAGGTATCCAGACAAGTTTGTTTCAACTGGGGTGGCAACGATTGCAAATGGTATACCAGCATTGAAGTACGAAACTGCGACTCGTTCTTTGTCTACAAACTGGTGAAAACGCCCGAATGCAAACTCCGTTATTGTGGCAGTGACTGAAGGATGATGGGTAATTAAAACTGAAGCACGTCACACGTTTACCGCTGAACCTTACAATCAGATTTACTAAAACTTTACAGGGGAAAGGCCTTAGCCTTAGTACTTAATATCAGCTGGTAGCATAAGTTCTTTCTGTAATGTAGACTTGAATTATTAAAAAGGGAAATAAAGAATTCATTATTGGTGGTAGATGTGTGGAAAAGGTGTGCAATAAAAGTGTTCGGGAATAACGACAATAGTTAATTTAGTTTCAAAACGGGATGTTGAGGTGTCTTTTAAGAATTAGGGCTTCAGATGTTCGCAGTCATAATCGCTCAACTGGGGTGATGATGCAAAAAAAAGAAAAGCTGAAAAAAGGAAATATAGATGGTATGTTTAGGCTTTTATTTGGAGGTAGTATTTTAACAAAGGTACTCGGCAATTGTAAAACGGCTTAATAGAGTAACTACCGGGTATTGGGGTGTTCTTTCATTATCAGCGACTCAAAAGTTTATTGCTATTTAGTGTGATAAAGGTTTTATTTACGAGTAGTAAAAGAACATCTTCCTTTCATAGCCTTTTTCAGGCCCTCAGTCAGTGGAAGGGAGTGAAATTGCGACCCGATAGAATTGAAATATCTATACATATCTTACTTCTGCTAATCGTTTAGCTATGATGTAAAGTACATCGTAGCTATTACACTTGAAACATTTTGGAGCTCTAACATCCGTTAAAAAAAGAAGCACATACCCTATTCATACCAGCAAAACATGTGTAGTAAAAACCGGGTTTAACTCAATGAAAATCAGAGACAGAGGACTAAATAACTGAATTTTTCATAGGTTTCAAGAAGTCACTATTTTTTAGTTCCAATGTTTTCAATTTGAAGTCGAAAAAGAAGGTTAAGCAGATTCTATGGAGAGAACAATCTTCAAACGTGCTTAGCAAAACAGCTTTAACACATCTTTAAACTTTGGTGTCAATGTGGTAACTACAATTTGTCCGCATGAAGTGGTCGAAAAGCAAATCAGTGGCAGGTAACACAGTAACACTACAGAACCAAAATGCACCTGTTATAACCTTCTGTAATCTTATTTAAAACAGATAAATGTCTAAATGAGAAGTAGAGCGTTCTATCTTAAGAGCCGAAATTGTGACAACTGTAATTGCATCATCGTCGCATAAATTTGCAACTTAAAGAATTATCCCCTTTATCAAACTATATTATTACTTAATATATTGTTACTTACTCAGTAGACAACTTCGCGAAACTGCTATGACATTAATTAGACAAGTGTGGAAAAAACCCAGTTTAATTGAATAAGATCATGGCTTGACCAACTGAGCTAATCCAGTTGTCATCTTGATTCAGGTTTACATCATCTTTATCTCAGTGGCTGGCATTAAAAAGTTTTGTTTTGACTCTTGCTTCATAAGAGAACTCCTCTTCATTAGACACAGCGAATTTTTGAAAAGTGTTTCTTAATAAGCGTTTGAACATGATCAGAGGGGTAGTTGTGTTTGTGAGCATCATCTTCAATAGGAGGTAAGTGTTAAAAGAAATAATTTCTTAAAACATGAACAAAACCCGTATGATCCTGACAAAATCTTGATTTCTTTTCACCTGAGGATGGGTAGCAGCGTTGCCGGAAAGCATTCTGAAAAACAGAACATGGGACAGAAAACGCCTATTCATCACAATTAAGCGCGGCAAAGCGTAGTAAAAAAGCAAACAAGTAAGGTCAAACAGGGAATGTTTTGTTACTACGTTACTAACCTGAAGAGAATAATACGAACATCATCAAAAACGGCCGGACTTTATAAAGTACAGAATTTGTGTCTGAAGTTGGTAAAAATGAAGGTAAAAGATGAAGATTTGCCAACCAATAATTTGGCCCGGAGAGAAGTCGATCATTCATTCTTTTTTATGCTTACATGCCAACTGAAATAACATGCATTTTACTTTCTTTTATTACATATGTTTCCGACGGAATTCTAGGTTATTAGAAAGATTGTCATCCGGTTCAAAAAACTTGGTCTTTTGATGACCAAAAGTGCTAAAATTTTGTGACACGAGAAAAGGAAATCTAAAGCTACTTTCGTAAAAGTTTGACTAATTTTGAAAAACAAAATAGCGTTTCATGATATGCTGTGCATAAGATGAAGTGAACTCCAAACAAACTGAGCAGGTACTCTTTGTCTTTATTCCTTTCTGAGGTATTTCTCTGTTTTCTAAAAGTCTTCATTTATTCGCCGCGAAAAAAGCGGAATCATTTTGTACTGTATTTCCAGCTCGATTGGGCAGGCACTTGCGGTCCGACTAAATGTCATTGATTGATCGTGGATAGTGTTGTGCGTCGATTGTATTACTAGCTTCGCTATTTGGTGCGATGATGGTCGGTGCGCGGACCTTTCCAATGAGTCGCGAGTGAAAAGGGTCACCCGTAACCACTATAGCTTATTACTGCCTATTGCTAATAAGGATAAGTCAACGGTAAATTCTCTATGCGGTTTTCGAGGAAAGGATACATTTCCGGAGGTGCAAAGTGATTAACGCAGCAGTCAGACGTTTGCGTGTGTGAGAACATTGAAACAAGGCCACTTGATTGATTACTTTCAGGCCAAAGAAGCTCTGCGTAAATTAGGTGGTCACGGTGTTTTAAAAATTCAAAACAAAATGGTGAATGAACAGGAAAAGTCTCAAATTCTTCATTTCCCAACGTTTGTTTTCCTTTGCGGATCCACATAAGTATTCCATAACAGCGGTTGTCTTTTACATTTTCCTGCAAAATTTTGCGCTGGAAATTGTCGCGCGGTTGGCCAAAATTGATCTCTCTGAGCATGCCTGACGATGGACCGCTGTGTTGGAGTAACGCGATTGCATGTATTGACGGTCAATCAATGACAAGATGACAGAGCTGAATGACGTCTGTGCATACGCAAGACTTCTACGAGGAAAACGGATTTTGGGTTGGTTGCATGCTTGATTTTCCATTCTGTTGCTTGTAGGCGTTTGCTTCCCCCGTTGCTTTCCTTTTACAGAACAACCTCCAAAATCTTTGTACACCCCCTAAAAATTTCAAAAATTCATTTCTCCTTAAAAACACCGGAAATAGGAAAATTCCTTCAACGACAAGAAAATTCCTGGGTTTTAAATGCTAGCCCCTTTTTTCTCCGCAAACTTCGCTGAATCTTGAATCTCGAGCGCTTGAGCCCGCGTTATTGATCGCATACCTGTGACGTAGCTTTTCGTCATTCAGCTCTGCCTGACACCATCGAATCACTTGGCAACCATATGGCGAATTTTTGAAGTTAGAAGGATCTTTGTTAACGACTTCCCTTCTCCTCGTTCTTCCAGCTCCAAACTATCTGACAGGATCAGATTACGTAGCTGCTGGAACGACCAACGTGAAACAACCCGGAGATTCACACATCTGCTATTCAGGCCATCGTTAAACACGTTGCAGGTTTCACAAACAACAAGGTTTTCTTCCCTCGTAGTAAGTACCTGGTCAGTGGTGATATTGCAACAAGTGGCTTAATGGAATTGCATGGAACCCAGCGTGGTATTGTAGTTATCAAGGCGTCGATTCTGTAAGGCATAGAAATACACAATGCTTCACCAGTGAAGTGTGTTTCAAACTGCCCCGCTTTCAAAGATAGATGCCCGTTCGAAAACCTGAAGACCATGGGTGAGTACGTGGACAAACTGACCCAAATACGAGACAAAAGCAGTTGTAAAGGTCGCGCAGCATTCCAAAAGTTGAGAGAGTTACGCGGGTTGCGCTTATCAGTATTCGCTTGCCACACGTGAGATGGCCTACATGGGTGCCCTAGCTTGTGCATTAGAAGGACGGACCAAGAGAGAATCTAACAATGGAAGATCTGCGGCGTCGGCTTCGCACTATTCAGCACCCGAGTTACTCAGTAGTTTCATATGTTGCTGACTTAAAAAAAAATTGCCTACATACAGGAATATATGTGATACTGCTCACTATTGAGCAGGTTGCAACCTTTCGCCGCATTTTCTTGGTGTAAACTTAACTACTTTAAGAATCGATTGCATGCAAAACGGCCCTCGAGGCCACTAAACTAAGAAGATATGTGATATTCGTAGATAGCAGTGTGACTATAATACCCTATGTCTGTTCAATTTCGTAAAAGAATTTATCTGAAGATACAACCGACGCTGACCCCTAAAAGCACTAGAAATAATGCTCGTGGTGCAATTTTTGAAAAAATCAAGTTTCGATGAATAATCTGTTATGAAATCCACAATAGAAACGAAAATAAAAGGTTTTACTAATAAAATACGCCATTGAGGCGCTAAGATATCATCAAATTTGGAAAATTATTTTTTTTTATTTGAAAATATACATTCATAACAAATCTGATTTTAGGCTAAACCAATACCGTAAATTTGAATTGGTTTCCACCATAATAGGAAGCAAAATAATACTTCCAAAACATGCACAAAGAAGGAAACCGCGAAAATCATTAAACGATATTACACACTAAGAGATTACAAAATGTAATCTCTTGTACACTGAGTTTTTATTGTTTCATTTTAAATACAAAATTTGTTATTTCATGCTACCTTATCACTGCAGTCTTGACATCATAAGCAACCAATTAGACTATGAAACGTTTCATGGCCAACGCCCGCTTACAAAACAAAACGTTCTCTTTATTCGAGGCTGGCAATTTGTCTTTGAAGGACCTTCGATCAGCCGAGGACCAGAGGTTGTCATTTATGATCTATTTCTCTTATTAACTGACTTTTTAATCCACAATCAATGTGTAACGCTGCAGATTTCGGTCAATTTTAACATCTCGTCTCTCTTTATGTGATAGGTTTGAGTATTGAAGACTAACAGATTGACCAAGATCATTTCGGGTATGTATACGCATAGGCAGGTTGTTTGCGTACGCTGGTTGTTTTATCGGTCGTGTATACCGTTTATATCTTCATGCACAGCAACTACGAAGTAAGTATTTAAGATCTCTGCCATATTACGAACGATTTCTATTTTCAGTTTAAATGCAAAGCACTCCACGATCAGTTTAGGTCATGTCAGTTTGCCATGTGATTTGGCTTTTTCAGTCCACAGTTACTCTGAAAGTTGAAAATTGAAAAAAAAAAGAGTTAAAACAGTGAATTCTAAATATTTCGCCTTTTTTTTTTTCTTTTACATTCCATAGTGTGTTTGATTAGATGGAATAGAGCTATCAAATTGACGAGTATTTTCTTCCTAAATGACCATCAGCTTTGACGTAACTGTTTACTCTCTTTTTTCATGGAATAGCTATATAACTCAGAAGTACACTCCTTTTAAAGAAGAAAAATTCCTTCAATAGTGCTCGTCGGCCGAGGTCACGGTTTTCATCTAAAAGTCTTTGGCTGATGCTCACCCGTTGCGCACATATAATAATACCATACTAACAAAAAAATAATTGGTTCCATAATTTTCTCTTGCACCATGAATAATTCCAAAATTTCCCACAGTAAAAGGTGAATGAATTTAAATTGACGAGGATGCTCCATGAATTTCTACAAAAAACACAACCTTGATACTCTTCTTAAACATTTTTAAGTTCAAACATCAAAATAATCCTCCCTTGTTTTTGCTTATCATTCAAATGAAATACGACTAATTTAAAAAGTTACTAAGGAATAGTTTCACTTCTCACAAGCATGATACTTACAAACAATGAACCGTTACGAACAAGACTATTATTTAGCAATCCCCACTGTGAAGTCTTTGCTCTATACAGCGCCAACATGCCAAATTTTAAAATTAAAACAAAGAGGAAAATTCTAAAGAATGAAATCACCAAGGCGAATCTACTTTTCTGCTCATTACTGCAAGGATAAACGAGCGGGGATAACTACTATCAGCATTGCTTTAAGTTGTGCTGCTTTTAAAACACCAAGATGCATGCATACACGTTCTCAGACAACGTCCCGAGCAAAATTGATTGAATGCTACGCGTGACGATCAGGTATCAACAAATACATTTTTATCCCGAAATTCATACCGAAACAGATGATCATCGCGAAAAAATACATTCTTTTATTTTTTTTCTCAGAGGGTACGGTAACGAATCCTGCAATCTAATTGGTTCTTAGTGCGGTCCGTATTTTCCTATCTCTGCCCATGGGCAACAGTAACGCTTTCGTGAGTCGCCGAGTACATCCCCATTTTTGTTGCCATTTTTCATAAATATATCTCGTTTCTCCGGCTGGGCAGTATTTTTAAGCAAAGACGTCGGTCACTGCTTCAAGCCGGTAAATAACTTATTAATCCTCTCTTTTCTCCCTCTCAAATCACTTTGGTTGACAGAGAAATATTGGTTTCAAATTAAATTAAGTTGCCTAAAAACCGTCTGTAATTAATTTTAATCCTTCACAAAACTGAAGTACCTAGAAAGTTAAAAAGTGAGGTATTTTGTTACAATTGAATTGATCGATGGAACTTTCATTCATTTGATATCTGAATTCTCTCAAACAATTTGTTCGTAGTGAAAGGGCGAGCGAAGTTTTCAGTTCTACTAGCTACGAAGAAGTCTTCGGTGAGTCTTTCTAAGTCCCGGCGTTCAACCTGGATATTTGTACCGTAAATTGCACAAAAGAAAATGCAGGAATTCAATAAGAAAAGGCCGCATTAAATCCCCTTGTTTCTAGTTGAAGTGTCTCATTCGAATTTAGTTTTTGTGGAGGAAAGACCAGATTTACACACGCCATTGCAGCAAACAAACGAGCAAACACTCACAACGTCAAAATGAAAAATTTGAATTTACTTACGACTACCTTCCTTGCCATTTACTTACTGAACAGAGGTAAATATTCGTACATTAATCGTCGATGAGACTGAATAATACTTTTCGTAAGATTGAAGAAAACATTGCTGCCACAATCCTTGCCAAACTAGTTCCGTTGTTTTTACAAAAGTGTACTTGCGGTTTGTTTTTTCTTACGCGCTCTCTAATTGACAGGTGTCAGATTGTGACATATAGTTGTAAAAATAATGTTTCAAAGTTTGTTTGGAAACCTTTTAAATCACCTTTATCGTTACGCAAATGAAAAATGTTTCGGTGAAGCCTCTCTTTACTTTGCATTACCTTTTTTTTTAACTACCATTTACTCGCTCAAAAATTGTTCAGTTTACGGAAGATCTTGCTGTAATCACAGCCCTAAATCATTGGGGTTCCTTTGGAATGAATTTCGTCAGTTTTCAGGAAAAAAAATTAAAATGTCTTTCACTAGCCTAACTCGGTCCGTATTGGGAAAAACTGTGCCTGAGGTCGTGAGTACCGCCCGAGGCCGTAGGCTGGGGAATAATACATATATCTTTAAGTGGCTTATTTACCCACATAGTCCCCAATAGCCTCTTATAAATCTGTTTTAAGTCCACGGACATGAGTATCAAGTTCGGAAAAAAGTTAAAAAAGAAAAAGTAGGGATCCTTTAAAAAAATAAAAATAAAAAATAATGAAAAATAAAAAAAAAGGCTTAAAAACTCAAAGAGAGAGAGGATGAGATCCAGTCAGCTACAAAATCAATTGCAAGATCTGAGAATGGCCTGGGCGGTTAGAGGCTCCCAGTGAGTTAAAAGTATTGTCCTATTTCTTACCCCCAGCAAAGCAAGTAATGAAAAATAAAATTGGTAAATAACGTGTTTTCCAACGCCACTAAACTGTCAAAATAGTGTGAGGCACCCCACCAAATTTTCTGTGAGTGCGGAAAACAATACCGAGTAAGCTGTGTTTTTACCTTAAATTTACCCAGCGAAAATGTCTATCCGACGAACATCTGCATTTCTGGTTTGCCTGTTGTTGGTTACTCTGATGGAAGAGGCAAAACCTGTACTTGGAGGGAAAGGAGGAGGAAAATTTTCGAAACTATCGAACAGGTTGAAGGAACTGGAGGAGAGCATGGAGGAACTAGGAGAATGCAAAGAAGGTAAAATTTAACAATGAATACCTATTAATAAACTTGTGACCCTCTGTATTTGAAAAAAAAACCCTCTGAAAGAAATTGCGACTAAGATGGTTTTCTTTAGGCTTTTCACGACAACACAGATTTAGAAATAAAATTAGGTAAAAAAAAACTGTTCTTCCTAGTTAGGACAAAATTGACAACGAATTAGCTGTGTAATTTTACTTTTCGGCGTCTTATTGAAAATAGAAAATAAGTTTTCCATTTAGTTGCTCCTACATTTAAAGCGTAACTTCACTAAAGCGATTCATGGATCATTGTCGTAATTTATTTTCAGTTTGCTCGATGATCTCTGAACTAAAAGAGCGGCTCACTGCTGTAGAGGGTGAGATTGAAGAGCTGAAGAAAGAACCGCCGACAAACCGCCCTCCACTGGCTCCAGGTACATTTCTAATAGATTCCGAACTACGTTTCTGAAGTCCAAGATGACTCGAACCCTCGCTAACTCGAATGCGTCATTAACTCGAACCAAAATTGAACTTTAGGACTTTTGTCATTCATTTGATGATTTTTTTCACCCCCTGTAACTCGTGCATCCTTGACAACTGTAGCTTCCCGCTAACTCCAAACAATTTTCGTTCCCCTTCGGAACATTTTCTTCAAGTCAATACCTCAAACCATGTTTGTCTTTTTATATTTTTATATTTAAGTTTTTGGCTATCTTAAATTACCCAGAAGAACAATTGGCCCAAAGCAGGTTCCATTGGTCTTCTCCCTCCCCATTTTCAGCAATTTGAGCCATCGCAGGTCATCGCATAGAGGCATCTCCATCCCTAACCAACAAAATTCTAGTCAATACTCGACGGTTACCACGAATTCCAGGTTGTTTTTCTCCACCTAGACATGCTTGATATGTGTCTAAATGTCCAATCAACTTGCTTGAAAAACTGAAAAACGTCTCCGCTCGTCACGATTTTTGCGGACTCAAATATAAAACTATAGTGACATCATGATAATATAGCAAAGTTTTGGAAAAGATTGATAAGCGACGCCGTTTTTTGCCCAGGTATAAATAATTCAGGTAGCAAGATAAAGCTTTTAATTTTTCTATCAACAGTCCTTTGACAGGGGCACAAAAAATGTTTTCATTCACAAAATGACGTTGAGGCTCCATGATGTTGACATGCGTGCTGAGTGGTCTTTAGCACGCATAAAAATTGGATATCACCGCTTTTTTAAAAAAATTCCCACCATTTTAACAAATGTTCACTGTTGCTATGTATCGACAAGTGAGTTTGGGACACGCGCAGACATTTTTTAGCTTTGTTTTTGCCATATTGTAAATTAAAGTGTGAAGGCTACAAAGTTCTGGACAGCGCTGACAGGAAGAATACCAACGGTATGGGCAATGCAGCATGTGACAACGACATTGAAGAAGCGTGGTGCCGCTTCACGGGAGCCGCAGGCTAAAAGATGCCAGAGTCACCACCAAATAAAAACACGTGTGGCACGCATGCACCGAGGTGGCTGAATGGACGACATCCATCTGTTGCCTAGGGAAAGGTGCACAGATCACATTTCTTACAACAGTAAAATTTTTTTTCTGGGTAATTCATATGAATGAATTCAAGACTCCGTTTAGCGGGAAATTATTCTCGGGTATTTGCCCACGAACATTATTTGTTCCGAGAAGCGAATGATTTTCGAAGAGCGAAGCTTTAGGAAAGCTGTGGACTTCGGATAACAGATGATGCCGAAGGAGATGTAAACGAGCACATTTGTAAGCCAAATGAATGCATTTATTCTCTCTTTCTCTTTTTTCTTTATTACTGTGCGCGTAACAAAACGATCACTTCGAAAACAGATGTTGATTTTCCACCAATTGGTTAATAAGCAAATTTATCCCTTCTAATGAAACAACAGCAGAACGCTCTCCAACTAAAATCAACTTTTAAAGGAAGACTTTCATCGCATTGAAAGCAATGTTTGAAAATTGGAGAATATCATCACTCACTGGGGAATATCACTGGGGAATATCACTGGGGAATATCACTGGGGAATATCAATGGGGAATATCACTGGGGAATATTACTGGGGAATATCACTGGAGGAATATCACTGGGGGAATATCACTGGGGGAATATCACTGGGGGAATATTACTGGGGGAATATCACTTCGTACATTTCTGTACCAGTGAGAACACAGGCTTTATGACGTTATATGAGAAAAAAAAACCTGAGTGTTTTCAATCGGCTTTTATGAAAATTTTTGTTTTCAATTATGACACAGCATAACATATATCTTAATTCTATCATAAGGCTATATTTGTGGTGACTAGACATTTATTTATCTTTTCAATTCCAATGTTTTTTGGTCTAGGTATTCAGACAAGTCTGTTTCAACTGGGATGGCAACAATTGTAACTGGCAAGCCGGCATTGAAGTACGAAACTGTGACTCGTTCTTTGTCTACAAACTGGTGAAATCGCCCGGTTGCCAACTCCGTTATTGTGGCAGTGACTAACGGATGATGGGCAATTAAAACTGAAGCATGTCACACGCTTACGGCTGAGCCTTACACTCCAACACAAGAACTTTACAGGGGAAAGGGGACGTATACTTATATCAGCCTTAGCACTTGATATCAGCTGGTAGCAGAAGATCATTCTGTAATGTGGACTTGAATGATTGAAAAGAGAAATAAAGAATTCATTATTGGTGGTAGATGTGCGGAAGAAGTGTTCAATAAAAGTGTTCGGGAATCACGACAATCTTCTAATTAAATTTCAAAACGTGATAATGAGGTGTCTTTTCAGAATTAGGGCTTCAGGTGTTCGCAGTCATCTTCGCTCATCTGCAGTGATAATGTGAAAATAAAGTAGAAAAAAAAAGTAAACATAGATGGTATGTTTATGCTTTTATCTGGAGATAGTATTTAATAAAGGTACTCGGCAATTGAAAAACGGCTCAATAGAGTTAACTACCGGGTATTGGAGTGTTCTTTCATTATCAGCGACTCAAAAGTTTATTGCTATTTCGTGTGATAAACGTTTTGGAGTAGCAAAAGGACATATTCCTTTTATTATGTTTATCAGGGCAACAGCCTAACCCCACTGCCTCCAGTTTAGGTAATGTTACCAAAGAAATGATTAACGCAATAGAAAAAAATTCAACTCGGAAGAGAACAAAAGATGCCATTAAGTTTTGCGTAACACTTTGCAAAAGTAAGGTATGAAGTTTTGGCTGCTATATAAATACTTGTGGAAACCGGCTGCTTATCTTCGAGTAATCAAACCATTGTAACAAAATATGAGCAAAGCTCTCTGTATTTATAGGATGGTTTTAACAACAAACGAATTTACAAAAGAATTTATCTCGAGGATTATTCAACAATATTCATTTCACTTTCGGCAAATAATTGTTAATCATTGTCACTAACAACGGCGTGGTCAAGTTCAATTACCGAAGATTAATTTGCACTTTGTAAAAATAAGAAAAATAATGCGTTTAGCAAAACAGCTTTAACACATCTGAAACACATCTTTAAAATTTGGTGTAAATGGGGATATTTTTAAGATACTATACTCGGGAAACTAGTTGTCGTTTGTTGGCAAGTCGAAAGGGCGCTTTCCTCGATGTTCTGCATCACAGTTTCTGCTACAACAGAAACTGAAGACCCCATAGCTGTACAGCGTAACTGTTTGTGGTGTTTACCGTTTTACTGAATGTAAGTTGACGTTTTTCAAAGGTTTAGTGAGTCCATAATGTCCTCTGTCGGTAGCGGTAGAGGATCGGTAGATTGTCAGATTGCAGTCTCAGTACATTGTAGTGCCAATTGAAGTAGAATACTTGTAAAAAGCGATTTCACATCGAATGACACTAATTTCTAGCCCTCAGGTATCTGTACAGTCTTAGTGGCGTTAATAAAGTCCTCGGCGGATCGTAGTTTAAGTCTGGGTTTGTCGGTGAGCGGTTATAGTATTGTTGTCAGGTACTTGGACAGTTGGTATGTAGGAGAAGAACAGAAAGAAACAATAGGCCGCATCGGGAAACCAGGTTTGTGTAGTTTCGGCAGACCGTAAAGTTGCAGTGGCTGTGATACTGAGCACCTGAGCTGGTAGTAGCGTTGCTTTTGTCGTTAACTAGTGCGTCCACTTTGATGTAGTCAGTCTTTTCCATAACAACAGTAACTCGTCCTTTGTCGGCTGGTAGAATAATTATTGTCGGCTGGTAGATTAATTATTGTCGGCTTAGAACATTCGACTGACAACAACTATTCACTTGGCTCTGATGAGGAATTCTGCTCAGGTTATTAAAACATCAGTCACCACAACCGACGGCATTCCTTCTCAGGACTACACTCACATGGACGATTAAACTACAAAAATAAAAAATTGTAAGTACAATAAAAACTTTGCTTTTTCATTTTACCCTATCACTGCAGACTTGACATCATAAGCAACCAATCAGACGATGAAACGTTTCATGGCCAACGCCCGCTTACAAAACAAAACCGTTCTTCTTACTCGAGGCTGGCAATTAGTCTTTGGAGGATTCCTTCGATCAGCCGAGGATCAAAGGTTGTCATTCATGGTCTTTTTATCTTTGACTTTTGACTGACTTTTTAATCCACAATCGATGTGTAACACTACAGATTTCGGTCAATTTTAACATTTCGTCTTTCTTTATGTGATAGGTTTGAGTATTGAATACTTACAGATTGACCAATATCATTTCAGGTACGTAATCAACGTCTGACGTTTCACTTTTGTAACCACAAGGCCTTTACACACGCAGGTTGTTTTATCCGTCGTGTATACCGTTTATATCTCCATGCACAGCAACTACGAAGTAAGTAATTAAGAGCTCTGCCATATTCCGAAGGATTTATATTTTCAGTTGGAACGCAAAGCACTACACGATCAGAGAGGAATAGCTAAATATAACTCAGAAGTACGCTCTTAGAAGAAAAATTCCTTCAATAGTGTTCGACGGCCGAGGTTTTTATCTTAAAGTCTTAAGCTGATATTCACCCGTTGCGCTCATATAATCATACCACACAAACAAGAAATAATTAGTTCCATTATCTCCATTAATTAGTTCCGTTATTTCCATTAATTAGTTCTATTATTTCCATTGATTAGTTTCATCATCTCTTGCAAGTACCATGCATAATCCATAATTTTTCACAGTAAAAGACCAATAAATTTGAATTTGCGTGGATGCTCTAGGAATTTCTACAAAAAACACTACCTTGATACTCTTCTCGAACATCTTTAAGTTCAAACATCAAAATAATCCTCCCTTGTTTTTGCTTATCATTAAAATGAAATACAACTAATTTAAAAAGTTATATTTACTAATGAGTATTTTCTTCTCACAACCATAATACTTAATTATAAACAATGAACCATAACGAACGGGACTATTGTTTATAAATCCCCATTGTGAATATTGAAACATATGATTAACCCGAAAAAAATTACATTTCTATCTCTAGGTGATTTATTTTACCCACATAATCCCCAGTGCCCTGTGGTAAATCTGTTTTAAGTTCATGTACATGAGTATAAATTTCGGAAAAAAGGAAAAAAAAAACGAGGATCCTTTTAAAATAGAAAATTAAAAGAAGAAAAAGAAGGGCTGAAAAACTCAAAGAGAGAGGATGAGATCCAATCAGCGACAAAATCAAATGCACGATCTGTGAATGACACAGGCGGATAGAAGCTCCCAGGGGTTATAAGCTCCCGTGGGTTAAAAGTATTGTCCTGTTCCTTACCCCCAAGAAAGCAAGTGATAAAAAATAAAATTGGTAAATGCCGTGTTTTCCAACCGTCATTATACCAATTTTTCTGTAAGTGCAGAAGACAATACCGAGTAAGCTGTGTTTTTACCTTAAATTTACCCAGCGAAAATGTCTACTCGACGAATATCTGCATTTCTGGTTTGCCTGTTGTTGGTTACTCTGATGGAAGAGGCAAAACCTGTGCTTGGAGCGAAAGGAGAAGGAAAGTATAAGAAGCTATCGAACAGGGTGAAGGAGCTGGAGGAGAGCATGGAGGAACTAGGAGAATGCAAAGAGGGTAAACTTTAACAATGAATACCTAGCAACAAACTTGTGACCCTCTGTATTTGAAAAAAAAACCCTCTGAAAGAAATAGGGACTAAGATGGTTTTTTTTAGGCTTTTCACGAAAACGCAGATTTAGAAATTTAACTAGGTAGAAAAAAACTGTTCTTCCTTATTAGGACAAAGTTGACAACGAATTAGCTGTGTAATTTTACTTCTCGGCAGCTTATTGAAAATTGAAAATAAGTTTTCCATTTAGTTGCTCTTATATTTAAAGCGTAGCTTCACTAAAGCGATTCATGAACCATTGTCGTAATTTATATTTCAGCTTGCTCGATAATCTCTGAACTGAAAGAGCGGCTCATTGCTGTAGAGGGAAAGATTGAAGGGCTGAACACAGAACTGACTACAAAATCCTATCCACTGGTTTCAGGTACATTTCCAGTAGATTCCGAACTACGATTCAGAAGGTCCAAGATGACTCGAATCCTCGCTAACTCGAATGCGTCATTAACTCGAACCAAAATTGAACTCTAGGACTTTTGTCATTCATTTGATGATTTTTTTCACCCCCTGTAACTCGTGCATAACTAAAGCTTCCTGCTAAATCCAAACAATTTGTCGTTCCCCTCCGGAACATTTTCTCTTAGTCAATACCTCAAACTACGTTTGTCTTTTTATATTTTTCTATCTATATTTTTGGCTATCTTAAATTACCCAGAAGGAGTATTTGCCCAAAGCAGGTTCCGCTCTTCTCCCTCCCCATTCAGTTTTATCAATTTTGAGTCATCGCAGGTCATCGCGAATCCTCACAGAGGCATCTCCACCCCTCACCAACCAAAGTCTAGTCAATACTCAACGATTACCACGAATTCCAGATTTTTTTTCTTCAACTAGACATGATTGATAAATGTCTAAATGTCCAATCAACCTGCTTGAAAAACTGGAAAACGTCTCCGCTCGTCACAAATTTTTATAGACTCAAATATAAAACCAAAGCGACATCATGATAACATGGCAACATTTTAGAAAAAATTGATAGGCGATGCCGTTTTTTGCCCATGTTTAAATAATTCAGTTAGCAAGGTAAAGCTTTTAGTTTCTCTACCAACGGTCCTTTGACAGGGGCACAAAAAATGTTTTCATTTACAAAAATGAATTAATTTTGTGTACGTTGAGCCTCCATGATGTTGAAATACGTGCTGAGTGGTCTTCAGGGTTTTAACTAAAGAGTGGATGTTGCCGCTTTTTTAAAAAAAATTCCCGCCATTTTATTAAATGTTCACTGTTGCTATGTATTGACAAGTGAGTTTGGGACACGCGCAGACGTTTTTCAGCTCTGTTTTTGCCATATTGCAAACTAGAGTGTGAAGGCTACAAAGTTCTGGACAGCGCTGACAGGAAGAATACCTACGGTATGGGCGGAATTGCATGTGACGACGAAATAGAAGAAGCGTGGTACCGCTTCACAGGAGCCGCAGGCTCAAAGATGCCAGAGTCACCACCAAATGAAAAGATGTGTGGCACGCATGTACCAGGGTGGCTGAATGGACGACATCCATCCGTTGCTGAGGGAAAGGTGCTCTGATCACACTTCTTACAGCAGTAACATTTTTTTGTTAGGGTAATTCATGTAAATGAACATTAGTCTCTGTTTGGTGCGAAATTATTCTCGGATATTTGTCCACGGACACTATTTGTTCCGAGAAGCGAATGACTTTCGAAGAGCGAAGCTTTAGGAAAGCTGTGGACTTCGGATAACAGATGATGCCGAAGGGTATATATACGTGCACATCTCTAAGCCAAATGAATGCATTTATTCTCTCTTTTTTTTTCCTTTATTGCTGTGCGCGTAACAAAACGATCACATTGAAAACAGATGTTGACTTTCCACCAATTCGTTAACAAGCAAATTTATCCCCGCTAATGAAACAACAGCAAAACTCTCTCAAGCTTAAATCAACTTTTAAAGGAAGACATTCATGGCATTGAAAGCAATGTTTGAAAATTGGAGAATATATCCGGGGGAATATCACCAGATAATCTACAGGTTTAGCCGGGGCTCATTCGACTACGCGACACATTTTAACCAATAGCGCGTTGGCGAAAACGGGTGTAAGTACAGATATTTACCGAAGAAAGTTCGCAAAACACAACTTCTTCAAAGGCAAACTAAAATTTTACAAAAGGGCTGCTAAACAGAGCTCCTCTTGGAACATTTCCGTACCAGTGAGAACACAAGCTTTATGACTTTACACGAGAAAAAAAACTGAGTGTTTTCAATCGGCTTTTAAGCAAATTTTTTTTTTAGATTATATCACAGCATAACATGTATCTTAATTCTAACATAAGAATATATTTGTGATGAGTAGACATTTATTTATCTTTTCAATTCCAATGTTTTTTGGTTTAGGTATCTAGAGAAGTCTGTTTCAACTGGGTTGGCAAAAATTGTTTCTTTAAAGCCAACATTGAAGTACGAAACTGCGAATCATTCTTTGTCTACAAACTGGTGAAAACGCCCGATTGCAACCTCTGTTATTGTGGCAGTGACTAGAAGAAGCATGTCATAGGCGTAGGGCTGAACCTTACAATCAGATTTACCAGAATTTTACCAGGGAAAGAGAAAATATACTTATATCAGCCTTATAGTACTTGATATCAGCTGGCAACAAAAGTTCTTTTTGTAATGTGGAATTAAATGATTAAAAAGGGAAATAAAGAACGATGGTAGATGTGCGGAAAAAGTGTGCAATAAAAGATGCCACTAGTCTAACCCACTGCCTCGCTTTTTGATAATATTACTAAAGAAATGATTAACGCAATAGGAGAAATTCAACTCCGAAGAGCACAAAAGATGCCACCAGGTTAATTTGGTGTAACACTTTAAATTTCAAAGGTAAGTTTTGGCTGCCATATAAATACTTGTGGAAACTGGCTGCTTATCTCCGAGTAATCAAACCATTGTAACAAAATATGAGCAAAGCTTTCTGTATTTACAGGATGGCTTCAACAACAAAACGAATTTACAGAAGAATTTATCTCGAGGATTATTCAACAATATTCATTTCACTTTGGGCAAATGACTGTTATTCATTGTCACTAAAAACGGTGTGGTCGAGTTCAATGATGAAATTTTACGTCGCACTTTGTAAAAATAAGACAAAGAATTTGAAATATTTCCTTCAGTAATGCATTGGTATACGAGCACATCACTTTAAGGTCTCTGGACTCTTCAAACCACTAGATGGAAGAGAAACATCGTTACACATCTCACTTCTGCTAATCGTCTGGCTATGATGTACAGTACTGAGTTAACCCGAAACATTTTGGTGTTGTAATATCCGATGATGAAAAAAGAATCACATACCCTATTCATACCAGCATAACATGTTTAGTGAAACCGAGTTTAACTCAACGATAATCAGAGGCAGAGGACTGAATAACTGAATTTTTCATAAGTTTCAAGAAGTCACTATTTTTCATTTCCAATGTGTTCAATTTGAATTCGGAAAAGAAGGTTTAAGCAGATTCTATAGAGAGAGCAATTTTTAACCGTGTTTGGGAAAACAGCTTTAGCTCATCTGAAACACATCTTTAAACTTTGGTGTCAATGGGTAACACTGAGACAATTTGTCGGCGTGAAGGGGTCGAAAAGCAAATCAGTGGCAGGCAACACAGTCTACAGAACCAAAATGCACCTGTTATAACCTTCTATAATCTTATTTAAAACAAGTAAATGTCTACATGAGTAGTAGAGTGTTCTACCACAGGTAAAATCTCATAAGAGCCGAAATTGTGACAACTGTAATTGCATCATCGTCGCTTAAATCTGAAAGAATTATCCCCTTTATCAAACCACGATTCACTTTTGTATTACTTTAAGGAGACTTTTTTAAGATACTGTACTCAGTAGACAACTTCGCGAAACTGCTTTGACATTCAAAAGAGAAGTGTGAAAAAAAAAAAAAAAAAAAAAAGGAAAAAAAAGTTTGATTGAATCAGATCATGGCTTGACTAATTGAGCTAATCCAGTTGTCATTTTGATTCAGGTTTACATCATCTTTATCAGTAACTGGCATTAAAAAGTTTTGGTCTGACTCTTTTTTCATAAGAGAACTCCTCTTCATTGAAGTCGGTAATTTTCAGTTTGAAAAGTGTTTCTTAATAAGCGTTTCAATATGATCAGAGGGTTAGTTCTGTTTGTAAGCATCATCGTCGCTCTTAGGTAAGTGTTAAAAGAAATAATACTTTAAAACATGAACAAAAACCCGTATGATCCTGATGCAATCTTGATTTCTTTTCACCGGAGGATGGGTAGAAGTGTTGCCGGAAAGCATTCTGGGAAACACAATCTGGGACAGAAAACGCCTATTCATCACAGCAGAGCGCGGCAAAGCGTAATAAAAAAACAAACAAGTAAGCTCAAACAAGGAATGTTTTGTTACTACGGTACTAACCTGAAGAGGATGATACGAACATCATCAAAAACTGCCGGAGTTTATAAAGTACGGTATTTGTGTCTAGTTGGTAAAAAAATTGAGGTTAAAGATGAAGATTCGCCAACCAATAGTATGGCCTGGAGAGAGCATTCTTTATTTTCCATTCTGTTTTTCTAGGCGTTGCTTCCCTTGTTGCTTTTCTTTTCTTTTACAGAACAACCTCCAAAATTTTCGTACACCCCCTAAAAATTTCAAAAATTAATTTTCTTCTTAAAAACACTGGAAATAGAAAAATGCCCTCAAGGAAAACAAAACACCTTCTTTGAATAATGAACCTCGTGCGCTTGAGTCCGTGTTATTGATCGCACACCTATGACGTAGCATCTCGCTATTCAGCTCTGCCTGACACGATCGAGTCACTTGGCAACTATACGGTGAATTTTTTAAGTTGGAAGGACCTTTGTTAACGACCTCCCTTCTCCTTGTTCTTCCAGCTCCAAACTTTCTGACAGGATCAGATAACGTACCTGCTGGAATGACCAACGTGAAGCAACCCGGAGGTTCCTTAACTGCTGCTATTGGAGATGGAAAAACTGACGACACATCGGCCATTCAGGCCATCGTTAAACACGTTGCAGGTTCCACAAGCAACAAGGTTTTTTTCCCTCGTGGTGAGTACCTGGTCAGCGGTGATATTGCTATAAGTGGCTCAGTGGAACTGCATGGAACCCAGAGTGGTATTACAGTTATCAAGGCTTTGATTCCGTATGCCATAGAAATACAGAATGCTTCGCCAGTAAAGCGTGTTTCACTGAAGTATCTGTATCTCGACGGAATTCTTATAGTATTCGATGGTCAAACTAAAGGGCCATCATCTACAGGTGACATTACAATAGAGAGCTGTGTATTCTTTTCATCGGCAAGTCCAACTGCAAGCAACGGACAGAAACGACAACTGATGTTGATAGAGCTTGGAAACAGCCGTGTTTACAAAAACGTCTTTTTACGTGATTTAGATGCATATGGAGTTGCTTCCGCATTTAGAAGTACTTTGAGCGTTTGGGTAATTGACAACGTATGTGGACTTGAGCTAAGTAAACTAGAGTGGTTGTCTTCCAAAGTTAAGCCAGTATCCCATTGGCGAGAACAGAAATTAGAGTTCTTGAAGACTCGTTACAATCTTAAATCTGACCAAGGCTACTTTAAAAGTTGTCTTTATGACCAGTGCGACAAAAAAATGAAAATAGCGAAAAATATATTCAACGGAAGTCCCAATACCGGAAGACACAGAGACCACGCCATGTACCTGAAAGGGTTTGATAACATGGAAGTGAAAAGTAATTATGTCAGAGGTTGGCCTGCGAATCCATCAGGTGGTATCAAGGTTCGAAATGGAAAAAATCTTTGGCTTGCTCGTAATTACGTCGACGACACAGGCATTCTGTTGTATTCACACAGAAAACGCAAGGCCTGTCTTCATGATGGTCTCAAGAACGTGATCATCTACGGAAATCATCTCGTACAACGAACAAGACCAGGCAGACGAGAAAGCAGTTTAAGCTATTATGAGCCCCACTCGGTTGGAAAGGATGAGAATATCAAGTACTCTGCTAACGTATTTGAGATCGTTGGGTTCAGTCACCCGACTAAGTACAGTTGCATTTGGCTGACCAATGGCAATCCGTCTCAACATCATGTGTACAAAGACAACGTGTATCATGGGACTTCGACGACTGTGAAGCTGCAAGCGGACGGAGGTACTCCATCATACGAGACAAAGGACATCGACCAAAAACTCAAAGATCTGTACAAATATCCAATATATAAACTGGACATTCCACCTTATTAAACTATATACTTGCACACATTATCAGAATAGTTGTAAAGATTAACAATTTACACTCTAACATCAGTATGCATGTTCTCTACAGCGCTAAAGACATCTTACACTGCCTGATATAAATTACAGAGTCGTTGTGCTGTAATTTCGTCTTATTTAACATTTGGTGGCGTGCTTTTCATCGATAATTATAAAGGTATTTTTCCCCAATAAATTTCTTTGCAGAAAAGTGGGCGTAATTTTGGCGAGCGAGTGCTCAGTGTTTTCTTAGCGAAAATTACAGTAGCCATCTTTAATTTTAAGGACAGCAGAAGGCTGGGGATAGAAATAAACTTGTACCAAGGGGGAGTGAATTTTACTTTCTTTGTTTTTTTTTGTCTTTTCGTTTTTCCCTGCCCCCTTCCCCCCCGATAACGTTACCTCGCCCTAATTAGACGCCTGCGCGCACTGCAAGCTATTTTAGGAGACCATAAAAGAGTCTATCAGTCTGACTGATACAGACTTCAAATCAGTAGGTTTGATTTATATCTCTTGTATTTCTTTCCTTACTCCCTATCCAACTGAAAGATTATCTTAAATATCAAGAATTTATGATGGAAATTTTGAGCAACTGCAGAATACCCTGTCACTTTTGTCCACCTCATTTAAATCTGTCGGGAGGATGTGAAGATCGATGCATAACACAATAAACGTTGTTCTTATTCAATGACATGTAAATGAGTGGCAGGGTACTCTGCAGCTTAGCCGGAAATTTCTTAGAGAGATCGAGGAGCATAATTTTAAATTACTGTATCCTTGATATTTTTTCAGGCATATTTTAATATCTTAGTCACTATCCTGAACGGTAGTTTCGCTACCAACGGTCCTTTGACAGGGGCACAAAAAATGTTTTCATTCACAAAAATGAATTTATCTTGTGTACGTTGAGCCTCCATGATGTTGACATATGCGCTGAGTGGTCTTCAGCGTTTTAACTAAAAGGTGGATATTACAGGTCTTTTTTAAAAAAATTCCCGCCATTTTAATAAATGTACATTGTTGCTATGGATTGACAAGTGAGTCTGGGGCACGCGCATACGTTTTTCAGCTCTGTTTTTGCCATATTACAAACTAGAGTGTGAAGGCTACAAAGTTCTGGACAGCGCTGACAGGAAGAATACCTACGCTTTGGGCGGCATTGCATGTGACGACAAAATAGAAGAAGCGTGGTACCGCCAAATGAAAAGATGTGTGGCATGCATGCATGCACCAGGGTGGCTGAATGGACGACATCCACAATTCTCACAACAATAAATTTTTTTTCTGGGTAATTCATATATATGAACACTAACCTCTGTTTGGCGCAAAATTATTCTCGGATACTTGCCCATGAACATTATTTTTTCCGAGAAGCGAATGACTTTCGAAGAGCGAAGCTTTAGGAAAGCTGTGGGCTTCGGAGATGATGCCGAAGGATACATATACGTGTACATCTCTAAGCCAAATGAATGCATTTACTGTCTCTTTCTCTTTTTTCTTTATTGCTGAGCTCCTCTTCGAACATTTCCGTACCAGTGAGAACACAAGCTTTATCACTTTATGACTGACAAGAAAAAAAACTGAGTGTTTTCAATCGGCTTTTATGCAAATTTTTTTTCTGATTATAACACAGCATAACATATATCTTAATTCTAACATAAGACTATATTTGTGATGAGTAGACATTTATTTATCTTTTCAATTCTAATGTTTTTTGGTTTAGGTATCCAGGCAAGTCTGTTTCAACTGGGTTAGCGACAATTGTTTCTTTAAGCCAACATTACGAAACTGCGACTTGTTCTTCGTTTACAAGCCGGTGAAATCGCCCAGTTGCAAACTCTGTTATTGTGGCAGTGACTGGAGGATGATGGGAAATTAAAACTGAAGCATGTCATGGGCTTATGGCTGAACCTTACGATCAGATTTACTAGAACTTTACAGGGGAAAGGGGAAATATACTGATATCAGCCTTAGTACTTGATATCAGCTGGTAGCAGAAGTTCTTTCTGTAATGTGGACTTGAATGATTAAAAAGGAAAATAAAAAATTCATTATTGGTCCATGGTAGATGTGCGGAAAAAGTGTGCAATAAAAGTGTTTGGGAATCACGACAATCCCGAGATAAGTTTAAGTACGGGATGTTGAGGTGTCTTTTCAGAATTAGGGCTTCAGGAGTTCGCAGTCATCTTTGCTCAACTGGGGTGATGATGCGAAAAAAAAAAGGTTGGAAAAAAGCTGAAAAAAATAAATATAGATGGTATGTGTGGGCTTTTATCTGGAGGTAGTATTTGATAAAGGTGCTCGGCGCGATTAAAAAACGGCTTAATAGAGTTAACTGAGCTACCGGGTATTGGGGTGTTCTTTTATTATCAGCAACTCAAAAGTTTATTGCCATTTCCTGTGATAAAGGTTTTATGTACGAGTAGCAAAAGGACATCTTCCTTCGATAGCCTCTTTTAGGTCCTCAGTCAGTGGAAGGGAGTGAAATTGCGAGCGAACGACGAACGGCGGTTGTGGTTATCAGGGCAACAGTCTAACCCCGCTACCTCGCGTATTCAGGATAATATTACCAAAGACGTGATTAACGTAATAGGAGAAATTCAGCTCCGAAGAGCACAAAAGATGCTACTAGGTTAGTTTGATGTAACTCTTTAAATTTCAAAAGTAAGGTATGAAGTTTTGGCTGCTATATAAATACTTGTGGAAACTGGCTGCTTATCTCCGAGTAATCAAACCATTGTAACAAAATATGAGCAAAGCTTTCTGTATTTATAGGATGGCTTCAACAACAAAACGAATTTACAGAAGAATTTATCTCGAGGATTAATCAACAATATTCATTTCGCTTTCGGCAAGTAATTGGTAATCATTGTTACTAAATACGGTGTGGTCGAGTTCAATGATCAAAGTTTAAGTCGCATTTTGTAAAAATAAGACGAAGAGTTTGAAATATCTCCTTTAGCAGCGCATTGGTATACGAGCACATCACTTCAAGGTCTCTGGTCTCTTCAAACGACCCGATGGAAGAGAAATATCTCTGTATATCTCACTTCTGCTAATCGTCTAGTTATGATGTGCAGTACTGGGTTAAACCGAAACATTTTGGTGCTATAATATCCGATAAAAAAAGAATCACATACCCTAGTCACACCAGTATAACATGTTTAATAAAACCAGGTTTAACTGAACGAAAATCAAAGACAATGTACTGAATAACTGAATTTTCCATAGATTTCAAGAAGTCATTAATTTTCATTTCCAATGTCTTTAATTGCAAGTCGAAAAACAACGGTTAAGCAGATTCCATGGATAGTACAATTTTCAAACGTGTTCAGCAAAACAGCTGTAATGCATCTTGAAAGTTTGGTGTCAATGAGGTAACACACAATTTGTCCACGCGTGAAATGGCCGAAAAGCAAATCAGTGACAGATAACACAGTATATACAGAACCAAAATGCACCTGTTATAACTTCCTGTAATCTTATTTAAAACAAATAAATGTCTAAATGAGAAGTAGAGCGTTCTACCTTAAGAGCCGAAATTGAAACGATTGTAATTGCATCATCATCGCTTAAATCTGGTAGTGAAAGAATCATCCCCTTTATCAAACTACCATCACTTATTACTTTTAAGAGATTTTTTTAAGACACTGCACTCAGTAGACAACTTCGCAAAACTGCTTTGATATTTATAAGAGAAGTGTGGAAGAAAAAACAGTTTGATTGAATGAGATCATGGCTTGACAAACTGAGCTAATCCAGTTGTCATCTTGATGCAGGTTTACATCATCTTTATCTCAGTGGCTGGTATTAAAAAGTTTTGTTCTGACTTTTGCTTCATAAAAGAACTCCTCTTCACTGGATTCAGCGAGTTTTTGAAAAGTGTTTCTCAATAAGCGTTTCAACATGATCAGAGGAGTAGTTCTGTTTGTAAGCATCATCTTCGCTCCAAGGTAAGTCTTAAAAGAAATAATATTTTAAAACACGAACAAAACCCGTGTGATCCTGATGCAATCTTGATTTCTTTTCACCGGAGGATGGATAGAAGCGTTGCCGGAAAGCATTTTGGGAAACAGAACATGGGACAGAAAACGCCAATTCATCACAATAAAGCGCGGCAAAGCGTAGTAAAAAAGCAAACAAGTAAGATCAAACTGGAAATGCTTTGTTACTACGTTACTAACCTTAAGAGAATAATACGAACATAATCAAAAACTGCCGGATTTTATAAATAGAGCGATACGGATTTTTAGTGTTTTAGCCGCCCTAATTCGAGAAAGCTCCGACAAACAGCTTGTATTGAGAATCGTGGAGGCTTTACCATTCATTCATCAACCTGACCGCGTGGCGTTAAAGGTGAGTGACGTATCAGCAGTTGATTGGCTATATCAGCACACGTGAAAGAATACGATATTTTTTCACCTGTGTTGTTACGGCTTTTCTTAGGGCCGGAAATCCTTGTATAACACCGCAGTTTATGTGATAATTAAGTACAGTATTTGTGTCTGAAGTTGGTAAAAATTGAGGTTAAAGATGAAGATTTGCCAACCAATAATTTGACCCGGAGAGAAGTCGATCATTCATTCTTTCTTTTTTATAGTTACATGCCAACTGAAATAGTATGCATTTTACTTACTTTTACTGGGTATGTTTCCGACGGAATTCTAGGTTATTAGAGATTGTCATCCGGTTCAAAAAACTTGGTCTTTTGATGACCAAAAGTACTAAATTTTGTGACACGAGAAAAGGAAATCTAAAGCTACTTTCGTAAAAGTTTGAATTATTTTGAAAAATACAACAGCGTTTTATGAAATACCGTGCATTAGATGAAGTGAACTGCAACCGAACTGAGTAGGTACACTTTGTCGTCATTCATTTCTGAGCTATTTCTCTGTTTCCTGAAAGTCTTCATTTATTCGCCAAGGGAAAAGCGGAATAATTTTGTACTATTTTTCCAGCTAAATTGGGCAGACACTTGCGGTTCGACTAAATGTCATCGATTGACCGTGGATAGTGTTGTACGTCGATTGTATTCCTAGCTTCGCTATTTCCTGCGATGATGGTCGGTGCGCGAACCTTTCCGATGAGTCGAGGGTAACCACTAGAGCTTATTACTGCCTATTGTTAATATGGTTGAGTCCACAGTAAATTCTGTATGCGGTTTTCGAGGCACGGATACATTTTCGGAGTGATAATATGATTAACACAGCAGTCAGACGTCTGCGTGTGTGAGAACATTGAAACGAGGCCACTCGATTTATTACTTTCAGGCCAAAGAACCTCAGCGCAAATTAGATGGTTATGGCGCTTTAAAAATTCAAAACAAAATGATGCATGAACAGGAAAAGTGTCAAATTCTCCATTTCCCAACGTAGGTCTTTCTTTGCGGATCCATATGAGTATTCCAAGTCATTTTCAGTACTTGCGTGTAACAACGGTTGTCTCTTATATTTTCCTACAAAATTTTGCGCGGGAACTTGTCGCAAAGCCGGCCAAAATTGATCTCTCTGAGCATGCCTGACGATGGTACGCTGTGTTGGAGTAACGCGATTGCATGTGTTGATGGTCAATCAATGACAAGATGACAGGGCTGAATAACGACGCGCAAAACCGATTTTGAGTCGTCTGCTTGCTTGATTTTCCATTCTGTTGCTAGTAGGCGTTTGCTTCCCCTGTTGCTATCCTTTTACAGAACAACCTCCAAAATTTTTGTGCACCCCCTAAAAATTCCAAAAATTCATTTTCTCCTTAAAAACACTGGAAATAGGAAAATTCCTTCAACTACAAGAAAATGCCTGGGTTTTAAATGCTAGCCCCTTTTTTCTCCGCAAATTTCGCTGAATCTTGAACCCTGTGCGCTTGAGCCCGCGTTATTGATCGCAAACTTGTGACGTAGCATTTCGCTATTCAGCTCTGCCTGACACTTAGCAACTATACGGTAAATCTTTTAAATTGGAAGGACCTTTGTCAACGACCTCCCTTCTCTTTGTTCTTCCAGCTCCAAACAATCTGACAGGATCAGATAACATACCTACTGGAACAACCAACGTGAAACAACCCGGAGGTTCCTTAGTTGCCGCTGTTGGAGTTGGAAAAACATACGACATATCTGCTATTCAGGCCATCGTTAAACACGTCGCAGGTTCCACAAACAGCAAGGTTTTCTTCCCTTGTGATGACTACCTGGTCAGCGATGATATTGCTACAAGTGGCTTGGTGGAATTCCATGGAACCCAGAGTGGTATTGCAGTCATCAAGGCGTACCTGGAAGTACCTGGACAAACTGGCCTAAATACGAGACAAAAGCAGTTGCAAAGGTCGCGCAGCATTCCAAAAGTTGGATGAGTTACGCGGGTAGCGCTTATCAGTATTCGCTTGCCACATGTGAGATGGCCTACATGTGTGCCCTAGCTTGTGCATTAGAAGGACGGGCCAAGAGAGAATCTAACAATGGAAGATCTGTGGCGTCGGCTTCGCACTTTTCAGCACCAGAGTTATTCAGTAATTTCATATGTTGCTGACTTAAAAACAAAATCATCTACATACAGGAATATATGTGATACTGCTCACTAGTGAGCAGGTTGCAACCTTTCGCCGCATTTTCTTGGAGTAACCTTAACTACTTTAAGAATCGATTGCATGCAAAACGGCCCTCGAGGCCACTAAACTAAGAAGATATGCGATATTCGTAGTAAGCAGTGTGACTATAATATCCTATGTCTGTTCAATTTCGTAAAGGACTTTATCTGAAGCTACAACCGACGCTAACCCCTAGAAATAATACTAGTGTTGCAATTTTGAAAATATCAAGTTTTTATTAATAATCTGTTATGAAATCCACAATAGAAGCAAAAATGAAAGGTTTTGCTAATAAAATACGCCGCTGGGGCTCCAGGACATCATCAAATTCGGAAATTGCTATTTTTGAGTTGAAAATATACATTCGTAACGAACCTGATTTTAGGCTAAACCAATACCGTAATTTGAATTGGTTTCCACCATAATAGGAAGTAAAATAATACTTCCAAAACATGCACAAAGAAGGAAACACCGCAAAAATTATTAAACGATATTACACACCAAGAGATTAAAAACTATAATCTCTTGTGCACTGATTATTATTTCACTGTCAGTACAAAATTTGTTATTTCATTCTACCCTATCACCGCGGTCTTGACATCATACACAACCAATAAGACGATGAAACGTTTCATGGCCAACGCCCGCTTACAGAACAAAACCGTTCTCCTTACTCGAGGCTGGCAATTTGTCTTTGGAGGATTCCTTCGATCAGCCGAGGACCAGAGGTTGTCATTTATGATCGTTTCCTCTTATCAACTGACTTTTTTAGTCCATAATCAATGTGTAACACTACAGATTTCGGTCAATTTTAACATCGCGTCTTTCATTTTGTGATAGGTTTGAGTATTGAATACTAACAGATTGACCAAGATCATTTCAGGTATGTATACGCACAGGCAGGTTGTATACGCACGCAGGCTGTTTTATCGGTCGTGTATACCGTTTATATCTTCATGCGCAGTAATTATGAAGTAAGTAATTAAAAACTCTGCCATATTTCGAAGGATTTCTATTTTTAGTTGGAATGTAAAGCACTTCACGATCAGTCTAAGTCAAGTTAGTTTGCCGTGTGATTTGGCTTTTTCAGTCCACAGTTACTCTGAAAGTAGAAAATTGAAAAAAAAAAAAAAGAGTTAAAACAGTGAATTCTTAATATTTCGCCTTTCTTTTACATTCCATAGTGTGTTTGATCATATGGAATAGAGCTATCAAACTGACGAGTATTTTCTTCCTGAATGACCATCAACTTTGACGCAACTGTTTACTCTCTATTTTTTATAAGGAATAGTTGTATAACTCAGAAGTACGCTCCTTTTAAAGAAGAAAAATTCATTCAATAGTGCTCGATGGCCGAGGTTTTTAGTTTGAAGTCTTTAGCTGATGTTCACCCGATGCGCACATATAATAATACCATACTGACAAAAATAATTGGTTCCATTATTTTCTCTTGCACCATGCATAATTCCATAATTTTGCACAGTAAAAGGCCAATGAATTGAAATCGGCGAGGATGCTCTATGAATTTCTACAAAAAACACGACCTTGATACTCTTCTTAAACATTTTTAAGTTCAAACATCAAAATAATCCTCCCTTGTTTTTGCTTATCATTAAAATGAAATACGACTAATTTAAAGAGTTACTATGGAATAGTTCCACTTCTCACAAGCATGATACTTCTAAACAATGAACCATGAAAAACAGGACTATTATTTAGTATCCCCACTGTGAAGTCTTCGCCCCATTCGGTGCCGACATGCCAAATTTCAAAATTGTACCGTGGAGGAAAATTCTAAAGAATGAAATTACCAAGGCTAATCCATTGTTCTGCTAATTGCTGCTGGGATAAACAAGCGGGGCAAACTACTATTGGCACTGCTTTGAATTGTGCCGCTTTTAAAACACCAACTTACGGACCGACCCTTAACCGATAAATAATATATTTTTTTTTTTTTGAAACTTAACGAAATTCTTTCTGAAAGAACCCGAATGATTAGGGCTGTAAATACGGCAAGATCTTCTATAAATTGAACAATTTTTTGAGCGAGTAAATGGTAGTTAAAATAGAGGTGATGCAAATTAAAGCGAGATGCTACACCGAAACATTTTCATTTGCGTAATGATAAGGGTGGCTTAAAAGGCTTCCAAACAAACTTTGAAACTTTATTTTTACGAGTACCTGTCACAATCTGACACCTGTCAATTAGAGAGCGCGGAAAAAAAAAAGAGCATGTACACTTGAAAAACAACGAAACTAGTTTGACACGGACTGTCACGACAATGTTTTCTTCAAAAACAGTCAATGATCTTACGGAAAGTATTATTCACTCTCATCGAGGATTAATTAATGTAAGAAGATTTACCCTCTGTTCATTAAGTAAATGGCGAGGGAAGTAATTGTAAGTAAATACAATTTTTTATTTTGAAGTTGTGAGAGTTTGCTCGCTTGTTTGCTGCAATGGCGTATGTAAATCTGGTCTTTCCTCCACAAAAACTAATTCGAATGGTACACTCCAACGAGACACAGGGGGATTTAATGCGGCCTTTTCTCATTGAATTCCTGCATTTTCTGTTGTGCAATTTACGGTACAAATGTCCAAATTGAACGGACATGGAAAGACTCCCCGAGAGCGTATATTTGTTGTAGAACTGAAATTAGATTCAACTGTAACCAAATAACTCACGTTTTAACTTTCTAGGTACTTTTTGTGAACGATTAAAATTAATTGCAGACGGTTTTTAGGCCGTTTGTCAACCAACGTAATGACACTATTGCTTATACAAATTCATTCTGAAAGCAAAATTTTTCCGTCAACCAAAGTGACTTGAGAGAGAGAAAAGAGAGGATTAATAAGTTATTTGTCGGCTTGAGGTAGTGACCGACGTCTATGCTTAAAAATACTGCCCAGCCGGAAAAAGGAGATATATTTGTGAAAAATGGTAACGAAAGTAAGGATGTACTCGACGACTCGCGAAAGCGTTACCGTTGCCCGTGGGCAGAGATAGGTAAATACGGACCATGTAAAGAGCCAATCAGATTGCAGGATTCGTTGCCCTCTGAAATAAAAAAAAAATTCTTATCTTTAAATGGCTTATTTACCCACATAATTATCCAATAGCCTCTTATAAAACTGTTTTAAGTCCACTTACATAAGTATCAAGTTCGGGAAAAAGTAAAAAAAAAAGAAAAAAAAAGTGAGGATCCTTTAAAAAAAAGAATTTAAAAAAAATAAAAGAAGGCTCAAAAACTGAAAGAGAGAGGATGAGAGTCATTCAAAAAAGTTAATTGCACGATCTGAGAATGACACAGGCGGCTGTTACTGGGATTAAAGCTCCCAGGGATTATAAGCTCCCACGGATTAAAAGTATTGTCCCATGCCTTACCCCTGGAAAGCAAGTGACAAAAAATAAAATTGGTAAATATCGTGTTTTCCAACCGTCACTATACTGTCAAAATACTCTAAGACACCCTACCGAGTAAGCTGCATTTTTACCTTCATTTTACCCAGCGGAAATGTCTACCCGACGAATATCTGCATTTCTGGTTTTCCTGTTGTTGGTTACTCTGATGAAAGAGGCAAAACCTGTACTTGGAGGGAAAGGAGGAGGAAAATTTTCGAAGCTATCGAACAGGGTGAAGGAACTGGAGGAGAGCATGGAGGAACTAGGAGAATGCAAAGAAGGTAAAATTTAACAATGAATACCTATTAATAAACTTGTGACCCTCTGTATTTGAAAAAAAAAACCCTCTGAAAGAAATTGCGACTAAGATGGTTTTCTTCAGGCTTTTCACGACAACACAGATTTAGAAATAAAATTAGGTAAAAAAAAACTGTTCTTCCTAATTAGGACAAAATTGACAATGAATTAGCTGTGTAATTTTACTTCTCGGCGGCTTATTGAAAATTGAAAATAAGTTTTCCATTTAGTTGCTCCTACATTTAAAGCGTAACTTCACTAAAGCGATTCATGGATCATTGTCGTAATTTATTTTCAGCTTGCTCGATGATCTCTGAACTAAAAGAGCGGCTTACTGCTGTAGAGGGAGAGATTGAAGAGCTGAAGAAAGAACCGCCGACAAACCCCCCAACAAACCCCCCTCCACTGGCTCCAGGTACATTTCTAGTAGATTCCGAACTACGTTTCAAAAATTCCATGATGACTCGAACCCTCGCTAACTCGAATGCTTCATTAACTTGAACCAAAATTAAACTCTAGGACTTTTGTCATTCATTTGATGACTTTTTTTACCCCCTGTAACTCGTGCATCCTTGTTAACTAAAGTTGAGCTTCCAACTAACTCCAAATAATTTTCGTTCCCCTTCGGAACATTTTTTTTAAGTCAATACCTCAAACCATGTTGTCTTTTTATATTTTTATATCTATATTTTTGGCTATCTTAAATTACCCAGAACAACTATTGGCCCAAGGCAGGTTCCGCTGGTCTTCTCCCTCCCCATTTTTATCAATTTGAGCCTTCGCAGGTCATCACAGATCCTCATAGAGGCATCTCCATCCTCAACCAACAAAATTCTTGTCAATACTCGACGGTTACCACGAATTCCAGATTGTTTTTCTCCACCTAGACATGATTGATAAGTGTCTAAATATCCAATCAAATTGCTGAAAAACGTCTCCGCTCGTCACGAATTTTTGCGGACTCAAATATAAAACCATAGTGACATTATGATAACATTGGAAAAAATTGTTAAGCGACGCTGTTTTTTGCCCAAGTTTAAATAATTCAGGTAGCAAGATTATGCTTTTAATTTCTCTACCAACGGTCCTTTGACAGGGGCACAAAAAATGTTTTCATTCACAAAAATGTATTTATCTTTTGCACGTTGAGCCTCCATGATGTTGATATGCGTGCTGAGTGGTCTTCAGCCTTTTAACTAAAAAGTGGATATTACAGGTTTTTTTTTAAAAAAAATTCCCGCTATTTTAATAAATGTACACTGTTGCTATGGATCGACAAGTGAGTCTGGAACACGCGCAGACCTTTTTCAGCTTTGTTTTTGCCATATTGCAAAATAGAGTGTGAAGGCTACAAAGTTCTGGACAGCGCTGACAGGAAGAATACCTACGGTATGGGCAATGCAGCATGTGACAACAACATGGAAGAAGCGTGGTACCGCTTCACCGGAGCCGCAGGCTCAAAGATGCCAGAGTCATCACCGAATAAAAACATGTGTGGCACGCATGCACCGGGGTGGCTGAATGGACAACATCCATCCGTTGCTGAGGGAAAGGTGAACTGATCACATTTCTTACAACAAAAATTTTTTTTCTGGGTAATTCATATAAATGAACATTAGCCTCTGTTTGGCGCGAAATTATTCTCGGATATTTTGCCATGGACATTATTTGTTCCGAGAAGCGAATGATTTTCGAAGAGCGAAGCTTTAAGAAAGCTTTGGACATCGGATAACAGATGATGCCGAAGGACATATAAGTCCATTCATTTATAAGCCAAATGAATGCATTTATTCTCTCTTTCTCTTTTTTCTTTATTGCTGTGCGCCGAACAAAACGATCACATTGAAAACAGATGGTGACTTTCCACCGCGACTTCAATAACAATCAAATTATTCCTTTCACAAACAAATTTATCCTTAAACACTCTCCAACTAAAATCAACTCTTAAAGGAAGACTTTCATCGCATTGTAAGCAATGCTTCAAAATTAGAGAATATCACCGGGGGAAGGGCATATTCGACCACGCGCCACATTTGAACCAATCGCGTGTCAGCGAAAACGTTTGTCAGTACAGATATTTACCGAAGAAAGTTCGCAACACACAACTTCCTCAAAGGCAAAAATAAAATTTTACATAAGGGCTGCTAAACAGAGCTCCTCTTCGTACATTTCTGTACCAGTGAGAACACAGGCTTTATGACGTTATGGGAGAAAAAAAACTTGAGTGTTTTCAATCGGCTTCTATGTAAAAATTTTTTTTTACTTATTATGACACAGCATAACACATATCCTAATTCTAACATAAGACTATATTTGTGATGAGTATACATTTATTTATCTTTTCAATTCTAATGTTTTTTGGTTTAGGTATCCAGACAAGTTTGTTTCAACTGGAATAGCAACAGTTGTAACTGGCAAGCCAACATTGAAGTACTTAACTGCGACTCGTTCTTTATCTACAAACTGGTGAAACCACCCGCTTGCCAACTCCGTTATTGTGGCAGTGACTAAAGGATGATGGACAGTTAAAACTGAAGCACGTCACACGTTAACCGCTGAACCTTACAATCAGATTTACTAAAACTTTACAAGGGAAAGGGGACGTATACTGATATCAGCCTTAGTACTTGATATCAGCTGGTAGCATAAGTTCTTTCTGTAATGGGGACTTGAATGATTGAAAAGAGAAATAAAGTATTCATTATTGGCGCGGGAAAAGTTTGCAATAAAAGTGTTCGGGAATCACGACAATCCTCTAATTAAATTTCAAAACGAAATAAGGAGGTGTCTTTTCAGCATTAGGGCTTCAGGTGTTCGCAGTCATCTTTGCTCAACCGGGGTGATAATGCAAAAATAAAGTAAAAAAAAAAGTGAATATAGATGGTATGTTTGGGCTTTTATCTGGAGATAGTAATTAATAAAGGTACTCGGCAATTGAAAAACGGCTTAACAGAGTTAACTACCGGGTCATGGAGTGTTCTTTCATCATCAGCGACTCAGAAGTTTATTGCCATTTCCTGTAATAAAGGTTTTATGTACGAGTAGCAAAAGGACATCTTCCTTTGATAGCCTTTTTTAGGCCCTCAGTCAGTGGAAGGGAGTGAAATTACGAGCAAACGACGAACGGTGTAACGCAATAGAAGAAAATTCAGCTCGAAGGAGAACAAAAGATGCCACTAAGTTTGGCGTTTTGCAAAAGTAAGGCATGAAGTTTTGGCTGCTATATAAATACTTGTGGAACTGGCTGCTTATCTCCGAGTAATCAAACCATTGTAAAAAAATATGAGCAAAGCTTTCTGTATTTATAGGATGGTTTCAACAACAAAACGAATTTACAAAAGAATTTATCTCGAGGATTATTCAACAACATTCATTTCGCTTTCGACAAATAATTGTTCATCATTGTCACTAAAAACGATGTGGTCGAGTTCAATTATCAAAGTTTAAGTCGCATTTTGTGAAAATAAGACAGTTCGAAATATTTCTATTAGCAATGCACTGATATATGGGCACATCACTTCAAGGTCTCTGGACTCTTCAAACGACCCGATGGAAGATAAATATCTCACATATCTCACATCTGCTAATCGTCTAGCTATGATGTACGGAACTGAATTAAACCCGAAACATTTTGGTGTTATAATATTCGATGAAAAAAGAATCACATACCCTATTCATATCAGCAAAACATGTTTAGTGAAACTGAATTTAACTGAACAAAAATCAGAGATAGAGGACTTAATGACTGAATTTTTCATAGGTTTCATTTGCAATGTGTTCAATTTGAAGTCGAAAAAGAAGGGATAAGCAGATTCTATGGAGTAAAAAATTTTTAACTGTGTTTAGCAAAACAGCTTTAACACATCTTTAAACTTTGGAGTAAATGAGGTGACACACAATTTGTCCACGCGTGAAATGGTCGAAAAGCAAATCAGTGACATATAACACAATAACACTACAGAACCTAAATGCACCTGTTATAACCTCCTATAATCTTATTTAAAACAAGTACTGAAATGTCTAAATGAGTAGTAGAGCGTTCTATCACAGGTAAAATCTCATAAGAGCCGAAATTGTGACAACTGTAATTGCATCATCGTCACTTAAATCTGCCACTGAAGAATTATCCCTTTTATCAAACTACGATTCACTGAAGTATTACTTTTAAGAGATTTTTTTAAGATACTGTGACAACTTCTCGAAACTGCTTTGACATTCAAAAGAGAAGTATGGAAAAAAAAAGAGAAAAAAGAAGACAGTTTGATTAAATTAGATCATGGCCAACTCATGATTGACTTAACGGACTGAGCTAATCCAGTTGTCATCTTAATTCAGGTTTGCATCATCTTTATCTCAGTGGCTGGCATTATAACGTTTTGAATACTGGAGTCGGTGATTTTCAGTTTGAAAAGTGTTTCTTAATAAGCGTTTCATTATGATCAGAGGGTTAGTTCTGTTTGTAAGCATCATCTTCGCTCTTAGGTAAGTGTTAAAAGAAATAATATTTTAAAACATGAACAAAAACTCGTACGATCCTGATGCAATCTTGATTTCTTTTCACCGGAGGATGGTTAGAAGCGTTGCTGGAAAGCATTCTGGGAAACACAATCTGGGACAGAAAACGCCCATTCATCACAATAAAGCGCGGCAGAGCGTAATAAAAAAGCAAACAAGTAAGGTCAAACAAGGAATGTTTTGTTACTACGTTACTAACCTGAAAAGGATGATACGAACATCATTAAAAACTGCCGGAGTTTATAAAGTACGGTATTTGTGTCTAGTTGGTAAAAAATTGAGGTTAAAGATGAAGATTCGCCAACGAATAATATGGCCTGGAGAGAAGTCGATCATTCATTCTTTTTTTATGGTTACATACCAATTGAAATAGCGTGAATTTTACTCATTTTTACTGAGTTTGTTTTCGAGTTCAAGAAACTTGGTCGTTTGATGACCAAAGGTGCTAAAATTTCAGCACTTTTAGGAATAGGAAACCTAACGCTACTTTCGTAAAACTTTGAATAATTTTGAAAAATACAACAGTGTTTCATGAAATATTGTGCACTAGATGTAGTGAACTCCAACCGAAGTGAGTAGTTACTCTTTATCGTTATCCATTTCTGAGCTAATTCTTTGTTTTCTGAATGCCTTCATGTATTTGCTAAGGAAAAAGGGGAATAATTTTTTTACTGTATTTCCAGCTAAATTAGGCAGACAATTGCGGTCCGACGAAATGTCATGGACGAACCGTCAATAGTGTTATACGTCGATTGTAATCCTAGCTTCGCTATTTGCTGCGATAATGGTCGGTACGCGAACCTTTCCGAATAGTCGGGAGGGCAAAGGGTCACCCGTAACTACTTGAGCTTATTACTGCCAATTGCTAATAAGGTTGAGTCCAAGGTAAGTTCTCTCTGCGGTTTTCGAGGAACGGATACATTTTCGGAGGTGTAATGTGATCAACACAGCGGACAGACGTTTGGGTGTGTGAGAGCATTGAAACTAGACCACACGATATATTAGATTCAGGCCAAAGAACCTCATTGCAAATTGTATGGTCACGGTGTTTTAAAAATTCCAAAACAAAATGAAGAATGAACAGGAAAAGTCTCAAACTTTTCATTTCCCACCTTTTGTTTTCCGGATCCATATGAGTATTCCAACTCATTTTCAGTAATTGCGTGTAACAGTGGTTGTCTCTTACATTTTCCTGCAAAATTTCTCTCTGAGCATGCCTGACGATGGACCGCTGTGTTGGAGTAACGCGATTGCTTTTATTGCCGTCAGTCAACGACAAGATGACAGAGCTGAATAACTTCTGCGCATGCGATATTTTGAGTCGTTTCCATGCTTGATTTTCCATTCTGTTTCTTCAAGGCGCTGCTTCCCTTGTTGCTTTCCTTTAAAAAAAAAAACTCTAGAATCTTTGTACGCCCCCTTTAAATTTCCAAAACTCATTTTCTTCTCTGAAACACTGGAAATAGGAAAATACCTGGGTTTTAAATGTCAGCCCCTTTTTTCCCCGCAAATTTCTCTGAATAATGAACCTCGTGCGCTTGAGTCCGTGTCATTGATCGCATACCTGTGACGTAGCATTTCATGATTCAGCTCTGCCTCGACACTTGGCAACTATACGGTGATTTTTTTTAGATAAAAAGGACCTTTGTTAACGACCTCCCTTCTCCTTGTCCTTCCAGCTCCCAACTATCTGACAGGATCAGATAACGTACCTGCTGGAATGACCAACGTGAAGCAACCCGGAGGTTCCTTAACTGCTGCTGTTGGAGATGGAAAAACTGACGACACATCGGCCATTCAGGCCATCGTTAAACACGTTGCAGGTTCCACAAACAACAAGGTTTTTTTCCCTCGTGGTGAGTACCTGGTCAGCAGTGATATTACTATAAGTGGCTCAGTGGAATTGCATGGAACCCAGAGTGGTATTGCAGTTATCAAGGCGTCGATTCCGTATGCCATAGAAATACAGAATGCTTCACCAGTAAAGCATGTTTCACTGAAGTATCTGTATCTCGACGGGATTCTTGTAGTATTTGATGGTCAAACTAAAGGGCCATCATCTACAGGTGACATTACATTAGAGAGCTGTGTATTCTTTTCATCGGCAAGTCCAACTGCAAACAACGGACGGAAACGACAACTGGTGATGATGGAGCTTGGAAACAGCCGTGTTTACAAAAACGTCTTTTTACGTGATTCAGGTGCATATGGAGTTGCTTCCAGATTTAGAAGTACTTTGAGCGTTTGGGTAATTGACAACGTATGTGGACTTGAGCTAAGTAAATTAGAGTGGTTGTCTTCCAAAGTTGAGCCAGTATCCCATTGGCGAGATCAAAAACAGAAATTAGAGTTCTTGAAGACTCGTTACAATCTTAAATCTGACCAAGGCTACTTTAAAAGTTGTCTTTATGACCAGTGCGACAAAAAAATGAAAATAGCGGAAAATATATTCAACGGAAGTCCCAATATCAGAAGACACAGAGACCACGCCATGTACCTGAAAGGGTTTGATAACATGGAAGTGAAAAGCAATTATGTCAGAGGTTGGCCTGCGAATCCATCAGGTGGTATCAAAGTTCGAAATGGAAAAAATCTTTGGCTTGCTCGTAATTACGTCGACGACACAGGCATTCTGTTGTATTCACACAGAAAACGCAAGGCCTGTCTTCATGATGGTCTCAAGAACGTGATCATCTACGGAAATCACCTGGTACAGCGAACAAGACCAGACAGACGAGAAAGCAGTTTAAGCTATTATGAGCCCCACTCGGTTGGAAAGGATGAGAATATCAAGTACTCTGCTAACGTATTTGAGATCGTTGGGTTCAGTAACCCGACTAAGTACAGATGCATTTGGCTGACCAATGGTAATCCGTCTCAACATCATGTGTACAAAGACAACGTGTATCATGGGACTTCGACGACTGTGAAGCTGCAAGCGAGGGGAGGTACTCCATCATACGAAACAAGGGACATCGACCAGAAAATCAAAGATCTGTACAACTATCCAGCATACAAACTAGACATTCCACCTTATTAAACTATGTACTTGCACACATTATCAGAAAAGTTGTAAAAGTTAACCGTTCACGCTCTAACATCAGTATACAAGTTCTTTGCAGCACTAGAGACGTCTTGTACTGCCTGACATAAATTACCAAGTCGTTGTGCTATAATTTCGTCTCATTTAAAATTTGGTGGCGTGCTTTTCATCGATATTTTATTTAAGGTATTTTTCGCCAATAAATTTCTTTGCAGTAAAGGCACTTTACAGGGGTTGATATGGTACCTGATAAGGAACCAACCATCATCTTATTTAACGATACTTCCAATAAGGATTCACACATGTCACTGATATCTCTAGTGTAGCCAATACACATATAACTAATTCAAACTTATTTTATTTCAGGAGTAGCAAGCAGAGTAGGCGTAATTTTCAGGCGAGCGAGTGCTCAGTGTTTTCTTCGCAAAAATTACAGCCGCCATCTTTTATTTTAAGGACAGCGGAAGGCTGGGGATAGAAATAAATTTGTACCAAAGGGGAATGAATAAAACTTTCTTTGTTTTTTGTTTTTTTGTCTTTTCGCCTTTCCCCGCCCCCTTCCCCTTGATAACTTTACCTCGCTCTAATTTAACGCCTGCGCGCACTGCAAGCTATTTCAGGAGACCATAAAAGAGTCTATCAGTCTGAAGGATACAGACTTCAGATCAGTAGGTTTGATTTATATCTCTTGTATTGCTTTCCTTACCTTCCATCCAACTGAAAGATTATTTGAAATATCAAGAATTTCTTCTGCCAGAGTTTAAGATGGAAATTTTGAGCAACTGCAGAATACCCTGCCACTTTGGTCCACCACATTTACCTGTGTCGGGATAGATCGAGGCATAACACAACAGACTCTATTCTTATTCACTGACATGTAAATGAGTGGCAGGGTATTCTGCAGCTTAGCCGGAAATTTATTAGAGTGATCGAGATGCATAATTTTACATAACAGTATCTTTGATATTTTTTTTCTGGCATATTTCAACATTTTAGTCACTATCCTGAACAGAGTCTTCACTCGATCTTTAAAATATATTTCTTGCACCATTTTTGTGTTACTGTTTTTCTTTAGCCATTGAATTTCATTAGAAAGCGAAAACTTATGCAAAACAGATAAAACCGTGCAATTTAAAAGTCAAATGATACTCAAGAGAGATGACGTAATGATTATTTTGACTTATGATTGTCACGTTGTTTTACTTTGGAAAATTATTCAAAATTCATGTTAAACGCCCCTCAGAAACACTTGAGCAGAAAAATATAAGGCGGAGCTTCAGATCGCATCTGAAAGAACGAGGACGGAAAATTATTAATTTCACGCGTATTGAAGGTATGTTAAAAATAGTTTATCTATGAGGAAGATTGTAGCAATTTTGAAGGCAAAACTTCTATATCCGGATATACCTGTCGCCAATATTCAACAGATAATTTCTACTAGTTGATGTGCATAACGCTGTACATCCGGTATACATGTACTAACTTTGGAGTGACAAACGAATCCCACTTCCTCAACTTACAAAGATTAAACAAACCGGCATAAGAGCTAATCCTCAATAAATCGGAACATTCGCTGATCGTTTAAGTTTCGAGCTAGTTTTTGTTTTAATTCCTGGTCAAGAATAACATCGAGTCTCACGCAAGAGAACTGCGTGCTTTCCGTTCTTCGAGTTTAACCCGGTTGTAACACTTGCGGTTCTTGCGAAACGGAAAATATCGTACATCGAAAAACTCTCGAGCCGAAAATATCAGAGAGCAAAAGGAGAAACATAGACTAGCTTTGAATCAAAACCGAAATATCCTTAAATCAAACTAACGTCACTTACGGTTGAAAGTAATGCATCGACAAATAATTAAGCACTAAAATTAAATTGCTTGAAAGTGCCTTGTTATCGAGCAAGTTTAGCTGTTTTGTATTGAGCTGAGTCCAGCGGTAGGGGATGAGTGCGTTTAAAAATGTTATTCGCGTCATTTTCATTTTTCCCTCTCAAGAGGAAACATTACATTCTCTCCGTTTCATTTTCTATTTGTGATGCCAGGAATTTCATAATGACAGAAATCAGCTTGAATTGTTTACCTGTTGGAATGACATCAGTGGGGAAGAATGTCTATCCAGTCGTCAACACGTTGGATGAGTCCGATGATAAAGGAAATGACGTCACAACTGAGAATTTTGAAGGTGAATATTAATAAGACGTGACTTTCTGCATCGGAAGTGATCGCATTATTTTTACGTTTTGAACAAGAGTCTAGGAAGGCTTGTACATATATTACGAGATAGTGTGGACCTCCGCCGACCAAAAAAACTCACGCGTGTCCTCGCGTGCCTCCTCTCTCACGGTCGTGCACCCGCTCTTGGCAAAAGTCTTCGATTTTCCGTTTAAACCATTTCCCTTTTTTCACAAATTCTAAAGCATGTAAAGTTCTGGGTTTGGTAAAAATAAGATTGTCTTCGTATTCATTGCCAATTTTTTATTTATTTATTTTTTTACATCTCCTTGAACCCTATAAACATGACATGAAGAAAGTGTCAAACCTCTTAACCAGACAAGTGATTTGCAATACTGCTTCATAGCTGCAATACAATGAACTAGCCTCTCGAAACCAAGCATGTATCGCAATTAAAAGCTGAACTCTGACAAATGCTGCATAATCGGATAAACCAGCGGCCCCTCAAAAAACATCAAACACAATTTGGCACGCTAATATAAAGCTGAGCTGCAAAGTGCACCTTTTGCTGAAAATAAGTAAGAAGTAGGTATTTTACCTTCGATATGGCGCTGATGTGAAATTATACTTTTTCACAGTTTATCAAAAACCGTCTTTTGATCAATTTTATCTCATATTTTTTTATCAGGAGTTGATCCATGTGTACTGACGGGCTACCGTGAAATGGATGGAAGCACAAATGAGCAAGGAGAGGTGGAAGACTTGGAGGCCTCTGCTCAGGATTTCAACCTTGCACATGAGGAATTGGGATTTCAGGACGAATTGGGCTTTCTGTATCTTCCAATCAATCTACGCGCAATTTTTGATGGGTGAGAAAGACTTCGTGTTTATCGTCCAAATTCACTAGTTACTTTGTGTTAGTGGTAATGATTTGTAACTTCGAACCTTTCTGCCATTTGGAATGTCACGTGATCGATGTAAATTCCAAGGAGATGTGTAGTAGGAAATGTAGTCATAGAAAGCTCTAGTTTACTCAAGAATCAACGCAAAGACATTCTTCTCTGAGGCCTTGTTTGTAAAGCTTGGACAATTTTTACGACCGTGATCTATGCCAGCTATGAATTCAATCGAAGCGGTCGCCGTTAAAGCGGCTTATAATGGGTGAGTAGCTCTCTCTTATGCGGCTTATTTTCATATTTAGCGGACGCTAAATTCATACATTTCACTTCAATATTTGTCGAACTTAATTTATTATTTCTACTACGATTAGGACAATAATGGTTTTGTCCATGGAAAATCGAATAACTCTGGAGAAATTCTGCGATGAAATGCGAGATATATTCAGGTTTGGCGAAGAAGACGAATTCACTATGAAATGGCTAGACGAAGAAGGTTAGTGGATGTGTGTTCCTTCGAAACGGTGCGATCTAAATAGGATTCTGTATTGATACGCTACCGATCACATCACTTTAAATTTGCCCTAAAAGGCTTGTAGTGATGTTGTAACAACATTTATATTGAATCGTGCTGAGTTCTAAGAAGCTCAATAATTTGGTAAAATTCGCTCGTAGGTTTCGTCTGTAGTGGTTTCTAAATAAACATTTTTATCGATCCCACGATGTCGAAGCTGACCATATTGCCTAGAGTAATATATTTACAACTTAATCATTTTTTTAGGGCTTAATGCGAATGACTGAAAAAACGAAATCTCTCGTTGGAATTTCAGGTTTTAATTTTCTCGAAATAAAAAAAAAAACATTCTTATGTCTAGTAACATCAGCTTTGTAAATTTCAAATTGATTGATGACGCGCTTGTAAGTGAGTTATCTTCCAAAAAAGTCTCCCTCGACCACAGAGGTTTTAGCGGAATTAAATTTAATTTGCGCTTTGAGAAACCCTTTGTCATTAGGAATCACTTAAATCTTGCCCTTCAGCTTTGGTCTTGGTAGTCAAAATTCCCAGACACGTACATGTGTTGCGAAGGGAAAAAGTTGGGAGATTAGATAGGAAAAATTTGCATATCGAGATCATCATTGTTTGGTCGGCTTGGTGAATTTGTCTGTTCAGTAACTTAACATGTTGACTTATTGCTGATATCTCCTCAACGTGAATGTAATTGGTAACTAGTCAGTGTTCCCTCTCTATTGATCAACCTCTTGGTAAATAGTACAATTGATAAAGTGCTGTTCAGTGAAGTGTTTGAGTCTTAGAGTGTGATTGTTAAATAAATACCAAAGAAATCACCTTTGTCACATATGAATCCATAACATGGTCTACAGTAGCTCCTAACCAGTGAGGTCTCTGTTAGTGGCAGAGGATTAGACTGTAAAATGATTGCATTTGAAGTGCAAATCCTAGTGAAAAATACAGGTGTTTCTTGTCCTGCTCTTACGACAATTTAATTAATATATTCTATCAAATTATGTTAAAGATTATTTATAACCATGTGTGTCTTTTCTCATTAGGCGACCCATGTACTATTTCAACTCAAGTAGAACTTGATGAGGCAATAAGATTATATGAACTTAACAGGGATTCTGAGCTTGTTGTTCATTGTAAGTACTCACAGACTATAGATTATGTGTGATAGTCTTTTCTGTGTAATTAACAGGGCATTATTGTGTTGAAGAAATATAAGTTATATACACAGCTCTTAAGTCTCACATATTAAGCATGAGACTTAAGCAAACAAATTCAATCTATGATATCATGCTGGAACTCTTATTTATCACTTATTTAAGGTTTTTGATTTGAACTGTTGATTTTGAGGTACATTTATAGCAAAGTGCTGCTTTAGTTAAGTTCCCACTGATTAAGTCTTATTCTAAATACAATTTACTCCTTGATATCTTAGTGCTCATTTTGAACACTCTCCAACATTGGGAGTTCTTGCATGTTATCATTTTTTCACAATTTTCCATGAGAGCATGTCAGCATGTGCTATACCTCCTTGAGGATGTCCATGGCTTCACAATCCAAGGCTTTGGGGGCAAAAATATATTTCTCATTTTTTTGCCAGTAAACTTCTACTTAATGGGAATAATTTTATTCCTCTTTACTCTTCAGTGTTTAAAGGTATTCCAGACGAACCAGGTCGACTATGTGATGGTGAAACAAGTGAGTGATAAAAACCTCTTTCTAACAAAGTTTTGGTCTGTACTGTAAGTGCTGTAATGGACAAGTTTTTTTTTGCATTTGATCTATGGCTTAACTCTTTAACTCCAAAGATCTGGTTGATTAGTCTCTCCCTACTGGCTAGTATACATTCCTTGTTAATTAGTTACCAGAATTTGGTATTGGATCAAGATAACAACTTCTACCTGAAAAGTTTGAGTATTTTCATTACCTGTTTGCTAGGTAATATATGGATATTTTATGAAAAAGTTACATTTCGATCACACCTGGGAGTTAAAGGGTTAAGATTATGAAGCATGCAAGCTATGAATCAAGATGTACATTGTAAGGAGTACTTATAAAGGTGTAAATAATGATACAGAAAGAGAAGACAAGGTTACCTGGTAGTAAAATATGTTTTATAGCTCTTCCATGAGTCTGACAGGTTTGGAAAATGATTTTTAGTCACTCAAAATGGTGTCAAATGACTGACACTAAAAGCAAAACCTGTCAATTTTTTAATCTCTGTTCATTTGTTAACTTGTTATAACAGATAATTGAAAAACAAAGATTGAATTTTTGTGCCTCTGAAAATTTGGAATATGTCTAACAGCTTTAAACTTATGTCAGTCATTCCTGAATTGACCAATCATAGCTCAGGTTACTGGAATATCAGTAACAAGGACTGACAGCATTCTTTTTCAAGATTACCATTTTTACCGTTGATCAAAGCAGACATACACCTGACAAGGTTCAAACCATTCCCTGCCAATACCAGCTGTAATGTAAATACAAATGAATAGCAAAGATAATTATGAGCAAAACTTTAAGCAAAGTTGTAGTATCCATGTATTCCCTCTGGGTCAATAATGCCATATCCTTAGTCCTCAGTACCTAGGGTGGTGTGTGAAGTTTGATTCCTGAACTGGTCATTAAGATGTGCTTTTGGGAAAAACATTTCTCTCAAATGTTTTTAAAAGGAATACATGTGAGCAATATTCTCTGTATTATTCTTCTGAACTTGAAATACATACATGTGTATGTACATGTAAGCTCCAAAATTATGGGCTGTTCGGCTTGCAATCAGACATTTGATTACCATGACAGTGCATTCCTTTCATTTTATATTTTACCTTATAACTTCTTCCAAATTGTTTCTGTTAAGTAATTATTTAAACCAGTGAGTGTACTTTCTCTATTTTACTTTTCTTGTGGATTCCCAGAAATCGCTTTATACAAATCTTTTATAATCTCTCTGTAAGCTACTGTCATGTTAATGTTCAATAAGTGGATAACAAACTGTAAGAACCAATGCACTTACATATACACATTAAAGCCTTGTATTTTGCTTGGCAGTGATGTTTAAAGTATGTCACATTCAAAAAAGTATTTGTGCTACTAACATTATTTGATAACTCTATGATAATTTGCAATTCTAATTAGAATTTTTCCTTGCCACTTCAAAAATATTAACTTTGGATGTACTGAAATTTTAGGTTAAAAATAGTGTTATTATAAAATTGAAAGTAGTCTGTGACAGGGTAATTTGATTCAAATTGTTCAAGAGAAGATATTTCAATCAGAATATTACCAAAATTGTTGCGTATTTCTGTTAAGAAAACAAGTCTTGTGCTAGCTTTTAAAGGTTTTAGTGTTGTTACTGTCTTTCGATAATAACAAGGCTATCACTGTGTAATCACTAAATCTCACAAAAGTACAAAAAATTATTGCAAATCTTTAAGGACAATTTAATTCTTTGCAGTCATTTTTTTCCTGGCTTAATTTTCACTTGTACTGTTATTAGTGTTTTGACAAGAAAGCCAGACTAGATATTGAATTTTGTAACCTTTTGTTACTTAAAACAAAAGATAATTATAATTTACTATCAGTAAATCATGTTCCTTTTTGTGATTGGTCAGTGGCTGATTGTGGTACACATATCAGCAGGTTCCACCTTGTGTTTGGTACATAACTTATACATTTTAATATTTAATTATGAATAGCAATTGCCAAGAAGAGACATTTTACTGGTCCTTTGGCAAAAAAATTCTATCAACAACCAGTAATGATTGTTTGCTTTCAAATTAACGTGGTTTTGATAATTTAATTTCTAGGCATAACCTGTCAACTTCTACCATTAACAATCAGAAGTTTAGTTCCATGCCATAAATATACCACTCAGTGCAAGGCATTTTGAGAAATTGTTGGTTTTTGATTTTGAGTTTTTCGTGGATTTGCTACTATTGGATGGTATTCTTAAAATTGTGGTTCGAACAAGATTTTTCTTGAGAAATGCTAAGTGTTTGGTACCTGTGGAGAAGCATATTAACTGTAAATGGTCAATCATCTCAAGGATTCGACACCGACACTTTTGAATAAGTTGCAGCAATCAGCTTATTTATTACAGGTTTTAAACCAGTTGTTGCTTTGTTTGATTTTGAATGTGGACAAAAGGATTGGAAGGATTGCATTTTATAACTTAAAAGAACTGATAAATGGAATCAGATGTTTTATCAATATCTGGCTTGTTTGGAGCATGTGTAGAAGAAGAATATGAAGCCCAAAAAGCAAATCAGAAATTTGGCTTCATCCGACAAGCTTCTGCTCGCTTCTTCCGTTCCATTAAACGTGCGCACAGGAACATTTCTGGAAGTCTAAGTTCTGTGTTGACAAGGCAAAATAATGAAACAGAGGAATCACATGGATCAGAACAACAAACTTCCAGCAGTGGTAGAAAAGCCAGACGTCCTCATTCTGTTGCATTTGGCGAAGAATTCAAAGGATTAACTGTCTCATCTAGGATAGGTAAACACTTTCCTGATTGAAACCATTTTGCTAAATTCATTTGTGAATGCGCATCTGTTCACTGCACACAACAAATTTAGTGTGGCATCACATCAGCTGCCACAGGTTTTTTCAGCAACATCTCTTGGAAATATTCCTACTACATGAAGTATGTTTTGCTACTTGAAGTTATTAGAACATAATATCAGTTAATTTTCTTCCCTACAGGAAAAGGATTAAAAAATGATTATAAATTGAAAATGAAAAATGAAAAACATGATCATTTTGCATTATAAAGCATGCTTTCTTCAGATTCAGTCCTAAGAACTTACTTTGTTCTACAGGTTCATATAAATTCTTGCATGTACTGATGTAGCATTTTAGCCCTGTAGCAAGGGGATTTTGTTATTGTCATGCTGATAATATTGCATAATATATAAATATTTAATTGACAATATGTTGTTTTTCAGTCAATCAGATGCGACTATCTTTTTGGAAGAAAATTATTTTCTTAGTTTGAGTGGGCTGGAATAACTTAATTAATATAGAGATGGAATGAAAATGAAGCATGTTATTTCTTTTTATGTTATGTAAATTCTGCTGCAAATTGATCCTAACTTTTTCTTTAAAAAAGAAATAAGTGAAAATTCAGTGTTCAAATCATGAATTATGGGAAACTACCTATGCTAGAGAGCCATGAAATTTAATTGTAAATAAGATAGGAAATGCCATCGTTGCATGATCATTGTAGCATTATTGTGGAACTAACTTCTTGACTGCAGATGATAGAAAAATTATCCTTCATTTTATAGTGATCAAGCAATAAATTTAAAAAATCAATTTCCATGGTGACTTAATAATAAGAAATGTATTTGAAAGTGATCTTTGTAGTAATTATTTTCATATATTTACACTCATTAATAAGAGTTGACATGATTAGTAACAGCAAGGCTGAGAGAAAATGGTTTGAATCTGAGGTGAACAGCTTATTTGATTGAGTATCTTGTTGTAAGCCACAGGTCAACAAGACAAAGCTTTTGAGAAGCAAGGGGGTGTCATTATTAGAGTCAAAAGTGAAGAGCTGTTGTTGTATAATTAATTTAAAATGTAGAGTTTAAAGTTTGTTTATAAAGATAGATTGGTCAGTTAATTGTTTTTGTTATTAACTGTAAGATTCAACGGTTAGCTGATTAAAATATTTTTGTGTTTTTATTGCTCAGGGAATATCTACAGACGAGGAGCAAAGAGATGGAGAAAGATCCACAGAGTTAATGGTCATTCATTTGTGGCAAAGAGATTTAGTCGGGTGAGTTTACTTTGCTTTGGTCAAAACTTAATGTTAATCCATTAACTCCCCAGAAATGATTTTTAATTTTCCCTTCTAACTGCTACATATTTCCGTGTAAATTAATTATTAAGAATTTGGTGATAGATCAAGATGACAACTTTTACTTGATAGGTTTGAGTATTCTCGTTATCAGTTTGCTGTGTGATGTATGTATGTTAGTAGGAGAAACTGCATGTTCATCACTTTTGGGAGTTAAAGGGTTAGATTTTGCTTTGTGTAACCTCTTGGTGTATGGAATGTATGACCACCACATTTGTTAGAATGGATGCTGCCTTGAGACTCTAAATTGATTATATTTATCTTTGTTTCAGCTTGCAGCTTGTTCGTTTTGTTCAGATAGAATTTGGGGACTTGGTAGACAGGTATTCAATAAGTGCTGTGTTCAATAAAGTAATATTTAATAGAGCAAGCAAAGAAATTCAGTATTGTGCTTTACTTTTGAAGTTTGTGTACACCCTAGCATTAATTCATGATTGTGAATTTTCCTTGTTTTATTCTTGTGCCACATTTGACCTAACCTCATTCAATTCTCTTGTAGGGTTACAAATGTCTTGAATGCAAGCTAGTTGTTCATAAAAAATGCCACAAGTTGATAAAGATCCAATGTGGACAACAACCAGTGAGTTACTTGGGGATGACTTAACTTTTTGTATTAAGTGTTGTTTTAAACTTGGCGTAGTTTGTTTATTTGCCTTTCACTAATTGTTTTTTATTCCTTTTAGCATCCATCAAGTCAAACAATTCACTCATCACTCCCTCCCATTGGAGCAGTGGGCACAAAACTTCCCCCAGCAGAGGAAGCACCAGGACCCAAAAGAAGTAAGCAATATATTTTTTGAAACTTTAAACTTTTCTTCCTGGTAGTTTCTATTTTCAGTTTGTCACTTCTTGAATTGCAATTTTTATGCTGAATGCTTTCATCGGAAGGCATTTAAACATACCCTTTTGTATGGGAAATTCATAAAAGATGATTAATAGAGTAGAAGAAAAAAATAACTCCCATTTTACCTTTCACTATTTTTGAAATAGCCTATCCTCACTCCAACCCATCCTACGTCTGAAAGTCCTGGAAACTTACAAGACCCTTTTGGGGCTTATTGGTGCAATTATATATTTATTAACCACCTAATGATGATGATGCAGAATTTTGGTATTGTTCCTCTATAACTGATATGTGTGTCCTATTTTAACTATTTTCCAGTCTAGAAAATTTAAATCCTCTAAGGCAGGATTATTGTTTGACAGGTGCTGAAAATTAATTTGTTTCATTCTCAATATTTCTTTCATGTATGCAGCGAGAAGTGACAGTCCAGCAACTCGTAAGCGAGGCCTTGTTAGTGTTGATTATTCACATGGCTCCAAGGCTAAGGAGGCATCATCTGGAAACAATTTCTTGATTTCACTGAATGACTTTACTCTTCTCAGAGTGATAGGAAGGGGCAGCTATGCTAAAGTTTTGTTGGTGAGTATCATCCTCTAAACCTTCTCGATATATTTACAATATACTGGGTGGAAATTTTTTTTGAACATTCGCAAGTGGTTGCATTGGATGTAAATTTTTGAGTGATGAGAAACAGCTTTTTTGATGACAAAATTTTGTTCAAAGATGACAACTTGTTTATACTTTCTCAAGTAAGAAGTTGTAGACATGCATAATACATGCATATATGTGTGGTCAGCTTGAGTGGTGATTGAAACAAACAACTCTACAGTTGTTTAGTATTGTTGTGCTATTAGTCTTTGCCTCAGAACAATTACCCGTCAGCATTGAAAAACAGTAAGCTAGTTCAAACATACTAATGAAGCAGACATGAATATGCTTATATGTAAATATGCAAAATTTATACAGGGATTTTGTGAAGTTTATACACACCTACGCCTGAATCTATGTGCATTTTAAGTGTATTTTGTTGTTAACATACACATAAGAGGAACATCCTTAATGGAAACAATAACTGCTGTCCTTCAGTGCTTTGGGTAACCAGGGGTTTCCACTTTGTTCAGCCAGCCAGCCAACCAACCACCTCCCCTTGCAATTACACTATTGTCAATACTCAAGTATGCCTCCTATCTTTAGCACCTGGCAATGTACTCACCACCAAAGAAAAAATTTTAATTTCTATGAAATTACTTTAAAAATAATAGTATTTTAAAAGCTCGCTGACAAATGTTTACTACTTTCTTCTCTACCAGGTCGAGTTGAAGAAAAATAAGAGAATATATGCAATGAAAGTTGTAAAGAAAGAGCTTGTTAATGATGATGAGGTTGGTGTTTATCCAAAAAGTGCATGTTTGTAGTTTTCTCTTGTTTTATGGCTTAGGTAGTGTAGATGATGACGCAAAACTCTAGATGCACTCAGTTGTGATAACAGTTATGCATGGATTGTGTTTTGGTTTCTTTCCAAAGGATATTGACTGGGTTCAAACAGAGAAACATGTTTTTGAACAAGCGTCAAATCATCCATTCCTGGTTGGACTTCATTCGTGTTTCCAAACTGCTAGCAGGTACATGTAAAGAGATAATTAGTTGAATTTATGTAGAAGTACAGAGGATTACTAAAAAAATGGATACTTTTTTTGAAAAAAAATTTAAATTAACTGTTTATTTTCTTTTAGGTTGTTTTTTGTAATTGAGTTTGTGAGTGGTGGTGACCTTATGTACCACATGCAAAGACAGAGGAGATTACCTGAAGACCATGCAAGGTAAACACTCACTCAGTCATTCTGCAAACCAGGCTCTGCCAGTCATGTAGACAGTTTTTTCAAATAAAGAGTGAATCTTACAGTCATTAAGTCTGTGTATCCGTCAGTTTGTCTGCTATTGAGTCCCAGATCTGGAAAGGCTGTCATAGTCAGACAGTTAGTTAAACAATCAGTTAAGTGACGCATTAAGACAGTCAAAGAGACATGTGGATAGACAAAAAAATAAATATTAGACTGAACTTAAATACCTATTTTGGTTGACCCACACTTGGGTCACACTTATGCTTTGATTACTAAAGAAAGTGAGGTGTAAGAGGAAATATAAGTTATATTAATTCATAATTTATCCTTAGGTTTTATTCTGCTGAAATTTCATGTGCACTCAATTTCTTACACGAAAGAGGTATGACCCATTTATGTTACAAAAATTTGATGATTTCACTCACAACAAAGGCAGTGAAATTCTTTTTGTTTCTGTTCCTTATTAACAGATGTGTGTTTCTGTTGTTAGGTGTGATTTACCGGGATCTCAAACTAGACAATGTTTTACTTGATTCTGACGGCCATGTGAAACTAACAGATTATGGAATGTGCAAAGTAAGTTCTCCCCCTTTTAAAAGAGCCTTCAAATCTGCCGTCTTTTCTTCTTGAAGGATGAAATAAGTGTTTTGTAATCTTCGTTTCTTAGGAAGGTCTTCGTCCTGGTGATACAACAAGCACATTCTGCGGAACACCAAACTACATTGCGCCTGAAATTCTTCGAGGGGAAGATTATGGTATGTGGTTAGGTTCATAAGGTCTCCCGAACACGGTGGTCCATTACGATTTATTGCCTGTGTTACAGCGGTATTGGACGCCACCCAGGGATGTAACGTAGACCTGCCTCGTAACCTTTAGGCTGGCATGACTTCTACTATTGAATTGAGTAAACTCGTAGTAGAGTGAGTGACAGTGGTTATTTTCTTTCAACTTTTTTCAGGGTTCAGTGTCGACTGGTGGGCTCTAGGAGTACTCATGTTTGAAATGTTAGCTGGAAGATCACCTTTTGATGTTGTAGGAAGTGCAGAGAATCCTGATCAAAACACAGAAGATTACCTCTTTCAAGGTTTGCCTGTAAACAATTTATTTTTAATAATCGAGACCTGTGCCCTTAGCACTTGAACTTCCCATTACAAATTTTCTTTCAGTTTCGTGCATTATATGTTATTGAGCACCTTTTTGTCCAAGAATACATGTTTGTCCAACTGAGAGAATTGTAACATTGATCATTTAACTAAATTGTTACACCAAACACAAACGACCCATTTTTGCGGACTTACCAATCACAATTGAAGAACGCCTCTTGAGTCTTGCATGCAGTTAATAACACCACAATGTCCAGTTCTAACGAAGCAGATTTGCTTGTAATATTGGCCTGAAATGCGGAGTCATTTAGGTTCATGAAACGTTAGTTAATATTACAGACAACAGAGGACGATCACGCTTTACGAACAACCATTACTCACAGCTCAATCCATTTTCTGCATAGATTTTGTCTCATCTGGTCAACTCAGCTTGCAGTTTTAATATTAGACTCTCCAACACCTACACCCAATACGCCTTCATGGCAGGCGTATTTTCAAGCGAGAGAGTGCTTAATAGTCTGATCAAGTGCCAAAGCCGCCATATTGGATTGGTAAGATCGAGGAAAGCCATCCTCTCAACCAATCAGATACGAATCGACAAACGCGTCTTGGTCACTCGTGGTTTCCCGCGCTTGTTCTTACTTCGAGTTATCATTGGCTCTGTTATTCCCTTTCTGATTGGCCGATATGATGATTTTTTTTTTGTTGCAATACTTAAATGTGAAGCGCTCAAATTTCTGCCAGAAGCTAATGTTGGTTTTTACGTTCCTCTTTCCAGTAATTCTAGAAAAACCTATAAGAATTCCTCGATCCCTTTCTGTAAAAGCGGCTTCAATACTCAAAGGATTTCTCAACAAGGTGAGGTTATTTTAAAAAACGTTAGAAATTTGAAGGGGAAGGAAAAAACTAGAGAATCTTGCAATGACTTTGCTTGCCAACTTTTCTGAAAAGTATTTCCTCATCACAATCACCCAGTGTGGCGACGATTTCAAAAGGTTGTTGAAGCCTTCAACAACCTTTTGAAATCGTCGGGCGTACGAAGAGTAGGAAGTTTGTGAAAGGAGAGAGATTTCTGATTAACGAAACTGTGAAACAGCGTGTAATGAAGAAGTAGTATGATTAGGTGTTATGATTTGTGGTCAGGCGTAAGGAATTGTATTTCCTGTAGGCGAGGTATAACTCAAACGGGCAGATTTGCTTTTTATATTAATCGTTGCACGCCGTAGCAGTTAAGGGGTTGATGAGATTGTCTTTCGTCTTGTTTGTTAGAATCCCATCGAACGTCTAGGCTGCCATCCTCAGACAGGATTTGCAGATATAACATCACATGTGTTCTTCCGGACAGTCGATTGGGAACAGGTTTGAACACCCTTCATAATTCATAATTTCCTGTTACCTCTTTCGCATTTCGTATATTTTTAGGAGGCTGTCCCATGAAGATTAAGGCCCAAACTAAAGACTTAGACGTTGAGCTCCAGTGGACAGAAATTCTGTGGTTCGAGATTAAAAAACAGAACACTTCAAGTTCACTTTTTCAAGAACTAAAAGCTCATAATTGCGAGATTTAGCGCTCCCGAGACTGCTACTTTGATCCAGATTCAGTAAGCAATCTGGGGCAAATTTGCAGAAGAAAGTTATCGCCAGTTATCGGTCCCAAGAAGTTTCTTTGTTTGCCTTGTTTACATTCAAGATCAAGATTTTAGAAGTTCTGAAATTAAACCTGTCCAATGAAATTTAGGAAAAGGTATGGACTAGAATTTTGGCCTAGATCCACACGACTATTCATGAGATGAGATCTTAAAATATGGCTTCAGGACCGTAGAGTTACCGCAACTTGCATGAAACGGGCCCGTAGATTGTTCAAATTTTTAGATTGCTTCACGGATGGCGAAAGCAAACTTACCAATATTTTTAATATTTGCACTTATTATTGTTATTATTTTTGTTTTATTCAAACAGTTGGAAGCACGACAAGTGGCTCCCCCGTTCAAGCCGATGATAGAAGATCAGTATGGACTGGAAAACTTTGATCCTCAGTTCACTAATGAACCTGTTCAACTCACACCAGATGACCCGTAAGTTGAACAAATTAACTTAACTTTGTAAACAGTAATGATTTCTACATACGGAAACACTGACATAAACGGTATGGCAATTATGAATTAAAAGTGTGGTAGGTCACTGTATGTACAAGTGTCGGCAGGTGATTTATCTAACCAAGTTGCGCTATTAAGCAACTCATGCATGAGGGGAAAGACATTTATGAAATATTTAGGCAATCCAAGATGGCGCTAAACCTAGGAAAGGGGTGTTCATCTGTTTAAACATTTGAAATCACTTTTTTTGGGAGAATGTGCCGTGAAACTCTTAAGATTAAATGGGAAGGAAATTTATATTCAGAATAATCCCTTTAAAAGTTTTTTCTTTTTCCTCTTTTCTGACGACAAAGATAACCAAGCGGGTATATATTTTATGTGATAGCTATCGAAGATTTGAGTAAGGTAAATTGGAGTACTGAAAACACTGGTTCATATTATACTTTTTCATCGCAGGAAAATGCTCGAGACCATCGATCAGTCGGAGTTTGAGGGCTTTGAATACATTAATCCTCTTCTAATGTCCTCAGAGGAATGTGTATAATGGCTGCCTTCCAAGACTGAATAGCTTCATGTATAGAAATCAGTAGAGTCATTCTTGAAATTATATCTTTAATACCACTTATACACATTTACACTAACAGTTCACGTTCTGCGCAAGAAGGGGGGCGTGATCTTTTGTCGAAGGTATCGCAAACGTTTGGTATCGGAATCATTCAGAATAACTGTAGCTCTGTGATTGGTTACAAAGTGCCCGAAGGGCTCTTCTCAACCAATCAAATAAGACTTCAAAATCAATCGCTTATTGATAATTTGCGCTTGATACCTGGCCAATTAATTGATTTCTTTTTGACTTTTGTATAAATTTGCTTGATTTGGTTTCGTGACTCAAAAACGAACAACTGTGTGTAGCAGTTTTGTATACGGTAGATAACACATATTGACATGTGGTATTAGATGAAAGAAAGCTTGCGAAATACTTCATACTCATTTTCTTTCATACTTTTGAGGAATTTCTAATGTGTTACCTGTTCTCAGGTGACAAATGTATACAGTACGAATATACCTGGCAGAGGGTGCGGTAAAGATACTACATTTACCATACAATGCGATCAGATCCTAAAAAATGTAATTTTCTTAGAGATGACTTGCTAAAGGATAAAATTAGAATTGATATGTTATTTTACACGAATAAAATTGTAACGTAGTAAAGTAAAGTAAAGGCTGATTGGAGCAGCTCTATTTTCCGCCGTTAAAAATGAAACTTGGTAAGTTATACTCTTTTGTGCCCTAAAAAAACGCATTGTTGTATTGAGGAATATCTTAGTTTGGCTTTGTTCATGTGATACGTAGAGGATGATCTAACACCTGTAAATGTTTTGTGACTGGGCCATAAACGGGTTGTCATCGACCAAACTAGTAAAAATCAGAATTATTCTATGTGGGACAGGTCACGTGATCCTTGCTCTTGGTCCTGATTGGCAATCGAATCTGATTTAGTTTCAATGCGGGTAGGTGATTGAAAACAGGTCTATTTTCACTTATAACGTTTGAAATTTATTTATAATATAAGATCACAAAACTTGGCACTCATCATTGTGGGTTCGGTACAATAGGTAGGTAGGTAGGTAGGTAGGTTGCTCTAAAGTTTTGAAATTGTAAACAGTACTGGGAAATTGCATGCTATTTTTTATGCCGAGATATACAATAAATCAATTTGGTGAAGCTTCTGACAATGTCTTTAGTTTTTTGACCTTGTAGACTGTTTCTTATATTTCTCAGATCGTTTACATCTGGGTTTTACTTTGAACCGTGACGTTATCGAAAGACTGATCCGCTCCTTTCCAGCCTGATGACTGAGCTGATGAAATCCTTACGTTCGCGTTCTATTTTGTGCCTGGTTTACCTAGTTGCAAAAAGCTTATCCTGTTCGTTAGGTTCCATGTGCGCGCATCCACATCTTTAACGGATTTTTTTGTGCTTGCTTCAGGAAGAAGTTCAGCGTTTTCTGAACTTTATCTTTACATTTACCACCCTTGTTTATTCGAGTTCTTTTCCTATAATGGTCAGGATTTCACTGGGAAGCATATCGTAATTGTTACCATCTTTCATTAGTATGGATTTTTGCATTTTACTTGAAAAAAAAAAAGGGTAAAATCAATTAAAATTTTTACAACATAATTTACATGACCTAAGAAGCTTTTGTCGCAGGTTATTTGTTGGACGCTCAATTAAAAAAATGAAGGCGGCCGTAGGGTATTCTCCGCGTGGCTCCGCCGCTCAAACATGCACGCTTGACTTCAAATGGAAATTTAACATATAAGGTGACTTATTTCCAATAATCACTCTCATGTGAGAACTAATAACTTTATTCATTCGGTATCAATGTATAATTAACAAATAGAGATTTAAGAGCCTTGACTGTGTTCTGTTCTGTTGTAAAGCACGCATGAAGCGGCTAGAGCACGAAATCAGTGTAGGGAGAAACATAAGACGTAGTCGAGTGTTCTCCCCGCTTCTTGATAACGCACGCGGCGCGCGTTATATCCGAACTTTATTATAATTACATTTATTACATTATTAAGATTTCAGTCAATGTTGACCACCTTTCTATTGCGGATTAATTTCCTCCACCAGCATAAGATATTCCAAACACTTTGTCACGTTACAGCACTTACAAATCAATTATTCATCATATTTTTAACACAATAACTTAACCTTGGTCCCATTCCTGTATATATTAATAACGTTATGAAACACAGTATTATCCAAACCCCATTAACAACTCGATATTCCCTGGAGTAGTTTTTGTGGCTACTAGACATAGTAATTTTGTTTTCAATCGTAGAATCGCCGATTATTTCATTAGATAATTTAGATGCCTCGAGTCTGTAGACTGTACTAAGAGATACAAGACAAATGAAGATTGACCCGTTAACCCCTAAGAGTGATTGGCATCTAATTTCTCCCTACCATATAACTCCTAAATCAAACATCAAGGTCGGGAGAATAAAGGAACTGACTAACGACTAAAGAAGCTCTTGTCTGTTAGACAAATTCTCCTGGTCGGCATCTTCGAAAATGTCTAGAGAACAGTAAAGAAAAATATGCATGCCGATGTTAGGGTGTAAAGGGTTAATGACCGTTAATACCAGATCAACTGTGTAGTCAAGTCACAATATTTGAGTTGTTGCCAATTATATCACAAATAAAACATTGAGATAATCATTTTATAGGGAGGACAAATGTCGAAAAGAAAAGGAGACTTTGAAAAGGAATGTCGATGTTCCAGTTCAAGGTTGGCAAAGACTGACTCCGATTGCTACTTACGACCTTGAAAAATTTAAGCGCAATTCTTCAAACCGCTACATGTCTCATTTAAATAAGACTTGGAATGCTCTCAACTCAATTCAGCCATCATTGCGGTAAAATCTGATAAACTCTGATAATCAGGGTCTGCTGGGACGATATTCATATAATCTTCATCTTCACATAACACATTCGAACCAGAAATCAGTAGACTACAGGGGAGGCCATCAGCGTGTTGGGAGTAGTGTTCAACCAAAGCTGTGAGGTCCGGTAAGACTTTATCAAAACCCTGTTGAAAGGAGAACCAAATATTAGTTCACCTACTAGGTGGAAAATTTTTTAAATTCTGGGAAACAGTGAAGTGAAAGGGACTGTTATGGAATGCCTTTAGAAGAGGGTTTCCAAGGTCGATTCCCTGGCGGGTCGTTGTCAGTTTTAACTCCAACAGTGCTTTACTCTACACTCTTATTTTGCTTCAAGCTACAGCAACCAAGACAATCTCACCCTCGGGGTTCCCTCGCCTCCTTTTTAAAGGGAGGAAAAAAGAAGCGACCTTATGCACCTTGGGAACGAAGCTGAAACAGAAACAAACGGTAGAAAATGCGAGCGAGTAACTTATACACTATCGTTGTATTTTCCTTAACTACAACCAACACTCCTTACCTGTATCATGACGCCATCTTTCACTTTCACTATCAGAAAGTTTCCAAAACCACTAGGATTTGCCTCCTTTGGAACACGCATAGTCAAAGCGAAGCACCCTGGTCTACTTTGACTGTCGCGCACAAAGAATGAGCCTTCCTCTGAATTCTGTAACATCTCTATCACAAATTCCCTATAAGAGGACACACAATGACATTCACCATACCTGAAATTATCTTGATCACTCTCGTTTCATTAGAAAGGTTATTGCTAGTCAAGTCCCGCCTGCCTTATTGCATTATCACCCTCTGAAAGACTCCCTTTCGCTTTTTTTTTTTTTTAAGGGACTTCGTTAAAAAATAAGTTGCATTCCTTAACCCTTTAACTCCCAAATGCGATTAAGATGTAACCTCTCCCTATAACATCCATACATTATCCAGCAAATGGGTAACAGGAATACTTAAACTTATCAAGTTGAAGCTGTTTTCTTGATTTTACACCAAGTTCTCGTACGGAGTTTAAAACGAATATAGCAACTAGAGGGAGAATTAACAATCAGATCAGGCGAAAATGTCATCCAATTGAGAAAGGGCAAGATGTCCCTGCCAAGCAAGAAACGTTTCCTGCCTGCTTGTTCGCAGAAATGCTTGTTTGCGAAAGCCTCATATAGGCCTCATATCAAACCAATACCAAAGATAGTTTCATAGTGAATTTTTAATAACCCTGATTGCCCAAATAACTATTACAACTCGTTCGATGTTGACGCTAACCTTGGTATCCCAGGCATGTACCAATTTTCATCTTCATGGCTGTTACTTTTAGACACGGATTCGTGTCGATTGCCCGTTGTCAGCTCATGATCTGCTGCTGACAAATTCGGGTCAGATGCAGCCTTAGCAACTGGCAACATTGAAACATTCTGTTTGGATGAAACTGCGTCGCTCCGCGATGGTGGCGGAGTATTTGAACGTTCTCTGGTAATCACCGGAGCTGCAGCACGTTCTTCATATGGTGGCGTGTAAATTTTGTTTCCCTGAACTGGAGCACTGATTTTCCTTTGTGCTACAGGGCTTCCACCGATTTTCCTTTGTGCTACAGGGCTTCCATCGATTTTCCTTTGCGCCACAGGGCTTCCATCGCTGACTACATCGGGGGGGTCAGCCTTTCTATCGTGTTGCCCAAATACTCCATTACCTTGAGGAATATTCGACCTGCGGACTTCAGGTGGGGTACGAGCTTTGCCAAAAGACCTACGTCTTCCCATCCTTGGTGATGGTTTAGACGGTGTTGGCGAGGCTTTCTCCATCGCTTTTGCTTCTTCCTTAGGTGTGGCTTGTTCCCTTGGAGAAGAATTAGGCGAACTACTTCTGTTCGCTGCTTTTTCTTGCTCCTTTTTTAACTTTGCAAGCATTGCATGCTGAGAATTCTCATGTCCCTGTTGGGCCTCAAGCTTGGCCTAAAAGATGAAAAAGGCTATGGAATCAGTACATTCCAGTCCTGGAAAATGTCAAAATAAAATTCCAGGACTACCAGGTTCTCCAGGACCCACATGTACCATGTCAGTAACAATCAAAGTCAAACCCACTGCAATAAACACCTTACAGATGTAGTCAGTTCCCCTATCAACCACACACACTATGTCATGGTCCACCACCTAAACTCTTTAACCTGCATGAGTGACCAACATGGAATTTCTCCTTACAATATCAATACTACACCAAGCAGAAAAGTGATGAGAACAACACAAAATATAAACTAGGGGATTATTAGTTGATCCAATATCAAATTCTCCAAACTAACATCATGATTGGATGGCAGACAGTAAGAAGAATAATTATAATGAGATCTTGGAAGTGAAAGGGCTGAAAACCTTTCACATCAAGATGTCCCCTCACATTCTGTGACATGGAAACCACTATCAACTCGAATCATCTATGCAGCTTAATAGCAAAATCCTAGCAAGGGTGTACCGACCCACTTCCTTCCTTGAGGTGATTTTCCATCTGGGCCATTCTTCAGTGGTTCCAGCTTAATTTCTGTTCCCTGCGGAAACTTTGATTCAGAAAATGCTACTTGAAATGCTTTACCAACCAAAGCTGTGAGACTCTGAACCTATCAGAGGGGAATTAAAAAAAAACAGGAGGACTAAGAACAAGCTTGAAAGTAAAGCGTCTTTCAAACAGTCAAGATGGTTGATGAAAGTTTCAACTATCATGTGAGTTTGAGCACAACTTATAATGCACTATCATCCACTATCATCAATTATTGTGCAGTTTGGACAAATTTGGCATGATAGTTATGATAGTTTTTTCCATTTGAATGAGCTAATGATACTTGGTGATAGAAATGCAGTCAGCAGTTTTGCCAAAAACAGGCTCAAAGCAAAATGGCAAATGATAAAATGACTAAAATAGATGCCAACATTTTGCAGAATGCTGCATAGTTCAAATTATCATTATCTCCTGGTAGGCTTTAGTGATTCTTCAACTTGCAACATCTTGACCAAAATTTCAAATGTCATCTGATGGTTGTTTGCAATTATGCAATCTCATGGCATATTTTGTCACCTATCATCAACTATCATGAACTGTTTGAATGCAAACGTGATAGTGAATGAAAGTTTAAAATATTATTGACTATCATCAACAATCATGACCCTTTGCCCAGGTCTTCAAATTTAATGCTTGTACATCAGCTGCACTTGTGAGCACAACTTACAACAATTGCTGCCCATTTGAGAAAAGTGCAGAAAGATGAAAGTGTAGAATAAATGCAACAATAATTTTGCATTGTTATAAGAAAATGCTTTTTAAAAGTTATTCTCACATACCTGCCTTGTGTACTTTGTCATGAAAACATGGCAGTGTATTGCTGTTCCCACTGGGGAGGGGTCATGCGACATGTAAGCAAAGAGTCTAAATTCTGGATCACATGTTGCAAATGAGATTCTTTGTAATGGATGGGCCATTCTAACACGCTAACAAACAAAAAAACAACCAGTCAAAGTCAAAGTATTACCATCTTGAAATAAAAAACTATTATATAAGAACTAAGGAAAACATAGAGGTAAAATGGTTAACACTGGAATTTGGATGGAAAGTTTGAGGTTTGAGCTCTGGGGAGAGTGATTGTTTTTGGTCTTTGGTGAGACAATTGAATTTCACTCTTGTTGTGCCTCCCAACGATGGCACATCAGAAGAGGTAAAGAGAACAGTCAAGGACAATGCTTTTTTAATTAGCTGTTATATAACCAATACCCATAGGTAATAACTGTTACAATAGCCTGTTATAACAGAGGACAATGTTTCAAGGAAACAACATGAATTCAAAGAAAATACTAGAAAAACTGCCTGATATATACTAAGAAAATGGCAGTGATCAAATTGCACCTGGTTTCAGTTTTGAAATTGATTGGTTGGGAGGATGACCCAAGCTCTCTTGTTCCATCAAGGCATAGTAAAATGAAAACAAGAAAGAACGGAAATTGCTTTAACCTTTTAACTCCCAGGATCTGATTACTAATTCTCCCCTCTTGCTGCTACACTTTTCCTTGCAAATTAGTGACAAGAATTTGGTGTTACCGTATTTACCTGTGTATAATACGCGCCCATGTATAATATGCACCCCGATTTTTGACCAAATTTTTCATAGAAAAAAGTTTTCACCACAAAAAAAAATGTTAATTCTTCCTACAACTGATGTTTCGCAGTGGTAAGTTTCATTACCATTTCAGATTTCTTATTGCTTGTGATTACAGTAATACGGTATGATTGTAATGTTTATCTCGTAAGCTGTTTCTTAAATACTCTAATAAATTTATTTATGGATCTAAATTGAAAATGTTTCATTGGTAGATTATTTAACTCAAGCCAATAAAGACCAATTACTACAAGGCTTTCATTACTTTCTTTGTTGTGTTTGTGGATCGAAATTAAAAATGTTTCATCAGTAGATTATTTAACTCAAGCTAATAAAGACCAATTACTTCTAGGCTTTTGTTACTTTCTTTATTGTGTTTTAAACGGATACAAATTAGGATGTGCTTGAAAAACAATAGAAACCGTGTATAATACGCACCGCGATTTTGATGGTTATTTTTATAGAAAAAAGTGTGTATTATACACGGGTAAATACGGTAAATCAAGATAACAACTTCTGTGCAATAAGTTTGAATATTCTCATAACCTATTTACTGGATTATGTATGGATACTATTGAGAGAAGTTACATGTTTAACCCATCTGGGAGATACAGGGTTAAATCAAAAGTATACAAGTCAGTCCAACAGGTATGGCCTGTAGGAAAGATATGTTCAAATTGATAAGATGGATTTTCAGTTTTGGGATGAGCAATCAAATTGTAAAACAGTCTCCCCTTTCAAATCAGGATAAAGGAAATGAGAATAAATCTTTCCAAAATCCCTTGACACTTTTTAAAACATGATCCTAAAATAAAAAGAACAGTAGCCAGAAGTTAATCTACTACCTTGCCATCTGGAGAAACGACCTTGATTCCATCTGTAGAGGTGAGAATAGCCACACCTACACCTTTCTGGGCATTCTAAAGATAAAAACATTTGACATCATGTACTGCAAGCTCCATGTTTCAGATTTTAAAGCTATAAAATGTAAACTAAAACTTGTTATATTCATAGGGGAGAGACCAACTCTCTATTTGCTTTCACTTGCCTATAAAATACTTAGCATTGAAACTCATTATGGTGGCCAGTTTACATTAATACCTCAGTTGATAAAACCAAATTATCTTTTTCTACCCTCCAAAAACACAGCACCACAGTTTCTTTAGAAACTCACCCCTTTATGAAACACTTAGGCCAGAACAATTGATACAACTGAAACAAATTTACTTTTTTCATTTTTCCATAAGAGGAGGTGAATAGCTTTGCAGATCAGTAGATTCACCAGTTCAAAACAAATTCAGGATCATAAGTCAGCTGAAAAGTACATATATATTTTATATTCCATCTTTTAAGATGTTCCAATTGTGGGTTGTATTATTATTCTTTATTATTCTTTGATCAAAAAACCTGTGTTATGTGCACTCAGTTTCTTAGTTTTTAACACTCAGAGAAAGTTTGTGACTTACAGACTCTGGCAGTCTAGTAATTAAAAACAGTTTTTTTTGGGTAATAAGGCTTAATCCTTTAAACATCAAGTCTTCTTTGTATATCACCTGTAAATTGCACATTAAGGTCACAAAAAAAAAGGGAAATGATCACAACCTAAAGCTCTTGATTGATAACCCTTTAACTCTCAAGATCTGATTGTTAATTCTCCCCTGTAGCTGCTAAACATTTCCTTGTAAATTAGTCAATAAGAATTTGATGCTAGATCAAGATAGCAGCTTCTACCTGATAAATTTGAATATTCTCTTTACCTGTTTGCTGAAGAATGGATATTGTAGGGAGAAGTTTTATGTTAATCACTTCTGGGAGTTAAAGGGTTAAACAAATTCTCCTTATCAACACCTTAGAAAATGTATAAAGAATAGTATAGAAAACACACATACTGATGTTAGGATGCAAAGGGGTAAAATCTAAATACTGTAGTCTGTGTCTGTGATAAAGCAGAACATATATACATAAATTCAAATACAGCAAACTTATATCACAAAAGGGTTTTTAAGTCATGCTGCCTCAGAGCTGATGAAAGAAGTCCATTCAGTAAAAGCTGTATAAAAAAAAAAGGCATATTAAGAACATCAAGTTATTTCTTGACATAAATGGTTCTATAATCCCTCAATCCTGACAACCTAAACTATGATATACAACTTACCCGATATTCTTTGAGTTTCTTTTTTACAAATCTTGTTCTTTCCTTGTGTGTTGTTAGTGTTTTTGTCCCCTCTCCTCCTGTACCCAGACTCACAGCAAATGTTCCAACATACTGAATAAATGAATTAATCAAAAATATGGAATAAAGAGAGAAAAACAGCAGTAATATATTATTGTATTGCTAAGGTCTAAAAAGACCGAAAACAGTCATCACTACAATTTAGAGACATATCTAATATGGATTATTAAACAACGAATAAATAGGTGAAAGATGGCAGAGCCTGGTGAGATCCTGCACGTGAATGCAGCGGTTCTGGTGTGCAAGATGAACGTTTGAAAAAGATGCTGTGCGCGCACCTTCCATACTATGCAAAGTGCAGACTACTAAATGATACGTGCTGGAAGAAAAAAAACACGCACACACACATGCACCCACACTCACAAACAAAAACAAACTCCTAAAAAAAGCGTCTTTGATGTCTGCAGAAGGGCTACTAATTAAGAGTTTTTCAACATAACAAAAGATATCAGGAAAGTTCTGAAAGTGGCAAATTAACACCTTTGAAATAATAGCCAATATTGCTTTTACGCACGATGAAACCTTGGGAAAAGTCCTTTATTCAATAACATATCTAGTACCTCTTAAGACAGTCTGCAGACTTGTACAAAAACGTCGTTTACCTTTTTAATAAAGATTCTTGCTACGGACATGTTTTGTCTCTTGTTTTTCAATGTTTTGTTTTCACAGCTTCACCTATATCATCAAAAACTGCACGTTTCCGCTGAACTTTACGGTTCATCCAGTTCAACCAAAGGATTTTAAAAATTCGCGAGCGAACGTAAGACTGAGAGTAAATTTCTAGGAATAAGTTTTGTTCAAACGTGCTCGTTTCAAATAAATAGATTTTGACCAAAGCTATGCTCAATATTTTTTTGTTTGTGTGCGCGGAACTTGTTTCAAACATGTTACACAATTTCTCTAAAACGGGTGGAATATAAATGCAAAAGTCGTTTGGCAAAAAATATTAACTATTCAGTTAAATACCTGACAAAGTTGTTTGGGTCCCAGTAATACAGGTCGATTTTCTGCCGGAGTCAAATCGACAAACCCCTGAGAATCAAAGCCATCCGGTTGATCGGCATCTGTTATTTCACCATCACTTCTATTTTCGATGACATCAAACGACAAATCAGTGCCGATGTTTGATGAACGTTGGTTTTGTAGCTTGTTATCAACAGTCTGTGTTTCTTGTTTCGGTTTCTTCTTTTGCTTTTTGAACATTTCCGCCAAAAATTTCACTACAGAACGTCCCGCAAGTAATACTCGGCGAGTAACCAAATCGACTGAGTTATGCGGTCAGCAGTTTTTAAAAAAGTTACGCAAACCTGAAATGTCACGAGCCTGACAGGTTATCTTTGAATAACGATTGCCTCTGTTAATTTTTTTTAGCACAGTATACAGTATATATAGTGAGAGGCGAAGATATGAAAAGCTCTAGACTTAGTCACTAATCCGTAATCACAATATACCCTGTCTGGTTTATTTGTACTGCGCTGGTCACGCCTTGGTCTCGGCTGCCGGCTGGAGGGGGAAGTCCACTGGAAGTCAAAATGAATTTTTTGCTGCTTTCGTCAACCGCAAAAAATGTTCTTACACTTCCGATGAGTTTCAATCACAAATTTGGGTAAAACAAATACTATCTTAATTAAGAACATGCATGTGCAAGGTTTAATTCGGGCATTATTGACTAAGTATGGTGTTTTCGCTTTTTCCGTCATCCGCAAGCTTTTTTTTTCCAGACGTTGATTACCTGAAAGAAATCACACTCATTGCGTCGTCATAACATACTTACATTTTCACATGTACAGTTCTCGTGATTTCTATAAAAACATGGTATCAACTTAAACAATTAGAGGTTTTTTAGAGCACAAGTTTTTAGACTACAAGTGATCATTGTAATTGATTTTATGCGTATACTGGGCCCCTCTGGACAACAGCTTCGTAGCTGAATGGGCCACCCTGTTTTAAATAAAGGTCACCTACTTACTAACTTACTTACTTAACCCTTTAACTCCCAAGATCTCATTGGTAATTCTCCTTACTGTCTGCCATATAGTTCTTGTGGTTTTAATTTGGAGAATTTGGTATTGGATCAACTAGTAATCCCCTAATTAATGTTTTTCTTTATTCTCATGACTTGTCTGATTGATATTGTATTAATGTTGTAAGGAGAAATTCTGTCTTGGTCACTCTTGGGAGTTAAAGGGTTAAGTCTAACTTTTGTTGACTAAGAGGCTAATTATAAAAATCTATCTCTTACGACAACAATGAACTTCCAAATCCATTTCGTTCGGCACCAAAAAATTTTTCGGAAATAACTGCACGGCCTTTTCGGGTCGTACTTCATTCGAGTTATTACCCAGTTGTCTTGGACAAAGAAAAGAGCCTGACATGGACATGAAAACCTTAACCTGCCAGCGCTTTATTGATTTGGTATGCCTTGGAGTAACGTCAACCAGTACATAGACAGATGAAAACTTAGAACATAGATGCGAGGTTAGCGGAATAACAATTTCACGAAAACCGTTCGTCGAGACATCGAATAACTAACATTTCCGTAATTTTACGGTTCTGGTGTCACTGCTTGGAAAGTGAATCATCCACTCTACCCTCCCCTATCTAGTCCGACTTTGCTCTCCTCAGCTACCCCTCTCTCACCGAGTACAATGCAGTTCCAATCCCCCGTGTGAAGACGTCCAGCTACGCACAGTCAATTTAGCTTATGTAATCAAAATGGCGACTGCAATTGTAGTCTGTGCAAGAAACATAACTACCAAAGCCCTGCAGTTACGACCAGCAGTGGCTATTTCTAAGGTATGTGACATTTAATCGAAACAATGATGGTCTGGTTGTATCATGAGGCGGCTGATCTTGTCGTAACAGCAAGAAACTTTGTCATAGTATTTTCCGTGTCGAGCGTACCTCCAGGGACGTCAAAGGTTTTACACAGTTTTGCGTCATTGATCACCACTAAATGTGATCGAGGACATACTTCCTTCATATTTTATAGTGTGTAAGATTATTTCGATCCTTTAACAGTTTGTCTATCGTATAGGCAACGATGAAGGGTACTCAATTCGATCATCCGGCGTTCGTAAGAGTTTAAGCTTGTTTCGTTTCTCTCTGTCTCCATATTTCATAAATGTATCAAGAGCGTTTAAGCTTTTTCTCCAGATTAATCTCCAAAATAACTATTTTTCCCTCACAAAAAACTACATCGCTGTTCGCGGCTCTAGATAATTATGTATCTTAACTGTCTTACATCAATAAGAACTACAGCACTACACACTGGAGTAATATTACTGGTAAAGCGGCGATGATGCAATAATTAACCTTTCTATATGACTGAATTTCCTTTTTTTATTTGAAATCTTACAATCGAAACGATTATTACTAGTATTTCTAAATTCAGAGTATAACAATCGATATGAGACTTTTAGAAAAGAAGATACACAGTCGTTTCAACAAAACCAAAGACAATGAAACCAGTTTGTACCTCTGACAATAACAGACTGCATGTTTGTGAGCCCTTTGCACCCTAACATCACTATGCACATTCTCCATACTGTTCTTTATGCATTTCATATGTTATTGATAAGGAGAATTTGTTAAACATGTAAGAGCTTTTTAAATTTTTTTGTTTATTTCCTGTATTCTCCTAACATTAATTAATGCTTGATTCAATTGTGATAATGTAAAGAGAAATTATATGCTACTCACTCTAAGGAATTAAAGGGTTGAAAAGCCATGATTCCTCTCATGGATACCAAAGACATGGCCCTGGGACCGCACATTAACTGATTGTGATCTTCAGATAGATTCATTGAATTAATTAAAAGTAAATGTGTAATGTAGGGTACTTTAGTATTAACAACTGTAAATTGGCCTCGGTAAAGCGTTTCAAAGCTGACGTTTCAAGTGGTAGCTGTTCACCTTCGCTCTGACAAAGGGCTAACAATTGAAACATCAGCTTTGAAACTCTTTACAGGGGCCAATTGACATTATCAACTCTGTGAATAATACTAAATCACTCTGTTATACTCTCCCACCGATGCACCACCACAGTTTCTATAGAAACTTACCTCCTTTATTCAAATTTGTAATGTGCTGTGTTGATTCTGCAGATTCTGGTGCGAGATGCTACATCAGCTAGTGACAGTCCTCGAATGAAAACATTTTCTGTTTATCGTTGGGTAAGTATCCAAAGTAGTTTTGCTACTGACAGTAAATCAGTTCTCATTTGTTTTTAATTGCACAGTGGGTTGCAAACAGAATAAATAATAAACTGTTTTTAAAGGATCACAACATTGTACCAATTAGACCAAGATCATACAAATGTTTTAGTGGGGTAAATAATGATAGCTGGTTTTTCACATTTCTCATTCATATCTAGGATCCAGACAAGCCTGGTGACAAACCTAGGATGCAGGAATATCAAGTTGATCTAAACCGGTATGTCATTTAAAATACATGTTTTATGAGAGAAAATGGTCTGGTTGTCTGGGTGAGTGAAGTCCTGAGAAGAAGTGTTGTTGGTTTGTGACTTACATTTTGACAAACTTAGTGGATTAAATTATTGTTTATACATTCATTTCTTTCAACATCAGACATGGTTTGATGCTACTCTGGTTTACAGATTTAATGAATGTAACCAAAGAAGTTACAATTCATAAACCCAATGTTTCTTCAACATTTTCTTTCAACATGTTATGAAAATTGTCTTCTGTGTGGTAGTAAGTTACCGTAGATATAAATGTACATCCTTAACTGGTCTATATTAAGATTGAAGGCAATACTACTGTTAGTACAACATTGACCAAATCAAGAAAAGTTTACAATAAAGCAATCAATTTTCACTGAGTTTTGTCATATCTGGGAAAACTTGTTTTCAGATGTGGTCCAATGGTCCTTGATGCATTGATAAAGATAAAAAATGAAGATGATCCAACACTGACATTCAGGAGATCATGTAGAGAAGGTACTTGTCACAGTCACTTATTTGGTAATGTTATGTTTTGTTTTCAATAGAGAAGTATAATCATTTGTCTCACAATACAGTCACTATCCACCATTCACATCCAATCCACATCCATAGTGACCAAATTGTTAGACAAAATTAATGATTATTAACTGCCAGGATGATAAACTACAACTTGTTTTACAATTATGTTATGTTAAGACCAGTGTATCAGGTTGTTTGATCTCACCGACATTTCCCTCCAAATCCATGGCAGGAATCTGTGGCTCGTGTGCCATGAACATTGGAGGAACAAACACATTAGCTTGTATAAGGTTAGTTCTAACCATGTTTTCACTGAGTAACCACTTACTGTAATTGTCAGGGCCTATTACCTTTAACTCCTAAGAGTGACAAGCATCTAATTTCTCCTTACAATATCACCCTAGGATCAAACATTAAGGTCATGAGAATAAATGAAATGATCACCATCTAACGAAGCTCAACATTGCTAACCAAATTCTCCTTGTCAGCACCTCAGGAAATGTGTAGAGAACAGTATGGAAAATATGCATACTGGTGTTAGGGTGTTAAGGGTGAACTTGGACTGAAAGACCTTCAGTTGGTCCCTAAAGATGTTTAGCATTGTAAGAGCTCGTATATTTACTTGTGAGATTGATGCAGCATGCTACTATTGCAACTGCTCTTTCTCTTGTGGGGATCATGCCTTCTCATAAAGTAGTAAACTTGAACAAGTGATGCAACTGTTAAAGGAGAAAATAGCAATCCCAAGCATCTATGGTCATCTTGGAAATGCAGAATTATTATATTTGATTCTAGCAATGCTAGCAAGATTCTAAAACTAGTTAATCAACATTGTTCTCTCTTTTGCCATAAACTATTGTCATACATAAATATTATAGAAACAAAATCAATCCCTTAACTTTATGTAATTATTTTATTCTCTCAGTCGCATCAACCCAGACGTGGGAAAGAAAACCAAGATCTATCCACTGCCACACATGTATGTGGTTAAAGATCTTGTGCCAGTAAGTTTCTTCTCCTTTTGTTTGAAGTTTTAAGTTTAAAACAATTCTTTCAATGATTTGAACTCATCCAAGGTATTTTTAATTAGTGCTGTCTGCATTTACTTAGTATTATATGCATTCCTAAATTTTTGCATTTTCTTTGATCATCTGCAGATGAGCTCCAAACAGGTAGTTATCAAGTTTTTTTTTCTCTTGTAGGATATGAACAACTTCTATGAGCAGTATCGCTCAATTGAACCTTACCTCCAAAAGAAGACTGAGGTGGAATATGGAAAAGAACAATACTTGCAATCGATTGAGGACAGGAAGAAACTGGTTTGTTACCCAATCAGATGAAGATTTAACTTTAAACACCCTAACACCAGCATGTATATTCTCCATACTGTTCTTCATTGATTTCCCAAAGTGCTGAGAAGAACTTGTATAGCAATCAAGAGCCTTTAAGTTTGTGATTGTTTCTCTCATTATTGTGACCTTAATGTGTGGTATCATGTGGTAACCTTTTCTCATCATACAGCCATGAATCTTAATACAGGCCAACCCTGGAAACAAATGTTATGTGCAAGAGACCCAACTCTTAGAATGTTTCTTTGTTCGTATTAGGATGGATTGTACGAGTGTATCCTGTGTGCATGTTGCAGCACTTCTTGTCCCAGTTACTGGTGGAATGGTGACAAGTACCTTGGACCTGCAGTCCTCATGCAGGCTTACCGCTGGATGATTGACAGTCGGGTTAGTTTAATATCAAGTTAGTTTACCTGGTAATGAACCTGGCTGTTAGTGCACAAGAAACCTTTTTGTAATGTTGACCCTAACATAATTTAGAAACCATTGTTTCTTGAACCTATTATAGGCATTTCCCTATCATTGTTTAACCATAATGAAATTCTTTTGTCAAATGTTTCCAACTGCCTCTTGTATTCATGCATCATGAGGGACATGGGTGTCTCTCATGTCCATGCATACATAAAAACTTAGTTGAATGCATTTGTAAGATTTGAGTTTGAGAGACAAGTTGTATTATGTTTTGATACTTTAGCCATACATAACTTCTAACATCTGAAATAATCCTAGGATGACTACACTGAAGAACGTTTGGCTAAACTGGACTCTGATCCATTCAAAGTATACAGGTGTCATACCATCATGAACTGTACCAAGACTTGTCCTAAGGTAACTAATATATTGTTTACCGGTAATCGTGGATTGAAACAGTGGACCCCAACTTGAATTTCAGACGAAAACAGGAAGAAGTTTTAGTATTGATCAGCAAGTTTTCATTAACTCATGTATTGTGTGATGGACTTTTAAGTTGCCCAAATTTTATTTACTCAGTTGTTGTTAGATCCTTCCAGGTTTCAGATGTGTTTGCCCTAATATGTATAACATACACGAGTTAACTTTAATAAAATGACTTGGGGCACTGGTTAGATCGAGTGTCAAGACCATTATTGTAGCTGGAGTTGTGTAGGGGCATGGGGTGGAATGGAGAAAAACAACAAACAAATAAGCAAACAAACAAGCGACTTCCTGTTGCATCATGCCTGGTATGGCAAAAGGACACAAAGACAAGTGCCATGCAGGGTGTGTAATTTTCTTCAAAACAGACTGTTTGCACAAATCTTGTTCTTTAAATAACTCAGACCTGAGAGCAAGGACAAAATTGAAACAGTACTGCATTTTACTCTCTTGAGTTGTTATTTTAATTAATCTTATGTTCCATTCCTAGGGATTGAATCCAGGAAAAGCCATTGCTGAGATAAAGAAAATGTTAGCTACATACCAGGGAAAGAAGGCTGCCACAGCTTAGGAAAGCAATCTTTTTTTTTTCCTTCTCCACACTGAATCAGTATAAAACTTGACACAGTTGTACAAAAAATCTCTCAATGTATTTACTAGGAATACCTGTAATTTGAATTTTGCTTGCATTTAAGCTCTCTGCTGTTACCACTTGTTTGAAATTTTTGGCAGGCACAAATGTCATGAAACAGTAAGAGGAAGGAAAGAATTGTGCTAACAAAAAGGTTTTTTTTGTCCTTGTTTCGGAATTTAGTTTGCATTTATTTGTGCTCCATGTTAGACTATTATGATTATTTTCTTAAAACAACAAGTGCTTGTGCAACATGAAGGAACTTTTGCTAATTTATTTAAAGTGGAATTAGTTTTAATAGTACAGGATACAATGGTGATAAAATTTCTTCAATAAATTGTGAGGAACTTTTGTAAGGTACTTGTTTATAATCAACAGTTAATTTCAAAATATATCAGGGGTTACTGCTGTTATAAACAAGATTGCTACAAGTAAGGATTTACTTAATAAACCACTTAAAAATAACTTTTGTTGTAACAATTTTCTTGTCCTTGCATAACTATGCCATATCTTGTAAAAACATAACAATTTATGCAGCCAAATGCTGATAACCAAGGGAAATGAAGGAAGTTTGAGTACTTGGGAATCCAAGTTATGAGAAGCAAGGTTTAAAAAGATTACACTCATTGGCAAAAAGCATCCCTAAGATTGATTACAAGGAATCAGTTAGTAAGGGTTCAAGTTGTTGGCAGCCGACTGCAAAAGATTTTAAAATGATTATATTCCTTGACCAATCTAATGCATCGAATATATTTCAACTCTTGACAACCAAATATCAACAAAACTGTTAGTAAAAAATACAGGGAGTAAGTTTCTAAAGAAACTGTGGTGCTGCATTGGTGGGAGTATAACAGGTAATTTAGTGTCAAAAACTGAGTTGAAAATGTAAAGTAGCCACTGTAACGAGTTTAAAGGCTGATGTTTCAAGTGTTAGCCCTTCATCAGAGCAATCGATGGAGGGTTGTTGCTCGAAACAGCCTTTAAACTCTGTATGGTGGCTAATTTATGTCTTCAACTCAGTTGTTAACACTAAATTACCTATTAGTCAAAAACTCCTTTTTTTCCCATTCATAGTGCAAAACTAGAAGGCTAAACTGCCTCTAATAACTAATCCAAAATTGTGATCACAGCAGTTCTGAACCTCACATTAATAGACAACATAAGTTATTGTTGTACCTTCCCAAACTGATAGACCCTTCTGAATCAGAACAATGTCATCACAAGGGATTCTGTCTTTTTGGAGGTGAATAAAACTTGTGCTTTTATATGGCTAAGAACATGCAAAATTAGGGCTGCAGAATAGCAGAGATTGGGTGATGAGGCAACTAAAATTTTTCCCATGGATGATCTTCCCACCTTTGCCTTTGAGAAAGCCCTTCTTAGAGGACAAATCAGAATTTTGCAAAAGAGCCCTTGGGCATCAAGTCAACTTAAACTTTACACTACCAAACTAGGTCACAATATCAATATATGTGTACTTCTGTTAGTTTTTGCATAAGGAATAGTTGAGCGAAACAATACCCTTTTTAAGATGATCATTTTTTTTATTCTCATCACCCCTCTCTTTGACAATGTATTAATATTGTAAGGAGAAATTCCTTACTGGTCACTCAAGGGCATGATAGGGTTAATTAAACAGTATTGATTTATTAAGTTCTGCAAGAAGACACTTGACTGCAACAGTATACAAGTGAAATCTGGCAGATGTTTAAACCCTCTGGTTTCAATGTTAACAATGTGAACAATGTAAACCAAGGAAAAACTTGATCTCTTTCACCAAGACCCATCCAAGAGATGGCTGCAGATGAGCTTCTTGTTTGGTGACTGGCATCTCCTTGTGTTTTTTTTTTCTTTAGCAGAAGCCTGGAATGGAAAAAAAGGAAGGAATTATGAAAAGAGGAATGAATACTGTGAACGTACAACATGTAAAAGTTTCCTTATGAAAAGGAAAAGAAATTGTAGATGTTTACGTTGGAAAATACTTTCACCACTTGAGCTTGAATTGAGGTTTCTCAATGATAACAGCAGCTGTTTGTCCAAATTTTGCCTAAAATCATTGTCAGTAATAAAATTCTACCAAACAGATAAGATAAGAATGCTTTGTCCAAAGTTGCATGACCTACTACAATGCTGATCATACTGCCTGTCTTTGAAATAACAAAATTAATCTGACTGAGAATCCTTTCCTGAGGTTCCAAAGACATCTCAGGGTTTAATAATTCAGAAACCAAGGAGAAAAAGCTCTTTATGGTTAAGAAACTGCTGGATCATTCATAGTATTGCATACAAATGTTTATCCCAGTTTCCCGTAATACCATAAACAATTTGTAGTAAAACCAAAAAAGCTTTGGTCACATGACTGCCATACAAGTGTCACTAAAAGGTGGACTTTTACTGCAAATTCAGTGGCAATACATTTTTTTTCCCATCCATCTTGGTGACCAAAACATTTTTAGCTTCTAGTGCTGTGCTAGCATAGTAACTTAGTATATTCACTCAAAGATTCCTATAATTTCATGCTTCATGTGTAAACAAGAAATTCCCAATGTATTCCTTCCAAAGGAATTTCCATATAAACTGAGTATGTAATGGTTGGCAAACATTATAACAGGCCTCACCAGATCTTGTGTCAGAGAACAGCTTGACTCTAAAAACTTCTTCAGCCCTTGCTGGAGTCCACTGGCATGCCTGTTGATGAGACAAATGAGTGATTTTAACCAGCTCAGGTCTAAGCAAACTGAGCATAGTGAGCATAGTGAATTGTTAAGCACAATAAAACTGCCACAAGAATGCCAGAAAACTTGCCAAAAAAGTGCCAAGAGGCATGGTAATTCAGGACAATTTTTCAGTGTTTAAATATGAACATGTGTCCTCTTTGTCATATCCATTTGGGTTATTACAGAAGTCATTACCTACTTTGTGTAGTGAATGCAAACCTTAGGTGTGTCAAGAATTAATGTTTATAAAGATAACTTTCACAGTTAAGTCTGACACTTATAAAAACACACATTTTTTACTCACACATTTTTGACCAACACACACAGATGTACTTACAGTGTTCTCACTCATATTCCCTCACCACCTTAACAATCTTATGCCTCACTGCAGCCATTCAGGACATGTCATACCATTCAGCATACTCTCTGCAACCCTTTGAAACTCACAAGATCCCTCTTCATATGCCTCTCCTCCACATGAGTCTGCATATTTATTGCGGAAAGTTATAGCATTCCCTTCTTCTTTAGTTACATTGCACTCTAAGCTCTCATATCATGATGAACATGTAACAGAGCATTATCAAACACAGAATCACACATGACCTCTCAATCTCCCTCTACTTTTGACTTAATGTAATTGTTCTTTCTCAAGTAAACCAAAGAGAAATGCTTTGCACATTTCTTACAATAATGAAATTATGATAGTGAAGACTGAATGTCCGGTGGGGGTATTCCTGAGAAGAACTGTCGTCGGTTGCAGTGACTGAGGTTTTGACAACCTGAGCGGAAGTTATCATCAGTGTTGAGTGAAGAGCTGTTGTCAGTCCAGTGTATTAAATTGGGTTTATGTAAACTGATTGGTCAGTCTTCCAAATCAAGTTATTTTTGTTGCTGTTCTAGTTTTGCTGTGATGTCACTGGCTATAAGACTCAAGTGGTGGAAGTCCATCATGAGTGGTCAGTTAACCCACAATTAAACTCGATCATGAGATGTGAACATCTGGGTAAGGGAAGTCTTGAAAAGGACTGCCATTGTTTTAATAGCACAAAAGAAAGTCACTTCATGACAGCAACCTCTTACTGTTGAGATAGATGTCACCATTGACAAAAATAATATTTTCCATACACTCAGAAAATCGCACTCCACAATAAAAACTCTCATGCCTTTGATTGTACTGTCACCCATTCCTTCACCACTTCTCGATGTCATACCACCATCATATCAATAAGAGTAACTACCATTCTTGTGCCCTGTCTCAAATTCCATAAACAAATATTTCCCATGCTAGTATCCATGCCACTTAAATTCCCAGGAATATTACATTAGCACAGACCATGCATTAAACCCAATGTTTTCACCACACACATCCATGTTATTTATTTCTCTTTCTTTCTTGTCATTCATTCAAGACAATCTTATCATGCTGAATGATTCAAGTACAATATGCAATATGCTCACACAATAAAGTTCCTTGTTTGGACCCCTACCATGATCAGGTTGTGTTACAACTCATTAACTTAATGGTAATACAAAGACTATGTAAAAACATATTTAAACAGTGCAATTTATTACACTCATACAAGTCAGATTACTACGCATCCAGCACTCTCACCATTCCAAAGTATTTAAAAAAGACTTTTCTTCTTTAATGTAAACAGTAGAATTCACTCCTCATTCATTTGAAATTTCTTCTCCTTGACCAACAAAAGCAAACTTCTTTCCAGTCTCACTGTTCTTTTTGAGTTAAATCTAATGCTGCTGCAGTGCTGAGAACAAGGGCACTTTAACTTTAATTGATTTCAGATTATGACAAAACCACATGTCTATGCACAACATGAAAGAGAAATTGCGTAAGTGCAACTCTAACTTTACTTCCACCTGATAAAACTCCATCACTTGAAGTAAAAAATTCACTTTGAATTCTTAACATTCTGCCTCAAGCAATACATTTTTACTTAAGAAGACCTTGAATTCTTTTGTAGCTGAGGAAAATGAACAGAAAGAGCAGTATTCCTCATGCTACTACAGTCATTAGTTCCCTTAGGAAAAACTAGTTCAACAATAATCTAACAGAGTCTATCTATGCAATATCATTTCTTTACTCTCTGTGGACAAAATATCTATTGATACATCATAGTGGAATAACAAGCCATCTGCTGCTAGTTCTATAACAATAATTTTTACAACCATAGGATTGTTTTAAAAAGCCTATGCAGTACCACAATCCAGAAAACAGAGACAAAATCCTACCCTGGGTATTTATCGTCGTCCATGTCTGTTGGCCATCATGTTACTAGCACCTGACGGGTTGCCCATGTTCATCATGCTCTGCATCATACTGTTGTAAGCTGCTGATGCATTGTATGACAAATTCTGACGTCCAGCATTGCTCCAAGAGCCCATTCCATACATTTCTGGAAATCCCATACCACCCCACCCAGGCACAGAGTTTTGAGACATAGACTGTATGTCTGCTGGGGAGGGCATGTGGACATTTTTGGCTGCTTTAGGCTCTGCAAAGTTCACATTAAGCAGATTTGATCCCAAGCGGTGATTCTGAGACTGAACTTTTTTGGCAACTTCTCCTGAAGCAAATGTAACAAATGAAATTCCACGCATTGGTTTTGGAATGTAGACATCAATCACCTCACCAAACTTACTAAAATAATCCAAAAGATCTCCTTCATTTGTTGAATCAGGAAGACGTCCCACAAACAACTTCTTTGGCATAAATTCTTGCTATAATGAAGAGGAAAAAGAAACCATTCTACACTTTAGCAAACTTTATATACTTAGGTTAAGTATTTTAAGCATGGTGAACAGAGTCTGTCCCAGTTTCTATGGCATAAGGCAACAAGACGAAGGAGTGCTGCTACTCTTTCTCCTTACCCTGCTAGCTCTAGCCCAAGGTAAGCTCCCCCCTTCCCTCTTACCATCCCTCACCACCACCATTGCAAAATATTACGTTCCCCAGAAAGTCTGCTAAGCACTGGCACACTCTAGCATAGCAAGAGAGTGTGAGAGTGAAGTATTTTACCTGCAGAACAAAACACAATGACTCAGCTAATGCTTAAATCAGACCTCCTGACTGAGATTACAACTGACTTAAAACTGGGCATCTCCCAATCAACTTCCATTTAAAAACCATTCTTGGATTGTTCAAGATACTGGTGCTCAGTAAATACATTATTTACTACCACTGTTCCTGTCACTTACTTTACAACGTGGCAATCTCACTTCACAAAGGCGACCTTGAATGCGGTGAACCTGGGATAAAACTGTTTTTGCCACTTCAGGGTCCTTAAAGTTCACAAACCCAAATCCTCTGGATTTACTACTTCCATAATCCATTTTCACCTGACAATAATATAAAATATATGGCAGATGTAAGTACCTTATTCAATGGTTAAAGTTAACACATAATACAAAATATCCCAACATATAGTGTGTTAAACCACCAATTAATAAGGTGTATGTTTCATGATTCAACCTTCGAGAGATAATTATTCTAAATCAAGCTTTAAATATAATAACCTCTGCCATAACGACTTCACCAAACTTTTGAAAATATTCCCTCATGTCTTCTGCTGTAGTTTTCCAAGGAAGTCCAAGCACAATGAGGTCTCCTAATCCATCCTCTGGAGAAGAAATCTTTGTCATTTTTGTTTCTGGTTCTGCTTTGGTGTTAGGAGATTCTTCGATTTTTCTTTTACTAGTGCTGTCTGAAAGATTGAATATAATTTGCAACCTTACGATGAGAAAAGCAAAATAATTGTCAAGGAAATCAAAATCAATCTTCTAAATGTATCTATCAAATATATACACTTTTTGGCTGAAACTTGACAGGAAAAGCAACTGAATCAGAGGAAAAGGATCATCAATGTGTAGTTAAATCAACACCATGGAAAGGCTTGATGCAATTAGAGTGGAGAGAATTGAAAGTGGTGTTAAAAATCAGAAAACTGGTGTGAGCCTTATAGGGGAGATAAGAGTAGAACACCTACTTCAAGGCTTGTCAGAACAAGGTATACATAAATTTTTGGTGGCTTCATGCTCTTGAATGACAAGCCAATGAAACAGTCAAGACATGTAAACGGATCTAAAGTGGCTAACTGTAGGCTATGGTTTTACTTGTAGCCAAGCTAAAACCTAGTTTATTAGCAATAATAGTCTACAATGCTAGAACTGTAGAACAGATACTTTGTAAAATGTAATTAAAAGTACAAAAAGAAGAAAGTAATACTTATTTCATGATACTGTCATAGATGGTAATTAAGTTCAGAGAAATCACTGCATCTATGGCAGAATATCATTTGAATTTCCAAAAGATGAGTAAAGTGCCCATTTCGATGAATGATTTGCATTTGTTGTTGTTGTTGCTTAATCATCCAGGAGGTTTTTGAAGTATGTAGCTCTTGCCTGGGACCTTTCATAAACTATCCAAATGGCTGTTAAGTCTTCATTTCGAACTTTTATCATTTTGTGGCTAGTCGATCGCCATTTAATCTCAAACAAGTACTAAGTAAGCAAGACTCACCATTTTTCTGCACCACAACGTACAAATGCCCTCCCCATCCTTCTACAGCTGGTGGGCAAAGCATGTTTTCTAACAAACGAATTCCTCTCCAGCTGTCAGTCTCTGGGTTCTTGTACCTCAATCCACAAGCACCGGGAAACTGCGCTTGAAGAGTCGACAGTAAAATCGTTCCGTCTGCTTCAGTTGGCACTTCGATTGCTGGTAGCGACTCGTCCTCTGTGACTCGAACGTATTGAGCCATTTTAGGTTCTTCAGAAAGTAGCCTTTCAATGCTTAGGATTAGTTGTGAGTCGATTTTGCTGTCTTTTTCAACTTAAACCCCAAAGAAAAACGGTATAACAGTACAGTAGGTCCTGTCGAAGAAAATACAGACAGGTGATCCGGTCGATGGCAGACTTTACAGGTATCCCGGCATGCATAGCTAAAATTTACTCTCAACGAAAATGGCCTTTTGTTTACAGTGGCAGTACTTGGGAGGTGAAGAAAGAAATAATACATGTGACAATCAGAATGGTAACAAATCGTTTTATTGCTGTTTTTACATTACTACGAATGTAATACGTGGAGATGGATCGAGAAAATGAAACTTTTCTACAGCGAAGGCTTAGCAAAACCAAGCTCTATTACCAAAACCCACTGGTACAATAGATAAAAAAATGAAACACCACACACCAAGAGATTATAGTCTTAATTGTAGTTTATTTTCTCTTGCTCACACACAATTTGAAATGCAAATTTATTAACATTAAGCGCTGATTATTTGGTTGCTGTACATTGTTGTATCATTACTGTTAGACAAAGCAGGTGCGACGTCCTAACTACACTCTCCAATAACACGCACTATTAATTTCCAGCAAGTGCAGGCCAGAGCAATGTTTCAGAGAGCTTCCTCCGTTTTTACTGCTGTTCCTGCTCTTCTATATATGTTTAACGATAATTTTTAGCTCGATACTGTTATGATAAAGTTTGTGCCTAAGAGTTTATATGTCATTAAAAAGCGCAGTAATCGGGTAAATACAATCATGATACTGATCTATACATAAATGAAAAAGGTAAGGTAAATGGGTAACATTGCAGGTTCTGAAAGAGATTTTTTAAAATCTTTTTGCTTTCTGAAGTTACAAAACAGCGGTAGTAATGGCAGCAATCGCAAGCAAACAGCTCATTATCAAACCAGAAGGAGTATTCTTGACGCTTGTTGACAATCGTCCTGGAAGGGAAATAAACGTATATTACCGATGTGTCCAGGCGGTTGCCGTGAGGATACAATTTCGCGAATAATCAAATAACCATTTCTTCTATTTAAGTATAGCGGAAATTTCTAGCGCTTAAACTTTGCCCATCCAAAAATTAGACACAGCATCGCCCGTTTCTTAGCTATACACAGACGCCATTTTAGTTAGAAATAAAGAATAATTGAGAGATGCGACTGCATCTTTGAGGGTTCATGGTGAATTTTTTGGTCCTCTGACGGTTGAGGGTTAACCACATTAAGACCTTTTTGTAAGGTACGTGATGGTCAACCAGGTTGTGCATCAACAAGAGAATAATTACATTCTCTTGTCATCAATCACCACTTTCTGTTGGAAAATATGGGAACACGTGCACTAAAGCCAAACCCCCCCTCCCTCCGCATTGCTTCATCCTCGGTTTCCCCAATGTGAGAACTCAGGTGGTGCATACGGATACATTTTGGAAACCGATAGCCAATGGACGAAGGAAACATTAAAAAAAAAACTACCATCGATTTTCAATGAATTATCAACAATTTCTCCATAATAACGTGTTTGGTGATTGCGATGTTACAAGGGTCTACCGTCTTCCCCCTCCCTTGAACCAGAGAAGGGGTGGAGGGTTGGGGGGGGGGGATTAGAGGTGAAGAGGAGAGAGCCTGGCAATGGGGCAGAAACGATTATTTCATAACACCTACCTTCCACTGTCACGGAGTTCTCTGCAGGTTTTAGAGCTAACAAAAGACAAATGGACAACAGTCAGTGAAGAGAATCTGTTACACAGGCTTTAAGACCATACCAGTATACCAGTTATTCTCTGACAGATGGTGATGGCTTTTACAGCGAACGGTAAAAACTTTGGCCATCTTACGGCTAACAGTTAATTTCTTTCAGCTGCAGCTAAAAGAAAAATTTCACGGTTAACTTTAATTTCTTCACGACGAAAAGTTAAAAATTTATCAATTTCTGCACCTAACGGCTATTTTTTTTTGCGGCTTTACGGCCAACAGTTGACATCCTTGAGACCCTCCTCATAGCCTCATTGAGACGTACTCTCCTAGCAGCCTCATGGATGGCTTAGCTTCTTGGTTCTCACCTCAAGAATTTATATTTACTCATTCATCTGTTCTTGCAGACCTTTTTTATTTTGATGGCGGTATGGTATTATTTTATATCGAGCGTGGCAATAAGAAGGCCCCCCCCCCCCTCATGATCTTGCCTTTAGTAAAAACTCTATAACTGAACTTATGTTGTGACGAAGGACTCTGTAATGATCAGGGGTCATCTATAGAGCCTTTTGGAGTCACAAACTTGAACCATCAAATTTGATATCTTAACCCTTTAACTCCCACGAGTGACCAAGACAGAATTTCTCCTTACAATATCATTACAGTATCAAGCAGACAAGGGATGAGAAAAAAGAAAAATATCAGTTAGGGGATTATAAGTCGATCGAATACCAATTTTTTTAAACTTCCATCACAAGAAGTGTATGGAGACGGTAAGGAGAATTGCTAATGAGATCTTGGGAGTTAAAGGGTAAACACAAGAGATTATAAACCACAAACCACATGCCGCCCAGGCCGCCCAGGCCGCCCCAGGCCGCCCCAGGTCGCCAAACATCACTCATCAAATTTCACCACAGAAACACTAGCCAATCAGTTGTTGTTTTCAGTCGCATCGCAGGAACGCACACTAAAAATATATTTAGAAAAAATCTTTGGAAGAGGGGTTTGTAGGGGGGATAATTTCTCTCATTTTATAATCTCTTGCTTGATACAAATATCTTACACCAAGGAACCCACCCTTAAGTTACTCACCGACATTTCGCAGTAACAACGCTTGAGTATGACACGAGGGAATGTCATTAATGCCAGACATCTCGTAAAAGGGACAATACACATTGTCCATGTTGTCATTGTAGTCTGTTATCTTGAGATAAAACATTCCGGTTGGTAAATCGGCGAAGACAGTTGCTTTGTTTTTGTACAAACCATTATGACTTGCATCGTACACCCTCAAAAATTGTCCAGTCTTATTTGCCGATGCGATTTTCTCAATGACCAGTTCGGCCGGCCTTTTCAAGGCAAACACAGTAATACGTTTAAGAAAGCTATCGCTCTCGTTAACTGCTTCCGGTAACATCTTCCAGCATAGAGTGATATCATCCCCTTCTGAAGCATATGTTATGGGAGGACTTGGGCAATCAGTAGCGGCATTACATCCAGCTGAAGAAGAGAAAGAAAGACAGTTAGAAGTGTGAATACCAGACGTACTATCACGTGTAGTTCGCGTGCACTATCTTAGTACAGTAAGGCAAATAATTCCTGTAGCGTTAGAAATTACTAATGCGCATGTATTGCTCTTCCGATCCAAGTTGAAATAAAGTTAACAACGGAACCGGTTATTATTTAGCGTCTGGAGGGGAGGGGAGAGGGAAGGGGAGGAGGGGGGAGGGGGGGGGGGGGGGGGGGGGGGGGAGGGGGAGGGGGAGGGGTGTCAGGGGATTTTGTTCGTGTTGCAATAATATTCATGTCATCACCCTTAAGGCTTTGCTGCATTCTAATGATCTCCTGATTTGCAGTCTATATCCCTCTTTAATATTCTGTGGGTGTCGACTGATTCCCCTCTTCGTTCCCACTAAAAACCATGTGATCCTCCCCAAAAGCCTCAAAACCCAAAGGATAAATGACGACCCATCCCTTGGATAAAACACCTACCATTGAAAATGCCTAAGGAAAAAATGCCAATGAAAATTTGTAGAAAGATGTGCTGTCTCATGCTGATCCTTGCTGAACGACAAATTGCCTCTAAAGAGTAAGAAAACAAGAAAATTTCAAATAAGAGAGGATAATGTTTCATAAAAATTTTAAAACATCCGGCCCCTCCCGAAGTTTTGGCCTAAATCTGGCGGTCGAAATCCGGCAAATTATTGTCGGAACTATTTAACTCATAATTATCTGTATGTACCCACAGCTAATTTCAACCTGGATATTATTTTTAACAACACACGAACGAATTCCGTAGTTTCAAATTTCTTATTCGCGGGTGCAGTATCTTGACATTTTTCTCGTGATTGCGTTCCAGTCTCCCTGGTCCTGGTGGAGGCGTGACGCAGGGCGTGAACTTGTCGTCTGTAGACCATCTCATGAATGGCGGGGCATATTTGCATTTGATGTCCATTAAAATTTGTCTGTCTAGTCTCGACTACTTGTTCAAAAACAACAGAATTTTTCCTCAAAGTGAGGTTTAGAAGGCTTCGTAGCAAGCACGTAAAAGTATAATGATAATTCCCGTCAGAGGTGTAGGGGATGTATTATTTGGACCCATTACTATGAGACTCACACAATTCACTAAGTTACTTTGGAAGATGATAGGATTTAGCACTGCGTGTGATGAAGAAATGGCGGTGCAACAATGGAGTGATCTTCTGGAAGTACGCTAGACTTTCTTTATTGTTTCGACGATTTCAGATTGCTGATTGACGGATGTAATCGACAAATAAATGAAAGCAATTTAACCTTCTGAAACCGTTTCCTTCATTGAAATACGGTTGTTGACTTTTATCGATGAGTTTTCTAAAGGATATTTTGAAATGAAAGATCTCTTGTAAATGTTAAAAGCTGTTACCTTAGTTTGTATTAGATCTGTTCAGTTCCTCCAAGTCGATTTGAGCGGTACCGCTGTTTCCTGCTTGCAAACAACGTCGCGTGTGCTGAACGCAATGGATATATTAAGCGTCTGCGAACTTAATCACTGCTTGGCATCATATTCTTGTTTCATCAGGAGACGGAAATACCGAGAAATCCCGATCTGTAATCAAAGGTTGATTACACGATGATATTTCGTATGGATTCTGGGGTGGTCTTGCACTGTTAGGGGTGGGGAAGGGTGGGGGACGGCTTGAGGAGCTTATTTCCGGGGGAGCGTATCGACGTTGAATTGGATAACTTTTCGAACGAGCCATCCTGCCGTACAACGAGACGACGCTAATGACGAAAGTTACTTAGTCATACCACAAACCACAATAAGGAAAGGTGGGTAAATGCAGTCTTACTTCTAGCCAACATTGAGGAATAATAGGATAAAGGGCTGCTGATAATGAGAAATAAAGGTGTTTACCCCTATCTTAGCCTGTTTCTTGGGGCCTATGGTCGAGATTTTAAAGTAACCTGCTTTTCCCATGACAGTCAATGGATTATAAGACCGGAGGTTAAAATTAAGAGCTTTCTTATATAGTAAAGGCCATTGTTTGCGCCTGTGTGACAACAGCTAAGCCTGTGTCACGGAAAATCTAAGTATGTTCCGGAAACTTATAACCTCTTCTTGAGGACACAGGACTGAAATAATTTACAACGTTGCACTCTTCACCTTATCGAAATGTTGGGCAAACAGAACAACACAATTGTGATGGTAAATTCTCCCTGAGCATGATGATGATGAAAAAAGTGACTAATTATGTCATAGTTTGTCACAACAACCCAGAAAACTTACAGAATAGAGATGATAACGAGTGCTCCTAACCGGAGTCGAATCTATATATGGCTCTCCGATCTGCTCGATTTTCAAAAGCCTAATTTGAGGAGCTGAAAGGCTCCTGACCATCAGCAGCCGGGTGTTTCCGACAGCGCAAACTAAGAGGGGCAACAGCCATCTACCAAAGTCACTCAAAGTTTATTCACTTTAAAACTAGGTTATAGTCTTCAGCGAAAATACGTCATGATGAAGCAAAATCCATACATAAAGAAATAAGAACACAGAGAAAACAATTTTTCTTATCGCCCATGGGTGTTAGCCCAAGGGAAAAGTGAGAAAACTTCACCAAAAGTGTACTCAGTACAACTATAAATGCAGAAGAGGTCCAATAGCTCGACTTAAAACTTTCAAAAAAGTATGAGCAAGACACGCGGAGTTTCACTCATTGACAGCTTATCAAAGTTATCTTGAAAATTTGGCTGTGTATTCACTGATTCGCTATTCACAAATAAATTAAATCAAAAATGATAATAGATTCAACCTTTTATACATAACAATAATTATACAGGAACAGCAAAACAAAATAGGCACTAACAAATGTTCACACTCCTGTTTTAGCTACGTAAGGTCAGTTATCCTGCCAAGTGTGGACAGTACAGGGTCTTATTAGGCCGGACATTATTCATTGTCTGGGGGGAGGGGAGTGAGGGGGGCGGAGGATTTTGGGGGATGAGATGGTTTTCAGGTTAACGGAAGGGGAATCAGTCGTCGCTAGTAGAGTATTAAGTGGGGAACGTACTATGGAAAATTGACTGCCAATGAAACAGGGGGGGGGAAGGGGAGATCATGAGAATATTGCAGAGTCCTATAGGGGGGATCGTATTTAATTTAACGTGACACAACTAAAATCCTCCAACCCCCACCCTACCCCACCCCACCCCCAGGTGACAAATATTGACCAGGCCCCCAGTCAGTGTTGTAACTGGATCAGTTAGTGTCAAAAACAGTTAAAGCTGCTCAGCCGCGCAGTTCGTTTTGACGGGAATATGGTTAGCTTGTTTCCTTGCCTTGCAAAACAGAAGGAAGCAAACAATTGCACCAATGAGGGCAACACCAAACAAACAGCTCATAACTATCAATGCAGTCCTTGAAGAAGGAGCCATGGTAGGGATTGGACCTGAAAAGTGGAAAAAAATAATTTAGCAAAGAGATGAACAACTTGATAGTAAATGAGGCCTGTGCTGTTTAGTTTATCAGTGTTGATTATCCGCGTCATCTTCAACTTTCCATATTCCTCAGTTGAAGCGCGTTATCGTCTTTCTCGTGTTTTCTAAATTGCCGAACCTTAAAAATTTCTCCTGTCAATGATTCATGGTTCTTTTTTTTTTCAAAAAAAGACAACCTTCCAATTTATGATGAAATGAAGAGTGCAACTCACTTTTCATTATTACTGCTGACTTTCATAACTAGTTGTCGGGGACTGGGACTCACATTACGCAATCGTGTAATCTAAGTTTTGACTACAGAAGTATGAAACGTGTCCGGAAATACACTCCCAATTATTTTCGTAAAACCGAAGCGTTGTCAGTTCTCTTAACCTTCACTCGCGAACCTGCGAAGACCTTGTAACCTCAATTGTGTTTATTAAACGTATAAAATCCGCCTCGAGACTTCTCTTGGATACTCTCTCTTGCGGCCAGAGAATTCCAGGAAATGAAAGTCTCCTTGATTAACTCCGTTAGGGTAAAGGGGGGGGGGGAGGGTGGGGCGATGAGAAGAGGAGTTAACAGTAGACCTCTAACACCTTCTTGCAACTGTAACTGGGGTAACCTTGATTACGTGGTTTGGGCCGTTTAATACGTGCGCACGACTTTGCATACTTGTCTTTCAAAGGATCTCGCGCATAGCACAGCGGGGAGTAACCTGACTTAAAGAACAGTTCATATCCACCCACCTTTAGTAGTTGCTTCTGGTGTTGCTGTGCTCATCTCAGTAGCAGGACTACTTACTGTTTTGCCCGTGGTAGATTTGGTCGTGGTTTCTGTTGCCATCATTGTGGTGGTTTGTAATGGGACTTCACGGAGGTCTGCAGACAGATTTCAACAGAAACCAGAAATCGAGACAGTTTGCATTTTAATTTTTTTTTTCACTTTTAGGTCTCGTTATCTTCATTTGAAATTTCCTTTGCTCTAATGAACATGGACAAATAACTTAAGAACCTCGCAGATATGTAATCAGTCAAGCTTATCCGATCGTTTTTGCCGCAATCGAAAAAAAAGAAAAAAGAAAAACCCGTCCATACAGCGTTCAGTTGCCTAATGTCAAAGTTCTGATTTGGCCGAATAACTTTGTCACACCCACAACAACAAGATCCAACGGGGCCTACACACCGTTTCCAAGTCGATCAGAGACTACACTGTTATCAAACCTGAAACGGTACAAAAATGTTGTCAACCGGGCTAGACACGATAGCGTGGCTAACAACATTCTTTGTAAATGATGCTTAAATGGCGAGATCGAAAGACCTTTACGGCTAAACAGAATAAAGTAACATAACAGGAATATCGACCTGCACTCTGCTTTACGCCATCACAGTGCACCCGAAATCACTTGCTTCGATAAACCGCTTCGCCTTGGACAACTTCAATATGGACAGGTAAGTTATCGATGAGCAAATACGCTCAGATGAGGAAAAGCGTTACAAGCCAGCATATTCGCATTTTAGGTATACGTACTCACCAATATTTCGCAATAACAGCGCTTGAGAATGGCATGGTGTTAAGTCATTCATGCCCAACCGGGATTGGTAATGCACACAGTACACATTGTCCATCTTTTTCGTGTAGTTCGTAATCTTGAGATACACCATTCCGGCGGATAAATCGGCAATTACAGTGGCTCTGTTGACGTAATTTCCGTCATGCTTCCTAGGGTACACCTTTTCAAAATATCCAGTCCCATTTGCAGAGCCGACCGGATCCATTACAGACTCGACTGGCCTTGACAGGGCCCTAACATAATAGCGGCTCACAATACTAGAGTTGGCTACAATTCGCCAGCACAAGGTGACGTTATCGCCTTCCGAAGCATATGTCATCGGGGGACTAGGGCAAGAAATTGCGGCAACTTTGACTCTTGCTGAAGAAAAGATAAAGAAATAGAGTGGAGTTGAGTGAAAGTATTTTTGTTTAAATACTGAATATATCGAAGAACAGAGACGGTTGGTAGCTATATCTTTCACTGTTGCTGGTTAACTAGAAATAAGAAGCTTTGATTTTCCCTACTTACCAATTAATACGTTTATGAATAAAATTCCTTTGAAAATTTGTGGCAGGATCTGTTTTTCCATTCTTGTCCTAAGAGAGAGAGAGAGAGAGAGAGAGAGCACTCTCATTTGATGTTTCAGTCAGCATCCCAACATTTATTTCAAACCCTTTACACCCTAACATCGGCATGCATATTCTCCGTACTGGTCTCCATACATTTCCCATCATACTGGTAAGGAGAATTTGGAAAACAATCTAGAGCTTCTTAACTTGATGATCTCTTCAAGAGAGAATCTCTTCATGAGAATTTATGACTCATAAATTATCATGAATTTTTTGTTGAGCAGTGAAGCTGTTAGGAGAAATAAGAAACCGGTCACTTAAATTAAGAAAACAAAAAACCGACTTCCATATCTACAGAGCGAAGATCTGTCTCTCTTTGTTTGCCTATTAAGGGTTTGGAGAAACTTTGGAGAAAGGACATCGTGCGATTGTTAACAAGGCAAATTGTCTATTTCCGTGATGCTAAAGTTATTTATTTTAAACCGAGAGTAAGAGTGGAACCTTAATTTTCTAGAAAGAAAGGGGTACAATTTGTGTCACGCAAGTTAGGTGGCTAATGTAAAATTCATCGACCGATGGAAAAATAAACCGTCGCATTAAAGACTGTTTTAATGAAAATCTAAGACCAATGCTTCACTCCACTGTTGATCACACCCCTAAAGCAATTTAAAATCGCTTTACTCTTCCTTGTGTAAATGAGCGTGATTTCTTGAGTCTCAATTGCAATGTCACGCAATTCTCCCAAAAAAAATCGCGCAGCAGAATTAGGGCTGAGGAGGCCTCTCTGAGACATCAGCGTACACTTCCTTTAATGTAAAAGTGGAACTCTTGACCCTCTCGGCACAAATTGAAAAACGTGATGAACCTTTAGCACTGATAATTGAAATTATTATTTTTTAATTTGATCCCTTACAAATAGCCATTCCACGCGACGTGATATTGTGTAACATTCTAAGCTTGTCTTTTTTTTTTTCGCCGGATTTGGTTGATTTTTTTCTCCAATAATTAATGAAGATTTGCCACTCAAAATATTATTATTTAAGTATTCTTATCTTGATCTGTCCTAACAGGAGAGGGTATTAGAAAGTTTTTATAAATTTTGACTGATCACGATTTTTCTTGACACGAGCCGGGTTGCGTAAGGTTGGTTGAACATGGTTTTCATCGTGAAAATAGCAGGACGATAAAACAAAGATATAAATAAAAAGTTTTTTAAATAACATTGAACCAAGTAAAAGTTAGGTGACATTTGGCATTGCAGATCTCATCTGCGCCATTATTAAAAAAAGATTACAACGGACGAACAAGACAGTGTGAAGAAAAGGGGTTCTTGAGTCACGAATATCTTGAGAAATTGCAGTGTTAAAGATTGATTAGGAAATTTTTTGTAAAACATTCTCTGGGGTGGCAGCTGTAAATTAAAACCAGTGAATTAAACAAATTACTTTAGTCACAGGAAAGTTATGGCAACTCCAAAACAACCTCACTTTGTTTCAATTGACCAGATGTCGCTTAGCTGAAAAAAAATGCAGTTTTTAAAAATTCTCAAAAAGAATTAAAGTTCTGTTTGCAAACAACCCCATCCGTCAGTCCAGTTTACTTCTGTGCGAATGTGGAAATAATTCAGAGCGTCAGCACTGAGAAAATTTGTTTTTCTTCAATTATATAACTTTCGGTACTATTTACACGAAAACAAATCATGCTACTTCGGTGTCATGGCCGTAGAAGTTTTTTGTCATGTATATATTTCAAACTTGGGTCACCATGTTCAAAAAAGAGTTCATTGCCGGAAAGAAGCAACTTACCAGACGAGTGAAATTAAACTTGGACAGTTTCCGGCAGTTACGATTTTACCTCGAGTTTGCGTGCACAGGCATAAAAAGAATAAATTATCATGATCGTTCTGAAAGAAAACTTTTTTTCTTGGTTTCGAATGGAAATTCGTTCACATCTCTAATGCAAGCTATAGCTAGCAAATAAACGAACTTTTAACGTGAATTGTACTTACTTTGGTTTTGAATTAGATGTTAACACTGCTTCAACTTGACTTTGGCTGCGGCAAACACCCCGAGAACTTTGCTTTCTTTTAGGGCATTAGTAATTAAGTCGCAAAGACATGTGCTGTCATGTGCCCGAGGCATTCGACCAAAGTACAAGGTTCTATTTAGCGATCAGTGAACGTTCGACTGACTAATAACTCGTGATTGATACTACGCTGAGTCCAATGAATAAAAATCAAGGTAACGCAATTAAACTCATGCCCTTCGAGTAACCTAAATTAGAAAAAAAGATTCATTTCCCTTTTGGAATTTGCTTTACCTTACAGAGAAATCTGGCGTTGATAAGCGAGGCAACGACACAGATTTCCAGCGTTCTCTAAACAGAGAGAGTCTGAAGCGAAAGGCACCGTTGGGGTATATTTTAAATTTTAGACTAGTTGTTTATATTTTATCGTGAATTAAAAAACATTGAAATCCAACACACGAGATTATCACTTATTGCGTCATAATTTTCATGGTCGTTTAGGAAATAAGACAACCTTTTTCCAACCATTTTTTCAGAAATTCAAAAATGGGACTCTTCTCTGAACTGCAGACAGTTAAAGAATTGATACGACTTGCCTAACCCAACACAACATCTTGCGGAACATTCTGTCGTGCTGACAAGGCTTAAGGGTGTCGAGAGGTAAAACTTCCATTTATGGAACTTTGCCAAAACAGTGTACATGCTTACAAAAGCTGATTGATTTGTTTACGTCGATGAGAACAGTTTACTTATATCTACAAACAATAAATTAAGACGTTCTACAGCTATCAACACTGCCACGGCATAATACCCTAGAGATTGTGAAGCTCTTTTACGAGGTGAGCACGAAATTTCGCCCGCGTGCAAATCAATAGAAAGGCTTTGAAGACATCAGTGCATTAAAATGATGTATCATGGAACCCTCTGCCATAGGGCATTTTTTAAAAGTTTTTTTAGGAGATGTAACACAGGATGATCTTTGTAGGTTCGAAGTTCAACACCGAGAATAGATATTTAAAGAAATCCTTTAAAATCATCAGAACACGCCTAGGCCTGAGTACAGCACCACATATGCCGCACGTGATAGTCAGAAACAACCTTGACAGACCTTACCGGTAGAGAGAAGAATCTTATTTGCAGACAGAATTTAATTTATTCAGCCTTTCTGAAAAGTTGTCGAACAGATGTTACGAAATCCGCATCCTAAATTGCAGACTCTTCCGTTGCCAATAGCTCACGATTGTGTTCATGGCGTCACAGTCCACTGATCTTCCTAAACTGATCTTCGATGGAATCGTGCTTCAATTCTCGTGGAATAATGACGGTATCAGGTGGTAAAATCACAAATATCGGTTACTGATTCAAGTTCTTCACGGTTCACGAGAAGCCTTTCGATCATTGACTGATCACGTCAATAAAGAAATTCATCCAATCACGAAAAATATCCCTGTACGTGACTAAAGAGGGCCACGTTTATTGAGCGGGTAACTTTCCTTGAGAGTTAGAAATAAATGGCAAATTTATGTGTATAACCTGACCTAGCTGATCATAATTGGCCCTGGTACAACTATATACTATCTACGATTTCGTTAGAATAGGAAAACACAGAATAAAACATTCCTAAATCATTAACCACTACATACTATACCATAGTTTATGCAGCTTACAGCTAGTTACATACGTGTAGATACAGGGGCAGTTGAATTGATGGTTACAAGATAAAAACAAAAGAAATGAGAAATCCGTGATAACTCATAAGAAAAAACCTAACTCAATATTTAAGACTTTAATTGATGATATGGCAAAATTGTTAAACTTGATGCTCAATACAATAAACTTCTTCGTTTTGTTCAAAAGCAAGGAAACTGAAGAAACAAATCGTTCGCTGTAAAAGTTTTGACGGTGAGTCATTTGTCACATTCTGTCTTGCGCGCAGCAGAAACATATGAAGGATGATAAACACCGTTCAGCCTCCATTTGGCTCGCAAATATGCTCGTATATTTGTCCGTGGACATCATCTGTTTCTTGAAGTTCGTGTTTCCTCAAGCTTCGCTCTCGGAAAACTGCCGGCTCCTCAGAAGAGATGAAGTCTGCAGACCAATATTCGAACATACTTTGGCGCAAATTGGAGGTCAATGTTTAAACATTGAACAAACCGCGACAAACCGCAACAACCAGTTCTAAACCAAGTTAGTCTCAATGAAATGCACATTTTAAGCGTCCACCCTGAATCTTGAAGCTGATTTTTTTCCGCTAAGGCGATATACAAAGTTGTAGAATAAGAATTTGCCGCATTGTCTGACCAAAGAGCTCATGAGATAAATATTTCTGTAAGTCTCAGGATCTAATACTTGTTTCTCTCTTCCGTAGCTCTAAATTTCATTTAACCTACTGCAGCTTAAAGAACAAAAAAGAATCAATTTGCAGCTAAAGGGACTCAGTTTCTTCGAGGATGTCGGATTTTAAGTTGGCTTGATGGGATTTTCTTGCACAGCAACACAAAACGAAACCAAAAATGGCAAGAATGAGAGCAATAGCAAACAAACAGCTCATGATTATCAAAGCCGTTCTGTAAGGCTGGACAGTAGGTGAACCTGAAAAGAAAAGAATAGAACTCAGCTACCTGACAATTTCTCCCTCCTCCTCCCCCCTACCCCCCTGCCCCCTCATCTTCTTAGTAAAACGTCTTTCAACTCTATCTTCGTCTGAAGTGCGAGCGAAAGCAGAATGCAAGGGATTGTAGGGTGAAGGGAGAAGAAGGGAGGGGGGGGGGGGGTTGGGAAGGGGGAAAGAGAGAAAAAAGTTCCCATTGACTAACAAAACTGCTAAGGGGGTGGGGGTAAGGGGTGAGGTAGGGTTATACGCCACGCTTGGAGTGATACAATTTACGTAAATACATGAGCATCTTAACTCCTGAGCTAATCTAAATGCGCATGCTTCATGCGAAACCACAAACTAACAAACACTAATCCACGAGTACCCACCTTCAGTTGTCACCTCTGTGATTTCTGTATTTTCAGTTGCGGGTGCTGTGGTGATAGTCGCCGTGGTGATAGTCGCCGTGGTGATAGTCGCCGTGGTGATGGTTGCCGTGGTAGTTTTCGAGGTGGTTTCTGTGGTCATCGTTGTGGTAGTTTGTACTGGGGATTCACGGTGGTCTGCAGATTATGTTCAGGAGAGATAAATCCGTTTACAAATGGGAATTGAAAGAAATCAGTGACTGCTTTGGTTCTGCTTTATTTGGTTGCATGATTGGGTAGGGAAATTCTAGCCTATGTGTAGCCGTATCCTCCCCCCCAAGGTTACCTCGCCTCCGTTTCACCCTGGGGGGGGGGGGAGGGTACGGTTACACGAAGGCTAGGGGAATTCGCGCTTTTGGTTCTTCATAGCTTGCTGCAAAACAGTAAAATGACCCGAGTCTCTGGTCCCATCGCGGAGAGCATAATTACAAAGCAATACAAAACAAATATCTAATTATCTTCAGTCGTGACACAATTACGTTTCTCAAAAAACTGATCACGGAGACATCCTTTAACCATGGGAAAACTACAGAATGTCTGGGTGTCAAAACTGTGGTCTATAGTTTCCATAAACAGGTTGCTTTTTTTAAAAACTGTTGTAGGCCTATACTCATTCAAAATTAAGAATCAAAATCTCTATAGTCAGGGCTAAGGATCCTGAGTAATTACAGTGACAAGTGCATGGTTTCAAAATCACGACTAACAGTCCAATGTGTTGAGTCTGATGGTCTGAGTGTGGTTAGTCATTTCTACACCGGACACATGAGATGAACTCACCAACATTTCGAAGTAACAGCGCTTGAGAGTGACACGCTTCCAAAGGAGGACCGTCTGAAATATTGTACAACACACAGTAGACATTGTCCATCTTTCTGGTGTAGTTTTTGATTCTGAGGTACAACATTCCCGCAGATAAATCGGCGAAGACGGTAACTTTGTTGAGGTACAAGCCGTCATGATATTTAACGTATACCTCTTCAAAATGTCCTGTCCCATTTGCAGAGGCGACTTCATCCATGTTGGTTTGGATTGGCCTTTTCAGTGCCTTGATAATATAGCGGTTCACACTACTAGCGTTGACTGTAATTCGCCAGCAGAGAGTAACGTTATCGCCGTCCGAAGCATATGTGATTGGGAGACTGGGACAGGAATTTGCGGCATCATTGTCACCAACTGAATTGGGAAAAAAAAGGAGCATCGTTTGGGTGAAGTTAGTGTTGCAAGTGGAAGGCGAGAAAATATCTACAGAGCGTACCACTCTCAGCGAAACGTAACCAGGACCCATGAACCGTGCTTTCAGTTCTTCTCTAAACCCTCTTTTATGATATAATTCTTCTCACAGAACTGATTAACTTCTCTAACTTGTCTGCTCCTTGGCTTTCTCTAACCGACTCTGTAGAAATCGCTCCTATTTATAGTATTAGTAGACATGAGTGGGCATGTACGAAAAATGATCTTGGAAGATTAAACATTTTCACAAGAACACTAATCCTCACACAGGAAGATCTCACGAATGAACAACAACGGAATTTAAACTTGTGATCAAACATTCAATTTTTGACTCAGAAAGCCATAACGAAAAACTTAGGGTTGGGTCCAAGGCAATGTCAGCACATAAACTAAACCCGTCCATAATGGAAGAAGAGAGGACTGTCAAAACCAAAAACTCGTCGTGATGGCTAAAACCCAAATCACTTCGGACTTTGAATTCAAATCTTCATTAAATGCTAAATATAACCAAACAAACTTCGGAAAAATGTCAAAGGTGCTCTAAAAAAGATTATTATCATAACTATTAAGAATTACAAAGTACTTGGGGCTCTTTTCTACCCGCTCATGAACTACATCACAAGTTGTTCAAAACACAGATGTGCATCTGACAGAGCTGGACTTAATTTTGTAGTTTAGTTTAACAACAAGAAGAGAAGCTTCGATATAACCACTTACCAATGAACACACTTATAAATAAGATTCCGTTCCAAATGTTGAGTATTTGTTTCCCCATGCTTGTGTTTGCATGCGGAAGAGCTAACATCAGATTCACCTGAAAGAGAAAAATTAAACGCTTGGCACCTGGCTTAGTGAAATTTCCAAAAATATTCCGACACCTTCCGAAGAAACACCAAAGATGTCCCGACGATTTCCGAAAAAGTTCCGAAGATATTGCATCAGTGTCCTTTTTATCAGAGAAAAAAATTGAATTCGAAATTTGAAAAATCAACAGGTATTTGTGCAGTTAACAGTTGCCATACAACAACAAACGCCTGAATATATACACTGTGTTAAAAGAATCACCTCACCGATAATTCGCGTTGAATCAGAAATTCTCAGCACGAACAAATTGCAAGTAAACTATTTTCTCTTTATCAAAGAAAAATTTTGGCAATTCAATGGCGATCTGTCAAGTTATCTCTACATTACTTTGGCGAGCAAATCAGATGTTGCCCTCTATGTTAGAGTTGGTAAAAGTTAAAATCAATTTTTTGAACGGAAATTCGTCGACGTTTAAGGTGAAGAAGCTATTAATTCCACTGCAAAGATCGATTATGCTTACCTCGGTATGTATTTCTTTGTAATGCTGTAGCAGGACTGGAGCTGAGATAAGCTTAAAGGCTTATCTTTGCTTCCACGTGAATTATAAAATATTTAGTATTCAATTTAGATCATGTGCCTGAACAAAGTTCAAAGGTTCTAGTTGAGGACCAAGTACCCTTTGCTTTCTCATATGATTAAAGCCACGCTTTAGTCCTGTGAGAAGCCAAGGTAACGCCATCCTTCTGGTCACATATCCTGAAGACTGCATCATATGTTGCGCGGCACGAGAGGGTTTCTAGATTTTCTTACTGCATCCAACAATCCTCGTAGAAATCTGCTCTACGACCCTGGGAAAGAAGCTGTTCATATTCTATTCCCCACCCCATGAGAGGGAAGGGGGAAACAGGCTTTAAGGTTGGGTGAGAAAAGGTCCCTCCGACTGGCTTCGGGTCTTATAAACCAATTATTTTCGCTATCATAATAGCAGTTAGCAGATATTTAATCGACCGCGCTATAATTGCCTGAATCAACTACTGATTAAAAATATATAAAAGTAACCAAACAAACGGAAGAAAAACAAGGAAAATGAACCACAAGCCTGTGAATGATGATTGCATCATATATTGTAGCTTTCAAAGGGTCATTTGAAAATTGGTTTAAAACATATTTGTAAACCTGAAGAAAGCAGGACATTTTCAAAACATTTGACAAATAATATAGATGTTTTCCTCTACTATAGCGTTTCTCCTTTAACTTGACTTGACTGATCGTCTCTGTCGATTAACCAGTTCCCCCTGGGGATATCTCAACAACTGTCAACATCAAATGTAATTATCTACGACCGGTTTAAAAGTGTTTTGCTGACTCTAAGGCAACGTAATTCCTCGGGATAAGAGCAGTGAGTTACTTCCATATTTTGAGCACGCCATCCCTGCCAGCCGATATGATATAGTTCTGGGGTAATTTAGTGACTGCGATGTCGTTGATACATTCATGATGTCCCATAGGGGGATGGTCGGGTCCTCGTCGAGGTAGATCATCATGTATGCCACCCTGGCGTGGCTTACAGTAAACTTCCTGGAGTACATCGGTACCGTCTATAAGACGTGATCTAGAAAAAGAAACAAGCATATAGATGATGCGTGTATAGCATTGGTTTTCTGAAATACAATAAACTATTGGAAAATTCAAGGCCGCTTTTAATAAACAACGAGATATCTTTAAATTTTGCCAAAAAATTAAATCTCGATAACGCTATTTCGCTGGATGAATAAACCGCGAGGTAAGTTGAAACTATTTTAGAGTAAAGTGCAAATTAAACAAAGAAACAATTGTGATGACCTAGATCTGACAAATGAAAATAACGAAATTGTTGTCAATTGACCATGTTCTCAGCCTTTAAATACTCCGTCAAGATACAATTGACGATAGTATACTCGATAAGGTAGTCCTTACTTGTACTGTAGTACCACACCATTCAGGTTATCAGTAGCAACTCCTGCCACCATCTGGGAACGTTCAGGATAGGCCAGGTCCCACAGCCGAATCCGCCGATCTGAGCCTGCGGTCAGGATGTACGGACTAACATCCTTTCTGCTTGTATACAGCGCATGCACTGCGTTAGGGGAAACCTAGAAACCAGACGAGAATAGCGATTACTCAGAGGATTCTCCGCCGCTATTTCCTTCTCTATGCGGCATCAAAGCCTTTGTGTAGTAAACAAGGGAGTTTTAGATCCACGTTTGTTTCTGAATACGCATGACCGCAAACGTCTAGCAGTCACGTGACCAGACTTCAACGGTCACGTTTGCCGTTTGCCGTCCACGTTTGAACTTCGATTTTGGGTAAAAGCCAATGTCGATCTAAAAAGCTGAAAGCCTCGAAACTTCTAACCTCTAACCTCAAAGTGCTTACCGCGGTTTGACGTTTGCGGTGAACGCAACAAACGTGGATCGCTGCCATTAATCAAGACTAACAGATTTAAGAACTCGTTTATCATGCACCATGCAACCAAGGCCACTGGATAGTTCAAATTTCATTATTATATTTATCGTGTGTGTATAGATTATCCATTATTGTTTTTAAACATGTAATTCAGTCTCAAGACTTATTTTAATAAACGATTTATCCCCCTTCTCATCTCTAAAACTCTCTAATAAAACATAGTTTTAAAAACATAAAAGAAGTTCTGAGCAACCTCACATATCTTCGGTATTATGTAATGAAAAACTGATGAGGAATACAGATACCCTTTCAGGTCCAACGGCACAGGACACTGCAACCAAGACATATCACTTAGATGAGATTCAAAGCCTTGAGCATAGCTACAGACCTGTGTTTGCGAGAGGGGAGGGGTGTGACTTGCCCACAGAGCTTGTCTCCACGCTCCAGTCTCCAGGTCCCAAACGGTCACTTCATTGTTACCTTGCACGGCTGACACTACCCAGGACTGCTCGGTCGGGTGTGTGGCGAGCCGACGAACACGGGCGCCTGGTGACCAAGAAAGAAGCATTACAAGCATGAAAAAACCTTATCAAACGTCACACTTGCTATGCGACTACCCCTTACGGTTGTTAGCATATTGATGGGGTGAGACAGGTCTGTCTGGGACCCAAACCGAGATACATCATCTTTAAATTTACAAAAAGAAATGGGAAAGTATAATTTATACACTTTTGCTGTGTCCTTTTCCATCTAGGAAAAACGGTAAAATGTTACCGTGAAGTGATAAGTACTTTAGAGGGGAGGGGAAAGGCATGCACTCCGGCACTCATAACCATCGTGTAAATGTTAACTTAAAACCTTACATTGCGTTCTGAAATCTATCGTCGTATGTTAAGAAATTGGGTGAAACAGAAAGAAAGTACCTCTTGGATGAGACAGACTCGTGATCGGCAGCTGAAATCGTAGATCCCAGCAGACTAACATACCAGCACTCGTCCCCACGGTCAGCCAACTGTGACAAGGGTCCACCACAAAGGACGTGATCACACCTGATAAACAAACGTCAAAATTATTGTAACTAATCACAACTGAGAATGAATCAGTTTTGATTACTTCAAGTGCTGCGTCATACCGCTGATAAAAGATACAAGTCTCCGAGACCCATCGCTGTAGAAATATCAGGGCCCAGTTGTTTAAAGAGTGGATAACGCTATCAAATGGATAAATCACTATCCAGCGGATAACTGTTAAGAAAACGTACCGCGCTATCCATCGGGTAGAGATTTATCCAGTGGATAGCGTTATTACATGTTTGGACAACCGGGGCCAGGAGATTAGGACCAATTTACAACAGCCATGTTTACAAAACAGCAGCATCCGCTATAGCTTGTCTCTTCTTGAAGTTCTAAATTAAGCAATTACGCTAAAACATTTCAATAGCCATTCCATGCCTCTTCTCAACTCGGTATTTCCAATTATTTTTACACCGGTCTAGCGATCCTTTGGCTTGTTGAACTTTCAAGAAGTCCAAACGATTTTAGGCTGTAATACGAGGTACTACAGGCGGTAAATTTTAACGGTTACCGCCTAAAAAGGAGACCACTGCCAGCTTGGAAAAAATCTCTGACATATCCACCATAAACATGCTACTCAACAAAAACAGTGTAGTCCAGGCTGTGACTTCGCGGTTTGCACCCTAAATTCAGGATACATGGGGCAAGCAAAGCCATTGAATTGTGTCCTTTCACAAGAAACCCTGTCACGGTGCCTTACTTATTCTATTACCCTCTTATTCTCCACCCAGGAGATTACAGAGATGCTCGCGGGCTAGCTCGCCTGATGATATGACGAAGGGTTAAGGGTGTAGCTAATAAAGTTGCTGGTATTCTAGTAAAGGCAACATTTGTAACAACCAAGACGACAGTGTTTACGACGTGTGCGTTGAAAAAAAAAAATTTATATTCTACCATTGACATTACCATGAGATGGATCGTTTTCTAGTTTCCAGGCCAGCTTAGATGATCGAAGATCCCAACCACAGATAAGACCATGAGATGTAGCATACGTTAACACTGACTGGGAACCTAAAAGAAAGGTTTCGAACAAGGGTAGGAAATACATACAAAAAAAAAAGATACGAAAATGAAGAATTTAAAAATTCTTCACAAGCGGATGACGAAGACAAATACAACTTCCCGTAAGGATTCGAGGCCCAGGTTTGAATTTGCAGTCGGATAAACAGGGTTCATACTGGATTCATACTTCATACTGCTAGGATGAGCAGCACGGAAAGTCTTCCATGCATGAAACAGTCTCTTACTGATTAAGACCAAAGCATAGAGTAACGAAAACCTACTCTAAGTGGATGATACACTGTGTGTCTGCGTTACCTGTTTCAAATTGAGTCAATTCTACCACTGTCCCTTCTTCTTTGGGGTCCACTCTTTTTTCAAGCCTGGAATTGGTTTGCTGACTGCCCTGCTCGATTCTGTTTTTAGAGCATAAAATATCAACAACACTTTACGCACAGCGCACCAACGATGTAAACACGAGAGTGAACAGATACACCTTGAACCTTCAATTTCAAAAATTCGATTAGTACTACCCTCTTACTATATTTTTTTAATCTAAAAGTACGCACGGAGCCGTACGGGTCATATGTTGATTTGTTTTGTTCCATTGCAGAGCGTTTCAAACCGCTTGGTAATGCTTTTTTTTTAATCCTACCTAAAGACATCAATGGTTCCTTCATCAGAAGCGCAAGCTATGGAAATGGATCCTTGACAGAAAGTCAACGCCTTCATTTTCCAACCTAGAGCACAAACAACGGGCACAAATCAATTATTCGCCTGGTAGCAAACTTTCACGCACAGTCGATTTAGACTGGTGGTTCCATACCCTAAATGTTCCGGCAATTTTCCCCAAGACCTCTAAAACTATTAACAAGGTTATAGTTTAAGTCCTCAGGCAGGACATAGAGAAGAGTGATTTCACTCGTTTCGTAAATAAACGGAATTTTCGCTACTTCGTCTCTCTCTCCTCCAACAATTTTTGACAGACGAAATACACTGTTGTATTTCTGATCGTAGAGACGTTCTGTGAGTCTAACTTGAGGTATCGTGCTTGAAAGCCCACAAAAATGACCTAGATCGATACTCAAGTTCAGGCCATTAGATCTCTCAGACAGGTCATTAAGGCGCAGCGAAACCTTTAAATGAAGCGTGGTACGGTGAGAGATGTTACCTTGTCTGGTGTACGTCTGCCTGGACTTGTTAATCAGACTCCTGCCATCAAGTTTTTGTAGATCCCACAGTTTGACAGATCCATCATCAGATGAAGTGGCAAAGTGCGTGAAGTCTGAACTCACCTGAAGTCTAAGCGCAAAGTATAACAACATGTCCATTTAAATACTTTTTAAAACAATTGAGTGTACTGCGGGATTAATTTACCTTACTACACCACGATTGGTCGACAAAACTCGCGCCACTATTCCAGCCAATCAGATTAACAGACTGACCCAAATGGTGAGTTTTCCTACGCATGACTAAGCCTTCATAGATTTGACTTCTCATTGGCTCCTGTGCTTTGGTTTCACAACGCTTAGTCGAGAATCACGTTCCTGATCTCATTGGGGATAGAAAGCGATTAGGACATGTTTACAACGCCACATTAACGTCTTTTGATGATTAAAAAGAACAATTTTTTTTTAAAGTTGACTGATTGGGAAACCCAACAGATTTCTTTGCTATGGTTATTGTAACTATTTTTTGAACCTGACTGAGCCCGCACAACGTTCAATACCACTCCAGTTATTTTCTCAGGACTGACTGTCTAAAAAGGGACTTCACATTAATTTATTCTGACACAATGACATGTGAACATAGAAAAAAAAAAAAAGGTTGTGAGTGATCAGGGAAGCATCCAACCTAAATTGCATCACGGAGGTTGTTTTTTATCATTGATTAATTCAAGTTTCTCTTGCTAGTCATCTCTATCAACTATGTATGTCGGCTTTTACCTGTTAATGGCTGCCTTATGCTCGTGTAGATGAGCCACTAACAGTCCTTTAGGAACCCATCTGTTGACACAACACAGACCCATGAATACCTGTACACCCTCTGTTTTACATACCAAAACTTACTCATACCATAGGACTGTATTACGTCAACTTACCGAGACTGAACCGGCTTACTACCTTCAGCTAGCACGCTTCCAAGAAGAGCTTTCTCCTTCATGTCTGCAATCAAATAAAAAATCCCAATACTCAAGTACATACACCAGAGCGCTTTGCCATATAATGTTGGAACTTACGTTGAAAGTGATCACCATGGCCAAGCAGAGAAATAAAAACGAAGGTATCTCATGGAGCCAATGGGAACTCAAAGTAAAACTGCCTAAAGCGCGGGAAAAAGTGAATGACAAAGTGACAGTTGGTGTTATTTTTACACCCGATTGGTTGAGAGGATGAGAGGCGTTCTCTGAATCAATCAAAAGCATAGTGAAGTAAAGCAATGCAACCCTGTATTTTTTTCACTCTCCACCAAGTTGTGAACACCTTTGAGCGTATCTTCTACAGGACAGCTTTGTATTATCATCAAAGGCTGTGATGTCAATTTAAGACTTGCGTTGCCATTTATAATTCCATTGAAAAAGATGAACATAAGTAGTCCAAAACACAAGATCCAAGTGAAGGCACGCGCTTTGCCGGTGCTAATATGGGCATGAAGAGCAAAGGACTAGTAACATTCTAATCTTTTATGAAAATGCAGCCGCAGCTCATTTCAGTACTGTGCGAAGTAACTATCATTCTTAAAACTTACCCGCAGCATTTTGCTCTCTTTTGTGGTGTACCAGTTTCCGTAGATCCAGCTTACACAGTGCATACCGCGCTTGCAATGGATTCTGGGTCAAAAATTCTTGCGAGACCGGCAAAGATTGTTTCTTTAACTGGGAACCAGACTCCGGGCGCGGTATAGTGGCGGGCCGGCTAACAGGCGGGCTGAGAGTCACTTGATCTTTGTTACTGTCCTGAAATAATATTAAACGTGTCAGTGTTAAACGCAGTCAATCTGGAAGTAGAGATTTTCAACGTTTCTTTAAGGACGGAATAACTAGTCGGAAGGAAGTCCTTACAACAGATGATGGGGACAAGTATGACAAAGAAATTGTTTTTCTTTAACGAATGAATGAATGAATGTAGTCTTTATTAATTACACAACAACATATACATGCAAACAAACGTGCAAGGTTAAAAAAAATCATCACTAAAGAGAAAACTAGTTGTAATCTAAATAAAACTAAAAAGACATCTGTTAATAAAAGTTCGCTTAAAACGTTCCCTATGCATGGGAAGTAGGTCACGTAGACAATGATCGCAGTCTTCCGTGATCTGGCTGCGACAGAATTGGTCCCCGAAACAAGCTGCACAGGCGATTTGCAACATAGGCTTCTCGCGTAAACTTGCCACTTCATATGCCCTAGCTATGATTAATTAGAGCGCATTTTGACTGAATGTCGTAAAAAAAGGTAAGTAATAGCCTATTACAGTAATGGAAAATATAAAAAGAGTGAATAATCACGAAAATAAAATCAAGCAGGCGCGCGGGAAAACCGCCAATGACCAAGTCGCGGTTGGTTGTAGTACTCCATCTACCTGGTTGAGAAAGTGGCGGGTATTTTCTAAACAAATCACGAAGAAGAAAAACCATTACAACCCCGATTCGCTATCGACAATAAACTGCAAATTACTCCGAACTCTTTCCAACTCACCCCAGCAGGCGGAAGGGAGATGGTTTTTCCTAATGGAGACTTTGGTCGATTTGTATTGATTGGCATGGACTCTCTCCTTGCCATGACCAACGCCACTGCAGCGCTCTCTGCTCCTCCAAACATGTGGTGCCATTCAGGGTTCTATCAACAATGATTAATACGTAACTTCTCCATAGGAAGTTAGGATAAACTCTTTGAATCCCAGATGTGATCAACAAGTAACTCCTCCCTATAATATCCATACATTATCAAGCACACAGGAAATGAGAATACTCGAACTTAAACTCATCAGGTAGAAGTTGTTATCTTGATCTATTACCAAATTCTCGAAACTAATTTACAAGAAGATGTGTAACAGCTAAAGGGGAGAATAAACTGAATCAGATCTTGGGCGTTGACGACATTAACGATGATAATCGGCCAGGGATATGTGTTGATGTCATGTGTTTGAAAGCAAGAAACGCAACTAACAATCAAGAAACGTAGCTTAACTCTCTTAACAATATTATGAATAAACAAAAAAAGAAGAAAGCCTCCCCTTATACTCAAATTTGAATTTAAATAAATTAAATTTAATTTTCAACAGGTCTTTGGGTTCTCAAGAAGTTTCGTTGCGGTTGTTTGTCACTAGTTCTTTGCGGCTGTTTACAAATGCTCCCCTACTCCACCCACTCTCCTTTCCCTCCTACTGATCCACACATTGTTGACAGGTTCCATAGGGATGGTATTCTAGCGGCACATACTGGAAGTCCCTGGATACCACACGTAACCCAACCGCTCTTCAGTGGGTACGTATGCACGGGTAATGTACCAAGTGACCTCGAGCAAGCCACTGCCCGAGTGCTCTTTACCACAAATCTTTCCAGCTAGAGAGCATTGTAGGTTTATGCCTTGGCCACAATTTAACACCCTCAAGAATCACAGAGGAATGTGTAAATAACTCAATCTCACCATCGAGGGCTGTTCAGCATTTGAATTCCTTTTGTTCTTAGCACTTCCTTTCTTGTTTGCTGAGTTCATGTCGTTTTTCCCCTCGGTGGATTTCACAAGTTCCGCGTTCCGTCTTGTGACAGTCTTTCCCCCTTTAAGGGTCTTGAGGTTTATGTCTCCCCTCATCACTTCTTCATTGCTATCTGGCTGTTCCATGGCACTAAAGGAAATAGTTTATGGAATTTTAAATAGAACGTCAAAAAATAATCCAGGATTGCTTCGCTACGCTCTCGGATATGTCAAGAAAACTCTCACCACCCTCTCAGCCAACCAGATGGAAAAGTACGACCAATCGCGACCAGTTCACTCGCGCTTCAAGAAGTTTTGCAGTTTGAGTTCTCATTGGTTAATGATGATGATTACTTTGGTTAGAGTGTTTTGACACTCAATTGAGAAATCGCTCTATCAAAACGAGGAAAGATAAACATTTCTCACGCACGTAGGACAGAGGAAGAAATAATTTCTCCGTGAGAGTCGCGGAGCTTCTAATTCCGTTTTCGGATCCTGTAACAGCTAAGCTTCAGAGAATTCGTGGTCACCTTGGACATACACTAAGTTCATATTTGATCAAAATGCCTGACTCCAGTTGTTTGAAGGATGGATAACGCCACTCACTGGATAAATCCGGTGGATGGCGCAGTATGTTTTGTTCACCCCTAACCGCTTTAAACAACTGGGCCTGCAGATCTTTAGGAGAAATCGACTCATCATCAAACACAGTCGTGTTAAGAGCAAAGGAAACGGTCCGAGAATATGAACTTTTATCGGAAATCAAAACTGGTAGTTCAGTTACAGGGTTTCAAAAACTTTTTCCATAAGCGGCTGATGATGGCAACATAGGCGGCTGAACCCGGAGAAGGGGCCGCCAGGCGAAGACCTTAAGACGAAAGCCAGCTCATAGGGAACACAAATCAACCGTCTAGTCATGGAATCCGTAAAGAGTGAAGGACGGAATTACCTTGTTTTAGCTCTGTGTAGCTTGAGAATCACTTCCTTGAGGAAAAGTAATTTATCTTCGTCCTCCTCTGTGATTCCCTGTGAGTGCAGTTTGCGGAAGATGGGTACCAGAGCCTCATCTGTTTCTGGGTAATTTGGTCTCTGACCAGCACGGCACAGATTACGAACCAACTGTCTGTCCTGTAAACTGAGAGGGAAAAATGAATAAGAACCAGGGCACGGCACGGCATATAATAGAGTGCAGTCCATCAACAGACAACCTACAAAATCGGGTTCTACCCAAGAACGTTATCACAGTGAAATGACATGCGTTCGTCTTCCATGACTTGCATTCAAAAGTGGTCACTTGACAAGTTCTCGTGATGCGAACGACCCTTGTTCAAAGTAACAACTGTTTCTCCCCCATAACAATACTAAGTAACTGAAGTTGAATAATTCTATATTAGTCACATACATACCACCAAACACGACATACCGTACCTGTCAAAGAGACTGACGACGTGGGGTGATCGGATAATAAAATCATATACACCTCTGTTTATGGGTTCCTTTAACAAGCTCACCAAGATCACCTAAAGACCAACAGAACGTTTTACCATTGGTCATGCATGTATTATTGTTCATGTCAATACGGTTTGACTTACATAAATTGGTACAGAGATCTTGTGTCATCCCTTTACAACCTAATAACAGTATGCATATTCTTCATACTGTTTTCCATTCATTTCCTAAACTGTTGACAAGTGGAGTTTAACAATCAAGATCTTCGTTAGTTGGTGATCATTTCCTTTATTCTCATGACCTTAATGCGTGATGAAGGGGTGATTGAAAAAGTGAAAGCCTTCCCAAATCCGTCAGAACAAGTACAAATGACGTACTAAGACGTGATGGCGCGAAAATCAGTAAACTAACAATTTCAAAATTACTGCACCTCTTGATCGACTTGGACAACAGGTTGTTTGAGAAATGGCTGAAGGAGAGGCAACAGATTGCAGTGAACATCAGCTATGTTGAGAGTACGAGCCACTGCAGCCACAAATCCGACTGCCCCGTAACGAACCCACATGTTCTGTTGAGGAAAACGAGAACATCACCTCAATGTCTTTTATCTCTAATTCTGGAAAGAGCACATTTCGAATGAGTGTTGTGAATCCAAAACGAAAGTAATCGTGACGGCCAATCAAATCATAACAAAATATCACATGCAGAGAATGAGAACCAGGAGAAAAAACACGTGACCGATCTCAGTCAAGCGCGAAAAAGCGCGAGAGACCAAATCGCAGTTGGTTTTAATTTCAACGCATCTGATTGAATGCAAAGAGAGGGTGGCGCGAGATTTCTGGACCAATTACAGAGGGAAGTCCATGCAAACTTAAACTCATGTGGTCCCGAATGACTTTCGACACTAATTTGAAAATTGCCTGAGTATATTAAGCAACATTGTTATTTGCACTCACGGGATGGCAAAGAAAGGGAACAATCTCTAATACAAGTTCTTGCAACGTCGGTTTTTGAAGCAATCCTAGTTCGGCCAGACAAGTCAGCGCATTCAAAGCTTTACACACCACAAATTCTTCAGTATCACTCAAGCCCTGCAGAAAAAAAAAACAGGACAAAACCAACTAAAATAGAGAAATTACGTATTAAGTAATAGCATTATTCTAAATGGTAAGCGGAACATAAACAAATAAATAAATAAATAGAATGGGTTGTCAGGACTGGCGATAAGTTTTGAAGCAATCACTACATTGGAGATATCACCCATAGCTGAGCAAAACGTGGCCAAGTGTAACGTATCAGCAATCGACATCTTCGCCCGGTACATCGCGTGACTCAGCCGTAACAGCTGTTACAGGTAACAGCCCTTATTCATAGCCCCAGTTGTTTGTTTTCATTTAACCAAAAATAAACTTACAAAGACATCAATTGCGAACCTGCTCTAGCAATGGTCTGAGCATCACAAGACTCTGCCATCCAACATAGGCAGCAACACCAACAATACTATCAAAGAAAGCTCCTCTCAACTGCCAATCCTGCTTGTCATTAAGGAAAGTGATCATGTGCGACAACAGAACATCATTTGCCTTCTGTCGACCAAAGAAAACACACAGTTGTGTGATGCCATTTTCCAACAACGTTTGTTTAACAATGTTTTCAGGATCACTCAGCAGAGTAACAACTTTTCTTTGGATGAGCTCGTGCAGTGCTTGCAGTTCAGTGTCGTAGCTACCCTGAAGAAAAAAAAAGAAGAAACGGATTAACACTATATTAAACTAATTGACAAAAATTACAACTAACCGAACATACACTGTACATATTAACATAACACCTCCCGCTTACTGGGGGAGATGTTTGATTTGTGTGAGGTCATTTACTTCATAAGTAAACATTTTTTTCCACTACTGCGAAGAGAAGCGAAATTTTGTTCCTCAATTTTCACTCCAAAATTTCAGAAGACTTCACCTCATTGATATTTTTTCCTATACCACGGCGTTTAATTGCGTTGCTTGTGAATTTCAATACCTGGAATTTCCGCTCCATCTCAGCTACAAATTACCCTCCCTTCTGGATTCCCGGCGAAATTTCAATGAAACTACGATAAAAATAACTAAAAGCGCTCTAAATTTCTAGAAATTCGTTTTCATTACTTTTCCGCCAAACTACATTGTATAACATCAAGTCTGGGCACTAAAAAAAGAAGTGACTCATGATAATTCACCTGATACTGTATGGGAGCGTCACTATCTTCATTATTTTCCTGATTGGCAAAATCTAACTGGGCCATTTCCAAAAACTTCAAAGCCGTCTCGGCCAGGGAGGCAATATTCTCAGCATAGGCTATTCTTACTATGACTTCTTGGTCTTGAGTCAGCCAAGACAAGCTTGGCAGGATGTACTCTGGGAAAATATTTGCGTCGCTGCGAGGCATACTGCGAACAAGTTGTAGACACTGGGTTAAGATCTTCAGGGCTTGGGCCCTGACTTGTGGTAGAGGGTCGTTGACAAGGAACAGAATGTAAGGAAGAAGTCGCTCAAGAATTATATCGTCGCTGACATGATGGGCAATTTTCAGGAGAAGCTCCAGAACTGTCAGCTTGGACACACAATACTGTGGGGAAAGCCATTCAATATGTACAAGTTTTGTTTACATACATCATGTACATGCGAATTTAACATACTTACAGCTTACACAGAGCAACGATTAAAATTACACGTTGTTAATCTTTGGCTTTGAGCAGTTTTCATTTGAATACCGAAAGTAATCACATAGCTCACGGGGTAATTTTCCGTTCACTGAAAGACCTTTAGGCAGGTTACTTATTGTCTCGCTATTGGCAAACACTAAAGGGAGCTTACCCGAAGATTACAGTGTAACTATAAAATTTTGCATCCTTTACCTTACAGCTTCTGATGCAAGAAGTTAGGAGAGAGACAATAATAACAAGACAGCCTAAAAACAGAAAAAACACTGTTAAGATATTATTCTCAAGGTAAAAGTTACAACTTACAATGGGGATTTAGGGAAATTCAAGTCAAAGAAGGAAGGTGGACAAATTAAAACAAAACAAATCCAAAGACAAACATACACTTGTACCTTCTTTAACCGACACATCTTCTTCACCTCCACCAGACTTTACCAGCAGTTCTTGAAGGATCTGCCCAATATCACGTTTTATTCTACAAAACAAAACTTAAGGGTCACTTATAGGAATTTCTAAAAAAAAAAGACAGATAACAAAGGTCTATTTGCCTCAAGAAAATATGGACAAGGGTGTGTATAACTGAGGCAAGAGCTACAGGCAGACTTAAAGCAAAACAAAAATACTCGTACCTGCCAATCTTCTCATCCGCTGTAAGTACTGGCAACATGGAAAATTTGCTCATGTAGTTTTTGAGAAATGTGTAAAACTGCTCAGGAAATATTACCCCTGATGAGAGATAAAAGGTCCATGAAAGAAGACACAATTTTGAATCACAAAAACCAGCTGAAAGTTGTGAAGAAAATGAACAAAAGGAAGGTTGTCTTGGTTAAGAAAGATTTTTGGTGCTTATATGTTCTGTTAATTTACGTACGGCTTATGTGAATCTCTAAAAGAGTAAATCCTTTGAACCTAAAATCTAAGTTGCACCAAGTGGAGTGGTGCAAAATTGATAATAGCTATCGTATACAGTGTAATAACTTTCCAACTAAATCACATCCTTCATTTAAAAACCAACACATTTTTAATTTCAGATACAGTGTAATGTACGTATCAGATGTCATGAAACTAATGTTGGCCACAGAAGATGATACACCATGAACATACTGAGCTCCATAAAGTTGAGGGAACATCATTATATTTGTCAAGTTCAGAATTATACTCAGAACTAGACTCCTTTTTTCATCTCTTGTTCCATAACTGTGCACTTTCATGATTAGTCAGTATATAAATGAGATTTGTTTTATTTTTTGATTGCTTGAAAGTGAATGTCATCAGAGGTTAAGAAATGATCTAAGAGCTAGACATCTTTTTTAACCTCCCAAATTTTGTGTTTTACTTACCTCTGTATTTTGTCATGAACTCAGCAGCAGACAATCTACTCTTTTCATCCTTACTGATCATTTGTTCCACTAATTCCTGTAACAGACCGTATATGAAGGAAATGTTCAGGTGGAAAATTATATACTTACTCTCTACAGTTTTTATCAGCAGGAGTTCATTATGAGTGACTCACAAATATGTACATGTAGAAGCCCCAGAACTGATCCCTGTTTCTGTAGTGTGAAGCAACTAGGAGTTATATACTGATATCCAACAAGATTGGTATGCTCCAACTCCCAGAGGTGATTAACATGTAAGTTCTTCCTAAGACGTCCATGTATAATCTAACAAACAGGCCTGTGTATCCCCAGGTTACTTTGGTTTCCTTAGCATGAAGCTACCATGGTCCATTGCACATTAACAGTGCCCCCCCCCCCCCCCCCCAAAACATTTTGTCAGGTTTTCCTGATAATTAGCTGATATCCATTTATACTCTGAGAGGGAAGAGAAACACCCATTGTGAGAGTACCATGTCTTTCCTAAGAACACAACACAAAAAATTGGCCAGGTCACAAATTTAGACCTCTAAACCTTCAATCCAGGATGGTATTTGATAAATGCTCATGTAGGTATCTGTGTCACCCCTGAATGCTGGTCTCCTGAAAAAATTACCCCCAACATTTTGTTACACCTCTGGTGGAGCTGGGCACCTGAGAGTCAAGTGTCTATGCCAAAGGAAATGACACAACAAAATAGCCAATCTTGCATTTAAATGGCTAACTATTACATAAAAATTTAGTGATAGTTTAACATGTTCTACTTGACCTAGTTCCACACAGGATGCTGCAGGGGAAATAAAACATCTTTCAAAATATGCTGAGATAGAAAATTCAAAAGATAATTATATGGAACATCACCTACCCTGATATTAGCATCTTCTATGAGTGATAATGTTGCTGTAGGATCATAGACTCCATTACGATAGGAGAGAAGTTCTGACAGGTCAAATAACCTGTTACCCTCATTGAAAAGTTCAGCTATCACACACCTGTGAAACAGAGAGAAAGAGAGATTGTGAGTCTTACCACCAAATAAACCAAGTGACTAACTTGAAGTTTTATTGCAAGAACTGCATTTGAAGTGTGATCTTCCCAATCATATCATGATATAGAAATTGTAAGTACCCTGCTTGCATTATATTGTTTTTTAATTTCCTTTGGTGAATCATCACTAATTTTTTAAATAATTTCCTGTTCTGAATCCTCTGCCACCTCATTTTGAATCTATTATGCATTTAATAGTTCAGTACCTTGAAGATCACTTTTTCTAGTATATCTCACCATTTGGACAAAAATGGACTTATTTCAAATCTACTCTCATAGCAAAACAACAACTCCCATGTTTTTAGTATACAATTTGCTGAAAACTACCCATAATGCTTGATTTTAGAGTAGAGTCCCGTCCCTCCCTCTGCTTTGCATGAGCCTGTGGGGAATTAATTCCTTTTGAAAGATATAAGGAATTTCTAACAGTGTCTTAATGTTTAAGCCACATCATATTCCTTCCCAATCTCTTTATACCCCAATATCAGTAAGCATGTCTTTCATACTGTTCCCTAGCTATATTCCCAGTTAAGAGCTTCCTTGGTTGAGGAATCATTGCCTTTATCCTAATGACCTTAATTTTGATACAGGGGTGATCAATTTGGAGGAATTAAATGCATGGGTTGACCAGTATATTTTCACTCTATTGATATAAAAATTGGGTCTTGTATTCTTTCCTTACCCAGCAGAAAATATGTCCATCTGAGGTGTCAGAGTTCCTTGCTGATGTCGAACAAAATCCATGTCTGGCAGACTGGGACCATTATTGGATTGAATATCACCATTTCCTGCTGTCACAGAGCCTCTGGTCAATAACTGATCTGCTTGCCTTGAATCCAGAAATCTCTCAGGTGCAATGTAGCAACTGCGGCGACGAGACGTGTCAAAGAAAAAGTTGAAATCTGCTGGATTATCTTCAGGGAGAAATGCAGGCTTAAAACTTGCAATGTCAGTTAACAGGACCCAGTTCCATCCAGTCACCATTACATTCTCAGTTTTGATGTCACCATGGCAGACCTGAAACACAAAGTTGATGTTTTGTTATAAGTACTGCTGTCAGAGACAAGAAATGGACATTAATTTTAATCAGTAATTTTCAAAATTAAGGTTAAAACAACCTAGGCCACAACCAAGGGAAAAGCAACTTGAGAGAAGTCACTGAAAAATTTGCTTGAGAGATGCAAAAAAAATTTTGGAAAGTCCTAGTCCTAAAAGAGACAATTGCTCCCAAAATAAGTCTTCAAAATCCAAACTGTTTTGAACTCAGTTACAAGGGAGTAGAGAGAATATGAGTTGCCTTCCCTTGTTTTGGAACCCATATAGTTTAGGACATTATAGAAAATTGTTGCCTAGTATAGGCTAAACACTATAACTGACCAAGCACCATGATCAATTTTTAACCACAAAAAAATCATGGATTGCATAGCTGTGACTATAGTTTTGAGTGTACATGTAAGAATCAAGTTAGTAAGGACTAATGGGCAACAAACCTTCACAGAGTGACACTGATCCAGAGCACATAACAACTGGAACACAATCCATTTCTTCTCAATAACATCAAGGAAAGGTCGAGTGCTACGAATGAATAATTTTCACAATTTTCAATAATCATCTTTTATTACTTTGAACAGTGTAAGGTCTGATGTTAATCAGCATTTCCAGCACTGATGACAAGATGGAGGTTCTGAAGTCCAAGTGGGAACTTAAGAGTTGAAATGTAATAATTCCAAATATCAAATACATAATTATACTGTACTTGGGTTGATCATGATTAGTTTCTTTTCAGTGTCCATAATTACACTGTAAAGATGTATTAACTAAACACACAAAGCAAGTGTGTTCTACATCTTCTGTACTTCATACAACAAGGTTACTACAATCTTGTACCCAACCAAAACACCTGACCATGTCAAATGTCAAATGTCTAACATTTTTATTATAAATAAAGCACAATATGCAAAAAGTGGTAGCTTTTCTTTCATATTCACGTAATTATAGAGGAGTAATGTCGTCTTTTAGTTAAAACAAAAAGCCCCATCCAGTTAGAGCTTGTCCAAGTTTCATTACCATGAAGTGATAAGGAGTGATTGAGACTTTTTCCTTTGCTACCACACTGTAATACTTTCATAATATTGATACAATAAAGATGCACAAAGTTAATGCTCATCCAGGATCTCACAATCAAACATTGAGAAACACTTGCCTTATTCTATCATACAAGTTGTCCTTGATAAACTGCCTCATAAGCAAACTAGCTTTGTCTGTTAGAATGGAATGGTGAAATGGCAGAACATTTGGTGCTGTAGCCAGTCTGTTCTTGATATCTGTCAGCTGATCTTGGTATGTCTTCAAAGGAAGAGAGGGATCTTGGATTGCAAATACCTTCACAACACATAGTCCTTCCCTAAAAGAAGTGAAGTACATAAAACTCTTAGTTAACAAAACAAAAATTAAAGATACAATGCAGTCAAACCTATACCAAACTGGCTGTCATTAGGTGATCACCCATTCTTATACAGTCACTTTTTCAAATGACCTTGAGTTACGTCCAGATGCCATATTTGACCTCTATTAAATGGTTAGCTCCACTTAGGGGACACATTGTCCCCTATAAATTTCTAGCAATTGCTGTTTCTACCAAAGAGTTCCCTTATTGAACTAATAAAAGTTATTATAAATAACTGATAAAATGATTATTAGTGATGGGAAACATGGTTGCCTTTAAGGCATCTGCTTGCTAATGGTAAATTTTAACTATAAATATAATTTTGTTCACACTAAGATATAAATTGTGGGATACATTTTGCCCTCTAGTTAATGTTTGCTAAATTACACACTCCATTTCTTCAACCACAAGTGAACAATCAAGCTCTTGTAGGCAGCTCTTCAGTCACTTTCTGAGGGTGACTGCTTCAAACCCACTAACTCCCAAGATCAAATTAATAATTCTCCTTCCTGGCTGGCATATACATGTATTTCCTTGTAAAGTAGACAGGAGAATTTGGTGTTTTATAAAAAATAACACTCATTGGCTGATACACCTCTCTGTTCTCTACAAGGAATCACAAGAAGTTGCATTATAATCCCATCTGAGAGCAGAAGAGTTGAGGAAGGTTTGAATGAATACACAAATGTACTAAGCTACAAATAACTCTTCACCTTTGCCTCTTATTCAAAGAGAGAGTTTTTCATATTCATTGGAAGAGAAATTGACTCTGCACAGTTAAGCCTCCAAAGAAAACAAAAATTTGATTGAACAAAAGGGACATTGAGAACAGATCATGAGAAATAAAAAGGCAGAAAATACCCTGAAAGTATTTAAAAACTTCCAGTGCTCCAAGCCACAACAGTTAATCACAAAGGAGAGGACAAAATATTAACCCTTCAACCCCTAGGGGTGATTAGAAACCATTTTCTCCTATCAGTATCCCCCCTAAAACAAACATTGAGCTTATGAGATTAAAGGAAATGATCACCAACTAAAGAAGCTTTTGATTGTTAAACAAATTCTCTTTGTCATTACCACAGGAAATGTATAGAGAACATTAAGGAGAAATGTATACTGATATTAGGGTGTAAGAGGTTAAGGCAACTGAATTTGAGACATGTTGCAAATTACATGTAAGTGACCTTGTTTTGGCAGCTGTTATTATACCTTACTAAAATGTACATTTGTTTTTATCAATACTTATTACTAGTCTTGAGTTAAACTGAGATAACTACTTCCATAAAATATCAAGGCTCCTTTGATTTCTTATTGAAAAACATTTGCCACTATCCCCTTGAGTTTTTCAAGCATTAAGCATGGAGGTGCTACCTTAACCTCCATAAGGGATTGCCAGCCAGCCTTTCAATTTCTGGTGACTAACTTTTCATTGAGATTTTAGGTTGCCAAATTTGAAACAAGTTTAGCTTAGAGCCCTGAAAGTCCAATAACACTGAATGATGTCAGCTTTCTTCATCCAAAATTCAAGGACTAAACATTCACAGAAATATCATTAAGTGATGTTAAAGTTACACATTAGAGCTACAGAGAAACACTGAAAAAAGATTTAATAATTCACAGACCAGATTTAGAAACAAAAATGTAAATCATTAGCCTAGAATTCACTTTGACATTTGAAGTACTCTCTAACACCACCTTTTTCATAATTAATGTCTATCTCAAACAATACTTAACAATGAAATAATAGCCCATCAATGCAACAAAGAAAAAAAATAATATTTCCTGGGAAATCACCTATATCATAATCAACTTGTGCTATTTCAATATGATTGGAATCAACACTTAAAACCACTTAATAAAAAGCTTGACCTTGATAAAATGACAAATTTGGGAAATCTGAAAAGAAGAGCATTTCTTTCCTTTGGTGGTGCACCTTTTCACATTTTGTTATAAAACATGCACCTTGAACTATCACAAATCAACTTAAAGAAACCCTTCTTTTCTTTACACAATTTAGCAATTACAAAACAGAAAAATAGGACTGTTACACTGCAAAGAAATACCATTTGCTTGATACATAATTTAACAGCTAATAACTGCATAATTTGAACAAGAATTATGCACAAGTAGCTTGTTGAATAATATATGGATAATTACTAGACCTGTATTAATGCTTCTGCTTTATAAGAGAAGAAAAAGTGAAGTTAAAAAGAAGAAAAGATCTGAAACTGTCAAAGAAAATAGTTTGAAAAAGATGTAAAATCATGCAATTTTTCTGAAATACAATAAAACCATCAACACTAACTCACAAACCAGATTGTCTGTGAAGATTCAAATATGTCAAAAATCATTTGAATTCCAATTATTTTGCTAATGTAAACAAACAAGTGTCAAGTTCTCTTGTAATGTCTGTTTTTCTACCTAAAGAGAACTGCAAGCATGATTATTAATAAACAGGATGAAGAGTATCATCTAAAGTGCATTTGAATACATCTTTCAAGATTTTCAGACCCCGAAAATCTTATGTATACGAAAAGAAACATTATTAATAGGAATGAAACAAATGACACCCACCGCAACCTTTCGATAAACAAGAAGAGTACAACTTAATTTACAAAGAAAATTATTATTTACATTGGAAAGCAATAAACCTAGATGAATTTCATGTTATAGGCACATGTGAAGCCGCATATATTATTTACCGTAGTTTGTGATTAGGTTATGAGCTCCACTGTACATGACTGCACATTAAAAGAGTACAATGTACTGTAACTCACCGGTGCTTCGCTCGAGCAACCTTGAAAAACCTTGTGCTTCCCAAACTGTAACAGAAAATGAGCGAGCAAATAAAATAAGAATTAAATGATCTTCTCACATCATGACACTGAATTAAAAAAATTAAAAGGACCTGCTCAACGAGAAGTTGTTTTCATTCTATCCATGGCTTCCTGACCGACAACTTAGGCCAAGATCCTCGGGAGGGAATATTTTTGAATCTAGCCTTTGCACGCACGCAGCATTTTGAAAAATTTATGCTAAAATAGGGTGAATAAAATCAATTACTTTGCAAAAAAATAGCCCTATTTGAATTAATCAATCACCATTGGGAACTTTTCAAATCAAAGAGAAAGTCCGAGAGGCAATCACAGCCTTGATCTTAAGCTTACGTAAAGGTACATCGCCAGTGACTGGCGTTAAGGTTTGAGATCTTATTCAAAACGGATTATCAAAAAAAAAATCTTGCAGTACCTTCCGTCAAATTCAAAGTCGGGTAGATCACTGAAATAATGTTCAACACTAAGGATCTGCGAAGGCGCAATTCCGGAGAGCTGATTGCCCATCTCTGAGGGCACGACGAAGCTGCAGGTAGAATGTACCTTCTACGACAGCACATAACAACCTTTGAAACCGTATTTTTGGGCCAAGCGCAACAACTTGCACCCCTGGAAATCTGTCAATTCATGGTGTGCTTGAAACTTGTAAAGGTGAGTTGTTTATCGGCTATTTAGTTGCTAAAAAAACAACAAATTATCAAGTAAGGAGGAAGCCGTAATAGATAAACTTGGTAACCTGGCTCTTTACGTTAATTATACATCCGCTGACTAGTAATACTGTTGTAAAATATCACACCTCGCGTCTCAAACATAGACCCGCGTGTCCATACACCCCATCAGTAACCATTACTTGGAGCGTAAAGTAATGTAATCTAGGTAATGGGCTCCTGACCCCATTAATTATCTTTCCAAGTGTGCAAGGCGTGTGAGGTACACGAAAGACTGACGAGAGGTGGACGGGAAGGTGAAATATCGACATCCCGGCAAAATTCACCAAGCAGATTTTAGTTTACCAGGTTTTCAATATTCGACTGAAAAGTAACTGTTTATTTGTCCCTTTTCTTTTTTTCTCCAGGTTGTCGAAAGTTCAGTCAATGTATTCGACACCAGTCCTTTTCAGGTTCACTATTTACAAAGTTATCAAAGTAACTCTCAACTTTCTTTGCACATAGAAAGAAGTAGGTTTTATTCATTACCAAGAGACGAAAAAATTATACACGCTCTAACAAAAGGGAATCTTTGATTTATCAAATCTATAATTAAAATTAGATAGGGGAAATTATCGGAAATTCATTCTCAAAATTGTCTTTGATACTCTTTCTCAGTTATCACTAGTACTTGCTCAATGATACATCCATACTGTGAGAGATCATTCAGCGTTAATTGATTTCCGGTTGATTTTTTGCGATAAGTGACAGATGATTGAACAATAGGATCATATTATATATTTAAAATGAGAGAGACCAGAGCGTGAGACAGAGAACGGTGAGAGAGAGAGGGAGATTAAGTTGATTTTATAAAATAAAACGTGAAGTTTCGGAACATAGTAGATTCTTTAGTCTCATTTCTGACAATACATATGTATCTACGACAGGTTCGATTACCAACCGTGGTCATGATAGATTGCTTTTTAAATCCCTTTATGGCTATATGGAACAATTGTTTCTTGTCTAGACAACTGAATTACAAAAATTGGAGTCAAAATATTTTCTTAAACTTCTATCAGTGACCTGATGTTATTCAAATCAATATTGGTTTACTAATTCAAAATTCAGCTGTGCAGCTTGTCCTTTACTTTTGACATGCAAGTTCTACACCTGAGGGGAACGGGGATTGTTGTGAGAGGCGGGAGGGCACACATGATTTTCAAGGGGAATGGAGAGCTAGAGGATCAGTTGTCGCGAACAGAGTATAAAGGGGGAACTATACTGAAAATTGACTCCAAGTTAACTGCCAATAAAGAGGGATTCTAGAAATATTTCAGAGTTTTAGGTAAATTTTATCGTGACAATACTAAAATCCTCTAGCCCCCTCCCCCTTAGGCCACAAACAATGACCCCTCCCTAGATGGAAACTGATATCTATTCATCCTGAGATAAGCCACAGGGTCGACGAAATTCTTGTCCGTCCTCATGAATCCACTTGTTGGAAACTAAAGGATGAAAGAGAAATAAATGAGCACTGTTTCTCATTTATTAGTTTTACATCTGATTTATTTGCGTTAAAATTTTCATGACAAAACAGATTAAACTCCTTACCCCATTTGGATCCTACGATGACTGGACAACCCGCATGCCGTGTTCTTGCATCTGATTCACCCGATTTGAGAAGGTTGAACCAAAACGCTGCAGCACCCTGATAAAAAAAAAAAGCAAAATCAGTAAAACAAAACCCAAGAAAGTTATAAAATCGTGATTAATATTTGCTCTTTTTGCAATAAGAACACACGAAGTGCTGTATACTGAAGTCTAAAAGGTAGACCCAGTTCTATATGTAAAAACTGTAAGGCCGGAAATTTGGGCCTTGTTTTTAGAGAGCTCAGAAAACACAAAATTATGATAAGAGCGAGCGAGAGTGAAGGCGTCACTGACACCAACTTGTTTGGACTGTGTAATTTACCTTTTTAGCTGGAATAATTGTTTCTGCATCCAAAAAGACGGTGGAACCTCCTGCCTCCACGTCACTCATCTATCGAACAATGCTCAGGAATTAATGAAGAATCAGGAGCCATTAACAATGGACTCCTGACTCTATTTGTTCAGTGTCTCAAATTTAAATAATGTTCTATTTGTTTATTTGGCATCTGAGTGATTCAGATGATGGTAGAAACTTTAAAGACCGGTTACAGATAATAGATAAGGACTGAGCCAATTCAACCTCTGTTTATTAACAATACTCAACAAACAAAAAACTCATGTACTTACATATATTAAGACAGTGGCAATTCTATTACGCTTGCCCATCCTCAAGATGGCTGAATTCTTTGACTGTCGTTAAAAAGGGAAAAAGGTAAAAGAAGAAAAAAAATTACCTCAGTAATCTATGACCCAATACCTAGACTTTGACCTGATATTAGCGCTATTGGGTCCGCTTCGAAAGATAACCTCCCCCCAGACCTCTCGCTGACAAGGAGGTGGGAGAATTGTCTAGGAACCATGCCTTCTAACTGCACCCAAAAGGTTTGGCCTGTCCCAGTGTTCATACTGACTCCAGTATTAACAAGTCACTTACTGTTTAGCGGGTTTGTAGCACTTACCAGTGCGTGATCCAAGTGTGGTTCGTATTGACCAGCTATACCGTAGTTAACGACCTAGATAAAAGGGATCAAAACATGAAACATGATCTGAAAGATTCTTGGCAACTTTCGGACTCAATTCGGGGGGAAGGAAGTTTTCAACCGTAGTGTTGCATTGTTGGGGGTATCACAGGACAATTCGGTTTTATTGACTGAGTTAATTATGAAAATTGACCAGAGTGGTCATATTATTTAATTTTATTAGCTTAGTTGACCAAACCAAATTATCTTGTAGGGATAGGAGATTTATTTGAGAGGGGTGGTACGATAGACAAAAATAATATTCATCAACTGTATCTGTTTTAAAAATGTTATTAATTTATTCAATTATATAGAAAAAAATAAAATGCCTACCTGTAATGCTTCACTATGCTCCCTAGCTGTTGACAGACCAGTAATGGCTTTCAATTTTTTATTCAATCTTCTGATGGCTTCTCCTTCATAATCCTCCAACCAGGCACTGTAACAGAAACCTTATTTCATACATGTATATTTTTATTTGTATGTGTTTTCATTTATCAAGATGGAAAATAATTTTGGTGCTTGTTATTTAGATCATCTTTTCCCTACCTCTTACTTATCCTGTAATCAGCAAATTCAAGATTTCCAGTGAATCTGTTGGTAACTGTAGCTCTTTGAAGCTAATTCAAAAGATACAAAAAACCAAACAGATTAACAACAAAAAAAAAACATTAGTTGCTCTTTTGTTTAGATTTTGATTATCTTTTTATGAAGGTCAATATTTAAACTTGTCTAGTCCTGGGTCATTTCCATGTCATACATTTTTTATCTATGTATTTTTAGATATTTAATGATTTTCTTAAGACCATAGATTTTTGATATTGACCCTCTGGGTTTCTTTTCTATAATCATTTATATCTTGAGGAGTTACAGATTGGACTCTAGTAAGATTACAAGTGGTAATGGAACAAGTTTGTGAATCAATCATATATATGTCAGTTCTGATTTTTATTCTACTGACAAAAAAATGCAGTGTCAACTGTTATGATTTGAACTCATAATAAGGTTTAGCATTTACATCATATTAATTCTGGGAAAATTAACTATCCTGTATGTGGTACTGGTAACTAGAACCAGGACCTTCTGATTGTGTGGAGGGGAGCAGAATACAATATGGCGGTCTTAGATTGACTTTGTGTCTATTAGTTTGTTTAACAAATACTAAACTGTAGACAACTTGAAAAACTGACCGTTGAGGAGGCTATCAATAGCTTAAGAAGTACTGACATATTCAAAGGACTGAAATAAGAGCCCCTTCTCTGTTCACTCGTTTTCTCTTCTTCTCTCTCCAATTTATTGTTCATCCCTTGTTGTTTAAAGTTAAATTGACAAATGCGTCACAAACCCTGGGAGCTGCACGTTCCTTGATAAATTCCATATCTTCATCTCTGATAATATCATTAAGGAGATATATGTTTGGTCTCAAATTGGCCATTTCTATTTTGGCAGGGTTAAGAACCAATAGTGGATGTCTGTTGTAATAATAGCATGTTAACTTGTCAATCTCAGCCTGGCTCTGCGAATCAAAAGCAAAACAAGTCGGGGTAACAACCAGTCGTTCATATGAAGAAATGTTACATTGATTTAGAAACACGCTTGGAGAGGGAAGTGGCTAGGGGCTTATTTTTTTGCCGTGAGTCTTTTCTCTTTTGCCGTGAGGTTTTTTCTTCTGCCGCGAGGTTTTTTTTGCCCTAAGTCTTTTCCTTTTTCACGTGAGCTTCTTCCTTTTGCCGTGAAGTTATTTTTTTAGCCGCGAGGTTATTTCTTTTGCCGCGACAATCGTGGGCTGCCGTAATTTACCCTTTCGGGATCATATTGAATTACGTCATCAGCGTTTAAGTCCACAGAGAGTAAGTAACAAATGCCTATTACCAGGTAGTTTTCAAAGAGAAGTCAAGGCACAATATGCCTCCACGAAACTAACCACTACTAAAGATGTCAACGCGATCATCTTACACACACCTTATTGGACTCTCCTCTGCACAGGCGCTCGTAATGATACATAAATTCCTCTTTTGGCGGAGCTTTCTTAGGTTCTTCAGACCCAGTTTCCTCGTCATTTTCCTCGCCATTTTCCGCGTCATTTTCCTCCTCTTCTTCAATGTAATTTCCTTCTTGCATCATTTCAAGTCTACTCTCATAGAATGCTTTGCCCTCTTTCGCTTCTTTATCATTTGGATCTGTATTTGTAGATATATAATATATTGAAGGTGACGCGTAGTCCTTAAATAAGTCTATTTTTAAGTATTGGGAGAGGAAGTCGAAGAACCAGATTAAAGAGAGTTGTAGGGGGCCCGATAAATTGCATAGTCGGCATAAACTCAACAGTCGTATCATAGGGAGCAGGTGGTTCAAATTCTTTACAAATTAGAGAAAGAAATGGAACCATGGATTTCTCGCTTTTTGCCATCCCTCGATCGATCGTCACGCCTTTCCTTGGCCATGGACGCACTCAAACTCGTTACTCGCGTCTTTTTCTTCAAGTGCGTCACTTAAGATTATGCTAAGTGCAATTCTCAGTTTTGGTCATTTCTATATATGTATAAATTAGGAGAAGTATCGTCAAATTGTCGAATTTTCGTCGTAGGGATTTTCCAGTTCCTGATTAACTTACACCACAATTACAATTGTTTTAATTTTTATGATTTCACAGGAGATTCCTCTCTCACGCATGCTTTCTTCAAATGGAAAGAGACATAATAACGATATCATACCTTCCTCGAGCAAGAGATTAGTGTGATAAAGAGCGCCTTCGATTCTACCTGTCTAAAAAAGGGAAAAAAATGTTTCCATCTCCACTGAATTTATCCCTCAGATATTTGTAATTTGATTTTTCAACACTACACAATGTTAACAGATGTGAAGATTAACTAACAGATTAACAACATTTTAAGGACGTGAGAATCCAGAGCAGTTAAACCAAAACAAAGGTAATAACAATGGCCAATCAGAAGAAAGGAAAATATCTCTAAGAGCCAATGAGAACTCAAAGTAAAATCAACAAAACTGTTTAAAGCGCGGGAAAACGCGGGCGACCAAGTCGTGATTTGTTTTTATTTTGCATCTGATTGGTGGAGAAGTGGCGCGAGTTTTCTGAACCGATCACAAAGCGGAACAAGGCAAAGCCCAAGCAATTCTAGATTACATTCGACACAACGGAAATTTTCTCTTAAATATTTAATGCATGAAAACTAATTCTATATATTTCCAAAAACTGGCATTGAAAGAAAATTGAACAGTATCACAACAACCTCGAGTAGAATGAGGATGGACTGATACCTTATCCGAGCCTCCTCTCAGGCAACAAGATTAGAGGGAAGGCTCGGAACTGAACTAGGCTGTACTTACCTTATACTCCGCCCAAATCAAATACTGAAGCACGTCCCTGTTTTGAATTCCGCTGCTTTTGTCTAGTGAGCTCATTCGTTTCCAGGCTTCCATAAACCATCCATACGCCTGCTCGTAATTTTTCCAATGATGATTGATGTGACCTAGCTCCAAGCAATGAGCTGTTCTCATCCTGGGGCTCAGAACTTTGTCAGATAATCTGCCGTCTGCAATTTTCTCGGCGCTGATGTGGTAGACGTCTTGAAGCCGCAAAATTGCTAAGGCGCAACCTTGTAAGTCCTTTAAATCGGGAAATGACGAGTTGTATTCATCGATGATTTCACGAAGTTCTTGAAGAGAGTGAATTTCATGTGAAATAAAGGATTATAGATGCGTATGTAATACATTTAATAATACAAAACATGACTTCTAATCCCCTAAAAGAAATTTTTGTAACTTAGTAACAACCCTGTGATCTGAAATCTGTATCAACTTTTACCATCGGCAGTGTCCGACTCGTTCTCCATGGAAGCATATATGTACATCTTTCGAGGTGCGTGTAACATTCCCGAAAGAATAAAATTGAGAGGGATTCCTAAGCTCGTCTTTATTGCTATCGTAGAACTAGAAAACAGTTCTGATAGAGATGAAAAGCCTAACAGAAGAAGTGAAACCACTGGGAATAATGAATTCTATTTACTTCAATTATAGTTATTATCGTTATTATCGAATCAGTGCTTTCTTTTTAACATTCTGTCATGTTCGCTTTAAATTCGATTAGGTCTTCTTTTAGCTATATGACGCAGGTACCAGCAAGTGCTTTGCAACAATGCACGTGTCTATTACAATGTTCATTTCCTAAACAATCACTTGAATGGTCTCACATGGTTACAAACAAGCAAAAATTTTGGCATTTATATTTAGAGGTAATCTTTAGTTTTTTTCCTTATTAATTTAAATTTCTAAATTTCGGCATTTTTAAAGATTATTTTTATCAAAAGTAAAATTTTGAAGCTAGGCATTAATAGTAATCAGCTGTTAATTGGTTTCTCGCCGATGGACGAATTCAATTTAAATCAGATTTTAAATAACGTCATTGCGTGAAAAAAGAACGAGAACGTCAGGGACTAATTTTTGACTGATAAGCCAATTTAATCCAAATAGTTGTATGCAAGTAAGTTAGGGCGTTCCTCAATTCAAAGTTTTAAGAAATTTGAAGAAGTTACCTTTTCCAGTGGGATTAGTCACATCTAATTTGTTGCCAACATTACTCCACTCCCTTAAAAACCGCCATATAAGTAAATACGAGTTCACTGGATGGCCAATAAAAACTTCCATGTCGGCATCTTGTACATCTTTCACGTATGTCCGAACGTCTTTTGCCAGCCGCTTTAAATCAGACGGCGCGGAGGGATTATAGTGCAGATACTGTTGCAAATGGCCTCCCAAAATTATCTCCATTTGAACCAAATATTTCATATGAGCTAATGCTAAGAAGACCTCCGAATGAGTGAACGAAATCAGGTTGAACAACAGAGAAAACGTCTGTATTAGATGACAATATCTTGGAGCCATTTTTTTGTCTTACTCTCGTTCAGTTAGAGCAGATCAATAAAGAGCTGTGACGTCACGTCGGGTACCAGCGCTGTCTACTGATCAGGTGTAATTTGATTAAAAGATAACGTAATTTTGTTTTGTTTTGACTATTTAACACAGTGTGATATCTCGAAAATAAAGAGAAACCGCACAGCTGCGGTGAAATGGTGAAATGCAGGTTGTCGGCTGTGAGGAGAGTTTGAGTCCCTGTCGTTACCCGTAAGTCTTTAGCGCTCTCAATGCTACGGTAGTCTTTTACAGTCCTAGTAATTTTTTTGGGGTGCGTGCGGTGATATTGTTATGCATGCTAATCTCTACTTTCTGTTGCATCAAAATTTCCCGCTCACTTCGTCTTTATCAAGTACAGGGGCAAGACCAATATCATCAATGACAACCGAATTGGAGATAGAATTCAACTGAAAAAAGTACAATACAGAAAAACAGTGTGTAGAGCACTTTAGGTACAAATAGCGTTATTGCCTTGTTATTTTCCCTATGGATTATTGGTCAGTACGATAACTATCAGAGGATTGAGCACACCGTCTCTAAACTTCTGCAGACTTTAGCAACACCTATGATTTTGTCGAACTCGACTATAAATACATTCTTAAAGTATTGAAGGATGAGAGAAATTAAAAAAGCCGTAAAAGACAAGATTAGAAAGGTCTGGCTGTTTATCTCGCTAAGAAACTGTATTGGCCCATCAGTGATGAAGGTTGTCGTAATTCCAGTCTTGCAGTTTAATCAGTTTGGTTATACTATGTTCCTGTTTAGGTAAACAAATTCACTTAAAAATTTCCAAGACTCAGTGGTCATATAACAATTACTCAGTGACAGAGTTCGGTCGCGCTGGACAGGAAGACATTTGATTCTTGCTTGGTAATGACGCACTAACGTCGCTGCGCTCAGTCCTTCCTCGGGCCAAATAATTTCCCGTACGGCCCTCCCACTCAGTCAAGAAGAACACATTGTTTTGGTAACCATGATCTTGTTAAAAACGCCAGTCGAGTTTGGGCTGATCCGAAATTCTAATTCTTTCGTTCTATTTGCGTCATGCTTTAAAGAAACAAACGTCACTCTCATGTGAAGGCTACCTGGAAACTTCGCCAAAGTTTCAGTGAAAAAAAAAGACTAAAGATCCCTGAACGTCTCTATTGGTTCTTCTTAATTACATCTTTATGGCAGAAAAACACTTTAGAGGGTTTCACGCACGTGTTTTAAAAACATTCATACTTCACGCACATCGAAGGGAAACATCAAATCTCTCTTCTTCAATTGCAATGTACAAGGTTGCAGGGAAATATTGAAGTTTTTAGGAAATGAAAGAATAAATTCACGGGTCACATATATTATAAGATGCAAATCCCGCCTCACGCTGGTTCATATAATCACGAATCACCCTCGCCCTTCTGTAAAAGTCACGTTATCAATTTTGGACTTAATCCCGCTTCGCGCATGTTTGCGCTTCACTTAGTCAACAAGGCAGTACCCTTTATCGCCCTCACCCTCTACGTCGCATGCTGATTGTTTTAGTTCAATAGCAAGGTGCAGTGAATCATCAAATGTGTATTTTTCTGAATCGTGTAACTCCGCAATGGCGCAGTTATGTCAGTGGAGTAAGATCGTATGGAGGCGTGAAGTGTTGTCGATTCGATTCAGAATGAAAGCTTTGGTTTACAAAGAGAGCGGTTCCAACCCGAATTTGTTAATCGCTGAGATATTTTTTAGTGCACTAGTTTATCCCTATTTGAATGTTTGAAGCACCGATAAAAAAATTTTAATATCGGCCCCTATATACAATTAGCAAGCGGACTACAATTTCTTTAGGAAAGATGAGAACGTTGATGAGCGAAAACTGGAAAAGAAGAGGAGAAAAAAAAATATATATATATATAAAACGAGATAACCGTCGTTGCAATAACACTCGAAGACCTCCTCTCTTGTAATATATAATATTCCCTTTTTTAAAAGTCAGCAAGATCTGGTGTTACTGTTAATTATCAACAGCTGAGGTCTACAATACCATAAGCTGTTCGAAAAAAGCATCATTGAGTTTTAGGTGTTGTTACGGGAGTTGGAATCGTTTGGCTGGAATTTGATTTTCAAAACTGGTTATTTGATCGTTCCAGGCTATCTTTCTATACTTCTTCGGCACTCAAGACTGCTAATATTGTTTGCTTTAGTGTTACATGTTTTTACGAAACCTTGATCAGCAGTGCAAATATTATTTCACTTAAAATTTGCGTGGTTTGGTTACGAACACTACTGAAAGTTTTTGCCATGCTCACCATCAACTTTCTCTGAAGCCAATAAAACCGACTGTAAAAATTTCTCATGATCTCCGCGTGGTTATGAAATTTATCTTACAACATTTGCTCCCTGTTTGAAAAGTGACCCTCGTTGACATCAAATGTTGCCATAGAGGCGAGGTGATATATTAACATAAATCAACGTCACTCGGGTTAATATTCCGCCTCTAGTAAGCGGCCTAGCGAAACAAAAGTACCTTAATTTACATAACAAGAGACACATTCCACCAGGAATATGCCGCAGCTAAGGAGTCCGTGTTAGTAGTATATATTTCTGCATCAGTGCATTGCTCATTTGAATGCGGAAAATTCGAGTTGATGCCGTTACTGTGGCAAAAAGTCGTGTAAATTCTAGTCCAGTAGCTTTGCCTCCTTTACAATGAAGAACTGGGACAGTTCAAGATGACAATAATGTAGACATTGAAAGGAAATCGTTGGTTGAAGCCTTAGAACAGTAAGGTTTCGCCGATTTGAACGAGCTGGCAACATGAAAACAATATTGGGTTTGGCAGTCATGGCTTGTGTTGTGTTTGGAGCATCTCTAACGGCCATCGACACAAACAGCGAAACAGGAAAATCTGCTAGAAGACACCAGGGTAGGTGAAAAACGCATGATGCACCCAAGTTTTCAAATCTTGGCTTATTCCATACCATTCGTGAGTTAAAGACACTGTTCTATTCGTAATGTCTTGGCAGTATATTCTGGAAAAATGCGATCGCAAAATTAGGTCAAGGGCAATACTTGCAGCAGATTACAGTTGTAGACTCAGAATATTCCCTGCTAAGAAATTATGTTACGATAGGAAATGTTTTGATTTCGACAAGGATGTAATAACTCGCCTAAACGAGAAATAATTACTGTGATTAAATTATTGAGGTATATTTACATTTTGTCCCCGTGAACAACATTATAAGGCACTCCAGCAAAAGTTAAAATTTGAAGCTTCTGTTTAAGTATTAACTGATTTTAACCGGAAATAGTGTTACTCCAAACTTAACCCAAGTATTTTCGCTCTTAAAAAGGTTAGAATTAGCCGACTTCGGCAAGAATAAATTAGCCAGTTGTTGTGTTCAGCAAGTGCAACGAATGGCTCGCAAATCGACGCAGTACTCAAGTAACGCTTCTCTCTTCTTGGATAAAATAGCGAACTCAAATTAATGCAGTAGCAGAGATCTCATGTTACGTTGTCAATTTTCTCTCTACACATGTATCGGCTGTATATCACTCAAGTGAAAAAGTTTGAAGGTTCCTTGAAGAAGTCAATCAGGTTTAGTTCATAGATAGAGACAATAAACGACTTGGCACTTGTGGCTTTCGAGAATTGATCTTCACGCACGTTATACCTCCGTAGAAATCGTGTAGTGCATTCAATCCTCTTCCAACACAACGAATTTTTTCAACACGGCCGCCGAAATATAAACAACGCCAAATCTTAAGAGTTTTAAGGCCTTCGTTGGAAGCCATCCCAGTTTAGTTTACCGTAGTTTAAAAGTAATAATTCACGGTGAGTTGATTTTTGCTCACCCGATTGCAATCGGGCAGAAAATACTCTGTAACTTTAGGAGAGAGGTCGGTACAGATAAAATTAGTCATTTTGGAGCCCTTCCGATTGCTAAAATAGTTTTTGCCACGAGGAATTTTTACTGACCATAGAACGTCACTGACATTTTGCCTCGGGCTCGTCATGCACTTTTTCTATAAAAGGGCGAGATTGTTTTTTTCTCCCGGTTTTGTATTCTTATTTTTTCAGGCTCTGCCTTTGTTTAATTTTTCTTACTCTAAGAAAACAACTCCTCAATGATGAGCGAAGTTCAAAACTTATTCCGCAAACGGAGTAAGATAAGACACTCGTTCCTGGTAGATAGAAACAGATCATAATCCCTGTGTGTTCCATTTTTAGAGAGCATATGAGTCGTCATGGTTTTGAAGCTGGCTTGCTGTATTTATAAGAAGCTTGTTAAGTTTTTTGAAGAGAGATTCAAAAATCCTTAGAAGGAGCTCAACGCAAATTGGGGAATGGACAAAATAGGGACGAGATTAAAGGGGCAATGTAATTTTCTAGAGAGATTAATATTTTATATGGTATTAATCGATTGTTTGGATCTGACTTTAAAATATGGATCTCTCTGGAAAGGTGTTTAAAATGCATGTGCGATAAAAAGAAACTTTCCGGGCAAAAAAAAAAAAGCGTTGGTAAATATCTTGTGAAAAACATACAATGTAGGTCAGGTCGTTGTCAAAAATAGGACCTAGGATTTCAAATTTTGTCACCAGTTCGTCGACAAGACGACATGTGTCAGGGATGTTTTGTTGATACCTGTTTTCAACTTTGAATATCGTTAGCTGAAAGGGGTTGAAAACCCGTGGTTAGCTAAATATATTAGTTTTTATAATATAAAATACTATATAACATTTTTAGAAGTTTATGGTAACCATTCGCATCGGTGATGTTTGCTCAATGACAGCGTGACGAAGTTAGAACGAAATACTTAGATTTTGGATGAGCTAAATTTTGGCTGAAATCATAGTTACAAAATGATATTTAACTCTTGACTGAGTGGGAGGGGTGAACTGGAAATTAAGCGGCTCGAGGTCGGGACATGCGGACCGATGTCTTTTTGCTACTTTGTATTTTCTGCGAGGAAAACGTTTTTTTTTTTCCACATTGAAACCTAAACTTTGTTCGCTACAAAGTGGAACCATATATCCTAGCACCCTCACCTTGAATAGTGATAAGATCATTTTATTTCGTCTTTGTTATCTCTTGTGATAAGACCTTTTCACAACCTTGCTTCCTAACCCATCTTGATTTACACGTATTTCGTCCGGTGTCGCGGTTGAGTTACATTTTTAGAAATAATGGAAAACAGTCGAACCTACATCAAGTGGTCACTTACGATGAATGAAAGGACGACCCGCATAGAATAGGGGTATTTTAGAAAACGATAAAAAAAGGCCATTTTATGCCATGATTGACCACATAGGATACAAAATATCGTTCAAAAATACTACTAACATTGATTTCAGGCGATAAACATGGATTCAATTTTACTTGAAAGATTATTATTAGTTTTATTTAGTTTTATTTTAGGGGCTCTGCTTAAAGTGTCCGTTCAATACAGGTGAAGGAAAATGCAAACAGGCCATTTTAAGTGATGTGATCTTAAAGTTAGAAGCTTACGGCGTTTTGATTCAGTCAGTAAAAAACAAATTGAACTAAAAATAACATGAAATCGCAATCGTAAAATTCAAATTTTTTGTTTTGACCCTTTAACCTCTAAGCGTGACTGACGTCTAACTTTTGCTTACAGTCTCGCCTTTGAATCAATTGTAAATGTCACTAGCATAAAGGAAATCAGGATCTCCGATTTACACAAATTCTCCTTGTCAGTATTTCTCGTCCTAGTCTTCCCTCGGTTGTAGTAGGCTCTACAAGAGGCGCGTTAAAAAAGGGAGATGGGAAGGAAGATAGAGCAAATGAGTAATGCATTTCCATCGTCCCCTTAGTTACATCTCCATCTCTTTCGCACGCTTCTAGCGACAAATAAGAGGCGGCACTACCATTCTGAATTTGTAATATGTTATTTTTTTTCGTAGCTTCTGACGAAGAGATATTAATTATCCTTGGAAACGGTTTGCTGCCAGGCCGGCCACAATATAAACCACAGCCATTCAAGCCTGATAAATCTTACAAAAATATTCCCAAGTGCATGAAAAAAGAATGCATTAATGAAAGCAAGAGTATGTTTCATCTGATGGACACATCCGTTGATCCTTGTGAAGACTTTTATCAGTACGCATGCGGAGGGTGGCTCAGGAAACCCCTACCCGATGATCATGCGCAGTGGTCCGTATTTACTCGCTTAAGTGAACAAAATGAAAATTTACTAAAACGTCTCATTGAAGAACAAGAGAATTCAGGTAAGAAAACGTGACAAGTAGGTATTAAAGTGAAAACGTTGACTAAAGGAAGCGTGATTAAAGTACTTTGTTGTCGATCGCGGGACCGCAAGTCACGCAACACTAATTTACTGTGATTGTGTCAAGGAATAGACGATTGAAAGCGAGTCATTATTTCTTAATGTAGGGGATGTAGAGGCCGGGATGTTTTGCGCAGATATTCCTTGACGCGCGTGACAAGTGATCTGTTTAGCCAACCACACTTTGTAAACCAATGGGAAGCTAACATTCACCTCCCATTTCATTTCGGTTCAGAAAGAAAAAAATGATCGTCTGAGTGGGGTAGTAGGGATCACTGTTGGACTAACCACAGTCAATCAAAAAAAAGAGAAGGATCTAGCGCAGATATTGATAGGATGAGTTATCTTATATTGTGAGGCCTTAAGCTGCCATAGTTTTACTGATAGGTTTGTGTTTGATAATGATAAAAATAAAGAGAAAAGAACTTCTCAAATTCAAAACTTGAACAAATAGAGCGCTTTTCGATTGGTTGTCTTAAAACCAACGTAATCTCAACGGCCAATTAGAGGAAAAGGAAATATTTTTAAGCACCAATGAAACTCAAAACCAACCACATTGTCTAAAGCGCGGGAAAACGCGAGAGACCAAGTCGTGATTAGTTCTCGTTTTGCGTCTGATTGGTTGAGAGGGTGGCGCGTGTTTTCTGGACCAATCACGGAGTGATGTTACGAAAAGATAATACAATCCTTAAATGTACTGGTCTTTACGATACTGATTCTTAGAATTTTTTCGCTTCCTTCTTCCGTAAAGAATGGCTTTATCATGACGAGAAATTCTGCTGATTCAAAGTCTCTTCTTATGTCTACAGATAACAGTGTGGGAAAACTAGTTTACAACTGGTACGCTGCTTGCATGGACGAAGATGAACGCGACAGGCTGGGAGCTGGTCCACTACTGGAGTTAATACACAACACCATGGGAGAGCAGTTCAATCCTTTTGTACCAAACGACTTTTCTGGTGAAGATTGGGTACTAGAAGATGTGTTGGGCATCGTCCATAGCAGCCTTAAAGTGTTTCCGTTTTTCACAATAAATTTGGGCATCGATCCACTGAATTCTTCTTCGCCAACACATCTCTCGGTGAGACCAGATGAAGTAGGGGTTAAATCATTGTAAACAAAGACATGAATAGAAACAAAACAAACATACGAATGAGCTAACAAACAGAGGTACGAACGAACGAACGAAAAAAAGATAAGCAAAAAACGAGTGATCAAGTGTACGAACAAACTTACTTACTGACTAACTAAAGAACGACCGAGCGAGCGAATCAACTAATGAACAGACAGACAGGCGAGTGAACCAACGAATTAACGAACAGACAAGCGAGTAAACCGACGAATGAACGAACAGACAAGCGAGTGAACCAACGAATGAACGAACAGACAAGCGAGTGAACCAACGAATGAACGAACAGACGAGCGAGCGAACCAACGAATGAACGAACAGACGAGCGAGCGAACCAACGAATGAACGAACAGACGAACGAGCGGACCAACGAATGAACGAACAGAAAAGCGAGTGAAGCAACGAATCAACGAACAGACAAGCGAGTGAAGCAACGAATAAACGAACTTATGAACGTGAGATCAATCTCTGCAGATGACAAATTTTCGAGCTGGTGATATCTGAAAACCTAGATCCTACCGTGTAGCCGTAACTGAAATATGTGGACCTTACAACCAGTCTGGGTACGAGACTAGGGTAGGGGTTCTGAGAGGCCAGCGGCACATACGCTGCAAAACTAACACGAGTACCCTTTCAGGTGACTCTTCCCAGCTACACCCTACATATTTGCGCTTCTAGAGACGTTAATTGATCCGTATGTCTTGTATCAATACGAACGTTTATGCCCCAACAGATTGATGAAGCAAAACCGATGATGCGGTTACATGACTCATATTTATCACAGGAAGAGCATAATGTGTTGGTAAGTTAATTGATCAAAATTTACAATTTTTTAAACCGTGCATGGTGTAAACAATCACTCTGCTTTAGGAATCGCACGTGTAAATAATCACTTCGGTATGTTAAAAGGTTAGACAATCATATACGCCTATTTTTCTTTGACCTTTGAAAACTTGAATAGAACCGCGAAGAAACTGGGTCAATTACTTTTATCACCGTACAATGCAGGTTAGCTTTCCCTGAAGCTTGTTGTGGATAATTCAAGCATATCTACTTTGATCAAATTTTCGGCCTCTTATATAGAGATTCTAGTTTTATTATTGGCTCAGAAAAACCTCGCTCTTTGGCCCATACATCATAGTATGACCATATGTGATAAATGATTGCGCTCGGAGTTGCCAAGCGTAAAACTTCTTGGACAAAGTGGCTGAAAAGAGAAGACTTACAAGCTTTCTACAGAAAAAATGTAACAAGATATGGAAAAACCCAATCAGCAACGACAAAGAAAGCATCAAATTCAATGAACTGAATCGTAAAATTTAAAAAAAAATTGTGAGATGCGCAAGTTAGCAACATGAATGCACGTGTAACTGCGGCGGTAACGAGTGCTTATATAATGGCAGTAATCTTGGTCTAGAGTTGGAGTACCAACAATTTCGCTCTGAGTTAGAAGACTCACAAGCGGTTCAGTCCTATTCAAAGACCAATATCATCTCCCCGATATATTTTTATCAAACTTTTTTGATAGTTTATACTCAAAATTATGTTTCGCTCTTTCACTAATCAGGTAACTCAGGCTTACATGGTGTTGATGGCAAATCTAACGAAGCTTTTGGGAGCTCTAGATTACCAGGATGCGAATTCTATCATCCCGGAACTTAAGGAAATTTTACTCCTTGAAGTTGACCTGATCAAGGTAATTTTTTACACTGCCTCACTTCAGCACTTGTTTAATAAGCTTGGGTATGTTGTCTTACTAAACCAATTTATAAACTTGTATATACCACTGAGCAGCAATGTTATTTCCAAAGGCCATGAAAAATGAAGAGAAGGAAAAAGAGAATGGTAATAAATGGACACTGAAGGATTTCCAAGCGAATCTGCCAGAGGTATTGTACATGAAAAGCGTCTAAGCAATTAGTGCTGTAAAATGATTCACGCTGAAAGACAGCAATTTGAAGCGACTTCTAAAACTGTGTATGCAGACTTGAAATGAAGCTTTCCACAATCCGAGAATTCTGGGATCCGTTAAATATTTTTTAAGTCTTTGATGGGACGTGAAAAATAACACCTGGAGCCTCGAATGTCGGGGTATTGTGAGATTATAATGACTTGTTGCAAGGTGAAAAAATGGTATGACACTTCTAATAAATAAAAAATAATAAAAAACTTCATTCTTTTTCGATATTTGTGTCACTACTCTAGCCCCAGGGACCGATGGGTTCCTATTTTTGCCTTCGATGCATGATCTCCGTCACTATTAGTATCTAATAACCTTTCGGATTTGCCTTAAATCAAATAGAGAACGGTCTACTGCGAAGATTGATGGGAGGGGGGTGGGGAGGGGGTGAGCCGTTGTACTTTCTGGTCGCCATTGCAATTAAAATCTAAGTTTCCCGCCCACGAACGAAACCGCTGTAGGCGAAAGCTCTACTTGGATTGAATTGTTTTCTATTTTTTCTCTTTTTAGTTTAACTGGACGAGATACTTCACAGAGTTAACGGCAGATTTGAGTAATAACAACTCTTTCTCTGAATCCGAAGTAGTGTTTATCGAGGCTCCTCTTTATCTGGCTGAGGTGGTGAAGATTTTAAAGAACAGACCCAAAGGGTAAGACTAGAAGTGATTGCAATAAATAAATAAACTCTTGATGATTCAAAGAAACTTTTCAAGGGCGGGGTAACTACGATATCAACAATTCACCGGTGAATCTGTGGACTCGATTTTATATTTGAACTGAAACTATTCGACAATTTTTTGTCACCGAGATCTGGCGAAAATTTGGAATTGGTAGCTACTTAGACAAGTGTCCTTACTACTTTCTAGCGAAGCGCTCGTCAATTAGACATTCGGTAGGCGGCTTTTTTTTTTTCAGTTGCCTGTTGCACTCGCCTAAAAAACTAATAAATCAAAGGGATAAAAAGAGGAAAAATGGGTTAATAAAAAAGAATTGATAAACCCTCTAAAGCAGGTTAATCAAAAAGCTTTTGAAAATTCTCACGCATGGCCCGTTTGGAGTGACCTTCAGAGTCGTTTTACTGCAGGTTTACTTGGGGTGCCTGTGGATTGATCCTCCCTCAAAGTCTTTGAAAACTGTAGAGGAGTGACAACTGACTCTCAGACTTTGTCTATTTAGAAAATGAAGGCTGATAGCAGTCATACTGATACCAAAATCTTTCCATTAGAGTTGTTGCCAACTACATTACTTGGTTATTAATCCACGAGTATGGCCCTTACCTTTCGACGAAGTTTCATGACGCTTACTTGACGTTCGCGAAAGTAGCTTACGGGATAAAGAGAGGAAGTGCGTTATGGCGGCGGTGCGTGCGCGGTACGACCAAGTCTATCGATATGGGCGTGTCTATGTTGTTCGTGACTGACAAGAAGTCGGAGTTTACTAATGGAAGTATGCATCATGTAAGTATCACAATCTAATGCCAATTGCCAATTTTGCAATTGTCTATTACACAATTTACTTTGAGTGAAGGGCGGACACGTTTTAAACAGAACAACCATTATTATTATCAATACAGTCAAACAGGTACCAAAGAATCGGGGTGTTATATAAAACGATGAAAAATAGCTATTTTAACCCGATATTGACCTTTTAATGCCCAAAAACTCGCACAAATTTACTGCAACATTTATTTCGGGATATGAACATGGAGTAAATCTTACTTGAAAGATTATTCTTAGTGTTTTTGAGTGATTTCGCTCAGAGTATACGTAACCTTGTAATTGCAATTGTAACATTGAAACGCTTTTTTTTTTACATTAAAACTGTTTGATGTACATCAGGCGGATCAAATGGTTGAGAATATACGTGAGGCATTCATTGATAACTTAAAATCCGTGAACTGGATGGACGAGAAAACGAAACAGGCAGCTAAAGAAAAGGTGAGGCTTAAACGTCTCCACGTTTTGAAACAATCACTAAATATTTTATCCTGTAATATGTTTTGATTTGAATATCTTTGTGTTGCAGGCGGAGGCTATGATTCAACAGATAGGTTATCCCCCATTTATCACGAGTCTAACATCATTAGAGCAGTATTTTTCTGGGGTAAGTGACTTCAAGCTTTGTACATTTTTTATTCGTGTCTACCCTTCCTATATCCGGTAATAACTGGTCCTTATGAATGCTTCGAGCGATGTCTATATATATATATATATTTTTTTTTTTTTATAGTTGGACGCTAACCCTAAGACGTTTTTCAACAATCGACTCATGGAAAACAAAATAAGAATGAAAAACACTCTGGCAGCAAGAGGTCAACCCCTGAGTCGCTTCAGATGGGACATGCTGCCGACTGAATCAAATGCTTATTATTCTGTTGAAAGCAATAAAATCGGTTAGTGGTGTGTTGCTTTGAAAAAAGACTGACTCTTAAAATATAGTCTGATCCTAGTCTCGTATCCAGACCTTCCACTGCCAAGCAGTTTTTTTTTTATTACAGTTACACGTAGGATTTGAGAACGGGATCAGTCTGATCTATAAATCAATTAGATAGAACTACGGATGCTCAAACTCCACAACTAAATAAAAAAAAAGGCTCATAAATATAAATCTAGTAGGCGATATGCTAAATAGGGGGGCATTGAAAATCGCTTGGGTGAGCTGGGTTCCTACATAAACAATAATTATTATTGTTGTTATCTTCATCACAACTATTACTGTTATTATCATTATTATCATTATCATTATCGTTGTCGTTGTCGTTGTTACTATCATCATAATATTATCGTAATTAATTGACGAGAAAAAAATTCTTATTCTTGGTACTTGATAGTCTTAATTCTTTGTTTCAGTTGTACCAGCAGGAATTTTGATACCTCCGTTTTATCACATTTCCGCTCCTCAGTAAGTAGAAAAATCCCGATTTTTTGTTATTTTGTTTCTAATTTGTTCTCAACTGAAATCGTTGCTCCTTCAGTTGAGCGATATGCATTCAGTTATTTTCTAAAAACTGCTAATTTTTTTCATCTTTATCATAATTTGTTGTTTCTGTTTTTAGTGCGCAAAATTTTGGAGGAATAGGATTTGTGGTTGGACATGAACTTACTCACGCATTTGATTCTCAAGGTGTGTGTTTTTAGCGACGCGTCCTGTATTCTTTATAATACTAACCTTTTTATAAAAACAAGAACCGTAGTTGCTACGTCTAATCTTTCATTCGACAAGGAATATTTGTCGAAAAATCAAGACCTTCTATAGTTGGTGATCATTTCCTTCATTCTCATAACCTTTCTGTTTTATTCAGGGGTGATATTGTAAGGAGAATCTAGATGCTAGTCACTCTTATGGGTTTAAGGGTTAATAGAAAACTAAACACGCTTCTATCCTTTTCCAGGTGCAATGTTCGATAAAAATGGAAACCTGAAGAACTGGTGGGATAAAGAATCTTTTTCTGGTTTTGTGAATCGAGAAGGGTGTATGAAGCGTGAATATGAGCAGTACTCAGTACAGGGACGCCATGTAAGTTATTGCGGTTTACCCCATCGTAAAACATACCTACAGCAAATCCTTTTTCCTGAAAGGGCACTATAATTGCATCTGGTATAAGTCTACTGAGGCCTATCACTAATGCTGCAGTCTGATTACTCTCTATTCCATATGATGTGATAAGCTGAATAATACACACATTGATCACACACACATGATCTATTGGAAGACAGACTCATAGATAATGTCACCTTTAACAACATCGTTTTCATGTAAAACAAACAGATTCCATGTTGCGGTGGCTCTGTACAGTAATAGATCACAGATGACGTCAAAATGTGGTAGGAACATCCGTGACATGCTCAGTTGCTCTCCTTCTGCCCACTCTTTTGTTCTCACTACATCTTTGATCTATTACTGAACAAAAGGGATAAGTTTCTAAGGAAATTGTGCTGCTGCGTCGGTGGGAGAGTATAACAGGGTAATTTAGAGTTATCAACTGAGTTGATAAAGTAAATTGGCCATCGAGCGTTAGCCCTTTGTCAGAGCGAATGACGAAGGACTAACGCTCGAAACGTCGGCTTTGAAACTCTTTTCAATTTACGTTATCAACTCTAACTTACCGTATTACTAAACAGACGCACGGCAGCATGAAATCTCTTTGTTAAAAAAGAGGGAGTTAAGTGAACAGCCTAACACTGTGAATGTGTAAACGGATTAAAATAACAGCACGAGCCTGTCTCGTTGTTAAGTTTTTAACGACAAATAGATCTATACTTAAACAATTGGGTCATTCGCTCTCAATTGTATGCGTCACCGTCATCAAACATCACGCAATAGAAATCTAAAGCTCATAATCTAAATGTTTAAGTATGTAATTTAAAAGGACTGAGAGGAGTACAGTTCAAGGAGGAATTGTGTGAGAGATTTCAAATTGATCAAGGATGTAACGCGAGGATGATGAATACGAGCACGAGTGCCCCTTTCCAGCTTTTAAGTAGAAGGCTGATCTGAAGGCTGCTTTTTCTCAAATTTCATCACTTGGGTTAAAATATTCTAAAACCCTTTCGTTTCTCTCTTTATTCTTCTACTTTACAAGCTTTTGACATTTTTGGATTCTGACCAATTTTTTTCATCACTGCATTAGTTGGATGGCTTAAAGACTCTAGGAGAGAACATTGCTGATAATGGCGGTTTGAAACTTGCCTACCTGGTAAGGTTTTTCGAATCTTATAACAAAATTGCCCGTGAATCTGTATCAATATCCTATGTATCTATCAGAAAACGACCAATCATAGCCACCACGATCGATTCCCAGGAAGGCAAAGTCGCAAGAAAATTGAATGAGAGATAAGCTACAAAAACCTGAATACATTCTTAAAGACGTTTAGTTAGAAAATGGGGCGCAAGAGGGAGGGAGAAGGTTTGACTCTCAGACTCACCAATGGTGTAAAAAAAGGAGAATTTGTTTCACAATCAGAAGATTCACGCAACGTTGGGGTAATTCTTAGATCACTGACATGCAGTATCTGAGCAATTGTGTGCATGTCCCTCCCCTACCCAACAACAGTCATCTGATGACATATTAGGGTTAATGTTGGGTTAGGGGAGAGGTGGGTGCCCTGTTGCTTCGCTAATGACTTTGATCCAAACTTTTTCTTGACGATTTCTATAAAGTAGCGCGAAAGATTACGCTGGGAACAGTTCTGGTATTGCGCACAGTCTACTGAGGTAATTTTTCGTTTCTTGACAGGCATATCACAAGTGGTCAGATGAGCACGATCACGACAGTACGCTGCCTGGGCTTGGTCTCACCTCAAATCAACTATTCTTCCTTTCTTTCGCTCAGGTATGATAAGTGCGTGCAAAGAACTATCAAGTCATGTTCTAATGTTCTAAATGATACTAAGCCAGACACAACATAATGAAAAAAATTACGCATTCTTTTTCTTATTTAGATTTGGTGCGAGAAAACCACTCCTAGTTATGCATTGACTGATTTACAAATTGACGTGCATAGCCCGGGCAAATTTCGGTGAGTAATAATTGCAAGGGGCCATGTGTTTCACAAAGTCAGGATACAGTACGGTTGTGTGTTCAAGTAGTTTGCTTTGTCTTGCGACAGTGTCTTGCCTGGCATCCTTCTTTACATCGAACAACTGGCGACTAAAATTTATCTTTGTTTATCCTTGGTCAAAAGTGATACTAAAGACTGAAAATGAAATAGTTGTTGACGACCCCAGGTGTGCACTGTGTACTCGGGTAGGAAGCTTGATGTACGATTGCATTACAGCATTTGAATGTCTATTTCAAAGCGAACGTTGAGGTATTTGTTACTGATTCACTCAAGTAGCTAAGCAGTTGGTGGACTACTTAGAGAGAGACTGTCCACAAAAATGTAGACGAAGAAATTTAACTTTAAATTCAAATATAGGCCTCATTCCTGTTACGGTAATTTTACGGCTTAAGGTATCTGGTCGTCTTGACACAATGTTACATATATCCCACTTGCTATTTGGATACAAAATGTAGCTTGGTAAAGAACCGCGTAGGAGGTCCCTATGCGAAAAATTAGTTACACTATAGAGAATAGGCTACCAAAAGGATATTTTACAATTGTGTACTTAGTTGCCAAGCCTTTGATTTGGAGCGAGGCTGAAGGTGACTTTGTTGTGATAGGGACCAGTATCTAGTTAGCATTATAACAAAGTCCTTTGCATTTGAAAAGCAGCTAGGTTTGTATCATAACAAGGTCAACCTTAGCCTCACTTCTGTTCAAAGGCTTGACAATCAAGCATACAACTGTAAAATGGACTATTGACTACCAGTGGGGGTGGGAGTGGGGGTCATAAACATATTACAGAGCCTAATGGGACAAAACCAAAATTCTCCGACCCCACCCACCCACCCCTCATTCATAAATGATGACCTGTCCTTAATCTTTTTCGTTTCTTGTCTTTAGAGTTGATGTTACATTAAAAAACAGTCAAGCTTTTGCCGAAGCCTTTAAATGTCCAGCGAATAGCCCAATGAATCCTGTCAACAAATGTGCCGTTTGGTGATTTCTTGTGGGAACAAAAGAGAATTGTATTATTATTTTTTTCAAATATGAGTATATTCCTTATTTATTTTCTTGAATGGAAATTTTGCCTGCCGACAAAACCTGCCATTGAATTGATAAAAGCAAATGTATTATTTAGATTTGGAATTGAATACAGTGAAAACTGGAAAAAGGATCACCAAATACATCTTTCTCTGTTTTTGCATACGACGCACAGAGGAGGTAACATTTAGTGATAGTTAAACCCTTTAACTCCCAAGATCGGATTGTTAATTCTCCCCTGTAGCTGCTACACATTTCCTTGTAAATTAATTATGAGAACTTGGTGTTAGATCAGGATAGCAGCTTCTACCTGATAAATTTGAATATTCTCTTTACCTGTTTGCTGAAGAATGTATGGATATTGTAGGGAGAAGTTTTAAGTTAATCACTTCTGGGAGTGAAAGGGTTAATAGAGGGAAGGGTGATGTTTGGGACCTTTTTGTCTGTTAAACCTCAACACCTTAACATTAGGAGCCATACTCTTCATACTCTACTCTACACCTTTTCTTTGGTACTGACAAGGAGAATTTGTTTAACAATCAAAGTTTCTTAGGTTTGGCGATCGTTTCCTTCATTCTCATGATCTTAGTGAGTGATTCAGTAGTAGCAGTGTAATTAGAAATTAGATGCTGGTCACTACGGGTTAAAAGGTTTACCAAAATCTGTAATGAAACAGAGTTGATGGCTCAGTGGTAATTATGGATAATATTTTAGTTTTATAGTTTTAATTTTAAAAAAAATAAGATTAAAACGAAATTCATCGATCGATGTTCTTAAACTGGGGAAAAGAATTCACTTAACTAGAGTCAATGCCGTGTCAAAATAAAATCATTAAAACCAGTGTTGTTTTGCTTGATTACTTTAACTAGTTAGTGCACCCTTATGAGCTTCATATTGGTATCTTAGGTGAGATTCTGCCTTTGTAATTTCTAGGAATTTGTTGAATCAAGAGATTAAAGACTCTTGATTGAATTAAACGGCTGTGAATATATGAAAGTCATATATTTGAACTGCGGATAAAGTCGTGAATATGAAAGTGATCTTCGCAGTAATGAACAGGCCTGAATTTTTTCAGGCCTTATTTTCACTTCTGCTCAAGTAGTGTTCATTACCTCGAAGATCGCTTTCATATTCATGATTGAATTAATTTAACGAGTAACCTCACATCAGCCCCAAATTTCTGTCCACTCTTTAAAAACAGGCAGTACTAGTAGACATCATTTGAAATTTGAAGGAGTTTTATACAAAAATGTCAGTATTGTAAAAACCGCTGGGTATGTTGTATCAAATTAGAATTTTAATTATGTTTTTTGTCCTTTTGTGATCGTCCTTACTGATCTCGCGGCTGGTGACATATTTTTATGAAATAATTAATTGGGCATAACGAGACTTGCTTAATATATGTATAACCTGTCTTGGCTGGATGAAAACAGACAGCCTCACCGAAGAAAGAGCAAGGTAAAAGGACCATGAGCAATAATTACGACATTACTACTCCAGAAGTCGCCAATAGCGGAGGTATCAATTCCTCTGTGGTCATTTTGAACGAGTTTAGAGAGAGAAGCAAAGACGGAGGAGATGTGGCCAATATCTCGACAACAGCAGCGACTAATGGAGCCGCGCAGAGAAGAAAGATTTGTCTAATTGCAAAGTTGCAGTGCCTGTTTTTTACCATGAAAATTTTCGGATTGCTGTACGAAGAATATAACACTCATCACCCAAGCAACATTGTACGTGGTCGATGGATTTGTACCCTCATGAAACGTGTGTATCAGTTTTTTGTGTTGTTGGTTCTCTGGTTTAACGTAGGGAGGGTGTTCGCTTCATTTTGGCTTGATGAGAAACTGCTCAGTACCGACTACAGTCAGGCAGCCGCTGTCTTGCTTTGGTCCCTGCAAACCGCCTTACAAGCTTCTATCTGCGTCTACACTATGCAAATCACATCCAAAAAGTCCCCTTTGAAAAGCTTGTTGTTATATTGGAATTCGCAGCCCAACTTTGACGAGTTAGTGGTAGAGCCCTTAATGGTACAATGCGTCACGCGAACTCTGATTATAACATATCTCTTTATGGCGATAAACGCTGTGTTTTATGGCCTTGTTTTGTTTTATCCTTCGGAATCGATGCTATATCTTGCTCGTGCATTCCTGTCCCCATTCCCGCTCGACAACATGACTTTAAAGATCCTCTTCTTTGTGATATCAGCTTATTGCACGGCTGTTTGGGTGTTACCGTTTGCTATCTTCACAGCCGTTTGCCTGACTTTAATCCATCAATGCAGAAGTCTTAGAAAGACACTGCGCTTGACTGCTTCGGCTAGTGAAGTGAGAAGAGTCAAGACTTTAAGACAACAACATTCGTCATTATGCGGCTCTGTGAGAAAAGTGGACGACTTATTCAAATTTGTAACTCTCGTGGTTTATGTCACCAACATACCACTAGTTTGTTTTCTTTTCTACCGTTTGATTTTCGTCAAGAATAACGATGCGACGACTTATGTGATCATGAGTTTTTGGTCCCTTGTTGTGCTCTTTGCAATGGTGAGTGTATCGTTCCTTGGGGCCCATTTGAACAGCAAGGTAAGCTATCAAAGCTAAACTGCCCCCCCCCCTCCTCATTAGTAAAGAAAGGGGTATGATCCAAAAAGGGAGATAATAATTTACCAACGTGCATTTGAATTATGGTTGATAAGAGTAAATAAGTCAAGAAACAAAACATGAAGATACTTTCTCTGTGCACTGTGTTCGAGTCGATGGGCGAAGGCCACCATAAATGGGAGTCAAGGAATGTTAAATATTGTCGGAACCTTTAAGCGTTGTATGAATTTTTCTGACGCCCATTAGTTTTTCGAATACCAGATGGAAAAACAATAGGACGCGTAAGAAAGAGACTAACTTTCAACCTTTGTACCTAATAACGTAATCGAGCTGATTGACTAAAATTTGCGACTGCGCGATCTTGTGCTGTCAAAGCGGCACTACTCATAAAAACTTTGAAATTGTAACTAAAGCAACAAGGAAGTTGAAATGTGTTAAAAAAAAAAATTTTGGACAAATACATCTCAGTCACATGTACAGGATTCAGGTGACCCAATTAACGTAAGTCATTAAATGAAAGAGATGTTTGTTAACGCTCCCTTCTAGCTTTTATACATTTCCTTGTTAATTAGTTACGAGAGTTTGGTGTTAGATCAAGATAACAACCTTCTACTTGACAAGTTTGAGAATTTTCATTACCTTTTCATTAACTTTTTGATTTTTCCCTTGGACTGAACTTTGTGACTTGTGCCCAGGCTGTTTGTTAACTGTAAAAATATATGCTGTTGATATGGAGTTTTTTCGACCAGTCTTTCACAAATAAACCGATGAGTCATTTGATCGTTATCTGTGAAATAAACTATTGAATATGTAATGTGACTAAAAAAAGGTCTTTATAATTTCCAAATCTTATTTAATGTTCAGATTCATTCCTTCACGGAAGTTGTGCAGAAAGTTCAAATAGCTAACGTGGACTTGGACACTCATACAGAGGTTTGCCTTCACATTATTTTTTCCAGATTACTGCGTTGTTAAGCCACGTTTAATAATTATCATTTGTTCCGTTTTAGTTGATGCTATTCGTGGCGAAGTTAAACGGGGACCCTGTGGCAATTACTGCAGGAGGACTAGTACCCATTACAAAACCGCTGATTGTAACGGTAATGTATCACATTTGAACAGAGCTGTAAAACGTCTGCGCATGTCATGTAACTGCTCGGAGAAACTTGGGATGAGTTTTTTCTTGCACCATCGTATCTGAATCGCTGCCTCGCGGCTACTTTCACAATGGTGTTCAGGAATAAAACTGTAGTGTTTAAAATTTAAATTTTACATTTCTGTTCCAGGTCGGCGTGTTGATATTGTGTTTAAGATCAATGCTTAACCGTACGATCTATGTCTTAATGGGGTGGAAAATCAACCGCACTGTTTTCTCTGTTTTTTCAAAAGTTCCACTAATTCACTATTCCCTTACCATGTTTTCCCTCCTCAATCAAGCGTTAGGTGAGCTAGTTTTCAACAAACGCAGAAAAGATTATTCTCTTTAAATTTCGCTGAAGTTTTTATTTTTCTCTTTCAGGTAACTGGTGTGGTCATTACTTATTTTACTCTTTTATATCAATTGGAGTGAGGCGATATATTGATGAAATATCGATTGGTCTCTCTCTGAACATTCTTTAAATTCAGTTCATGTGTATGAACAAATAAACGGCAAATGGACCATTATTTGCTTATATTGGTAAATATTTGTGTTGAGCAATGGGCTGAGACGCCTTGGCATATATTCTTATTGACTGAGGTTACTCTTATTGGGTGGTCTGAATTTTTGCCTCGACGTTTTTTTTTTTGCTGGTAATGAGATGGTAATGAACTGTTGACCTGTAATGCAATCGTTTTGAAAACTGCTATATCTTGAGAGAGAACAACACTGGTTTTTCTCGTTACACATGGAGAGCGAACAAAGCAACCTTTTTTGAGGGAGATGTTGCTCCGTAATCTCGCCAACCCATTGCATGTTAGGAATTTGGCAAAAAAAAGAGTTAAACCGTTCACATTTCAACATAGAGAGTGTGTAAAATAGATATCGTTTTAATGAAGGACTTGATACACAAGATCAAAAAAATGATTATCACGTGCAGAAGGGTCACCTTGCAAACTTCTCTCAGGGGTAGGGCGGGATTTGTAAAGGCTCATTCACGCGCGACTCAATCAGCGTTGTCAATATTTGCTTTAAATCTCGGCTTTACCGCCTACCGGATTTAGATAGGTTGACAGTAAATTAACCTGATTAAAATTCTTGTAATTCGTCTTGTAGCGGGTCTTCTAAAATCATCTAATCAGGCCTAAGAGCAAGGCATCTTTCACAAGATTTGTGAGAATAGTGAATGATAAGTGTGCATCAAAATTTGCATGTGATTTAGACCATAACAGATCTTTGATGACGCATCATGCCTCAGCACGCAATAGGTGACAGTGCATGATGCCTGACGTGACAAAAAGCTGCTAGTATTGTGTCAAAGTGTGCGTGTAACTTTTCATCACAGATTAAGCTTCGGACCTTTACTCCACAAACGGTTTTCGACAATGAGTTTTCAACCGAACGGAGTTGAGTTTTTAGACGTGTCTATCGAAGCCGACTTTAATAAGCCGCATTCGCCCAGAATTAATCTTAAAGACATGGATAAGATGTCAAATGGAGGGAAAGACGAAGCAAACCAGTCAACCAAGAAAGAGTTGAGTGCTATTAAGAAGATTTGTATGATTGCCAAGTTACAATGTATATTCCTCCCAATGAAGTTGTTCGGTTTGTACTATCAAGACGTGAGGGGTACTTGTTCAGGAGAATTTGTCGCATATGGAGGGAAATCGGCATTTTTGATGCGTTCGTACCAGTTCGTGGTGATCGCGATTTTGTGGATGAACTTCGGCAAGACGCTAGCATCGTTCTGGGTCGGTAATAATCTTGGTACAATGATACTTCCAGCCTTTCTTTGGTTTTTACAAACAGCTCTCCAAGCCTCGATCTGTTTCTTCACCATGAACTTGAGATCTAGGAAGTCCGCCTTGAAAAGTTTGTTGTTGTATTGGAATTCCCAGCCGAACTTTCACGAACTTGTCGTCGAGTCGTACATGATAAAATGCGTGAAACGAACGACGATGGTCGCGTATTTATTAATGTTGATGAACACAGTGCTGTATGGCTTAATCCTGTTTTCTTCGGAATCCCTTATACCAGTGGCACAAGCTATGGTTTCACCCCTTCCTGTTACAAGCACAGCGGCCAAGGTATTTTTCTTCATTGTGGCTATTTACAGTTCAGCTGCTTGGTTGATGCCTTTCGCCATTTTCTCCGCCGTCTGCCTAACTTTAATCCATCAATGCCGCCGTCTGAGGAAGACCCTGCGTTTGACTGCCTCCGCCAGTGAAGTGAGAAGAGTGAAGATCTTGAGGGGACAACATTCCTCGTTGTGTGGCTCCGTTAGAAAAGTGGACAACTTGTTTAAGTTCTTGACCCTGGTTGTTTATGTCACGAACATCCCGTTGCTCTGCTTCCTCTTTTACAACCTGATTTTCGTCAAGACTGACAATGTCTTAACCAAAGTGACTTTATCGTTTTGGTTTATTATTGTTGCTTGCATCATGATAGGAGTTTCCTTCCTGGGTGCACAGTTAAATAGCTGGGTGAGTGATGAAGATTTGACTGGCCTTAGACTGTTTTTGTTGCGCTGCATGCCAGAACACGTGATCGCTAGAGTTATTGACTTCACATTACTAAGGGACCAGCGATCATTTATCACCGAGGAGGGATGGGTTGGATAATTGTTTTTTTTTAACAGAGGAGGGGGGGGGGGAATTCAGTCAACGCCAAAAAAGTATAAAGGGTGGACTGACTTCTAATTAACTGCCAACGTGGGGATAAGAATTTTACAGAACTTTAGGGGGGGGTCAGGTAAATGCTATTGTCACGCAGCCAAATTTCTGTGAGCCCCCACCCTCCCCCCCCACAGGCGATAATTACTGATCGGTCCTCTACTGCCAATAGTAGAGGTACTATATATAAGCCTGAGATGAAGGTGGAGTCAAAATATTTGGGCAACCTCTCTTGCTTTAACTAGTAAATATACGGAGCGCACACGGAACGAAAAATAAGTTTACTCGATGAAAGTAATCGAGGACATTAACAAATAATATATTTAATTTTTGTTTCCTTTGTGGACAGATTCATTCCTTTACAGAAGTTGTGCAGAAAGTTCAAATATCAAATGTTGATCTGGATACACATACGGAGGTTTGTTGTGACACGTTGTTGTGATGTTTTTCTAAAGAGGAAAAGGTTACCTGTGCCACATTAGAATTAATTACCTTTGTCTTCAGTGTGCAATTGACACTTATTTAATAAAGCTTTCGTCTGATTATCACGAAAGCCATTTAGAACTAAAAATAAGATAAAAACAAACAAGCAAACACACTTCATGGAACGTGTAACAGCGGTGACCAAGTCACGATTCAGGCAAATTTGCATTTGATTAATTGTGGCACGCAGTTTTTAGACCAGTCAGAAAACGTGGTGAAGTAAAATCAATACAGTCTTGGAATGCTTCCAAGTTTCGAGTGAAAATTGCTTCACTGTTGAGAAGTCATTGTGTTGCCGTCCATTTTCTTCGACTGATAAGACCTAATGAACCGTGATCTGGCAGTAAATAGTCATTAATACCAAGTTCTCTCTTCTTCTTCAGTTGATGTTGTTCCTGGCGAAGTTAGGCGGAGATCCCGTGGCAATTACAGCAGGAGGACTGGTACCAATCACAAAACCGCTGATTGTTACGGTAATGAATCCCTGAATCTTACCACCAAGTGTTACCAGTGCTCCTTTGATAAGTGTCATCATGTTGTTGTATACTCTAGTCCCCAAGCGCTCTCGGCTGGTCAAATTTGAACCCGATTGTAGGGTGCGTCCTCACGGAGAGACTCCCCTTCCCAGACTTCGTTAGGACAACGATGCAAGAGTGAACTCTCGGGGCTAAGGCTGAGGCCGGGTCGGTCTGACGTTCGTTAAAGATAGATTAACGATTCTCTTCATAAATCATAGTCAGCCGGCTCTGTTTCAATGATGGGACGTCAAACCAAGGCCTACAATTACTTAGAAATAATATCATCAGGGTACGCACAGGAGGTTGACAGAGGTAATTTGTTTTTCCAAATGTTAAACAACGCCTTTTGCTGATTTTCTTCAGGTAACTGGCGTGGTCATCACATATTTCGCCCTTCTGTATGAGCTTAGATGAAACGTCTTCGTGTGTAAACAGCCTACAGAACAGAAGTCTTTTCAGTTCGTGTATCCAGGAGAGTGGAGGCGAGAGCGAAGCAGTGAGTCGTTCGTGGAGGGGAGTAACATTAAACCACAATGAAATTTTTCGTTCGGACTCCTCTTCTCGCGCGTGATTCGCCCTTTGCATGATCTCCTCCTCATCGCCTCGCGATTGACTCTGCTTGCAATAGTATTGGAAATATTTCAAAAAGGAAGAGACAGATCTGTAGTTGTTAGCACTAACCAATCAAACTTGAAGAATAATGATGACTCCAACCAATCATTTCACTTTGTTTAACTAAAATGTGCGGACTTAGTAAGTTTACTAACGAGACGGGTCAGTCTACTATTTTTAGTCGTAGGTACTAAAAACAAATTGCACTTCTCTGATGAAATATTCTGGATAACAGTGTGGCATGGTAATTCAATTGAACCCTCAGAATTTACTTACGAGTTGCATAAGCGTGTTCGTTGCAACAAGATATTTTCTTTGTAAAATGTGTCATTTTAATAAAACGTTTAGTAAATTTACAGTCTCAATCGTTGCTTGATGACAATGACTCTGAGCGTATTGCACGTTTTATATTAATCAGATTGATTCCGTAATGTTTCACCGCCTAAATGTTGATAAATACAAACAACTAAACAATAACAACAATAGCTATAAGAAAGAAAAGGTAAATAAAAGTGTTTTTATGCCTTTTCTTTCTCTTACTTTTTTAACTATACGCATCACATAAAAAGGAAAAAGTTCAGAATTCAAATCAAGTCTTGACTATTGTTGTGTTCTGAGGAGACTATTTCGATGAAAACTGCCAGTTATTCAGTTTTATATAAGAAGTTCAGCTATGCACGCATTTTGATTGGTTCTCACTTATGATCTATTGGAGGACAGACGTATAGATGACGTTATCATTAAAACTTTTTTTCCGTATATTTTAATTCTTTATTATATAAAACAAATAAATCCCAAGTTTCCGTGCGTCTGTTCAGTAATAGATCACAGAGGATGTCAAAATGAGGTAAGAACATCAGTGACACACTCGGCTGTGCTTCGTATGCCACTTTTTTGTTCTTACAACATTTTGACGTCATCTGTGATCTATTACTGAACAGACGCACGGCAACTTGGAATCTATTTGTTAAATGTATTTAGCGGGTCAGAAACCGCTACACCACGAAAACCAGGATTCGATTCGAGAACTTAGCAGTGAAAATTCAAAGTTCGAGCTAGAGCGATTGTCACGGTGACGAAAGAAAAAACTGGTATGAATTAGCTTCTTCGTCGGCTGGAATTAAATTATTGCTGATCATGAAAACTAATTCCCGAGAGGTACATTAAAGCTTCATCAACTAAGATTCAAAGATCACCAAACAGAAAGTAATCCTAGTAGCAAGAAATTAAAAGTATGTTTCTGAATTTCCAATCACTTGCGCTGTTACTAAAGAGATAACTCATTTATGGTGTCATTTTTTCGGGTTAAGAAATAGCTGTCACGATGAAACTTTCCTGTGTAGTTTGTAAAGTTTGTTATTTTTTATTTTCAGTCTCTATTTTGGACAAAGGTCGTTTGCGCATGCCAGAGAGATATATACCGCTTACACGAAATAATTGGCGGGAAAATCAAAACACAAATTAGCTGAGTAAGCACGGAAGACGGACTTATGCAAATTGTGTTTTGCTAACGGCTCATTTAACAAGTCACAAAGGAAAGCTAAGAATAACAACAATATGAAGTCGAGCCTCTGTAAGTTGCCACAAAAGAATAAATTCTCGTCGGCAAACCGTATATACGTCACAGAAATTATTACGATAAAGGTCGCTTTGGAACCAGACAGACACGACGATTCATACCAGGGCAAATGATGCGAAGGCTTTTGCGCAAAGAGTTTGAATCGGACGTGGCCATTTTACAACTGAGTGAATTATCGATAACGACAGCTAGATAATGTTGTTATTCACACAAGTATTGACCAAGTAACTGTTTATTCTCCCGAAGAAGTGGTTATAACGTGGTTTGTCTCGATAGAACTCGTCGCTGCTATAATGGCCGTCAGGAGAGGGAAATTCCGAGCTTTCTTGAAGTCCAAGAATCCCACAGATGAAAGCCACGATGAAAAAAATTCCTCTACAAACACTCAAGATATTGAAATCGAAGTGGAAGTCTCAGTTGGACCAAGAGGTAAGATTTTATTCTTCAGAAACTTGTCCTATCTACATTCGTGTCAACAAACCTAACTATGCAAAGTACAAATTTATTGATTTTGCTTTATAATCTTAATAAATTCGATTAGAGTCATTATTATTGATTATTATTGACAGCGTCGCGAAGACGGAACTTTCTCGATCGATCCCCGGTGCAACACAGGAGAACACGATGAAAACCTGATTTTGATCCGATTACATACAAGCTTTACCTCGAAGAGGATAAAAAATATCCAATTGTTTATCTTTTCAATGAAATCTTTGGGATACTTCAACAGTTGATTGCGTATTTAACGGTAAATTATTCGACGTATATGAAGCTTTTAACATTAAATGCAACGAACTTGCTTGCTCTTTTAGCGACTATTATTCAGCAAATCTTTTTCCAATATTCAACATCAATTTAGTCAATCTCTATGATCTTTTTCGCTAACTTATCGAACGGCTCAATTAAAAAGTTGTATATAGAAAATCTGTTTACATTTTTTTTGCAGCAATCACGGTGTTCAACAAAGACAAACCTTCACAGTAGCGATATTTGCCTTAACCCTTTAAGCCCCGATATCAACATGTAAATTCTCGTCACTGTTCTCCATATGTTTCTTATTTTACTGATTTAGAGAATTTGTTCAAACATCGAGACATTTCATATTTGGTGATCATTTCATTCATTCTCGTGATCTGTACATTTGATCAGGCGGTGATATTGAAAGGATAAATTAGATGCTGGTCACTATTGAGGCTTAAAGGTTAAGTATCAAGCCGATTTCAGACCTATCATATTCGCATGATTCAGTACTACTAAATCAGACGAATATTTTTTCATTCAAATTTTCTTTATTGTCATTTATTCCTATTTATACTTTCAAATACTGAATAGTCAGAATACTTATCGAAGCCCACCATTAAGCTCACCATCTGGTATTTTTTTCCTGTTCCTAGGAGAAATTAGCGACGCAGATGTAGAAATCGCTGGTGGTAACGATCAGCCTTACATTCCAGGGAATCCTGGACTTTTCATCACCGATATAAGGCCTGGAGGCGAGGCGGACAAACTTTTGAGTCCTGGATGTCAAATAGTAAAGGTCAGTTATTTCACAGAAATCCTCAAAGCTTCTATAATGCTCTACGTAGTACTGGAACGAGAATGAGGGAAGAGAGCAAGTGGATTGGAAGGAAAAAGGGGTGGGGTGGGGTGGGGTGGGGTTGGAAGGGGGAGGGGTTTAGGCAATATAGAAGGGTGTTAAAAAAACTGATAATAACCTTGCAGTGATGCCTCCTAGCGTGTTGCTTCATACATTTTTTGATAAGTACACAACACGTTTTTATTCAGTAATAGTGTCACGAGTAACATAAGTGTTTTTCGTCATTTCATAATAACCACCGCGTACTGTATAGCTCTATCAACTATTGCAGCATAGGACCTATACGGGCTGTACCCCTTCATAGGTTCAATTTAAAGCTGCTTTCAGTCTTTACCAACCAATCAGTCAAATGGCAAGAAAAAGTTTATACTGCATAAATTGCTGGTTGTTAAAGTTGCGGTACTTCAAATCAGGCTCTCAGCAGTTCTCCATACCTCCATGCCTTTAGCAAAGCGAGCCAATGAGAAGTATAGCGCTAATAATTGATAGTGCCGGACCTCTCGGAGATTTCTCACCTGCTCGCTTCGGTCGAGACCTTAAACTTTCTGGTTTGTGAAGAAATACTCGTGCTGGAGCGCTGACAGTGAGGGCCTGTTTTCAGTCTAATAGTCCCGTTGCTATTATAAGAGAAAAAAAAAACAGGGTATTGTAGTTCTTTTACTTATATATATGCCAGATTGAAGATGTCGATGTTACAAATGTGCCCCGTCAAGTGGCTGACAGTTTGCTCGAGTTTGCTGATAAATGGGCACGGCTACATGTCAGGATGCCCAAAGGCTTAGACGAGGTGAGCTTTAGTACAAGAATTGATATGCAGTCAAAATCACCAAAATCAAGCAATCAGTCAATCAATACATTAGTTGATTACTCAGTAAGTTAGTCACTTGACTTTGTAAAAGGGACTCATGATTTGTGGTTCACACAGTTCAATAGCTAGCCACTCAGTCAGCCAGTGGGTTGTTTAGTTAGACGGTTAGTCAGTCAGTCACTCAAAACAATCAGTTAGTCAGTCAACGGGTCAGCCTGCCAGTCAGTCAACCAGCCAATCAGTCAGCCAATCAGTCAGTCAACCAGTCAGTCAACCAGTCAATCAGCCAGCCATTCGGTCAGTCAACCAGTCAGTCAGTCAGTCACTCTGTCCGTCTGTCGGCCAGCCTGTCATTTCACTTTCATAGTCAGTCTGTCACTTTCAATTAACATGGTAGTGCATAAATTGAATCATTAAATCCATGGGTTTTTCTACTCCCTCCTAGTCTAATTGATTTCTATCAGTCCCTTAAATTATTTAATGTATCTCGGGTGTCCTTAGGTCTCTGAGGTGTCTTCAAAAGTGGTTTCTTGGGGAACAGTGACCTTTGACACCGACAACAGCGACTCAGGAGTCGGGAGTACCAGTGGAATATTGGAAAAGGAATTCAAATCAAACTTAGACGCAAGCGAGAAAGTTACTGTGAAAATTGCGGTTGGACTTTGGGGTAGGTGAATCCAGATACCTGAAGTAGCTCTATTAAAAAAAATTCTTACCCCCCCAAAAGAGGATCGTCTTGTAAAGAATGCGAACATATGTATGTGCCACTTTTTTTCCGTTAGGACAACTTTTGCCTCTTGATTTTGAGATATACGGGGGACAGGATGAAAAGTCAATAGACGGAGATACGGGAATCTTCATTAAGGAGATAAAAGAAGACAGCTCATTGTCGAAAGACGTCAAAGTCGGAGATAAAATTTTTAAGGTAAGATGCATTTTGGTTTCAGACCATACCTCACTTGTGCGACCATACCCTTTATTTCAACCGCTTTGTCGTCAAAGATTTGGGTTCCTGAATAGCTCGTCTCTGTTGATCGTCTTAAAATGCAAAATGTTATTTCAAGATTTTATTGAACTTAGTTCTCTGCCACTTAATCTACGCTTCGATCCACAGGTTAATGGTATTGACGTCACAAATGTTCCTCAGCACGCGTTCTTCAACTTATTACGTGGCGCTGACAAAGTAGTTAAGATGCAAATCGCGAAGACTTCCGTCGCAAAGGTTAGTAGAAATTTTCTATTTTTGATGGAACACACCTAATTTGAAGTTTCAAAGTGGTTTTTATGCTGGGTGAGAGTGCTCGTCTTCTAGATCGCTGTGGCCTGGGTTCGATTTTTGGACATGGAATTACTTGTTGGCTAAGTTTTTTGTTGGTTCGTGTCCTTGCTTCCAGATTTCTTCTGTCGGTTTTCATTCGGTACAATTTTCGGTTAGCTGTTCAAGTATGTAGTTAGTTACCTTTTCAATTACTTTTAAAAAATGATTTATTTATTGTTTACTGCTTTTGGTCAGGATGATACAGAAATTCGGGTTTTCGAAGATGAGGAAACTGGGGAGAATGAAAGAATTATAGAAATTTCAACTGGTCCTAAAGGTAATGGAATTGTAATTTTGCAGGACTAACCATGCTAAACTCAACGTTTTAAAATGAAAACTACGTGATCTACTTTCTTCTCAGCTAGCAAAATTTATCTTGCAGCTAATTAGGATATTCCAAAAGACTGAGTTCTGTATACCGTGAACCTCTTGCAATTCGAAATGACTAGTGTAAAATTTAAGCAGTTTGCCTGTTTTTGCCTTCAGGTCGCACTTGTTTTTGATGATGTTAACCTTGGAGGACTTTCGATCCAGCGGAAATAGAGTGCATTAATAATCAGGCCGACCTATTTTAGAGAATCAGAGTTAAAATAATTTCAACATTTTGCTCACAGGACGGATTGGTAAACTTGGATTGAAGATCAATGGTGGACGAGATAGGCCTGTTGTACCAGGAGATCCCGGGATTTTCATAACAGCTGTCAAAAGGGGAAGTTTATTGAAAAGAGTCATTGGTCCTGGAGACAAAATACTTAAGGTTAGTATCTTTCCAGAGAGAAACGCAAGTTTTTTTTTGATCTTCAGTAAGATAAAGATGCACTGAGAATGCGCTCTACTCAGCCGTTAGACGCGTCAGAAGATTCTAGAGGCCGTGATTTAATGCTCAACTGTGATTGGAGGATTTCCATTAGGAATTTCAAAAGGAGGATCAGACCAAACCTCTGTACAAATTACAGGGGTCAGTATGAAACCAAAGATATCCTCTCATATCAAGGTCTTCCGTTTTTTTAATGTTTTATTTTTATTACACAGATTGATGGTGCGAATGTAACAAACGTTCCATTAAGAGTTGCTTTCGACAAGATAAAAGAAGCAGACAGACGAGTGAGGCTACACATCAAAAAAGCGGATACCAGTGAGGTATGCTTGCATTAAAAAAAGGTTCACTCCTATTACAAACGCATTCGGGATTTTTTTTCCAGCGAAACCAATAGTTACTTTTCTTATCCTGTGAATAGCCTATATCGTTAGAAGCTCTGCGACCCACAGACTGAAACTCTTCAACAGGCTTGGCTTGAAATTGATACGGCCTTGTGGACTTTGAGATTGTCGTGATGACCAAGTAACCCTTTACACAGTAACATCAATATGCAATTTCTCCATACTGTTCTCTATACATTTCCCAAGGTGCTGACAAGGAGAATTTGTTTAACGATCAATAGCTTCTTTAGTTGGTGATTGTTTCCTTTATTTCCGGATTAGCGAAATGAACTGCGAATTCTATTTTAATCTAAGGTTAAAGTCACTTCACCGCAAAATTTCAGACCTCACACGTTATGCTTCCTTCGGCACCCTTCATGCTTTACGTTTCAGGTGCAACGATGATCTTGGAGCAGAAATATCGGCCTGTAAGAGCGCATGCCAACCCAGCAACACTTTAAAGCCGATATGGTTGTTAGTTCCTGGGCTTGTTCCGAAGTATGCTTTCCCAGTTATCCGCATTTTTTCTTCCTCCACAAAGTACAAAAACGTGGATGATTCACTGCTGCTTCACTTTTCAGAAAACTGTTTGAATCAACTACTTAGCAGGCACCGATGTCACTAAAATAGGCACATACATAGTTGAACACTGTATTTTCACTTTGCAGCATGACATTTCGGAAAGAAAACGAAAGAGTTTCGCGCAGCAGGCCGCGAGGTCTTTTTCTGAAGAGCAGTTGCAAGGTTAGCGTTTGTATCATCTTTAACCCTGAAAGAGTTGTCGCCTCAGACTTAGCCATCTTATGAAAGGCGATTGTCTTCTTTTGCAGAATACAAGACAGCATTTTCAGTGTACGACAGAACCGGATCGGGTAAAATATCTCTGAAACAAGTCATGCAACTATGTCGTTCGCTTGGCTATAATCTCACATCAACCGACAGGGATGTCATCACTACTGAATATAGCTTAACAGGTGAGACCGTCACGCCAGGCCTTGATAAACCAAGTAGCCCATCCTGTATAAGTTTTTTCGCATTTCTGTAGCAGAAAGTTTCTGAAAACATTGCCATTCCTCCCTGGATGGTATCCTGGCCATTGCAGATCTCCCCTCCCAATATTTCGTCGGATTTTCCTGTTAGCTCGCCGATATCCACATGATCCGTAAGTATGATTATGTGGAGAAATTAATTCGCCCTCAGCATAATGGCCTGGGCGCGAACTTGGATCTCTCAAGGGATCGGATATTATTTATCGCTAGGGGGGTCGGAAGGGGATCGGTGTCATGATGAAAATTTACCCGATCCCCCATAAGGCTCTGTAATGTTCTACTGTTCCCCCTTTATTCTCTGTTGGCGACGACTGATCCTCACCCCGTCCCCCTGAAAACCATCTGCTCAACCAAAAATCCTTCGACCCCTCCCTAGTCGATGAATAAATGAATGATGATCAGTCTTTAAGTTTAGCGCTCCAACTAATCAATAACTTGTCGCTTGTCATGCGATACTTAAAAGATAAAATCCAAAACCTTGTCTATTTTTGTGTAGGTGACGGTAAAATCTCTTTCCTGGATTTCATTCCAATAATAACCAAAATCAGCTCTTTTCATCAAAGCGATTCAGATCTGATGGATGCATTTGAAGTGTTCGACCGAGAGGAGAAGGGTTTTTTCAGACTACATGAGCTTGAAGACGCTTTAAAAAAAATGCCGGGTTCGGGGGAGATGACAGAGGATGAACTTGCGGACATTCTTCAGTTAGCAGATCCCGATGGTGATGGACATGTTATCTTTGAAGGTTGGTAAGAGAGGAATTGAAAATAGAAAAGCAAAAATTAAAAGGGTCGTTTTTTGCATCTCTTTTAGCTCTCGAAGGTTTCTTCCTTTTTCTTTCCTTTTTTTTCTTTTGCTGTAGTGTCTCTTGCTCCTTTACATCCTTCTTCTCTCTCCCAACCCAGCTCTTCTCTCTCTCTCTCCTTTCCCTTTTTCTGCCCCTTAAACTCTTCTTTCCCCTCCTTCAGTATCTCTTGTCCTTCACACAGATGCGTACTTTCTATTAAATTCTATCTTCTGCTTTACTTGCGCATCCTCCTCCTCTTCCTTTGCTTTCTCCTTCTTCTATTTCCCTTTCTTCGGCTTCTCGTCTACATCTTCATCGGCCCTGTCTTTCTCCTTCTCCTCCATAACGCGTACCGAACTCCTCCTCTTATCCTTCTGCTGCCTTCTCCTTCTCTCCTCTCTTTTCTCTTCTCAGATCACGTAGGAACCCTGATCGAATGTAACGTTACTCCTCGCCTGATAATTGAGGAGGAGAACTAGGCCGTTATCCAAGGTTACTACAATTGTAATGCCAGTGCATTCTGACTTCTAATAATTATGATAATACATTTCCTTGTTTTCTCTCCAGAATTCCAAAATCTCATGTTGCCTCTCTTCAACCAAAGCTAATCCAGAAAATTTCTATGTTTGCTGAATTGCGACAAGACAACTATGGCCAATGATGAAATTATTTAACAGTATGCGCTAAGGACAAGAACTGAAACCGTAAACAACATCAGAATAATATTCTTCCGACATCGAGGAAAAGTATTTGGACCATGATCGGTTATGAATGCAGCTAATGTTGGCATAACATAGTTCATATATATGATGTGGATTGGCAAAATCTCGCCAATTTATGGCAAAATTTCATAAAAACCAATCACTGGATGAAAATTTGCAGATAAATACGCATAGTATAAATCTATTTTGGTGAAAGTTCATGTTTTAACGGAAAACGCACAGCTATCGATCGATTACTGGCTGGGAAGTATGTCATTTGACAAGATAAAGGAGGAATATCCTCATGAATCCTCTAAAGAGAAATGAATATGTTTTTAGACTTATTTTTTTAGATGAAGTAATCGGTTACCCACGCTAAAAAGGATTTAAATGATAGATAATTTTTTTTTGACTGTCATACAGTGAAGTCTTGATCCGCTCAATAAAAGAAATTTGTATATGATCATGATCCTTCAAAAGTTACCTTTCCTTAGCCTTCAATTCATGAAAGTAACGTATGATGTGTGATACATTGTTACTTTAAAAACGTCAGGACCCCATGACCATTATAGACTTCTGAAAACGTGTGTCTGAAATCGAAAACTGTGTCTCTTTTCTCTGATGTGTTGAGCAACGTTCATATAAATCCCTTTTTTCCGCCCTTTACCCCACTCTTGCAGGTAAGTTATGCTTCGTTAGATGTGCTTCATTATGTGAATCGTGAGGAAGTATATTGGACTAACCTTTTCTAGACACTGTACATTGTGACTTTCTTAACGCTTTTTAACTGAAATGGGGTGTTTCCATGTAGACGCTATTCAGGGACTTATTGGTCTGATTATTTAAAAAAAATAGCCGTTTTTAACAAACCCGCGTCCTAACCAGTCCACAATTTAGTTGAACCGTTTATCTAACCATTTGTTTTTGTTAACAACGTCAAGAGATTCGAAAGCTCAGCTAACAGTGGAAGGATATTCATTTCATCAAATCAACTCTCTTACAGGGAGAGTCTGGAGCCAACTGATTGCGTGAAACCGTGGTTTGGGTTAGACTGTAAATAAGCGGCCCAATGTATTTTCCTCCCATATGCATTGTTTTCCATTGATCTTGGTGCGACATTGGTTTCTAAAGTCAAAGTTAACGTATTATTTACCTGATTATGTTATGTCGCACTCTATAGTAAAAAACTTCACACTTGCAGCTTTGTAACTACACTTATCGCCGTTTATTATAACAGGTCATCGCACTTCGTAACAAAATAGGCTGTCACACCTGTTGCACTTTGTAATAAACTTGGAATGGATTGTCGTATGGCACGTAGAACTAATGAGATACGACAGCTTTTTTCATTACAAAGTACAACAAGTGTTATTAAAAATATGTCAGTTTCATTACAGTGTGACAAGTATCACAATATGAGACGCTTCTTATAAAGCGCGGAAGAACAGATCATATACTGGTTTTACCTCACCGAATTAATATGTTGAAGTTTATTCTGTAGCTAATGAATGAATGTGTTATTCTTTGATCTCACTGGTTTTTCAATTCACTGGTTTGTTAATTTTGCACTTATTTATTATTTCTTTATGATAATTTTTATGTGTGTAAACATTCCATTTCTGATATTCGTTGTCGGGACTTGACGAGGAAAACAGCTTCGAGCCATATGGTAAGTCTGAAGTCGTTTTGTTAAATTTTTCCGCTGTCCTGTCAAGATTTGGTTTTACTGTGCCTTCATCTTGAGCATTGTTGTGCTCAACTTTCCAAAGATGTTTTATAGAATTTCGCACGGGGAGAAATTTGCCGATATGTTTGAACTGAATGAGACAATAATGTAAGAGTATTCTGTTCATTGAGAATACAGCGCATATTGCAACTTGTAGACCGTGGAGTATCTGTAATCCTTTAAGAATTATGGAGGTGCTCTGACCTGTACCTATTTATTCTCGGAGAAGACACAGCTCGTGTTATTCTCTAGTTTACATGTCTCTGAATTAATATGGTTTACAAATTTCAAATGCTACTTAGAAAAACAATTCTATTGAGCGCTCTCAGTTATCGTTTGAATTTGACGTGACAGCATAAAGGAAGGCGAAATCTGCTGTCAATGTGACTCAAACATGTTTGGGGCCTAGACAGACCAGCCAGTAAACCAAACCTTGTGTTCATCGCTTTAAGGTGTGAACGACGGTAAAGTATTGGAGAAAGTTCATTCCAGCCGGTGTTAATCTCTTGTCAATAGAGGTGTTTAAAACATTAGAAAATATGCATCTGCTCCTGGCATCTATAACTAGAAAGTACATTTATTTAATGGGAAAATAACAGCAGTAGAGAAAGATGATAAAGATTTGGCAGAGGCGTGAGGCAATGCAACATATCGTTGCCCCCCAACGATGATTCGAGTTTTGCGCTACAGGCTGACCATCCTGTAAAAGTAACATTAATACTGAGATTTTTCGGACCACGATACGTGGAAAATTTGTTTATACGTCCTCCATTCGTGATCGCCACACATTTATGCTTATTTATATAGAATGTATTACATTTCAACACACACTAGGTTGTCCACCTGTGCTAAAACCCTCTCATACTGCATTCCAACGCCCTCCCACTTAAGCTTCGAAGGCCTTAGTGGATTGAGGAACTTTCAGTTGACTTTGGACTTTGCGCGAAACCAAGCTTAGATGATTCCGAATTCTTGATGCAGGGTCAGAGTTGCAATATTTTATCAATCAGAACTAATTCAAGCATTAATTATCAGGGACTGACAGAATCAACACCGTGGAGTTCTCCAGAAAACAGAGCTGAAACATTACAACAAGATGGAGCAGAAACATCATCATTAAACGAGAAATCAAAGAGGCAGGAACGAGAACAGGATCCACGTTCTGTTGAAATGATCGTTGAGGTACAAGTTACTGGTGATTGACCGATAAATGGATAGTTTTACTTCGCTTCGCTCATTTGATTAGTCTTGGAAAACTCTGAGCCATAGTCAGATGCAGCCAGATGTGTGTCTGAATCGTTACCTCGTCGCTCCCTGTTTCATGCATTTTTGACTGTTGGCTTGCTTTCACTTTGAGATTGCGTCGTCAGCGGCTTTTAATATTTACATTTTCTACAATTGGCCGTTGTGATTAATTCGATTTTGGCACCGCAACCCTCAGTTGAATAGCGCTGTAGTGTTATGCCAGTAAGGATCAGTCAGAATTTATCACCAGGGGAGGGCAGAGGGGGGGAAGGGGTGGAAGATTTTTAGGGGGGTCACGGTCCCCCCCCCCCACTTTCACTTTCCCAGGAGATAAATAAGTAAGCAATCACAGTTTTCATTGTCACTTTCTTTGCAGGTCAATGCAACCCCTGATGAGCGTGCGCAAGACCGAAATATTGCTGAGCACACGTTTCATGGGGTAAAGGGTCACCTGGGACCAGAGAACAACAACAAGCCCGAAACAAAGAACAAAAAAATGCTGCATGCTGCAAAAATGGTTCAACAAATGACCAACGTTACGACATTCCTTTCTTCGTTAAAAAAAGAGCCAGACTATGTTTTTGTGGACATTCCAAAGCATCCTGACGGTAAGCTACTGCTAGATGATTCACTTTATCTGAAAATGGTGTTGGATTATCTGTTTACAAGACTTACCAATTGATTGACTGATTATCGATTGATAACTTGATTGATCGATATGTTTGAGTGTTGAGCAAAGTAATTCTGAAAATAGCGTCTTACAGTCTGTCTGATAATTTATCTAACTCTCCCACTGCTTAATGTATAACTGTCTGAGTGACTGAGTAACTGAGAGAGATAAAAATGACCGACGGAATGGAAACTGACACATAAATATTTGAACTGACGTGCCATTAAGTGAAGGATAGATAAATCACCGGATCGACTAATTGACTAACTGGATTCTAGTTCACTGGTTCTTTGCATCACTCACGAACTCGACCCAACTCATTTACTGACTCCTTACATAACTGACTGACACGAGTTCTACTTTCGGCGAGCGACTTTTTTTTGATTCAAAAACATATCAACCTGCCAGTTCTGATTACAATACCTTTACAGACCGGGCAGCTGACTTAGGTTTTACTTTACATGGTGGTACTGGTAGTCCTGTCATTCATGGAGATCTGGGTATTTTCATCGACAAGGTGATTCCCGGCAGCTTGGTGGACAAGAAGCTGAGTCCTGGGGATAGAATACTATCAGTAAGCTCACTTCTTTGAAACAATGTTCAACATAATGACAACCAGGAAAATTTGTGTTGAGTACTTCTAGGGCTTTACAAGTTGATTATAGATATTCAAATTATAACACCACTACTGCCGCCGCTGTCGCCACGGTAGTTAGCATTATTGTCATTTTTTTTCCTCCGTGCCATTTCCTTCCTTTCCTTTCTCTCGCATTTCCTTGTTATTTTCCATTTTATCCTCTTCTTCGTCATTTTTCTCATTCTCTCCATTTCGCTTCAATTCATCCTCCTCTTTCTTCTCCTTTTCCCCTCTTCCATTCTTTACCAATCCCCCTCACACCCTTCCATCTTCAGCCTCTCCCTTCCCTCTATCATCACCACCAACATTATTATCCTTGCCTTGTACTCATTACTCATTCGGTTCTGTTTGTTAACAGTACTTATTCCTATTTTAAGATAAACGGACTCAATGTCACTAAAGTACCGCTGACATACGCACGTCAGGCAGTGAGAAAAGCTAGGGGAACGGTCAAACTTTACGTCAAGAAAGCCCCAAAAAGACAGGTATCAATTAAAGTTGTAAGTGCCTCACACAACGCTAATACTTACTTATTTGCATCGATTATCACATGATATCAGATTGCTTCGAATGTGGCCTCCTACGAATACTTTTTTGGATTGTGACGTAACTGTTTCGGGGGGTTTGCGTGTCTTCCCGAGTGAAGCATTTCATAGAAGGCTTAGTGGACTGATAATAGTTGGAGTACAACAAGGGTATAAGATGGGCTCCACCCAGGGCCCCCAGACCCTGCTTGAAGGTAGACCGTGGAGAGAATGGGTGTTCGATATGCCAACCACTCTACGTACGGTGTGGAGCACCAAGCTTGTCTGCAGATGTCAAGAGTAAGATAAAAACCTTAATGGGTAATAAAATTGTTCTCGCCCTAGCAAATAATTAACAAAGCCATAAGGAAAGAGAACGAACAAGACGTTCCCTTGTTCAGCGACGAGCAGATCGAAGGTAATTTCAATTTTGTTGTTTGGTGTAATTGCTAAAGTTTTAAACAACATATACAACTTTAGAATCGATCTTTTCTATTAAGCTAACAAGAATTTCGAAGTTTTTCTTGCGATGAAACGACTATCTCGAGTGGCTGATGAACGAATAGAGAAAAGAATGACCTAATATATAATTATTTGACCAACTAAGTAATTACAACGGACTGATAGACAAAATAACTGAATGACTCACCGGATGAGTGACTGACTTACGGAATAAAGGAGGCAAGTTCTTATAGAAACTTTGAACTGAGTTGATAAAGTATATTGGCCACCTCAGACTGGAGCATCTAAAGCTGACGTTACGAGCATTAGCCCCTCCTCAGAGCGAGCTAATACTGATTAACTGGCAGATTATCTAACTGGTTGACTTTTTGATTGACTTCTTGGCTGATTGACTGACAGACGAAATGAGCTGCTGACTGGCTTGCAGCCTGACTTATTCATTGACCAACCAATCGCTGAATGATTGGCTAACTGGCCAAGCAAGATCAAAGAGAAAAAACACTTACTGTTTTGTTTCTTCTTATTTACAGAGTTCGAAGATGCTTTTTCCGTTTACGACGTACAGGGCACAGGAAGAATCAAACTAGGAGCCGTTTTTCCTCTGATTCGTTCACTGGGGTACAATCCTCTCGAGGCAAAAGTGTGGGTCTTTATGAATGAACTGGACTTAACAGGTGGGATGTACTGTAATTGGTCGATCCAATTATACTCAGATCAAACTAAAAGACCGTCAATTTTTTTATCTGTATGTTTAGTCAGTAGATCACTGGTGTCCAAATATTGTCACAAAACTGACCCACATGGAGAAAATGATTTACCTAAGGCTGATAAGTGCGTATGAAAACTTTAAGGAACATTTCCAACCCCAAAGTCAAAGGGTCATAATTATTCGTTCGAGAAATGAAGTGAATGAAATTTTTTTTATGCTTCTAGAAAATGTTCATATTTCAATGTTTATTCTTTCGTATCACTAGCAAACCGGAAATTGAAGTTTGAAGAATTTGTAAGACTAATGGAGGCCTTAATAATTGATGAAAACGAAAACGAAGAACCCTCGCTTGATTCAATCCGGGTATTTGACCCAGAAGAACTCGGCTTCATCGGCTCCGAAGATCTGAAGATTGCTCTGAAAAGCATGCCGGGAAGTGCTTACATGAGTGACTTCGAGCTACGAGATATTCTTCAAAAAGCTGATCCTGACAAAGATGGAAAGATAGATATTCAAGGTAATTATTTGAAGGGCTACAGTTATCTCCTGAATATTTTTTTGGTGGAAAAATTTTCGATGGGGAGGGGAGCTAAAATTTTACAGCAGAATGAACTTTTGTGTTTAAATAACGTCGTTGTTATTCTTGGTGACCGGTTAACGCGGTCATTATTTATTGTTGGGGGTGGTGGGAGGGGTAGGGAGTCACGAAGAAAGTTTCTTACGTGATCCCCCTAAGGCTCTCTAATATTCTTGCGACTCCATCTCATTCACAATTAGTTTGAAGTTAATTTTATATACCGTTGGGGACGACTGATTCCCCCAAATGGTGACGACTGATTCCGGCAACTTCATACCCGTTTTTGAGATAATTCGATAGTGCGGTATGCGCCAAGTTTCAGGGCTTATAGAGAATAAAACAATGAGAAAAAAACAACCTAAACTAAACATTAAAGAAAGAGATTGAAGAATGAAACTTCACACGAATTTTCATAGTTTTGGTAGTCACGTTTATAAAGGTTGTCATGGAGTTTCTTAAATCCTCCAATTAGCGCCTTCTCTCGAAACACGCCCCCTTCAGTTAAGCGCTCTTTCGAGCGCGCCCCTCGTATTTGTTAAATCAAGGTATTTACCACACTCAAGAAGTTGAAAGAGAAACAAGTATAGATTCTCGAACCTCTTATTTTTCCCGACAGATTTTCAACGTCTTTTGGAACCGTCGGTGAGACTAAAATAGCTGAAGAAAAATCCTGGTCTAAGTTCTTGTTATAACTATTGCGATTTCAAAATATAAACTACGAAATGAAACTTAAAGAATGTTAAAAATGCCATCCTATTCAGTGAAGATCTCAAAGGACCATCTCAAAGCCGAGGCCAAAGAGAACTGGTGCATAAAATGGAACGGTAACAATGAAATGAAAAGCCTCAGACTTCATAATTCTTAGGCCTTTCACATATAAACTATAAGGATGCGAACAACGAGATGTTATTATTTATTCTGTCTGGAGTTACGCCTTTTGTTTGTTAACTCTTTCAACTTGTCCTTATATTATGTCTTACTGACTCTTCTATCGTTTATTGAATCACAGAGGTTTACACATAAGCAAAATATGTCTTTTTTATTAACCTACAGTTCCCCGAAAAACGGTTGAAAAGGAATTCTAAGTCCTCAAAAATTTGTTGGTGGGCATGTACCCTAGACTCCTCGAACGATTTGCGTCCTCGACACTCGATTATCTCTCTTATAGGTTCGCAATCGGCGAAAATGCACGCAACAACCCTGTCCGTAGTCAAAAAATGTTAAATTAGGAGTAGCCCAGAATCTGATAGCGTCTCTTGTAGCTGCAGTGTGCAAATCTGTCAGGCGTTCCCGCCAACCGTGAGGCTCGTCCGCGAGGAGAATTGTGCGAGTAAACATACGGCGCAAACGGTGATGAATGACAAGTATCACTATCATTAAAATTCTTAAGCGAGTCAAGTGACAGCTCATGTTTGTAAATTAAGTAAAATTTGTGTAAAATCGTTGTCTAAAAAACTGATATCGATAGTTCAGAAGGAGAAGAGTAAACCGTGTGGCGAAGGAAAAATTTCAAGGCTTATCTCAAAAGAGTGAACACAAAATTACAGCGAATGACATCCGTGGAAGATTCAGATCCTCATCTTTGCAGTAAAATGTTCAGTTGGAGTAACTTTGCAACCAGAGGTACTGTTCACGTTAATGTTGGCATATTTAAACTCTACACCAACAAAAAAACCTCCTCCAATTCTGAAGGTATGCAAAGAATTTTGTGAACTGTTAGCGCTGAACACCACTGTGGTATTTGAACCAGTTTCTTGGGTTGAATTTGAAGAAGGCTCTCGTTCTTGAAATTCTTGAGGAATTTCACTCTCATTTGAACAGTAAGAGCAAATCTGTTTGCTTATGATCATTATGTGGAATGACCTAAAATTAATAGTTGGGTTTCATGGGGCGTGAATACACAGACATCAAGGCTTTGACTGATATGTAGTTGCTCAATACTGTTGCCCAGCAACGTGGTTAGGAACGTTTTGTTGCAGTTTGTGGTAAGTGTACCTTGAGGTTTTTTTTTTTTTTTGCGATGTTAGGACTTCTTTTTAAGTTATCCAATGTTAACCTCACTCAACTTAAAAGTGATCTTGATATCCTGCTATATCAGGTTAATAACTTTATATCATGGGTTAGCAGCACAATGTACAAAGCTTTCTATAACTTATTTAGAATTTAGTTATGGCAAGTAGCCAAACACAGGGGCGGGCCAGACAATTAGAGAAGAGGGAACCATAAAATTATGGCTAGAACCTTCACAACCATATAGCAATTTCTTTTTGCAGAATTCTAGATCACATAAAAATGTGTTTAAAATTCATCAAGTAAAGGGGACCCATTCATTGCTCACCCTCTTACTCCACCCATGACATAACACATTTGCTGCTGTGCTCCAGACTATTTATTCATGCAGCTTAGGTTGAGGGTCCGGAAAGGTGAAGCTGGGGTGTGGCATCCAATTAAATGTTTAGATGACAACAGATACTATCCTACCAATCATCCCACCAATCATCCCACCAATCATCCCACCAATCATCCCACCAATCATCAGTTATTTACTGATTAGCTAAAGGTGTTGAAATCAAAGATGTGGCCACATTTTAAACAATGTGGCAGCCATTAAGACAAAAAGTGCCATAAAGTGTCAAAGCCATTCTTGAATGGAGGGGCTCTCCTTCTGTGTGCTCTATGATTTGTTCCACAGAAATTTAGCAAAAATTCAGTAAGGTGTCATATTTTTCTGGCATGTTTCAATGCTTTATTAAAACTTCTAATGCAGATGTAAAGCCAAATTCTTCCAAGTAAATATTTTTAAAAATTAAATTAATAACAAATAAACAACATAAATTTGGTCAGCTAGATAACATATTTGATAAAATTTTGGCAGTCCTTGAATTTCCAAGACCTTTTTAGGATTTCTTTCTATTTTTTACTAAATATAACTCTTAATTTTCTATTTCTTTGGTCACTTTTCTTAAAACAAAAATTTTACTAAATATTATTAAAGCACTAAAAATTCGACGCAAAATTCGATCTCAAAATAAGAGTCAAGGAAGTTGATAATGCCCTTCCTTGTCTAAGAATACTATGTATTAAGTTTGCTAAAAGTGCTGTTAAAAGAACGAATCTAATTGGACAACGATTAGTTTGTGCATTATCGATAACGCACCTCAAGTATTTCCTTATCGGCGATTCTATAATCGATAGTCACTCGTTTATTCTGTGTTAAGCTCTCTTCCAACATCCGGGTAATTTCGCGGTTCTTGTTGCCATGGGGAAGCTTAAGGTTTTGGTACATCTCTATTCCCGTATAGACACTGACCACGTGACGTTCCCAGGCGATACTCCACTCGATCCCAGGCTTCATCACCACGCCTCGTATCTCCATGATCTCGGCCTCGTCATCATCGTCATCGTCTTCCGCTGTGGCTTGATCTTTTCTCTCTACGTCTCGATTCATTTTGAACATTCAATTGTCGAGCTGAAATTATATCTACGGAAACATTTAAAGCAAGAGTAAATATTGCAGATGTAAATCATGAATCATGGCCGTAAATCACAGCCAACAATCTAGAATGATTTTTGTTGTGAAACTTTTGGTTGCAACCTTGAATAAAGGGGAAGGGAATGACTGAATTTCTGCAAGGACGGTTGACAATAAACGATAGGAAAGAGAGTGTGGAGGGAGGGAGGGAGGGAGGGAGATGGGAATTCACCTTCCCGCCTAACTGTCACCTTGCTCAAAATATAGTGCCCTATGAAATTTTTTAGTCGGCTGTCGAAATAATACTTTTTTTTAATCACACCTTCGTTATTATAGTGGCTAATGCTTTTAAAGTCGTCGGTATCTTTAGTGTCGTCATCAATATTGTGCTGTAAGGGTAAAACCTTATCATGGTTAATTATATTAGATATGGTCTAATGTACTGTTTATCTGGGAGAGTTTAATTAGTTTATAAAGCGATAAGAAAGCGCTGTTTTCGTTGGAAAGTTTCGTAAGAAAAGTCCACTCGTTTCTGACTACGTACAACATCGTTCCCTAGTTGCAACGGGTGACGGCCGAATGACTACTGTATTGTAACAAGACCCTTTATTTCTTAGATCTCACTTAAAAGCCGTCAGACGGGTGACATAAACATTCGTGGAATTTTACCGATTAATCATCGGAATTTTGCACTTTATGAAGGTCACAACCAAAGGTCACGAAATGACGGATAGCAATAGATTACGAAACGTCAGAAAGAGTCAAAATAAGCTAAGGCGCTTTTATTTATAACTTATATGCAAAATATACCGTGGAAGTTTGAACTGTTATGCGCCGAATGAGTTCGACGAAATTGAGACCGAAAAGGAGCTGCACTAATTGCTGCCAAGATTAACTATCGTTGTTTGGATTCAAAATAAAAGTTTAATTGTAATCTATTGATCAGATCTCAAAATCCTGTAAATAAATACTGTATGTTCGGATTTTTCTGATGAGCACTGCCAATTTATTGTGTAACCTAAACATTGGACGATTAGCGGTTTACGGACTCAACATAAGGAGGAATCACACTGCCTTACCTACGTGTTTCGGTGTGAACTGCCAAAGAGAAACTATCGTAACAGCTTTAGCGCTGATATGCTATATTCGGGCGGGGTAAATTAGGAGTTGTCTGTATACCATTATGTTAGCATTACAATTATCTGGCGCTCATCATTGTTGTTAAACCTAGGCAATTTAACCCGTTGGAACTTTTCTTGGAAGAGTTTTCAATTCTCTCTCATCCCTGTTAAGTCCGACTCATTGTACTTACAATTGCTTCAGTGGCAGATGATCCGTGTATTCCCTTAACATCTAATAGCTTTTGACGGTTCGATGGTTATGCGAAAAACATTCGGGTCTCTTCAGATGTATAAATAGCGTGTGATGACAGGTATGAAAACACCGGCTTAGTTCAATGATCGATAGTTATTCGTTTCTTAATCTCGTGACCCGATACTGAGATCTCGATAGCTCGATAAATCACCAGCCATCGCCATCATGGCTGCTGGTCGTCTTTGTTGTAGGAGAAACTTAAGCAGATCCCAACTGTAATTAAGATCTTTTGTTTTCTTGTTTATCTTACTTTTAGATTCTTGAATTCAATTCGTTGATACTTGTTAGTCTTTTTTAATAAGTTTATTTACTCAGAATTCTTGAACTGTCCTCAGCTAAAGGCTTCCATTTTTGAGATTTTCGTCAGCCAATATGGCAGTTTACTCTGAGTTTTAAGCTTTTTCTTCATGTTATATTTGGGGCATGTTTTCTTTACCTCTATCGCAGATATGCCGGCCCTATGTAAACAGCAGATCGTAACTGACTTTGACAGGTATACTTAACATTTGCTTCGAGTTATTTTCGTTTAAGTCCATGCTTTAAAACAGAAACAAGTGAACATGAAAGCATGCGGCTTTTTGACGATTTCAAAGAGATATCGTGAAAGTTGAAGGAGCAAAGAAGTAGCATTTAAAAGAAAGAGGGAACCGTTTGTTTTGGTTAACAAAGAACTTGTCGATATAAGGGACAGAGAGGGTAGGAGTTGTTTGGAAGAGTCTCGAAAAATCAGAATCTGTTCAGAATAATAATAATTAGGAAACTCTCTGAAGGTGGTTAGCCTCGAAAAACACCTCAAACTGAAACGTCGAATCTTATTGATCAAACACTTCGCAGCATAACACATGGAAAAACGGGAGAACACAAGTAAAAAAGACAAAGTTGCTAAAAACGCTTTTTATTGTTTATATCCAGAGGCAATAACAGCTTGTAAATTGTATTCATCTAAAAGAGGATGCATGAGAAAGACTGAATATGCCATTTGTTTTTGGCATGGTCATAAAATAATAACCCTCAATATTATTTTTCACAACTTCGAAAATCCCAGGAGAATCTTTAGAACCTATTCCTGTGTCAAGAATCAACATATGCTGGTTCTGTCATAGATTACTTTCCACGAAAACAGGCAAAGCAAAGTGAAGCAATGCTTATGTCGCGTTATTATCAGGAGACCAAATGACCTTTCAACAAGGGCGTAGCTAATGAGGAGGGGGTCTCGGGGTGCCCGTGACTCCCCCTTTGTAAGCCTTTTTTTTTGTTACATTGGGTAAAACACGGCGTAGAGGTCGACATGACAATCTAGTGTTTACCTTCTGTTTGGCACAGTGTGACCCCCCCCCCCCTTTGAAAAATCCTGGCCACGCCCCTATTCAATATAACTTTAAAATGATCTGAGGAATGAAGGGTCCATTTTCTTGCTCAGTCAGCGCTATTAATCACATTCGTCAGAGCCTAATTTCAATCAGGTAGTTCATAATCTAGTAGCCTCGTTCTCAGGCTAGAAGTTCCATGTAATTATCTTCTTCTTGGCTCGCCACTTGAACGGAATTCTGGTCCGCAGCTGGTGTAGAGCATGGGCCGGCTGCGTCCACTTGATGTGATGGAGAGCCTTGTGCTGGTTTTAGCGTTTCATATGAATTACTGATTGTTGTTCCCGATGACGTAGGCGGTGCCTTAGCACTCGTCACTAACCTTCCATCATCAACAATATCAACATAATCGGGAATATCTTCGTTTGCATTCTCATTGGTGCTCGGGCCCTGCTCGACCAGGGAAGGCTGGACTTCTTCTGGGAGTCTATCTCGCAGCTGTAAATGTTCGTAGCGATTCACCTTTCCATTCCCATCATCCTTACTGTGTTCCAATCCTTTCGGTTTAAGAGACTGGTAACTAGCAGCCCTAACTGATTCTACAATCTCCTTCCTTTCTGCGTGTTGATTGGGCGACTTTTGGGGTCCGTGTTCCAAAATTTCTATGTACTCCTCGGACATCGGATCTAATACACATGATTGCAGCCGCTGATAAACATGTTGCTCCATCTCCCACTGATCAGCGGCTGCTTCTCTCGATAGTTGTTTAGAATTTTCATCTTCACTTGGGTCGGCCGGCTTGATTCCGTTTTTCTGGATTAGTAAGTTGTTTTGTCTGATATTAGTAGACGGTTCTGTGCAAATGTCGCTCTGTATCCCCAAATTGTCTAGCCCTGCTTGTGATCCAGTTCTTCTTGATAAGGTGCTCTGTTGCACGGCCGTCAAATGACGTTTTTTCTTTCGTTTTCGTTTGCAGCACACGTAGTAGATTAAGCAGACGTTTACAAGGCAGGATACTCCAAGAAGAAATCCCAAGACTATCATGATGATTATAGGCAAAACTGTTATGAAGGCAAATACAAAATTTCATCAGGGGTTAATATTAACATATTGGATATCTTACCCTACTACCTATCGTCTGTGGGAAACGTAGTTACTTACTGGCTGGATCTAAGATCATCAGATTAGGGTTCGAGCCTTGGCCGAGTTATTGAGTTGCACTCTGCTCTCACAGAGCTGCGCTGCCCCTCGGAGAGTAAGTGGTACTGGCAATATTGCAGGGAAACTTGACGAGATGGTCTGGGTTACCTGGGCAGGTTAGCTTCTCATTGAGGATAATCAGAAATGATTCTAATAAATTAATGTTCAAAGGAAACCACAATAACTCCAGCAGTAGCAGTTTCCGGTATGCTCGTAAGGCTTACGAACTTGCCCCCCTAAAGTTGATTATGGTAACAGACCTTTCAGTTGGCAAAAGGTTTACCTCCCTTACAATGTAGAGGTTTAAACAAACAGTACTTTGTTACATATTACTTTCTTTATGAGGGTAGCAGACAACTCCCACATCCATGCTGTGGTCACATGACTCATTGACGTCATGCTTTTTCCATACGTCGTATTCGCATCCTAGCAGTGATCTCTCACTGCCGGTGCACTTCACATCTTTAAGAAATATAGGTCCTGTGCCTGCGCTAAAGCCAGCCATGGGGACAGCGGCCACTGCAAGCGGAAAGTCTAGCTGTTTGCATATGACATTGGCATCATCTTTGGTCCAGTGCTTGTCGCAAATTGTGCCCCAGCTCTCCTCGTCGTTGCTTATCTCCACTCGTCCAGCATAAGAAATACTGGAATCTCGCAAACGGACATAAACTATCGCAGAGTAAAGAGCAATTAGTCAAAGCTTGTAGAGATTTCATTAATGTGACCACTTCCAATAGTTTGTTAAGATGAAAATCTCAAATTGCTTTAACCACTTTAAGCTCTTTCGAGTAATTTTTCTCGTTGTTTTACCATAATTTACTTGATAAAACAACCTATTCAGAGTTTGATGCGGAGTAGTTCCTTTAAATCCCTGGCTTCAAATCATAAACAGTTGACTGTAATAGCATACGACTATTCAGACTGCATATAAGTTTATTTTTTAAATAGACTGGTGTTAAGGCACCCACGAAACTAAGTCAAAATCCTAGACACACTGGTTTACTATTTTTCCTTGTTGAAATAAAATGAACTTAGGTCACGCAGAGTAATAGCTACAACCTTGCACAAAAAAATAGAAATTTTGACGCCGCCTCCCGCTCATTTCAAGTATCGTTAAATCGTAACTTTGCGCAGGAAGGCGGTTACACGTTTTTTTTTTTGCCCTTTTACACTAAACCAGCAGTTTATCTTTCTGATATATTGATGAATTCTTACAACTATCATAGATCTGAAAGGTTAAATATACTGACCCCAATCTCTTTCTAGCGCTCAATATACGCGCACCGCCCCCAAAATGTGAAAGAATTTAAATTACTTGTGAAGAAACGGGTTAAGAATTTTGTTATTTGGGCTGATTCCTAAGCATATCCTAATTTGATTAAACTTTTATATTTATCGGGAAGGGCCACTCATCCAGACTGACGAATGACACATTTATAATGGTTAAATCTGTTTCGTATTTCTTGGGCAAAGAACTATTTTTGAAATTTTTGTCCTCAACGGCTTTTGAGTCTTGAAGACGGTTCGTGCTGCGAGGAGATAAACGGAGATAAACCCGGGTCCTTTTGAACTAATGTTTTCGTTACAGTTCGTGCGATTGGATTTCGCAACTTTTTTAGGTAAACTACGAGTGTTGGAAACCATTAAGTACGATTTTTGACTTTGGAGAGAGCACAATACCTTTTGTGAGTTTCTCATTCTTGGTAGGATTGCTTTTTCCTCCAACTTCCCCAACGGCAACGACAAGAAAAATTGCGGAGGTGAAACTGTTCATGTCCGCGAAATTACGGTTTGTTGATTATGACTGAATAAGGATGAAATCTGAAGATATACGTGTTCGACTGGTCACGACGTACTACAAACATTACATCACGTAATCTTCAATGTTCCTTTCTAATTCTTGCGTGACGCTAATGGTAGACTGATTCCCAGGGTTCTCCCTGCCGCGGGGAGGAAGGAGGAAATGTCCAAGCATGGGTTTCTTTGTGTATGAGAAACCATTTTTTTTAGGTGTCTAGAAGATGAAACTACTGATGAAGGTTTGTACAGCTATTTTAGCCTGTAATATCATTTGCATCTTCGTGTGAGAACTCGACTATAAAACAAGTTTTTGACATTTAAAATGATACATGAATGAATCACAGAATGTACCGTAGCCTGACCAAGAATTTTGCCGGAACAGTGTTGTCTTGAACGATCAGTCTTCTTCTCGCACCAAGCTAGATTATATAGATTTATAAATCCTCTTTACGTATATATTAGGTTTAATTTTGAAGAGCTGAACACAATTTTTGGTATTGAATGAAAGAAGATCAAAGCGTTCCTAACTTTCCTTGGATGAGCTGGAGTACCTTAAAGCTAGAAGAACAGTTGTCCATTCTTGACGGCAGAAGGAAATTTACAACCTTTCAATTACTTTACGATGGATTACTTTTTTTCGCTAAGTTTTACTTAGCTTTCCATGAATGCTCTTCTCATAGAAAGATTAGTTCAGTTAACCTTCACTGTCAAAGGGTATTTAAAATGTATCACACGTGGCTGTATTGACCTCCAATAAGGATAAATCGTTGTCGCAGAACACTTCCTTTGGGGACTCTCCCCGTGAGGGTACAATAACAACACTCTCCTTAGACTCCAAAATCCAAGGACATGTGCCAGATAAGGGCCTTGGTGGTGGAGGGCTGGGTGTTCCCATTGTTTTTGGGTCTTTTTGCTTATTTTTTCTTCGACGTTCGACCACTGTAACGAATGGCTTGCAGTATTCGAATGGTCTCGTTAGCATTTCGACGGTTTTTTGTAATTTTCGAACATGTATAAATAAAGTAATGACTGAAATGACGAGGAGGATGGTGAATACCAGCAGCACATAGACTCCCGCGATCTCCCCCATGCATTCAATGGTGGCGACTTTCTGTGCAAAGTTTTTCTGCTCAGCTTCTAAGAGCAAGAAATGGAAAGTTAGAGATCAATGATTCAACTGATGAAAGCCACTCGTAGTGCCAAATTTTCACACCATACTTTCTTAAAAAAAAAAAACGCCTACAATTGTCCCCGCACTCCTAATTTGATTTGCGAAGCTACTGGAAACGTCTTCTTTCTGGGGCAGTATTCTCACGTTTTAATTTCATGGTATCTGAGTCGCATTTTTGACGCGTGAAAAAACTAAGTTCAACAGACCAAAAAACGTAAGTTCGGAAGGAAAGGAAACCACGGAAGAGGCCGAGATAGAGCCGGCGCGGAACAAGGATATGTCGGATAGTTGTGGGTACACTTCTGGTATCATGAGGAGTTTTCTTATCCAGTTCAAAAGATACACAATATGAAAACCCGGAAATAGTCTTCTAAAGGGAGTTCTGAATATTTGGACGTTGATATCGGTACTCGTTTAATTTCTGGTATGTTGGCATGCCAAGACTTAATGGCGTCAAAACATTACCAAGGTCAGGTATTGACGTAAATAGGCAGATTTGCGTGTAAAAAATTGAGATTAAACCAGATTTCCCGTAACTATTTGTGACTGGTCCAAGACTAGCAACCGTTGATTTCATTCTAACATTAGTTTTTAAGCTAAAGCTGGGGAAAGCCATCAAGAAAATGTTCTTTGTGTGACATATGATGCCCTGATGGCGCTTTTAGTAGCGTTACGCAATTAATGATGATGCACAGTTGACATAGAAATTGAAGTTTATCAACAAAGCTATCGTTACATCTCTATGATTTTAATTACTGAAAGTAAAGAAGTTGTTACTGACCGGTGTCTTTTGTGCGGAAAGCAAGCGAACCATTAATAGTTCGAAAACAACCAGTTATATCTGCTTAATATATGAATCAATGATAACAAGGAAATAGTATCCTCTAGAAGATTCAGCGTTCATTTTGTACAAGATCCTTATTACACCTTGGTACGGAAAAACTCTAAAAGATTCAGCGTTCATTTTGTGAAAGATCATTATACTCACCTTGATATAGAGGTTAAAAATTAAGAATTAGAATGCATGCTTGTATAAATTTTCAAGTTGAGTGCTGGATTTCAATTCTTACCTTTACAACTGCGCACATTTGTTCACACAGGGTCAGAAGATCTGTTCTTGGCAAGAGCTCCTTTAGGCTCTCTTTTGAAACTCGAACATCCTTCCACGAAAGTCACACATGATGACAGCCATGCTCATTCGCGTGTGTTACAAAGGCGCTCCACAACAGTTCTAAGGCCGGGCGGAAATGAATGCCCGTCACGTGACTTAGTAGGTCAAACTTCAAACTCGTGTGAGCAGAGATAAAGATTTAAATGACAGTGCGTCCAATCTTAGAAGCATCTTATAGAATTCCCTCCCTCATTTCCGTGTCTAATCACATGAAATTGAGGAATGTGCCAAAGACAAGGATTAACCATGAGGTGGGTGGAAAATGAAGACCTTAAGAAACGGTAAGTGCGAAGCTTTAAGAATCTAGTTCAGTTCTTTAGGATCTTAAAAAATTCAGGATGATTTTTTTTCGAGTTCGTCAAGTGAAATTTGTTAGTCGTCTCATCATTTCCTTTAGTCTCGCGACCTAAATGCGTCTCAGGGGTGACATTCTAGGAGAAATTCGATGCAAGTCACTCATAGAGGTTACAAGATTAAGCTTATCCATAGGTAACTAACGAAACTAAAGTAAATACGTTTCAAGGTGTCTACTTCAGAACGTTTTCCTTGGACTGTCTCGTTTACAAGGTCTCATGAAAACTTCTCAAAGTTAGGCGGCTTTCGCAGGGCGGATAAGGCTCTTCAGAGCTTCTTGGTGAAACAACTTCCCGTAGGTCTCTGAAAATTTCCTCGTAGGGTGTTATTTTCAATTCATCTAACCTGGTGAGTTCTTGACAAGTTTTTCATGTCAAAAGTTCTCGTTCAAAACCTGCCATGAAAGGTTTTGGAAAAGGAAGATTTTCCATCGGTCATAGATATTTTGTCATTCTACGTTGCTAAGGAAGATAAATTAGGGGAAACGTGTAAAAGAAAACTCGGTGTTGTAAAAACGACTTTATCCTTTTACCGCAAGAAAACTACGCGAAAAAAAACAAGAAAGCCTCATACCATCGAGCGACACTGAGTGAGTTAGAAATTCCAAACAATTACAGGGTTTGACGTAGTGCAGTGAGAATTAGGACTGAAATTGAAATTTAACGATCAATTTGTTTTCACTTAGAACTTTACATTTTTAAACAAAAAGTGAGAAATCGTAAATAATGTCACGGCAGGACTGATTTGGCTGTGGTATCCTTCTCTTTCTATTGCAACACGATCATAAATATGTTTTGGCAAAATAGTGCTCATACTCGGCATAGTTGACGCGATGAAGATTATTTAAGCATCGTGGGTAATCCTTCCCTTACAGATTTTCTCATTAATTAAATAATACAGCTGTCCTGACCGGTTTACCTTCAGGAAAGGCGATAACACTACATGCTGCAGTAAGTAAATTTCGTGCAAAGTGACCCTTAAATACACAATTGGTGCTAAGATGTTTAGGTATCAAAAACTGAGGGCAGTGATGTTTTGAGCTGAGTTATTATGATCTTTTTTTAGCCTTGCCGAATACAAAAGCAATTGGAAATTTTAAAAAGTTCCCCCAGCTTCTTCGCAGTAGTCTCAGTAGCGTGATTGATGTTGTCGGTGTTTTACGCATGTACAGAATCGATGATTATGAATGTGCACTCCAGTCTTTTGCCACTGAGTCAATAAGTAAGCTCTGAGAGACAAAATCTTTAAACAGAAAAAAAAATCGTACGATGGTTGATAACTAGCCGTGAAAAAGATGTCGACTACAAAAACTTCTCTGTTTGCACTCTCGAAATGCTCGGTGAAATGCATGGTCACACAGTAATAGATACGATGCTATGGCTGAGGCAAAGACACTCTCCAAATACAAAAAACTAACAAACAATATACTTTATTTGTTTATTTAGCCAGCAAAAACGAATTATGACATTTGTAACATTGTCCATGACCCATAAAACAAAAACGAACACATTTCTGGCACAGAAGAAAGGTGTCACCTAAAAATAAGTTGGTTCCAAACTTTTGTCGCGATAATAAGTCAGTTTTTCAATCATTGATTGCATCGTTTTTGAATTAGCAGCGGAAGTGTCAGCCTCAGTATGGTTAAGTATAATGGGCAAGAATTCCAAGCATGGCTTCATTCGGTTCAGGTTTGTATTAAAGCCATTTATTCTCTTCGGCAATTCTTAGTGAGACATTTTTCTCAACTAAGTTCACCAATATCCATAGTGTATGTTCTGTGGGGCAGTTCAGGGTTATTCAAATCCGCCATATCGCCCCAGTTCCCGTATATTGGCTCGTTCACTGCCCCATTTTCGCAATTCTCTTGTTCATTGCCATCATTGCTATAAATTGGTTGGTCGTTCTCGAATACACCATCGCTGCCGGTGAAGGTGCATCCTTGGTCGGCATTAGCACCTGATTGGAAAGCTTGATTGACGTATCCCAAGGCAATAGTCTCGGTAGTCGAGCCATCGTTCTGAGCAGCAGTCTCTTCACCAGGCCTGGTAAGGTATGTGATAGTTTCATCCGGTTCTGAATGTATCGCAGACCTCCTGTTTGCTGGCTTTGGTTGGCCTGGTTCCACAGTGTAACGGGTTGCGGACGAGCTCAACCTTTTCATGTCAGTCTTACCTTTGATTCCTCTCTCTTCCATGCCACCTTGTATGGGTTCAGTGTAAATGTTTCCATTTCTTGCGAGTTCATTCAGGTCCAGACGGATTCGCCTCACGGTGATGCACAGGAACACAACAATGCAGAAAAGAAGTGCGCAACATCCACACAATGTATAAAGTAATTCATTTTGGGCCGATTTGTCCATGACCTGCAAGTATAATCCTTGCGATAAGTCTCGGGGTTTATTTCTTTATTACTGTTATTATTATTATAATTATTATTATTATTATTATTTGTTTATCGTTGACGACCAAGAAGCTGAGTGGTTAGCGCACGTAAGGCACCACATTAGGGAAATAAGCGTTTTCATTCAAAATGAAACAGCGTCAAAATTATTCGCGATATCCCATAAAAGTAAACATTTTTTCCAATTTATTAAACACTGATTTCGTATATTTATTGCATTTTTTATAATTTTGATCATTCTGAACAACGCCTTCCTTTCTGCTCTCAAATTAATTTTTGCATTATTTCCCCCGAGGTAAAAAGGATATCAAAAAAAAAATTTCAGAATTTGACAGATCTTCATCTCTTTTACTACACAGGCAATTTTCAAGTAAGGCAGAAAAGTTTTGTCTTAAAGGTTCACTAGTTCGTGCTCTGGCCGGTTCGTTGTGTTGTGTGCTTGAGCAATATGCCGCTGTAACTCTCACAATGCCTCTTTTTACTCGAGAGTACAAAACGGTTGTAACAAAAAGACAGGAAAAATTAGAGAATTGCTGTATGGAGGGTTACTCGCGATAGATTAATATCCCGTCCTAGGGATAAACGATACCCGTAGTCTCTTAATGTTAACGGATCTGGTAAGACAAGCTTCAGCATTTTGAATTACATGTCACTCATGACTTGCTTGTTAATTGCTACGAGCGAATCTTTATTGACGTTACTGTTTGCCATTACTTCTTTTAGGTGAGCTAGGTTACTCAGCGTAGTAAATAAGTAAGCCGAAATTTTGCTCAGCTAGCAAAACGAGCATTTCTTTTTTTTTTTTTTTTTTTTAAGCTTTTTCAAGGCTTGCGGAGGCACGCAGGCTAAATGCGCGTTAAGTTGACTTTTTCGGTTGGCTGCGTTTTACGCAAAGGAGAAATAACAGTAAGTGAGCATTAAGAAGATACAAACACAAACCAATGACGAACTTGTGAAATTTATACCAATTTTTTTTTAGATGCGAAAACTGTCGCGACGCTATTGCCTTCTAAAATTGAAATAGGTTGTGGTATAGTTCCAGCCTATTGTGTAAGGATCTTATTACAGTGCCTTGCTCTTAAAAATGTGGTTTATGCGACAATGCTAAGTTATTATTCTGCTGTGTAAGGCATGTTTCTGGAGCATCACGAGGAAATAGAACGCATTTGCATGCTAATGAGTCAATATGCGTTGCAACGGCCATATTTGTATAATGTTTACAAACATCTACGCTACAAATTGTACGTATCACTAAATTTCGCTTAATTATGTTAAGACCGTTAGCACTCCTTTTTAAATGTTTCCATCTCAAATATTCCTTTACCCTTTTTGTTTACCTAGAAAACTCTTGTGTTGCGGTTGTCTTGTAGAGGATCGAAATTGTCTTCTGCTCAAAAATGCGCTCAAAATCGCGGCCTAATTTCTCTCTGGAATTTAATGTAGCGCCAAATTATGTAAAATCGAAAATGTACGTTCATTCTGAGTATGAAAAGTATTTTTCGTGTTGGTCAGTTCCTTTTCAGCTGCAGCGAATGCCTTGACTTGAACTACACAATATTTTTAGTATTCGCGTTGACAATACATCGGTTAAATGCGTCATAAAAAGAAGAGAAAAAAATTATGCATTATGCAGCAGGTATGCGGACACTTCTTAAAAGGCAATCAAATCATAAATACTCTCCATCCTCATCAGTGAAAATTAAACAGGCATCGGCAGGCATCTGCTGCAGTAACAATGATTTGCGAAAATTTACTTCGCGACTGCCTCTTTGTAATTGATCTGCGCATCCTGATTACCAAACTTCCGTTCCTAATTCAAAAGCACTCATATGACTGATACAAATATCGAAAAAAAGCTGGCGAAAATTCACTTTGAGGCCTAATAGGAACATGGATTTAAGCATGATAATCAAAAGCCAAATTTCTCTCCGAATTAATATTTTCTGGCTAAAATGTTAAGTTCAGGTTTTGTTGGTTCATCAAGTAAAACCTCAGGAAACCTGAAAAATCGGTGACCTAGATTGTAAACTACATCAAAGTTACAAAGCTTTTTTAGAACGTTTTAAAAGAGGCAGTCAGTTACAGACAAATCGCGCGACAGCCCCGCGAGATCAGCTCTAAGCGATGGTAAACGTCTCGATGCTCCTCTTTATTTGACCTAAGTAGAGAGTAACTGATACATTTCGATTTTGGAACAAAAAATAGTGCAGTACATGTACTACATCTTTCGAAACTGGTCATCAAAGAAAATAAAATGCAACAATAATGCATATTTCTTTTTGTTTACGTCTGTCTTTTGGAGGTCTTTGACATAACGCATTGTACTTGATTCATGACTGAACGCGTAAGTCTTTATTCAACTTCAAGAAGCGCAAAGATGTTAGACTCAACATGACGAGACATCCTTTCAGACGAAATTGAGCGAAACCGAAGACATTAAAAGTTAGTGATTGCGCTCGTGTCGTGTTCATTAGTACAGTCCATGACAGGGAGGAAATAACTACTGTATGTCAACTTTGATTCTATTAATAACTGAGATGGTACATAAGGAAATGAAAACATGACTATGGATATTTCTCCACGAATATCTAGTTTAGAAGGAGAGATTGTTAGTCCTAATCTATAAGCAACCTTGAAGAGTCTATTTTGCACCCAAACATATATCGTACCTTATAAGTGAAACCCGTATATCAGCCAATTTGCTGTGACGAAATTCGAGAAGTTACGGCTGATAATGAAGCCGGCCGTTTTTTCGCGGCAATAGGTGGTTGTTTTTGGTCCAAGATGCAAGACCACGGACGACAAAACTAGCTCGTGAAAAGCGAATTGACGATTGGAGTTGTTTGCGACTTGAGGCGACGACTGCCAAAGGAAACTGGTCGGCAAGCTGGTCTGAGGAATGCGTTATCAATAGTGCTATCAAGTGTCGTTCCACCAGTCAAAGACGTCTTCGGCTGATTCTTTACTTCTGAGAATTTCAGGATCCTTAAGGGCTAAGTCTTTCGCGATATTTTTCTACCGGTCTTACTGAGGCGACAAAGGCTTTGTCCTGCGCTATTATTGCCGGTGTGAAATGCGAAGAACTCATAGGGAATAACCCCTTTGACTTTACAATATTTGACAGGCATCAGTTACGCAAGAGTGAGAGCGATATATGAATTTTAATTGGATGGAGATTAAGAGCGGTCAAAAAACAGGAAGTCTATCGAAACAATGCTTTTGCTGTATGTATCAAAGTTTAGTTTATCCAACCATATGTTTTCCTCACTGATTTTTTTCCTTGAGATTTTGACCGATTTTCACGATGTTGATTAAGCTTCAGGTAAAATTATCGAAACGCTATATTGGATTGAGCTTGACAGAGCGCAGCCAAAATAGCCGGAAGCTCCTAAAATATCTCAGAGACTAATACCCAATCATAATTTCCAATATCTTATCTAAATGACCACAGCGACTGCTAGCTAGTTCGCGTATTCATATCGAATAGTTTTGGGTTTGTTTCAGTGGTAATAGGGATATCTTTTGACAACACGACAATGTAAAGACTTAGGAATTTAATTCTCGAAAACTGAAAGGGGGTTACCCGCATCTTGACCTTTGCTGAAACAATCGCTGAAACAGGTCTGATAACTTTGTAAACAAGCTTGTTTTTGGGGGCGAATCACAAAAATTCGAGCATGCTTCATGTGGTGGTACTTTCTTCACCTTACATGAACTCAAGCTCTAACATTTTTTATAACCATGCCATTTTGCATTATTCGCAAAATTTTGATACATGCATGTTATAGAACAGCTTCGCGAAATCGAATTGATTGTATATCATCCGTGTAACGTAACTTTTATGTATTATTTGGTTGGTGTTGAAGGAAAAATTATGATAATATGTGAAGGCTTTGAACTGTTCTCTGTTAAAAGATTGTATAGGTTAGGGAAGTAACGAAAGAAAACCAAAGCTTATGACAATAAATGTTATTACGCCGGGATTTGTCCCAACAAGTCAATACAACACTGCTTGTCACAGAACACAAAAGAGCACACAACCGTCTGAAGTACCATTATTGTTCGGTTTCTTTCATCAAAACACTTACCTCAGCAAATTGCGAGACAGTATAAAATCATCACCTTCATTTATGTCTGCTTGAAAGATATCAGAAGTCACCTCTCTCGCACATCACGAGCCTATTTTTCCTAACTACATTGACACTTTGTATTTTTGAGACATTTTGACTCATGGCTCCTAACTGGAAACACCTTTGTGACGATATTTTTCTCGAGGCGCCGCGATAGCATAACGCGTGTAGCTTTTTGGAAATGACGTCACTGCAATTGCAGTTAACTGACCCCAGCCGTTTTTGTTTTCGAGGTGTCTCTTTTACCCTATGTGAGCCAGAGGGTTTAAGGGTTGAATAGTTGTTTCAGAGATCTCTTTGAAGAGAATAAGAGACAAGAAAAGAGAAAAGAGACAGTAGAAGAGACTGAACAAGAGAAGAGACAAGACGCAGTTTTCGGAAAAAAATACGAAACCTGTGCAGAGTCGGATGGTTATTTTTTTAAAGGAATATGATAGTATCGAAAGTATCCCAAATAGTTAGCTCTGGATGCTAATAGAAGGTTGTGTATGGATGATGTAAGTGCGAAACTGAAATAGTCGTATTTGCCAAAGTACCAATCCTGGGATGCACAGAATGAATATACCGTTCAGTTTGGGATTAATCAATTTCATAATGAAAAACAGTAGTCTTTATTTACAAATGAAATTAAGCATAATTGAGATAGGTAGAAGCAGAAATTCCATGTTGCGGTGAAGGAGATCGTTTGAAGTTAATTGAGTGATTCATTATCTGGACTGAGTGTTTTGACGGTATTAAGGAAGAGTGTTACCGGTAGAAACGCGAGCGTTGTCCCTTTCATTTGTCCTTACAAATCCAACTCATTTTTAGGCTGCCATTCTTCCCTGGAGATCTCAGGCAGTAATCATTGATGGAATGTAACGTGTCTACAAGGGCAGAGCAGTGGCTGGGATTAATCGTGTCACTTTTTAACCACAACGTATATGAGTTTAAATACAAGTTCAAGTAAGAATGTTCCTTTCTGAAAAATTATAGGGGCAAAGGCCCCCCTTCCACTCCTTAAATGAGGGGATCTAACCCGCTATATCGCCCTCTGCAGTCGCCCAAAATTTCTAATCAGCACGCAGCAAAAAAAACGTTAGCATTCTCCAATCATAGTGTCGTGTAGCTGTCGTCCAAAGATGATCTACGCAATCTTTACTGCAGGTCGCAGTTCCATTTTTCCATTAGGAGGCTCACCAGCTGCACCTCGTGTTCCCCCACCAGAGCTTAAAGCAAGAATTTAATTCATGGGTCGATTGATATCTTGTCCGTAATGATATTGTAGATATTAAGCCAAATTTCATCATAATCAGCACTTCCGCATTTGCAGATAAAGAAAAGTGGTGAACGACTGACGTTATTAGATCTGAACAGGTGACAAAATATTGTGCCTTATTTACTGATGAAGACCTCTTAGCGAAAACCTTTCCTTGTGGGTGTACACCTACTACTTCCAAAGACATGTGATTGTATTTCTTACAGCCATGAATCATTTCAGTTCTGCAACCGATGATAATCAGCTTCTCCAGGAAAGTTGCCGGCAGGAACGATACTAGCTGGTGCCTTGGCAGTCAACCTCCCCAACCGCAACGAATCACGATTATACAATCCAGATCTTGGTTCCGGCATTTTATCAAACGACGAAGAACGCTTTTCTATGTTTTTCTTTCAGTATCGAAATATTTATCATTTCTTCACTGGGTTCATTCAGCTTCGAAACCTTCGTTAATGCTGTCAAGGTTTTTCTTTTCATTTTCAGCGTCTTTAATTGATTTTTTTTCTCCCGCCTGTACTTCCGTGTTTACAAAGTGTTCCGGTATCGGTGGATGTGGATTCCGTGGTAGCAAAGTAATAGATTCCCCTGCGGTCGGCCTAGCACCAGCTCTTAGAGGCAAAATATCTCTCAAGTGCGGCGATCCTAGCGTGTTACGCCGGTTGTTAAACTCGATTTGTATCTGACGAACATCTTCGAGTTTGTTATGAACTTTCTGAAGGTGTACATGGAGGTAAATTGCGAAGATACACAGGAGAACCTGGCATACGCAAACCAACCCTAATAATGCTAAAACGATGTACGTTAGATCTCGAACGTCCATGGGTGTTTTTGACGGTCTGAAAACGGAAAAAGGAAAATGCAAACAATCGCTCTGATTATGTTAATTTAAGGTTAATTTACTATTCATGGTTCATCCGCAGTTGGCTATCGCTACGTAATTACGAAAGCGTAACGCTCCTTCATCGCTTTCGATTGCATGAGGCCATTCCACATAAATAAAGCCGAGAGAAATTAGATTTATACTTACATCCTTTTCAAATAGAATCCAGCTAACAAGGTAATTAATTTATGAAAACTGCAGCTGTATGTATTAAACTTAAAAACTGAAAGAGCAGGCGGAGATGAGCTTCCACAGTGTGAGCTTCATTTTTAACAGTCAAATTAAACATTCCCAATAATAAGGTCGCTGTGTGGGTAGAAACACTTCGATTTGAGTTCTATATAAAAGGCTAAACGCTAGCTATAACTATATAAACGGTGTGATATTAGTGGTATAACTTAAGGCTGTCACTTAACGGAACTGCTTCAGTGCCTCGATTGTAGGATCAACAACTACAGAAGCGCATCGTAAAATTTCATCAGTTTTTCATCAAATTTTCACGCATCATCTCAGATGACGAAAGATTTTGAAGCGTGCTGAAATACTTTCTCTCTGAAAAACCTACTTACTAGTTAACTCCTAGCAATGAATCCGTTTGGACCGCAAAATTGTTTGCCTTTGGGTTGCCAAAGCGTTACAAGCATTATAATTGCAAAACAGACAAGTAATTAGGGTAATTTTAAGCTATTGTTCAATGCAAGACATCAATACACGTCTTTATTTAGACGTCATAAATAATTTATACAGCAAGAAAGTTTTAAAGGTTTTTTATGGCTCGCTGATTCACTCAAACCATTTTTCCAACAGCAATGCAAAAGATTGCGCAGCATAATGATTTTAAGAAAGAAAAACGCTTAAGTTTAGGTGTAGTAAAGTTCTATTGGAAGAGCTTTACGTACGCATATCTTGCTTACTAAAGCTTATCGTTACTCTTTGAAAAACTTTAGCCCTACAAAGAGTTAAAAGGCGACCAGAGATTAAACAAATATATTTTTTAACTGATGAGAGCTCGAAATCATTAGTAAGTCCCATTTAGGGTGAGTTATGTCCACTTTAGCTTTGTCTGACTCCTTGTGACCACTTCTTATACAACTAAGATTTGCTTCTTAAGTTAATTTAGTCAAAGTGTGTCAAAGGCAGAAGGCAATACTCTTGCCTTCTACCTTTGACATTCGTTCGCTTTTCCAAACCAGAATTTTGGTCTGTTGGTTCTTTAGATCACTCGACATATCTGGGCCGTAGCCAGCATGAGATAAGACGAGGCAATTGCCTCGTCTTGATTTTGGCCCAAGATTGACTTTTCTGAAGAAAAATGCCACGGAAAATGCTTAACAGAGCATTTCTGAGCCTCTAGATTTCAAAATTTTCTGGGGGGGGCATGCCCCCATCACCCCCTCCCCCCAGCGGCTCGCGCCTTGGGCGCTCGAAACTTGCCTTGTCTTGTTCTGAAGTCTGGCTACGGCCCTGCACGTTTAGAAGAACTTGCATTACAATGCCTGATTCTTCAGTAACCTACTCTACCAAGTTACACGAACGCTAAATGGCCAACTCCATATTCTTCCCCTAGAATTATTTTTAACGACGACCACTGACCGAAAAGTCAATGAGAAGAGGATAAAGGATCGTTTTACTGACTGTCTTGTTACACGAGGTTAGCAAAGAGGGCGTTGAAAGCAATTGCTTTCGTACGTCCATTTAAATATCAATAATGTCGCTATTAATGTAGATTGGAGGTTCATGCTCATCAGGTTTCAGGGCAGGGCCATCGTTATAGTTGATTAACCCTTGTTGGAACGGAAGGTTGACGTAGAATGGTTCTTGTTCCGATAAATTGTGAACTTCCTCGTGATCATTGTTGATAGTTCCCGCTTTCGTTTCCGATGCACTTAAGGGTATTTCGCTGTAAATTTCGTTGCCTTCTTCATCGAGGTTGGAGTAAACTTGCTCAGGAGTGTTTTCATTATTTTGACCTGCTGCTGTCGCATGGCGCTTATGTTCTTCATTCTTAACAGCGGATTTATTTTCATGCTTCAGATCAGGGTTACCAGCGCTAGCTGTGTTTCCTTTGTGAATAATGCTTCGGAGTTGGGAAATTATATCTGACGAGTCACCATTATCTGTCACCGGTTCCTTTTTTCCACCGTCCACTGACTTAACTACCATTTCATATTCAGAGGTGTCACCTTCACTAATACCTGGCTTGTTGCAATTTTGATTGCTCTTTGAAGCTGCTCCCGTTTTTTCTTGAGCAACACTAAGCACAGTCCTGTCATGCTTCAGGACGCCTCGCTCATGTCGGTTTAGATCCTCGGGATTATGAGGAAAGGACATCCGTTTAGCCGTCTTTCCTTTTCCTCTATAGTCTTCATTAATATTTCCTTGTTTCTTAGCAGGGTAGCTGTGTCTCACAGCAGTTTTAGCCCTTTTTTCAGGTTTCTGAGTCTCGCTTGCTCTGTTCGTAAGAAAGCCTCGTAGTTGAGAGATGACACCAGTTGACTCATTGTTTCGCGTCACTTCTTGGGTGTTGGCCGATGGGGGCATTTTCTTGCCTTCATTACCTGAATCCACAATAGCCACTGACTCATAGTTTGAAATTTCCCCATCATTTACCTTGGACTTGCTCTCGGAATGACCCACGTCCTTAACAACTTGGGCATTGTTTCTTTCATTGGTGTTTTTCTTGGACTTAACTGCTGTTTTAGGGGAAGATGCGATGTGTTGTTGGGCGAGTTGTTGTGAATCACAAACGTCAAGAATCACAGGTACGTTCCATCGGTCTGCCTCCTGGCCAGGTCTGTTGCAATGGGATTCAGCTTCATTGGGATTCTTTACATGAGGTGAAGAATTAAACTTTTTCTCCTTTCCCGCGGAGTTCACTCTACCGTGCTTTTTCTTGGAGAGGCGTGGTTTCGGCTTAGGCCGAGTTTCACTCGTGACTCTTTTCTCTGTAATTTCGCCCATTGGAGGGCTTACCTCGACACCATCTTCTAGAGACGTGGATGGTGCTTTGTAGTAATTTTCTGAGGCATTTCTGCAACCCTCTTTAGTTAGGACCTTTTTGTCACTCCTCTCTGCGTCTTCCTCCTGCCCTTCTTGAGTTGAGGTTCTATTCTGCACTTCTTCAGCAGGGGGGCTCGTTACGTTTGGTAGTTCTAATAAAACTTCATTTGTTTGTTTCGTATCCTCAATCAAAACCACAAATTCCAGTTCACCCGTTTCATTAGCCTCTGAATTTTGCGGAATATCGTTTCCATTCTCTGTACCCATCTCTATTACAGTATTCTCATTTACCTGACAGTCATCGTGGTCTGCAAAGAGATTTAAGTCGTCCGTACTGCCAGCACTTACGAAGATAATTTTTCTATCTTGCTTCGCGTCCGTCGCGGGGCGTTCACTTAAAGAGACTCCCACAATTGCAGGATTTTCATCCACTATTTGCAGGTATGATGCCACTGGGGTCGAGGTATCCGGAATTACTTGTTCTTGGCTATTTGATTCATCGTCTACTTCTCTGGCATCCTCTTGAGACTGACAAGCAGATTGTTCCTCATCCGGACGGGGTCTATCTTCATCGTCGTAGACATGTGAATAAACAAAACCTCTGGGGATATGTTTCCAAGTGTTATTTTCGTCGGAACCTTCCGCTTGTTGGTTGAAAATTACCAAAGAATCGGAGAGAGCGTTCGGAATTTCGTGTTGAGTCTCTGTTGCTGGTGTTAAAGGTTCATCGCTGGGTGCTAGTTTGCAAAGAACGCTCCACTCGTTTGATATGCTGTCTACACGGCTTTGTATTCTTCTCAACCAGACAACCAGAAACAACACAAGCGGCAGCAACAGAGAAAGGAAACAGAGTAGAACTACGGATAGTTTTAAAATAGTTTCCTCATTCATGTTTTCTGGAGTCGTTTTTATTCTGTCGAAAGAAAAATATGAAATATTACTGTAAAGCTGTACGGCAGCTCAGCACTAATAGATCTTGCTCAAAAATTATATTAATTTTTTTTTTGGTTATCAACTCACCTACTATAGCTTCCGTATAAAGGAGAAAGATTTGGAAGCCATTTCTTGAATATTTCCACAGTTGAAATTTTTAACCCTCTAACTCCTATGAGTTACTAAGACAGAATTTCTCCTTACAATATCTATACAACATCAACTTGATAAGTGATGAGAATAAAGGAAAAGATCAATTTGGGGATAATTAGTTGATTCAATATTAAATTCGCAGAACTAACATTATAAGAATTTTATGGTTGGCAGTAAGGAGAATTACAAATTTGATCGGAGAGTTAAAGGGTTAAAACGTTTGTTATATTAACCTTCGAGTTAGCTATCTTAAACGCTTAAGTGGATTTTCACTATTTTTTTTCCTTGAGTGTGGCTGAAGATTAATTTTGACCGAAAATGATAAGGCAGAGTGAAAATGAAACTAGTATGTTAGAAGGTGCAATTTTATCCGACCACAGAAAAGTGAGAACACCCGCAATAATGCCGAATGTACCAAAAAATAGCTTAATATTCACCTCCACTCGGAGTAAAGTTGTTACGTTGTCATGCTAGCCTATTCTAGCCGCGCGCCCTCATGAATGTTTATGACATCTTGAAGTACTTAACATCAGCGCAGCTTGATTGGCGTCGCCGTGTCGAACTATTTCAAATATATCATTATGCAAGGCTGATTGAGTTTGACATTCATCATGGACGGTAGTTCCACTTTTTGTCATTTCCCTCAATCGAAGCCTGTCTTTTTTCCTTTTTTTCCTTTCTTTTCTTTTTTTAATTAAATCGATTTTCCCCTTTACTTTCCGATTCAGTGAGACCAAATACATAAATGATTACAAAGCAGGAATATTGAAATATATAGATAGATTCTTTATTTTCTGTCCATTATAAGCTATCGCTCGCTGTTTTCTCCACAAGTGCGTCAAAACTAGGGAGATTTATTATTAACTTTTCATCTTAGTTTGTTTGCAGAATTGGAATTCTTGCCAACATTGATACGAAATGCTATCGGAGTATTTTAATCCATTTTGACCTCTTCATGACTTAAAACTTAATCAGAGGAATTTTGTCTCCAAAGAGAGGAAAGAGCCGCGCATCGCGGTGTGTATTGCATGTGCAAAAAATGGTAATTTTTCTCCAGTACGTAAACATGTCTAAACAGGCATATGAATTTGGCAGCCTTATTTCGTAACACAGTGATTAGTGAGTTTGACCTCTTACTTAATTGGAATTTTGTGGTTTGTGTGGTCTTCGAATTTATCAATTGTAGATGCTGCTAATCCGAGATATGCACGGACTTGACACGCTATTTATAAACACTGAAGGTTGATAGAAAATGATATCGAGTGTGCTTTTTTCGTAGTAAACCTGTGTGTCGTCATTCAGTGCAGTGCACACTGTTAATCAATCTGAATTCTAATTCCACTAATGTACAGCAGATCGCAAAGTGAATGATCGAGTAAGCCAAGATAAGATGATACCTACACGAGTTTTCGTTGCCTCAGAAACTTTTGGAATTTTCCGCGTATGTGTCAAGTGATTCTTCCATACCTCAGAGGGTGTAGCTGATTGCAGCGCGATAACGAGTGTGTAGTTCGAAAGGAAGCGGGGGGGGAGGAGGCAAAAATACCAAAGACCTTTGCCCCTGCTTGAAGCCACGAAATGTATCACTTTGCACTTCCTGTGTTTCACCACTCTTATTCTTGGTCTTGTATTTGTGAGAGTATTAGCCCTTGATAGATCGTTTCACATGTGAAACTAACGCAGTTAATAGTTAAGATTTTTTGTGACATTACATAATTGTGCAATTCCTCGCATTCGGCGTCGTAAATTAACTGTTCTCTAGCAAAGCATGTAGCACGATGGATGTTATCATCTGTTTTGTGATACTTACCCTTTTCCAATATTTCTTTACTTTAGGAGGTATTTTAAAAGCGACTAGACGCAATTCTTTTGAACATCAAGCCTTTAGTCGAGACATGTCTTCTCATCACATTGGAAGGACATTCTACACAACCAGTTGCGTTGTCACTCAAAACAACACGGAAGACGACAGTTCAGCGGGTCAGCAGCAGCAGCCAGTTGTTTGTGACCGCGTTAGCGAAACGAAACGAAACGTCAAAACTTTGGAAGATATTCGCTTTTCCTGATAAGGGATAAAGGATACAAATACAGGTGCACCGCACTCTTCCAGACAAAACCTGCAGTATTTAAAACAACGGTACAACGGGTTCATTTTCGATGCCTAAGGCATTTCGGCGACGAATCTGTATTCCCTCACAGATCTAAGATCCGGTTTTCAATTCCTGAACGGTGCAAATGAGAAACGATATGTAATTCTTTATGAACTGAAAGCGTGACTTTCCCTGATTTTGGCTTTCTGACAACAGAAATGTTTTGTGGGAACGGAAGTTTTTTTTTCCGTTTCTAAGAGATATTTAGCGGCTTGTCTGCAATAGTGGCAGTCGATCCGGTGACAGGGTAGGTTTGTCAATGATGTTCGTAACCATTGCAAACATTCCTACCGTTTAAAATTACAAGTTATTAAGTCTTGAAGCGATTTGTCCACCCGTACAGTGAAATTTTTTCAAGGTTTGTGTTGTCAAAGACTGGGTGTTAGGGCGTTCTTTAAGGGACCGGTAGGTATTTATCGCGTGAGGGGGGGGGCGGCGGAAATGGGGGATCACTCGGTTTCCAGAGGGAATGGAGGGAGATCAGTCGTTGCCAGCAGAGTATAAATTGAGGACTATAGAAAATTAACTGCCAATGAGGGAAAGATCACAAGAATATCCCAGAGCTTTATGGGGGATCAGGTAAATTTTGTTGTGACATACCCCAAATCCTCCAGCCCCCCTTCCCCTCCCCCCGAGGCAATGAGACTGGTTGCTAAAAATTCTTTTGAAATGCTATTGCAGTCGGGTTGTAGGAAGTGGAGAAGGACAAAATTTTTTCAGCCGCTGCGTCATAAGGTGGTTAAATTTTTTTGCCATGATGAGAAGTTTGAACACTGTCACAGACGAGGGTAACCTCGGGTCAATAATCGTTAATTTCACCGAGATAAGTCGAAATCATCCTGCATGGACGATTCTGCTCTCAACAAGGCGCAATGCTTCTCGTTTTACAAAGGCTTTTCAACTCTTTGAGGATCGAGCGAGAAGAATTGAAAATGCTGAAAATTTTTAGTCGGCCTGCGATTTGTTGTTAAATTGAACATTTTGTTTCTGTGTTGGAGACGAGCAACTGAAAAACCCAGTGTCGAGGAGCGAAATTCGTTCTGGTGGCACATGAATTTAATAGTAGCGAGGACGTGGTGGACGAAACAACAAGACTTTGAATTTTTCTTAGTAGTTTACTGTATATTTTACTACATATTTGGGACACGATAGTCATTTAAATTCCCTATAATTTGAAAAAATGCGCCAAGCTCGGAAACCACCGGGCCATGTTACAACTAATCTTTTTTTATCGACTACGAAAGGTTAAACTTTGTATTTATAGAAAAAAAAGCTGTTAGTTGTTGAAAAATTAAATCTCAGTTCGTTCGATCTCCGACTATTATTGTGATTGGAATAAATTCCTCACCACTTCCAATTATTTGTTTTAAATAATTTCAAATTCTGGACTTATTTTGCTTTTTTTGGACTTCGACACGTATTGAATATATTTCGGTAATGTGACAAACGTCTTAATTCAGAGGAAAATTGAGTTACTAAATGATTTTGGGATACACCTAGAAACGCATTCATAAAATCCCAAATCTAACAAGGAAAAGTTTGGGAAAAGTCACTATGTAGCACTTAACTACTTTCAACAGTGCTCCCAGTTGCCGCAGCAAATAAACTTTGAAGGATACTGTACAAATCAATACAAGTTATAACTATCTCCTACATCATGTTCGCAAATCACCAAACAATACTTAGAGTTAATAAACCTCCATGGTCCTAAACCTTCATTATATCATTATCGTAGATCGGGCTTTTATCGATATCTTGAGCAGCTATATCAAAAAGGGAAGAGTCTTCTTGAACGTCACTGTTGGCATAGATGTGGGTATCCTCTGTGTTTTCTTCAGCAGCGCTTTGGATATTGTCTTGATTAACATATATCGCCTCCGGATTGGTAGGAGCCGGCTCTTTGTTTGGATCATTATTGTTGTCTTGAATCGTAGCATAAATGTCGTCAGTGTTGTCCTGATGACCTTGCTCAATGGTGATGTGGCCACGGGAATCATGTCTTTCGGGTTGTTGCTTGTCATCAATTGAGCTATCATGTATAACAGCCAAATAGCCATTACCATCTTCATCGGAGGGTTTTGTATCAGTTTTAGGTTTACCATTGGGATGACTCTCTTTGTCATTTCCTGGGACATGTACGGAATTTTTGACGTCAGGGGAGCCTTTCCAGTCTTTCACCTTCTCAGAAGTGATGTAGTCATAGTTGTCGTCGTTTCGGTCATCCACACATGCACCCCCATCAGTCGGTGTCTGGACAGTTCCTCGTTGGAGCGCCAGGCTCTCTGTAAGACTACCAGACAACCTTTTGGCTTCAGAGTTTCCATCGTGTTGGACAAGGAGGTACCCAAAGCTATCTTCGTCGTTGCTCTTTGATATTTCACTAAGTTCGATAGCTTTGTCATTTTGAGATTTTTGGATTTCAGGAACAGCTCTGGGTCCAAATGTTACCACCCTCGGTGGCAACTTCGGGGTCAGAGACATACGTTTCGGATCACCGGCCTTGTTCTGACCTCCAAAGCGCTCGCCAGCTTCTTTTCCCTCTTCTTGATTTTTTATCTCTTTTGGCTGAGAGTCCACAGGCAAAAGATACTGTGACTCGTATGCGTCTTCACGAGGAGGAATTCCATTAGCAGCCAATTCTGACGTCTCGGATGGTTTACCAGAACCAAACACCACAAGGTACCCATGGTCGTACTCATTTTGTGGCCCTCCGCCATCCAAGGTTCCATTAGTAGATTTTAGGTTCTGGCTCATTTCGATTTTCTCCCCTTTCCCAAAATCCACTTCTGTCACCTCTTCCCGGAGGTTAGCGTAGGTGTCAGCCTTGGCACCCTTTAAGCTCATGTACATTTTCCTCTTAACTTCTATCCCATTTTTCTCCGGTTGATCACCAGGAGAGTCTTTTATTGTTGGGCCGTCGCCAATTATTTGAATATACGAGTCTTCCTCTTTATCGCTGACTTTTATTTCGTTTCCTATGTTGATACCATGAATGGACCTCTCGTCTTCTGCCACTGTTGTAGAGCAGCCAAATGAAGTTTCCTTCAAGTCTACATCCCCACTGACAATCCATGGTGCGTAGGCATTAGAACTGGTAAGGCGCTTCCAAGGATCACTTCTATTAGAACCTGAAGTGTCTTTGTTGGAGAATATCAAAGGTTGTTCAGTAACCTCAAGTCTGCAGAAATCTTTCCATCTGTTAGAAATACTGTTTACACGGTTACGCAATTTTGCTAGCCAAATAGTAACGCTGACGATCAACACCAAGAGCAGCGCTAACACACATAGAAGAACCAGTAACGCTATGAAAATTAGGTTTTCGTTGATCAAAGCCCCCCAAAAAGTACACAGGCATTTTGCCATCCTAGAAAGAAAAATATCATAAAGAATAAAGAATATATTTTTTTGTCAAATGTACTCTAGTGTAAGGACCCTCCCCCAGTCCTTCCCTCTTCGCGGTCCCTGCATGCACTAGTTATAGAAGAAATTCTCGTTCAACATGTTCAGACTTTACCTCTGACTCAAGGACAGGCGTTAAAAATCACCCACACTCTAGAAGAGGGGTTTAATTTCGTTCAGTACGGTCCCAGAGCGTGCGAGACCATGATCGATGCCCTCATTGTACTTTTAAGGGGGTATACCTCGACTTATACTAAGGAGCCCAGACTCCTGACCAAATGTGGTTTCTCCTGAATTCGGAGAATCTGAACGGTAGAATTCCGAATAGATTGTTTTGGTGGAGATTAACAGAAACGCAGGTATGTCCATTTAGGATCCAAAAGTGCAGCCTATCTAACGGTCATCCGATGGGAAACTACTGTAGATATTATTTGAAAATTGAGCCCCTCATCGTCATTTGATCAATCAAAATGATCGAAGAGATGGCTTTGAGTGCACAACAGCAATGTTTGTTTGGTTTTTTTCCTGCCCTTCTAAATGGCTGCTATCTGCTTTCCTTTTCTAATTGGCTTAAACCACGCTTGACCTCTTGTTCGACGAACGAGCAGCGGCGTCTTTGTGTTATAAAACATTCCATTTTAATCGGTTTGACTTTTTGATGAAAGGAAATTATACGCAATGGTCACGTTTCATGTATTTGTTTGCATGGTCTATTCGTTTGCAAAAGTGTTGCCTTCTCAGGTTTAATCCTTTAATTAAAACTCACGAATGACCTCTAAAGTCACCGTCCTCACTCATGTAAAGTCCTCTTGAGATGATCATCAGGGCATACTTGCTGTGTTAACTAAGCTACGTCGCCTCGTTTCGGAAGCATCATATAAAATTAAACCTCATGGAATTTGTAATTCTTGACTTAAACGCAACAATGACCCCAAACGTCACTATTTTTGATTGTGCAATACACTGCTGAAGTGATTGTAACGGTGCAAATGCCTTTTCTCACGTCTTTAGCACTTTTCTGAAATAGCATAGAACATTGCTTGACTAATAACGAGAATTCTAATTCCAGAGTAGACTGAATACAGGGAATAAAAACTAAAACAACATAAGAAAGAAAGTTTGTCTTTCATTTATGCTGCGATTCAGTCAAATTTAAACTGAAAGTATTTGTGCTCTCAAGGAAGCTTTGGTATTTTAAGCTTAAAATCCACTGATACAACAGGTAACGCCATGTGACGTTTTCTGAATTCGTCATGCCAGTCCTGAAAACTGTTTAGCTTAAATGGAGTCATCGTCGGCTTTGTAAAAATCGCACGGCTTTCACGTCAAATTTAAACACCCACCTCCATGCACAATCAAAAATATTTGGCTGACCTGTTGGCAAGCGCATGTCCGAATTATGAAAATGATTTAGAATGAATTTTATGCCTAATTTTTCTTAACAAGGCGTTGCATCATAGTCGATCCACATCTACAAAACTTCAGCACTTCAAACGGGCTGTTTTCTTTGTTAGTATCTCGTTATATGTATACGTGTGCATATCATGTTTTTTTTGTTTACCAAACCTTCTTCCTGCTCGTACATACCAGAGTATAATTTTTGTTAGCCGCACTTCTAAGAACTTTAGGGACCGCGTGTTTGATCGATGAAGGTTGAGGATATCTCCTCGTGCCATCATACATCTCTGCCAATCGAGTATGGCATAAAGGAGCTTTCTGGGCAAACGATTTTAGCCTCCCAACTATGTGACGCTCTCAAAATGTCACCGACGTATCTCATTTCCGTGTCTCTCAAAGCCGGTGAAAAATGAAATGAATCCTTCATACATGAAGAACTTACCTTACCTTGTAGTCGGATCAAATTATTTCAAGCCCGTTTTCCGAAGGATTTCATGCAGCTTTTAAAATCGAATCGTACGTTCCTTTGTCTGCTAATGACTTTCAGACGATCGACTCAGTAACAACTGTCGTCGAAACAAGAAACCTGATCACAATAACTCGACGAGGTCACCGCTGGTTGAAAACGTCATCAATCAATCTAGATAGCCGGGATCCTAGCTAAGAATGAAAAATCATCGCCCGAAGGGAACGAGCAAAAATAGCCATGGGAACGTAAGAAAGGAAATTGAAAGAAAAGGAAGTATTAGTGCGATATCGTCACTCCTTCACGCATCAGTTTTTCCGCATATATTAAAAAGACAATTTTGCCTCGTTTTAATCGTTTGTCGACGGTTTTTTTTTTGTTTGTTTGTTTTAACTGTAAGCATTAAAAGCCCTTTTCATTGGTAAATCAGTCGTTCTATACACAAAGTTATGTCGAAGATCAGGGTCTACTACGACACGCATATTTCAATCCCACTCCAAGAACTCGATTTAATTATGAGCAATAGGTAAGTTTCTCCGCCTTCGCAAATGATAACAAAATTCCAGCAAAATTGTCTTCACCCTTCGGACGTTAATTGAATTTCATGCAATACGAACAAGAAGTTATTTTAATTGCGAACAATGAGTCACCAGCTGCATTCCTTGATGAAGAATGAGTCAGAGGGGTAGAGCCGGGGGGGGGGGGGACGGGGGCACAGTTTAAAATTTTCACGCACCTTAGGTGAAATGTTTAGTACCCCTGCTCTACATTATCTACGTTTATCAGCGGAATCGTTTTCATGCAAAAAGAAGGACATGAAAATGGTCGAGATCGATGCCATATTCTTCGGATTTGCGCGTTGTCACCATCTGGAATTATTGGCTTTGTATTTAGGAACCGGTCTTTATTTATCACCAGTGGGGAAGTGGGGGTGGGTGTGCAGATGATTTTTGTTGTGACAACGGAGCATTTACATGTTCCCCCCTTATTTTTTTTGTGTGTTTTTTTTGACCCCGCCATAAGGTGGTGGAAGATTTCATGACTCCCCTCTCCCTCCTCTCTCAAAGCCACCACAAAAAACCAGTGTTATTATCTGCTTCCTAACCCACATGTCGATAGGTTGAAGGTTTACAATACGAATCTGCTCTTTGTTGTAACAATATACGGATTCAAACGGTATCTACAAAAAAAAAGCAACGAATATGCTGGCAGTTAAACACAAAAATAAAAGATCTATCAGATAGGGAAAACAGTCTTCTAAGAAACGAGAATTAGGGAGGAGAACAAAGCATCACAAAATCCATCATAAACAACAGTTTCTGCTTAGCAACATTAGGTAGCTTTAACATACAAGTAGCTCATATATACTTTGCTTGGCCCTGAAAGTAGTAGCGATAGGCATCACACCTAGGCAATTTCGATTACTTGGACAATAAAAACCTTTTTGTCGTACCTTTGTTTTGAGCTGCGAAGTTAGGAGGGCAAATTCTTTGAATTTAATGCAAATTTGTGGAGGCGAGATAAGGGCCTAATTAGAAGCCTCCAAACAATATCACTAGGTGTTACCTTTCCGTATTCCGCTCGGTGTTTCACTTCAGTATTAACCCGAGGTAAATCTGCGGCTATCATGGTAAACTTAACCAATGTCGGGCTTCTTGTTGCCGACAAGGGGTGCTTAAGAAATTTAGTCTTGCTGTGACGTGTTTTTATTCACTGGAAAAAAGGCAGAGTCTTCCTTAAATTAAAACAAACTAAGAGCAAGTAGAAATCTCAAGTTCCTTTTAAGTTTAATCATTTAGAGAAACCAGCGGTAATTAGATAACGACGTAATATGTGATAACACAGTCTAGAGACTGTACGATTTTACGCTGCTATCAGCGTTGATGTACATACCGTAAGATTTTAAGCCGTTAACTATCGGCGTAAAATCTCTCAGTATGTATATATACAGACTGCAAAAATTTACGCCGTTAGTTACTGGCATAAAATTTTACTTATACACATTACCGATTTTACGCTATAACTTAAGGCGTAATTTCTTTCACTCAGTAATGCGTATACTGTAAGATTTTACATTTGTAACTAACGGCGTAATTTCTTCCAGTCGGTGATGTGTATACTGTAAGATTTTACGCCAGTAACTAACGGCGTAATTTCTTCCAGTCGGTGATGTATACACTGTAGGATTTTACGCCAGTAACTAACGGCGTAATTTCTTCCAGTCGGTGACACATATAATGTAAATTTTACGCCAGTAATATAATTTCATTATATTAATTTATTTTAATCAATCTACCGACGCAGATAGTGGCGTAAAATCTTACAATTTATAAACTGTGTTTTTCACATATTACGCCGTTTTATATATTCCCATCTCTACACTCTGCTATACCTGAGTTTTAGCGTGCAGTTCAGATCGTAAACATGCCCGAGACTCAAGAAAACAAAAGAGCTTGGGTCAGTTACATTTTCCCAGCAAACATGATATTTTATCTAGAAACAGACTGCGACACTTTCCACGTGCATTTCCGGTCAGGTAATTGTCGTGTCACGCATTCGAATTATTCATCGACAGCGTACATTGATTACACCTTATAGGCAGTACAGCTACAGCGTCAACTAACATTTCAAATTACTTTTGCGCTCCATGGCTTAAAGACGCATTGAGTTATTCACAAACGTAGCGGAGATTTCGCAAAGTTCACCACGCAGATTTTATATTTCTCACTTTCGCTAGTTGTTTTTATTATTATTTGGCAGGCTGCAATCCACACCTATGGTGAACTGACCGATTCCAATCTTCTGGCTTGTGGAGTTTTCTGCAGGGATTCTCGTTTCGCAAATCACAGATTTACAGATTTCTATTTTGCAAATCATAAGCATATTTCCATTTCGCAAATTACAGATTTCTATTTTGTAAATCTTTAGCATATTTTCATTTCGCAAATTACAGATTTCTATTTTGTAAATCTTTAGCATATTTTCATTTCGCAAATTACAGATTTCTATTTTGTAAATCATTAGCATATTTTCATTTCGCAAATTACAGATTTCTATTTTGAAAATCATTGGCATATTTTACAGATACAAATTACAAATTACAGATTTCTATTTTGCAAATCATTAGCATATTTCCATTTCGCAAATCACAGATTTCCACTTCATTTCGTTTAGTTTCGTTTCGCAAATTACAGTAAGCCGAAGAAAGCACTATAAGGTCTACGTCGGACAAGGACTCGATCTGCCATTAAATCGGACGAGGAGGCTATCCAAGAGTTATTAGAAGGGGAAACCCAAGAGTCTGTGGTGTATGATGTTCTGAAGACGGTAAACGGAGGCTGCCAAGGTAGACCAAAGAAGCGTAGGGGTCTGGTGTTGTTAAAGTGGCGATTCCGCTCCGTCTTAAGGATCAGTTGCATTGAAGAGCACGTCATTGCTTTGAAATTCCGAAGATGGTTTGGGTACAAGAGAACAATGTGTGACTAAACTTTCATACCACACTTTATCATTTTCCTAAGCCCTCCAAAATTGCCAGCATGCATGTATTAATTTTATGCCACTCTGGGAAGCTCTTCCCCAGTCTTCTCTCTTCTTGGTTCTAAGACGCATGATTCATTCGGTAAATATGGCACTTTTGGAGGTGATTCCCCGTAGCGTAGTTGCTTAAGAAATTCATAAAAACGATGCTTTAGTAGTCTTTGCCCTTATACAAAGGTCTAAGAACGATGGGAACCCCTAACTATGCTTACAGATTACGGAAAAAACGTGACAAGGTTTTAAGAGATTTAGAGCCAAAGAAGATTTTAAACCTTCTTTACCAAGAAGAGGTTTTCGAATTGGAAGACATGGAGGAAGTGAAAGCGGAGGGAGCGAGAAATATACAAGCCAACATATTGTTGGATAAAATACTCCGTTCGGGGGATGAAAATATTGCTAAGTTTGTGAACGCTTTAAAGAAAACTCAGCAACATCTTTACAAGTTACTTCAAAATCCTGTTCCCGGAGAAGAACTGGCAGAAGGAGGTTTGTGTTCAATATTTGAATATTTTGCAAAGATTTTCACTTTGCAGAAAGTGGAAACGTTGACTAAATGTTTATCAGGGTTAATGTACGACTTTTGTCATGTTGAGTTCAAAGGTTTGCCTCTGTAGGATAGCAGGGAGTGAAAATGTCGCCTCTCGAGGGACAGGAATGGAAAATGAAGACCAATGAGTAATGTTACGCCTGTGTTGCGACACATAAAGGACCCTGGTCAGCATCTAGTTGCAATGTTACACGATTTCTGGGGAATGTGCAATCTTACTCACAGTGATGATATTTCTTGGGGCATAATTTCACCATAGAATTGTATCCCAATCAAGAAAAAGTATGCTGTGATAAAACCAAAATATGTACACCCAAACAGAAACTTTTTTCCTTCTGAATTCTGGTCGCAATCAGTCTTTGAAAACAGTGGGGAGACAGGCAGCAGCTATATTCCAATGCTAATATGGTCTTTGAAAATTATGAACTGAATGCATCTCTTCTGGTAATCAGTTTTAACCTTAACCACTGCTTATGGGGCTCAGAGAAATGACATGTGTCAAGACATGGTTGTTTGATGTGTCAAATCTAGGGAATCATTTGACGAGAGCAGTTTTCTTCATCACCACAGGAGTACTTGGTGTTTCTTGTGACTGTACCCAGCCTTTTAGTATCATGAGCTTTCACTGATACAATATTCGCCATTCCTCTTCCCCCTTTGTCCTTTGATACAATATTTTATTATCCTTTGATACAATATTTTATTATCCTTTGATACAATATTTTATTATCCTTTGATACAATATTTTATTATCCTTTGATACAATATTTTATTATCATTTAATACGATTTTCTATGCCCTCACCCTCGTCACCTTTATGCAATTTATGGCCCAAAAGGTTTTCCATCAAGTCACTCAATCTCACTCTCACCACCCCTGTTTCCTTAAAAAAAGAAAGCTGTGATTTTTGGGTGGGTTAATCAACCTTTTCAACCCTGGATTTGCTTCCCATATCATAACAGTGGAACCTCCTTTCAGGGGATACCTCTAAGACCAGGGTAAATGTCCCCTAAATAAAGCTTTTCCCAAAGGAGAGGTTTTACTGTTTGTTAGAGATTAGTTGGTCAGTGGCTTACCAGTGACTGGCCATCTTTGTAAGTTATTTTTTGACAGTTACTCTAATTTTTTTATTTTTTTTATGTTGCAGATCGGAGGGTAAATCAAATTACAGGACAGCTTTACACGACTTCATTGAATACCCACCATGAATACCCCAATTACACTAACAAAGGTCTATATATATATATCTACAGGCATATACACCTTAAGAGTTAGGATATAATATGTACAGATATTTTGTGATTTGAGCAGTATTTATCCAAGTCAGGTAGATGCTAGGAAAGATATGAGCAATGAGCAAAATATCCACCTGTATTTTATGTTTAAAACATCAAATTAGGGATTTGTTGTTCCACTGTTATTTTCATTTTTTAGCGTTGTAGATTTAGCTTCTCATTTAATAACAGAAGAAAACATGACGCGGACCAATCCATGAAACTGTTCTTTACAACCAACAAATAAATATGACGTACATAAAACTTTATTGCTTAAGAGTCTGACTAAAAGATCTAAGCTTGGATTGTTCAGTGAGGCCATGTTGTTGCTCTGCGTTCTGTCCATATCTTTTTTCTGTTCAGTATGGTCATACTGTGATATATTTTACATGCTCTTTTTGTTGATTAGGGTAAAATGGTATAGTAGTAGAATGATCAAATCTTAATATCATGTGAACTCTTCTTTTTGGATAATCTCTGATACTTTTGAGCCTAAAAATAGTTATGCTCTTACAAAGTTATTGTGAAATGTTGGACAATGGCAGTGAAAATAATGGGAAACTGACTCTAGATGCCTGACAAGTTCAATTTAAGAAAGGACTCTTGTGCTGTCTGCCAGAATAAATATGACAGAGTAGACATTATGCATAAATACCATGTGGTCACATTATGTAGCCAAAGAAGATTTTTTATATATGAAATTATGAGAGTTAATTACAATTGTTGGTTTTCTTAAAAGGATGTATAAATCTCTAGGCTCTGAGATGCTTGTAGGCACCAATGCTGTGAATTCACACTATCTCATTGTATAATATTTTCATCCTACATGTTTTTGATAATTACAATATCACAGTGTATTATTTGGTAATTGTAAGAACTCTCCAAAAAGCCCTGCTAGATGTATTTATTTGTTTAATTTATTTTGTTACAGCTCTTAGTCCAACAAGAATGGTCCCTGCAAAGATTGGCAACACTGAGAAGGGAGCTGCCTATTCTCACACTTCTGATGCACATCTTGTAGAACCACCTCCAGATGAAATTTGCAGCTTTGTGAAACCAATAGATTGGAAGAAAATACCATCTCACATCAGTCCAGATTCAGAGAAAGTGTACCCTATGACATCAAAGCCCAAAGGAATCGCATTGATCATTAATAACGAGATCTTCCCTGATAATCCTGAAAAGACAGAAAAAGAGAAAGAAAAAGAACAATTAGAAGTCCGTAAAGGCTCTGACAGGGATGTCAAATCACTTGAAAAGTTGTATGAGGCTCTGGATTTCAAAGTGAGGACTGAAAGAAACAAGAAAAGAAAAGAGATTTTGGAGATCTTAGATGATGTGTCTCATCAGGATCACTCGCAGTACGATTGCTTTGTTTTATGGCTGATGAGCCATGGCCAGAATGGATTATTCTATGGCTCAGATGGAGAGACTGTCCCAATTGAGACTGTGCGGGACTTTTTCAGCAATGCAAACTGCCCATCATTAAAAGGCAAGCCAAAGGTCATTTTCATCCAGGCTTGTAGAGGCCAAGAAAGGGAAAAAGGTGTGGTAGCTGATGCCCCAAATGCACCAGCCCCTCAATCACCACAACCTTCAACAAATGATGATTTGTCAGGCAGCACTAATAGTGAAGTTACTGACAAAGGTTTTACTTTTAGCATCAGAGAAACCATTGCTAATCATGCTGATATTCTGATAGCTAATTCAACCCTCAGTGGTCATGCAGCATTCCGAAATCCTGTGTTGGGAAGCCGCTTCGTACGCTGTGTTGTGGAGGTCTTTCAAGAACAAGCTGGCTATGAGGATATTCTGGGCATGCTCACAGAGGTTAACAACAGGATCAGTGGAATGGGTGAAATTGATGAAAAACAAATATCAGAACCAGCATCAACCTTGAGAAAGAAGCTTTACTTTTGGCCTGGATTGCAGCAGATGTATAGGGGTTACAGCTGTTAGGCAGTTTTGTAGACATTCCTTGATCCTTAGTTGAAGGAGCATTATGCTTCACAATCAGAAACACTCTTACATGTATCTCCAAGTGTCTTAGAGTACTGTGTGCATGAAACTATAACACAGATCACATTTCAAGATCCCAAAGAGCAGCTAATCCTTACAAAAATTGTCATCAATTTTTCCATAAACTAAACTTAAGAGGCCATCACCTAGATTTGTGTTCTAACCTTAAATAACTGGCTGCTTTCCTGTGCAAAATGTATAAAACCAAAGAGGGAAGTACAAACCATAGAGAAACATGGCAAAGATTAATATGGATGCAGACAAAGAAGCTAGACAAGTTAAGTGTAATTTTTCAGGATGGACAAACCATTATGGAGCCTTTTTGATGAATAGAATTCTGCATATTGGCAGAAGGATAGAGTAGCTGACATCTTATTTAGGGGCATAAAAGTCTGGGCTTTTAAAGTTGGCTTTATACATGTACATTCCAAGGTGTCTGTTGGCACACTACAAATATTTTACAATTGTAGAGCTGTTAAGTCTCCAGTATTTAGTATGAGACTCACATGAAGTAGTGTAATCTTAGGCTCTTAGGCTGAAACTACAATCCCTCACACATTAAAGGTTTCTGAAATTAATAAACTTTTGAGTTTGGATCAGCAAACTGCTGCATTAGTTATCAATTATCTTTCTACAGTAGATGGATATTTATCCTCGTTCCCTTTGTACTCACTTTGCACTCTTTCCAAAGGTTGAAACTCTTGTGCAGAGCCACTGTTACACCCACTGGTCAGTGCATTTAATGACTATTGCACATGCTCACATGCTGACCACAGACTGCAGGTAAAGTGGAATCCCTCCACAAATGCTCAGAATAAAAGAATACAGGTCTTACAATTTTCTCCAGGGGAGTATGACTCCTCACCCCACCCCCCCCCCCTTAGAAAGGTAATGCCCTCTTCTTCACACTTGACAAGTATGAGGATGTAAATCTCAGTCAGCGATGATCTCAAAATTTTGTAAATTTGTCACTCAAGGATGTGGTCCTCAAGTTACAAACTAGATGCAGATGATCTCCAACCAGTTTGTTGCAGAATACTGTTCTGGTTTCATGGAAAGTTGTAGCATGCTAAAAGAATTCAATAATGTGGTAAGAAGAACATCTTTTAATTTTGTTTGGAAGAATTCAGTGGATGCTCAGAAACAATGTTTCTGCCCATTTGTTTAAAACTTTACCAAAAGGATTGGAACTAAGTTTTAAAAACTTTAGGAATGTTTTAATTGGGCTTAGTCCTTTTGAAATGATCTAGATGATAATTAAATTTGTAATTAAAGTATTTTACTAACGAAATAACATTGGAAAGCACAGTAATTTGGTTAGTCTTAAGAACAATTCAGTTTTTTCAGAAATTTATCATCTATCTAATTAAAACCTTGGATCAGATAATGAAATGTTTTTATTTGAAAGAGCTCTTTGAACAGAAAAGAGGACTGCTCAACTGTCTTCTTTTATTCATGGCCCTCTCATGGCAAACTTTGCAGATACACAAGAAAGGAATGTTGAAGGAGAGAAATTAAGTACTATATACATGTATTACTGAAAAAAGGAGTGCTATCTTGAATGTGAAATGAAATTGGCCAAATGTGTTCCATAAAAAGGGACAGGACAGCTCTAAAGAAAACATTGATTTGAACTCCCAACAAAGAATAAATTATCTGGGCATGGCAGTTGAAACAATTGGATGGTCAGTGGTGGCACACTGACTTCATTTTTAATGTCCTCACATTCTGAAAAACAGCAAAAATAGCAAAAAACTCTTAAGTTGAAACTGGATTGCCAAAATCATTGTAGCCATAAAGTAAGTCTGCGACTTGTACCAGTAGTGCCCTCCTCCTTTCCTGCTCTCCCCAAATAAGGCTTTTCTAAAATGGCAGTCTAAAAATTCTCCTGCACTCTAGGGAGGGTCCCCTATCCTTCTTAAGAGAAGTGTGATTGGGAAATAATTTTTTTCTTGTGAATTGTATATTAAATTGTTCTTTTATTCATGAATTGTGATTGAATTAGATGATTGGATATTTTCATGTTATGTCATGTTATTTCAAACAAATTCCTTACTTAAACATAACATGTGAATGAAGACCTTACAAAGTACATGTATTGCAAAGTTGGTTTTTTGCTGACCATTGTACACAGCCTTTTATGGGCATGGTAAAGGCAATTAAAAAAGGGAAAGAGCAGGGGTACTACATGAAGTGATCCAAACTAACTTTTAACCCTTTAACTCCCAGTTCAAATTTGTCATTCTCCTTATCTGTCAACCATACAATTCTTAAAATATTAGGTCAGAGAATTTAGTATTAGATCAACTAATTATTCCCAAATTGATATTTTTATTTATTCTCATCACTCATCTGGTTGATGTTGTATTGATATTGTAAGGAGAAATTCTGTCTTGGTCACTCATGGGAGTTAAAGGGCTAAGAGCAAGAGAATAAAAAATATTAATATTGTTGTACTACATGTCTCTTTAGGACTTTATCCCTTATGTGGGTACAGTATGTCAAACCTGCATGAAAGGCATCCTGATCATTCATTCAGTAACATTGTGTTGATTAGGCCATCTTTGTTTCTTTATTCACCTATTCAATTGGCCATACAAGAACTCTAAGCTATTCATGCACCATTTTGTTTTGCGTGACGAATTTTGGGCCAATTTATTTTTTGAAAATGTGTATATCATTCTTAAACGGCTGTGGTTAGGTTAAGACAGGACATGAATCAATGAAATTAAAGGCACAAAACAGGTTTGCGATAACAATTCGTAAGGTCTTTTATGTTTAATGGGATCGTCTCAAATTTTGCACGAACCTCAAAGAGTTATAGATATTCTTGATACGTGGAGTTTTACAAAGGGGTATAGGGGACCCTCTTAATTTACTTCATGTGAAAGTAACTATGATAATACTGTTGCTGTATTGAATGGTTTGTCACTTGATCCTGAAATATAAACGAAACCCGATTCAAAAGCTGTGCAGGCATATTTGGCAACAATCAAAGGTTTCCGTTAAACTAGAAAACGGACAGCACTAGAAAAAGGGGTAATAACGCAAATCAGCGATACTCAAGAAGTACGTTGTGTCAAATAGTGGGGGCTTTTATGAAGGGGGTACCTGGTACTTACCCATAACTCCTCTCTCGCTTTCATTGTTACGCATATACTTTACAATATTAACCGCTGAATGTACCTTGGTTTGCAACGTGGCGACCCTAGACGTCAAGGAATTATACAGAATCTTGATCTTTCCTATTTCATCAAATTGGTGATTTGAAACATCAGACAATTTGTAATCGGGTAAGTTATTGATCGGTACAAAGACGTACTAACATTTGAAATTGTAGCTGTAAGCTCATTGGCTTCTAAGAGTTGTTCTTTGTGTGTGTTTAGTTCTAATATATCTTTATCGGTTTCGCGAATTATCAGGCAGCTGTTTAAATTTTTTTACCGCTATTAGAGACTCGTGGATGATAGAAAAGACACCAAAGGATCGCAGGACATTGTTGAACAGTTTATGAAGTGACTCAAGTTCTCACTAGTTGATGATTTTAGAAACTGACGCCATAATTTTTATCGTAATTCTGTGGCGTGAGATGACATGTTAACATCAATGATAGGGGTATCCTGCGAAGTTCAAATTTGATTTAGCGTAAAATTCTTCTTAACAAACATTCTTTCCCTGCTTGATTTCAAATTTTACAGCCGAGTATTAACTGGTATCAAAGATACCAGCATTTTTTCTTCGTATATGCAATGGTGACATTATTCTAAACCCCATGCTTGGGAGTCTTGTCGTGTCTTTTAAAGAATTAATTTTGCTCAACTGGAAAGTAAGTGAAATGGAGTTTATATCTAAGCGAGAAAAAAAATCAGTTCTTCATATAGTTTTATCCTTTTGTTTAAATTCATTTGCACAGACCCGAAATGGGCATACAATTTTTGGATCAGTTGAAAAGTCCCTTGAGGTCGACACATGAGTTTCAGTTACTTTCTACAAGTGAAAAACTAAGCTTTTATTTCTCTTTTCTGCTCAGTCAAGACAAATTAATAGGTCTCTATGGAAATATAAAGTGCAATAATGTTCCATAATATGACATCAGAGGTTTTCTTTAAATTCATTGTATTGTGTGACTTAAAGCTTGAGAGACTAGCAGGTGAACTCTTTGAGTGGTTTTCAAGTTTCACTTTGAAATTCACCAAATGATACATGCATTTGAATGCAGAGTTTAAGTTACATTTTCTTTTGTTTCTGATCCATCAACAGCAGAAGATCAAGCAAATTTATTCTTCAATGAATACGTGAAGCAATCCCACATGCATCTGTTTTACAGGATTGCTCTTTCAATATGTTATTATTCATTGTCAACTCTTTGCTTTTTAGACCCAAAACAACAATGCAACATAAAGGAAAGTTATAATATTGAATAACAAAGACACATCAGATGCACATTATGCACATATATATGCTCATATATTTGCAAATATATGGATCTTACAACTTGTGAATGTTTGATAAAATTTGTCTGCAAAGTTAACCTATATGTGAGTGGTACTGTATAATGAAATGCATTGTTATTTGCTCTTAGGAAAGAGATGGATGATCCCTCAGAAGACAGTCGGCCAGGTCAGCCGGGTGTTGTCAAAAAGATTTTTATAACAATATCCCAGGTAAAAAAATTTCCTCTAAATGTGCACACCATTTGTTTAAGGAGATGGCTGCTAAACAGGAGGATGGTACTAATGTATCTCAAGTCCAGTAATTACACATGAATTCAAGGATGGCGTGGAATTGATCCTAGAAACTTAAAATGATATAGAAAGTTGTTCAATTGAATAGTAATTTTTAAGTGCTAATGCTTCTGTTTTAGCTCAGCTATATAATGGTAATTTCATGTTCAATACCTTATAATTTGATAAACTCGCGTAATTTCACTACCACAGAGATACCAAACATTTCTTGACACAACAGTTCCACATCTTGCACTACGATGGATTTCAACTCTGGTTATGATACTCCTGTTTCTCATCAGGGTACTTTATCTTCAGGTAAGATAATGTGAGAATGAGTTTAATTGCTATAGTTGATTCTCAATAGCTGGAACCACTTAACCCTTTAACTCTCAGATCAAATTTGTAATTCTCCTTACTGTCAACTATACATTTCTTATGATGTTAGACAGAGAATTTAGTATTGGATCAACTAATTATCCCCAAATTGATATTTTTCATTATTCTCATTACTTATCTGGTTAATATTGTATTGATATTGTAAGGAGAAATTTGGTCTTGGTCACTCACAGGAGTCAAAGGGTTAAGGGGATTGAACAATGCTTGAACTAATGGGAGTTGAAGTTTGTGGAAGGTTAGACTGGAGTGACAGGGCTGCTTCAAGATAGTTCTAGTTTTGGAGTGTAGCAGCATTTTGTTAATTGTGTTTGTGGTTTTTTTTTACCTTTCATCCTTTGACAAACATTGTTTACGTTACTGGGTTCAATTATGTAGAAATTGATATAAAGGGGAAATCAGGATATTCTTGAGTTTCAGGCAGATATGAGTTTTTGTTGGTTCAAGGGACAGTGCAGCTTAAAGACAAGGGCACCAAAATAAAAGGCTGATACAAATACTGGCATTGACACACAAGCATACAAGTTTATACTTTTACTTAAATTTGTTATTAGTATGTATAAGCTAGCTGCTTGTTTTCTCTATTGTGGAATGGTCATTGTTTATTTGAATGGGCCTTGTAATTGCCTAAAAAACTGATAGTCAGGCCAACCTATTCCAAATGTCCTTTGATCATCTTTTGTTTCTTGCACCTGTGTTTGCTTGTTAACCTCTGCGTTAACTTTTCATAGTTTCATTTATGGTAAGTTTGCCTTGAGGTTTGCTTGATGACCAGTAATGCAGTAACTTTAGGGGCATCATAGTTTAAAGAAAGAATGGTAATCAAATTATGTTTTCCTTTACTTTCAGGGCTGGTACATAGTCACATATGCTCTTGGTATTTACCATCTTAACCTGTTTATCGCATTCTTGACACCTAAAATTGATCCAGCTTTAGAAGAATTAGGTGAGGAGGACCTAGGTGTGTTTCTTTAAATAATTTTTATTTGATATACAGCACAGTACATGTTATCATAGGTGCACATACAGTATATTTTGTGACATACCATAGTTTTACAATTTTAAGGGGCAATGGCAGCTCTGTCTTGTGGAAATGACATAAAAAAGGACAGTGTTAGAATCATTTTTGGATTTACTGAATGTTTGGCTCTTCCCTCTTTCTTAAGTGGACATATTGCCACTGGCAAGGTCTTCTTTAAATTGGAAACGTTGGCCATTTTTGCCAGAGGGCAGGCAATGTCCTCTAGCTAGTTTCACCTAGCTGGATTGTGTTTGATGAGTGAAGTAGTAGGCTTAAACTGCGAAGTTGGTTGTTTGTTGGCCATTGTATGCAACCTTTTATTGGTAAGGTACATATAAAAAATGGAATAGTAAGGGACCTACACTAACTGATGAGAGTTGCCTTTTTATAGTTACTGTATAAGAGCAAGAGACAAAAACTATTATTGACTTACTTCATGTCTCTTTGAGACTTAATCCCCCATGTGGGTACAGTATGTATGGTAAGCCTGCATGAAAGGCATTCTTATCATTCATTCAATTACATTGTGTAGATTAGGCCATCTTTGTCCCTGTCTAGTGCATCCATCCATTCAATTTTTCCATACCATAAAATGCTAATTTCTTTGATTCTTTCTTCTCAGCTCCATCTAGAGTAATTAGGGTAGTTTCTTCAGTTTATAATTTCCCTTTAACCATTTGGTTTGTTCACCACAGATACAGTGTAAGTATATCTCACATGTTATTACTGTTATCTTTACAGAAGAAGATGGGCCTGAACTTCCTACTAAAGCTGATCAGGAGTTCAGACCTTTTATCAGAAGGTTACCAGAGTTTAAATTTTGGTAAGTCCTTTTTGTGAATGATAGTTGGCTGTATCATCCCTGTTTTTTTTGTTTTTTGTTTTCTTTTGCTGGTTCTTACCACATTTTGACATCTATAACAGTGACTTAAGGTGTATATGACAGCTTAAAATTCAGTTCTGTATTTGTTGAAAATACAAGTACAGATAAGGAATTCATTGTGTTCAGAAGTAAAGAATTCAAGGATATGCCTTTTTCTATTTGGTGGGTGGGAGATTATCATTTTTGGAGTTTGTTTTTTTAGGTTAGCAAAGTTAGATCACCTTTTTCTGTTTTCTTTTTCAGGTATGGAGCAACAAGAGCTGTTGTTATTGCCATAGCATGTACATTTTTTGAATTTTTTAACATCCCTGTGTTCTGGCCCATCTTAGTCATGTACTTTATTGTACTTTTTATCATCACAATGAAGAGACAAATTAAGGTAAGAGGAATCGCATTTTGGCCCAAAACCACCTGAACAGCATTTATTTTGTTTTCTTCTTTTTATTTGCAGCATATGATACGGTACCGATATCTACCATTTACTTATGGAAAACAGAAATACAAAGGCAAAGATGAGTCAAGTGATGTGATGAAATCATAAGGTTAAAGGACAAAAAAGTTATTGTTGCAAAGTTGTACAGTAGAATTTTTAGTTATGGCTAACAGGATGTGTACATCTGAGTTGATAAAAATGCAACCTCAGAACCTCATCTTTCATCATCTGAAATTGGAGTAATTACTGGAATTATTTGTATTGATTTTCCTCTCTGTAGATTATTATTAATTTTGATCTAAAAAGTGTCAATATTAAGGTCTGTTGGTTAAGGAAAAAAGGTTATTTTCAATGTCTTGTGCATGTACCAAACTATAGGGAAAGTATGCTTGTCCTACCTTTACTCTTAAGACCTACATTTTCCATGGTACCAAGGAGAATTTGTTTGAAAATCAGTAAGCCTCTTAAATTGGTGATCATTTCCATCATTCTCAGGATCTTTACATTAGATTCAAGTGTGGTACTATGAGGAAACATTAGAAGGAGTTAAATTATAGGTTATTACAGTTTACATAACACTGTACACTCAAGATGTCAGTCGTATCTAGTTTTTACTCACTTACGACTGTGCAACCATTTTATTCGGAAATTTACGTGTATGAGGCAGATTCTTAGATGTAAAAGAATCCTCTTGTTTTTAAATAAAGTTTATCAAGATTAGATTTCTAGATGCCCTCTATTTCCCATTTTCTCCCTTGTTTATTTTGTGGGATAAGGTGAAAGGAGAAATGTACAAGTCTCACCATCCATCATTTTTTAAACTGCATACACCAGTAAGAATGGGGAAAAGATGGCCTTACCTTGATCTGCAGTATGTTTGAGGTTTCTGAAAGACAGGGTTGCTGTCTTTGCTGTCATGAATTTGAAATGTAGAAACATTCAGTAACAATTAAGTAAGATGATATGAACCTTTTACTCAGATGAATGGGTGATTCCTTATGGCTCACCTTCCTTGTAGATATCTTCAATTGAGATGAAGGCTTCATGTATTTAGGTCATAGAAGACTAAAACTTGGTGTGCATGTCCATTTGCGTTAAATTCTTCTTGTTTGAAAATTAAATAGATTTTCTTAAAAGTAACCAACTTAGGATAAGTCTTTTAATTTGTCTATAATAATTGTGTGTTCCTAAACTTTTGCAGTTGTTAAATTTCTTTTGAAGTGTTTGTTTGTACTTCAAAATGGTTTCTGTTCAATTAGACTGGCCATGGCCCCCTTAATTCTTGGTTAAATTGAATGTACAAAAATAACTTGAAGCTGTAAAGAAATAGAGGCAAAATTTGTGGTTGAATCTTTATTTCCCAGAGTAGGCTATGAGAGAGTGATAGGTTGGTGCAAAACTCAGTGGAATGGAAAACTGTTTGGTACCTCTTATGAAACAATGTGTACTTTGTTAGAATATTTGGAGGATCTGAACTTACTAGTTCAAAGAGGGACAGGATTTGTCACAACATTTCAACTTTTGAATGTTTTATTTTATATGTTATGAGCATTCCTCTATCATACAATATATAACTAAAATTTTCATTTTCAACTGCAAGTTGCAACCTCAATGGAATCAAGCCATGGAAACCAGGCCCCCTTTGCCTTTCTTGTTGAAGCTTGCAGTGGAGGGGAGCCTGCCTTTCAAGTCCTAACAAAAAATTAAGTTTTTTCATTTGAATTCTTGAGGTGAAACTTACAGTCAGTGGTATATGAAAGTTAAAAAAAATGTTTTTAATGTTATCTCACATTGTCATGGCTATCTACAAAGCAGAATATATTAACAAGAAAGTTAACTTTGGAGAACTCCAAAGATTGTTTTTTCACTAATTTGTGTCACTTGCAATAATTATTTTAACATCTATGAACATCCGTTCACAATCACTTGATATGTCCAATTGGAAATAAATTAAAAAAATCAATTGTCATCTAACAATTAAGTAGAAACATTACCTCATAATTTGGCCAAAAGGGGTTGGGGAGCCTGTGCGGGGAAGTAAATTGGGGGAAAATCTATGGGAAAAGGAATATAAGACCTGCAATTTACATGATGGCAGGGAAGGATAATGAATGGGATTATTACAATTATTTTACAAACTCTGCTTTGTGCGCAAGTCATTTGGCCACACCTAATTACTTCCCCCCCAACTTCCAGATGAGATTAATATGTAGCTTTTCCTTACAATGCAATTGCATTATCAAGTAAAGAGGTGATGAGATTAGTTAAAGTGATCAGCTCTAGGTGTTATGTTCATTGAGAAATTGTCGATTGAGTGTCCAAAGTAATCCGTACTGGTTGTGCCTCACTATGTTCTATGATCGGTCCAGGACACTCGCGCCACCATGTCAGCCAGTCAAATGCCAAGTTAAACCAATGGCAACTCCTTACATTTTCCCGCGCTTTTGTTTTGCGCCGAGTTCTCTTTATCTTATAGAGGTTTTTCCTTCGCTCTGATTGGCCATTATGATTATTATGGTTTAAGTTTTATGATGCTCAAACTTGAAGCGCTGTTCGGCACTAAAGGCTACTATATTACAACGTAAAGTACAGAAGTAGGGAGAATCACCCATTGAATTTTGGGATGGAAGGATTATGGTAGAACCCTGGGTCTTGAATATAACAAATTCATCACGATGGAATCGTTAAGGACTAAATTACCTTATTCAGAATAAAGGAACACGCCTTTTGAGCGTTAAACATACATAACCAAAGGCTACCTGTCTAATGAATATAACTCGCCAAAGACGAAGAAAGTGTCGCTGAAAAATCCCCACGAGTCGAAGTTAAGGGGAATATTTTACATTATCTGAGCTTGAGGTCTCTTTTTTTCCTCTCACAGGAAAGTATAGAAATCATTTTTAGTTTCTTAATCCGGCTTTATGGCCAAAGTAGTTATGCCATCGTCGAATGGAAGTCAAATTAATCACTGGATCTTTTGTCGTGCGTTTATCGTCAGGTGAAAGTGTTGGATTTATCGTTGAAGTATGTTCGGACATTTTAACAGACTTCAGACTATGTGGTTCACTCCAAGATCATCCCTCGGGGAGAATTGTTTAAAGTTGATAGTCGGTCTCACGATCCTAAACAAGCAGCAAAAACGTCAAGTTAATAAAACACTCCTGAGTAACCAACATATTCAGGCAGACATAAACAAATAAGATTAAAACCATTTAGGGAACCTACTTTTCTCAGTCGAAGATTCTTTAAAAGTTGTTCAAGAGCACAAGCAGGCACTAAGAAGCCTACTGCTTCTATTTTTCAAAGGGATTCTGAATTCAAATCAGAGGGTGGAATAGAATGTATACATAAGCCCAAAATTAATTCGTGACGCCTGAATTTAGACAGAAGGGCAAGGCAAGGGAAGAGTTCAAGTTTCCCTTCTAAATTCGTGCGTGAAACGGAATAAAGACCATCCCCCTCCCCCTTTGCCATCCTCAAATCACGTATGACGTTTTCTCAAAAGGAAACATTTAAACACGTTCATTTTTGACTACCTGGACACGCCTGGCAACAACTCGTCGATGCCCCAATTAGGAGCGTACTTCTACATTGTCCTTTCGGGCATGGATCTCGTAAGCAGTGCGTTCGCCCGTTCTGTGAATCAAGGAACAAAACTATCACACTACTGTAATCATCTGTGAAATTACGATTAATAAATACTCAGACATGTCATTTTAGGGAACAAGAAAAAGACATAAACAAGAGAAAACTGTGGAAAAGCGCAATATTTTCCTCCGCCAGGCAATGGAAAGGAACGTGACTGACTTGTAACAAAGCATTAATATACAGATTTAGCCAAGCCTAAAAGCGGAGCTCGCATTTTTTTTCCCCGCACGTCTAAAGGGCACAACGCCTTGCCCCAGCCAGGAATAGAACCCGGGTCGTCCGGCTCGGAGCCCAGTGCACTGACCGCTGGACTACTGAACAAAGCCGTAACATTGGCGTGCCCGCGGTACAGTTGACCACGCATGTTAAAAGTAGTACCTTGTACGGTCGTACGGTCGTACATCCAAATTTTTTCGGCTTGATGGGTTACTACTATTTTGTATAATTAAAGGGCTACGCCCTGTGAGCTCCGCTATGATTTCTTGATGTTCATAAGCTGACTTGCACCTACAAGTTTTTGCAGCCAATTACGGAACATAGAGCGCATTTTGCTTACCATAGTAAGCTTAACGACCAATCAAAGCAATCGCACATTATGGAAAATACTACAGGTGGCCGATAAAAATTAAAGGTAAAAACAAGCAAAATAACTGAGGCGCACGATTAAGTAAGTCCCAGTTGGTTTTAGTTTTGCATCTGATCGGTTGAGATAGAGACACGGGTAGTCTTGACCAATGTTTTTTGGCCGCCATTTTTCAGGAAAGGAAATGCAGTAAAAACCGTCTCACCTGGCACCTACACGTTATACATCTTGAAGAGCCAAATATCGGGAAATATGGCCTCCATGTTTGTCCGTGTCTATAGTTGCTTCCACGTAAGGTGCAGCCTAAAGATCAGAAATAAGTTGACAATAGATAACATTTCAAACTTTCTGTTACTTGTCTTTGTAATCGCATCGGACCAAGTAAAATTTAAGGATTAACATCACGCTAGTGAACCATTCCTGCTAAAAAAAAATTAATCATCAGTGAAATGATGATACACTTAGTCAAAGTTATTAAGCCTTCTAGAATGTTTTCAATTTAGTAATTTGCCTGGGGAAATTATTATTAATGAAAAATGCCGTCAGCCTCTTTGTTATAAGCAATAGGAAAGTAACAACAGTTCATGAATATATAAGTCTGAATTAATTTTACCTTTTCTAACTTTCTTGCCTCCATTTGATTTTGAATCCTCGTCATCTGGAACAAAAAGATAAGGATCTTCTTAGTATGGAATTCGTTCAAAAAAATTTCATTTGATCTTTATTTTCCCCAGCTTTACTCGGTTCAACTCATACTCTCTCAATTCAGGTTTGCGGAAGTTATACACTGTAATATGTTACATAACGCTAATTAAAACACTCCTTACCAGGGCATCGCATACAGCAGTCACTCATGCGCATTTTGATTGGATTTTTACATCGAAGTTCTGGGCATTTCACTTGAGTGCATGATATTTCTTCTGATTTTTTCTGAGAAAAAATATGGGAAAACGTGTGTTCATAAATAAAAACAACGACTAAAAACAAACCTTTGAGCCATAATAGTAGTTTATAAATATTCACAGGCGCATGTGATTATGTAAACAACCGCTTACCAGGCATGTGCAGGCGTGACATCTCATGTAACCAAATGGCTGTACATAGGGATACCACACAGCGCCAACTGGATAAACTTTTCTGTCTCTTTTTACATAGCATCCTTTCAAGGACGGACGCTGCCTCTTTTCGTAATATCTCACAACTTTTTCTTCGATAGCTGACAGAAAAAATTGATAAATGTTTTATTTTCTACACCTTTTACCTCAGACAAACATAATTTTTCAGTCGGAAACATTCTATCAGGGGTTGGGGCTAGGGGAGATTTTGTAGCAGGGAAAGGGTTTGTATCCTCACTTGTGTCTTAATGGTATTGGAACATTTATGGTTGTTCATTTTAAATAATGCTTTTCTTTGACAAAGAGTCGATCACATGAACTCAATCTAGAATCTCTCTCTGAAAAACACTGAGCTACATGATTTTTTTTATATCATCAAAAATCGTTCAAAATACCTGGACAAACCGGGCAGCATAGATGAGGTAACATGATAGGTGCTTCTGTGCAGTTTAACCGCTGACACTTAAGAGGGGCACAAACAATTTCGCTGTCCTGTTGGTAGTTAAAACAGAATTGTTAATATTTGCCTAAAGAAATAACATCAATTTCCAAAATTGAAGTTTCTATTTCATATCAAGGTACCTCACAAGTACACGATGTGCACTTATCATCTTCAGAGACCCACTTTTCCCCATCTGAATATATTTTGTCACCAAAGTGGCAAGAGCCAGGCAATTCGTTCCGCCCTCTAGGAGGAAGTCTCTTACTACAGCTGTCCTCGTTTAAGAAGACTTGGCTCCTCAGCTCTCCCTGTGGGACTTCCTCACTTCTTACTTGCAGGTAAACAAGTCCGCGAATGAGGTTACCAAGGAACTCTGGTTCGATGTTGCGCGCGGAGCCAGAGATCTGAAAAACGGGCGTGAACGGTTCGATTATAAATCGCTGACCTGTGAGACAGGCGAGTAGTTGATGAGAAACGCACGTTTTGTGAGAAAAGTGCGACTGAACGTAGGAAGCCACAAGACACATGTGATATGAGAGAAACGCGCGAGGAAGCACGCGAGACAACGTCAAATGGCTTCCCTCCTTCCTCGCTTCTGCGTGCGTTTTCCTCGCATCTGCCCCTTTCAAATCTTCCCCTTTGATATTACCCCTGCACGATTGATTTATCAAGGAGTATCTTGCGAGAAATGAAGATTTACTCATTAAATTTTTTTGAAATTTTCGTTTGCAGCTGTAAGATATCCATTGACGTTCGATACGATAATACTATTACAGTTTGCTAACGTTTTATCAACACACTGATAAAGGTTCAGATCGAAACGTGGAACTATTTCTATAGAGTAAGTTAAGCAGCAGTATGAAGACGATTGTAGTAATAAATATAATAAATAATATAATAAATTAATGTAATAATATAATAAATTAATTGATTAATAAATTAACGTAGACAAATGTGCACTAATTTTGTAGTGTAACTACTTAGACTTAAGATTTTATAGTTGATTAATGTTCTCTCTATATCGTTAATTGCATATAGTTTGATTCTTTGGTATATTGCTAAATTTTCAAATATATTTTGGTGGAAATAATATTAATAATGCGAACTCGTTTTTTACTTAATAAGATGTGCGAAGTTGATCTGAAATTTTTAAACTGTGATTTGTACATTTGACCTACGTTAAAGAATCATGGAGATCCGCGCTTTGTACAGCTCTGAAATTGATTAAGGGGACATTGCAAACACAAAGAGACTTGAAAGAATGACGCGGCAAAAGCTCGGGATCGTCTGGACGTAAAGTAATCTTATTTTTATATTATGCGACCTGACGTCTCCATGAGAGGTCGCCACGACAGGGCAATATATAGGTCCGCACGTCGTGTTTACAAAGCGACGACGTTCTTAACGTTTTGAATACTTTGTTGTCGGAGTGCGTCTTCACTTCGTCTGGGGAAATTTTTAAAACGGCGTTTAACGCAAATTCGAATGATCAAATTTACTCCTGAGTTTTCTTATTTCATTCGAATCCTAAAGTAAAACTTATTCAAGAAAAGAAAAACACTGCCGTTCCATCCACTGAAAAGCTTATAGAGTCACAAAGTTATATCATAGCTTAAAGGCAGGCCAATTCTTGCTAATTTGAATTTCCCTTAACTTTATCCTTCCAATATTGGTCAGAGCCATTCAGGAAAACGAAAGATTTATCACAGTATTGTGTGAATGTTTAAAGTTCTGCCCGCACGTGCTGAGCGACGTTTTGTAGCGGTAATTTGCTTCGTGTAACACGGAGAATTCTCCGTGAAACTAGTTACACGGATATAAACTGATTTGAATTCTTTCAATATTCGCTGGGATAAAATGAATCACAGCGACTTGCATTCGCGTATAACCCCATTTTGATAGTGAACATAAATTGCTGCATTAATGACAAGCAACACGAACACCAACCGTTTCTCCTTCAAATGATCGTAACAAGTGCACACGTTCATCGTACGACTGGGGCACCTCGCCATAATCCGCAAAGCCTAAGAGTTCTGCAGTCCTCATGTTCTTGCGCCCGCGGTCCATGCCACTGAGGATCAGGTGATAGTGCAGTGCACAGCTCTTGTCGAGTGAAAACCAGGCCTGCCCCGCGGCGCCAGTTTGAATCCTGGGAACAACTTCGTTACCAGATAAGAGAGTCGGTGGATCTAGAGAAAGGAGAATAGCGATTTCTGTTGGCAAAGGAGAGCATTGTCTTCGTGCCGCTGGGGGAAATGTATTTTACTGACATTTGAGGACACCTTTTAGGATTACAAAGAACGGCAGTGAGGAAAACAAAAACTCTCTAGGAGAAGGAAAAAATTGCTCTCGATCAGGAGAAATCCTACATAGAGGGTTCAGCCTCAAAGATTTATGAAATGCAGGAGTTTACTTGGGAAAAGTCGTTGTAAAAATTTCGAGTTAAACGAGTTAAATCTCCTTACTAGTTTCCTGAATAAAACTGTGCCAACTGAGTTTTTGAACAAGGAGTTGGGGCGGGGTTGAGCGAAAGTTTCAAGGAACAAATGACCGCAGTTTTCATCAACACTTCCACGGGATGTTAAACTATTTATTGTAAACACAGGTTAAAAAAAACAAACTTGATCGGAACTGAAGCATGCAACCTAATCTACTTCCTTACCGTGGTATGACAAATGGTGTCCTCTAAAGGGAAACTGTTTCAGCTGTCCATACATTTCTCCTCCCCTATTCGCCTGGGTGCTGACATTGATGAATATATTGCCACTAAATAACCAACAAATTTCTTGAAATGACGGCCTCAGCCACACCCCTGTCAACTAAAATGCAACGAGATCTTAATTTCAAGAATAAACATCCACTTGTACAAACGATCAGCATGAAAAGGTAAAGATGTGGGTACGTATTGAGTGACTTCAGTGAAACTTCTGATAAAATGCCAAGAAAGAGGCTTTCGTGACACAAGTTAAACATTTTTTTGGACAATTTACCATTTCTTTACACTGACACCAATGCAAACTGTAAGTCTCGATGTTGCCGTTGTGAAAATTATACAGTATACCTGTGATATATGCATCAAGTTTTAAAGAGCTCTCTTGTGGCTCTATTTAGCCTGGCAGAGCATCCAGTCATGTAATCGCAACTAAGCAAGGTTCGAATTGTCTCGATTAGGGTCTTACGTACATGACAAGTGTGTTACATGCATCTCTCCTTTTGACAGAGTTAAGTTTACAACTTAACCTTGGGTAAGTCTAAGTGTTCGTTTACGCTGCAATTTGATTCTGTAGTAACTGACCTTAATTCGCCCGTGTTCATCAAAGCTTACTGATCGTGAAAGTCTTTTCACTTTTTGCTTGCGGTTTGTGGCTTGAAGATTGATTTCTGTCACAGGATTTACCATTCCCGATAGCAAAATCTGCAACAACAAATAAACAACTCTTGATTACAGGGTAATTTAGTATTATCAACTGAGTTGATAACGTAAATTGGTCACCGTAAATCTTTTAAACCCTTCATGGTGGCCAATTTACATTATGAACTCGGTTGATAATACTAAATTACCCCGTTATACTCTCCCACGGACGCAGCACCACAGTTTCTTTAGAAACTTACTCCTTTTATGCAATTCTCGATTACCACTGACACGTGCTTAATAGTTACTCTAACCTACCAGTTTAGCCAAGTTTTTACCAAATGCTCTACCTTAAAACCTGGGTTAAGCCACAGGTTTCATTTGCCGAATGATTAACATAAATTACCTGATAACGTATTTGACCATTATTGAAAAAATCAAAGGAGGCATAACCGCTGGCGCCTGTCATCGTGGGCCTAGGAGCTTCTCGACCGGAGAGCTGGGAGACAATGGCTGTGGAAAAAAAAACCAAGAAAAACTGTTATCGACCCAAGCCAAATAACAAGAATTCAACTTGAAATGAGTAAAATTTTACCCTGATCTGCAGGGTACTTTAAGGATTAACTTTGCAAGATACCGCTTGTAATGACCGCACGTTCCAAAAAATATTAACTGTCACTTACTGTTACAAGTTCTTTTAATGCTTATTTGACCGGTCAGTTTCGTCTTTTGGTCTCCAGTGTTCAATATCACAGTGATATTTAGATAACCACGCGACATCCACTTCAGCACATGCTCAGGAGGATTCTGCCACGCCGTTTTTAAGTTGGAATTCTGCAAAGATGAATAAAGATCAAAATCCAATACTTTAATTTTTTTCCGTCAAGTAACGCCTCACTTTGGCGTCCGCTGGTATCTACTAACGCTTTGAAAGATAAAAGTTTCTGTCTAGAGCTGTTCACCTCTTGCTTAATTTGTGACGGGCCGATTGCCTTCACATCACGAGCTCCTCTGTTATTGGTAGGATTTCTGGTCAACTTGATCGTGATCTGAGTTTCTGAGCCTGCGAGCAAGGAGAGATGTGTAAATCGAGTTAGATATTTAACGGCAGAGACTATCACAGATCTTCTTCCAGCTCTTTACTTTACGTTCAGTTTTCCACAAATTCGATGTTTCTTTACAAAGTATTCTTTTAACATCGCCTTTCAAATAAGTAAACAGAATGCTTTTCAGATTAAAAAAATATTTTCATTTAGCCTACAATAGTGTACCACAAGGTCTTTAGCTTGAGCTCAATCGAAGGAAAATATTTAACTTTGGAATCAGCTCTTTAGTCAAACCATAAATATGCAACATGTCCTGTTTGCCATTTTCTCACCTAGGCTGTGTGATCCATCATAGCGGAGATTCATTCTGAGAATTTTTCCACCTTTGGCCAAGTTGAAAGAAGCCAACGCATTGGATGTCTCATCATCAGACGACAGCAGTGCTTCGAAGCTTTCTACAGGTGAAAATCAGAAGAAAACGGAATTAAAACCTTTCTAGTAGAATGGTGTTACTTTTTATGTTCAAAAAAATTTGCACTCTAACACTTCAAGCCAAAAAGTATTCTGGTAGAATTCCAAATTGAACTTTTATCGAAGCAGCCAAAAGTTGGTAATAAAAAAGTTGGGGGAAAGAGATGAATTAAATGTTAAATATTAAGCTCGCTCTTTATCAAAACATTGTATCTTTACTGCGCACTATTCCACATCTAATTAGCAAGCAGGGACTTCTTTAATCGCACATTCTCGAAAGCAAGTATGAAAAACTATCTTCTCCTCCGTCCCTCAATGAAGTTAAAAATATCCTTCACCAAAATGAACAAACTGGAACTTATTTCTGGTGCAAATTAAGAAATTCCCAAATGAAAAACAAGCTATAGAATTAAAATTCACCGCCAGATATGCAGTCAGATATCTAAAGAAACAAAATTACCCTTTTGTATTAGATTTTTGAGAACATTTGACAGCCAAAAGAAAACCTTTGGCCGAGAAAAATAAGTGGTCTTATTTCCTTGAAATGACCTTTAATCAGTCGAAAACGAAGGACCCGGGACCTTGCTATGGAATAATTAGCTCACACTCGTCACTTTAACGAGTGCAGTGTATAGAACTGAATTTTTCTGAAGATACTTTTGCGAGCGTGAACTTGACTCAATATGCAGCGATGTATTTCAGAAATTTGTTTTGTGTAGCAATCAAATAAACAAATCACTTGATCAATCTGATCGAACAGGTGAAGGAAAGGCAAAAGGTGAAGGACGAGTGAAAGTTCTGTTTGCATGTGCAGATTTGGTATACCGATAGTTGAGATTTGAGCGCACTCATGGATATAACTCTTGCAAATATCCCACGCGTGTGGATAAACATGGCCAGAGTTAGATAGAAGTAAACTTTGGAAATGAGCTACTAGCTGGTCAACAAACTTGTTTGAATGTCAAGTAAAGGTTAAATCCTCTAAAAAAAATGATGTGTGTCTTTCTAAGGAAGAAATTTATTGAAAAATCTTATGAGCAGGGAAACAGGCTAGTATAGTTAGTTCATAATCGCCCCTATATAATGATATCATCGCCGGGCATTTCACTTCGCCTGAGGCTGGTGTCGTCGATCAAATATAGTTCATCGCGAGCTGATAATACAAAGACTGTTGTTGATATTGACAAAATAATCGTTCAACAACCAATTGAACCATTATCACTTCTAAACACGATAGAATGCCTGTAAAAACTTTCTTAAACACCATGATGTCGTCGCGCAATATCTTTTAATGTATGTTCATAGCAGACATCTATTGGGCTCAGAAGACCGTTTAATTGATGCAATTTCGACGACGGTTTTCTTAATTTGGAGCCTTAGAAAAACACAACCTATACATAACGTGATGAAAACTTCATTTTAAAATTAGTACCATGATCGTTATTACAGAAAATTGCTTTTGATCTTCTTTAATTAAGCTGATCACGTCTCTCTTTGCGACTGAATTCAGTTCTTTCTATATTTTCCTGTTGTGACTTAGGTACCATCAGAAAGTTGTTAAAAAGACCCAGACATTTGTCTTTGAAAGCAGGAAACATATTGATGTTTTCTCCGTTTGATGTTGATAACTATAGAAACAGGTATGGAAGGTTGAGAGATGGCAGGAAGTTTACGAAAAACCGTGCCATGCACGGGCGAATGCCTCCAGTGTCGTTTCCAATTGTATCCCAATGTATTGCGAGCATGTAGCACATTTCTGGGTCGTGGGTTTGAGGTTCATCCATGCAGGAAATTCCCGTTTTATCTAATGTTTGTTCTACACACGCGAAAAATGCGTATAAACAATATCATGCTCAACTTACTCCGTTACGAATGATTAGAAATTTTCCTCTGAGAAAGTGCCATAGAAAAAGAATCAAATCACGAAATAAATTTTGCGGCCTTCTTAGTAAGGTATATTTTGATTTCTGTCTATTTTTCTTTCAGCACTGATTCACGTCGGCTTTTTCCAGAGCTGATATTCATAACTGAACTCGTCACAATTGTCGGCATCATTATTGATACTATCTTTGCCCTTCTCAGCGATGTATAATATACCCAAACTCACAGAACACCCGCTGGGTCGACAATGGTGATATCGATCAGCAAAAGGGACCTTCAGCAGTCAAGACGGCAACGCCAAGGAATGCGACGTCAATTTAAGAATGAACTTATATTTCAGTTTGAATGTCGCGAATGGCTGAAAGTGTTTACAGTCTAGTAAGGCGCCACACCTCAACCTCAGTATAACGTATATGAGCGGCGTTGAGTTCCAAGTGGAAACTGAAACAAATTTGCGCTGGGTGTTTCCGTTCTCAGACCATGCATATTTTGGTGATTTCACGTTGCCGTTTTTTAGAATATGGCTGAGAAATGCAAAAAGTTATGAAACGCACTAGCCGTGCTATTTTTCAGCTGATCTTTTGTCTTGCAATTTTCTTGTTACCTTCGCCGTCTTGGTTTGCGTAAAGTCTCTAACATCTGTTTGAGAAACATACCTTGCGAGTACGAATCGTACTTTATTATGTCTCCAGTGAGTCCAACTGCGTTCTGTTGTCGCTTGAGTTTCAATTCCATGCTAACTTGTCCTTGTTTAAAGGATTCAATATTCTTTTTACTCAGTTGATTCCACACAAGACATACCTACGTTAGAAGGCATCAATAATCAAACTTTGGCAACAGAAACGACGCAAAAAAAAAAACAAAAAAAAAACCAACGACAGAAGTTTTCTTGGCGAGGCGACACTGAAAGCAAATTTTTTGCCAACTCATCGTTTTTGGAGAAAATATGTGTCCGGGAAAACATTTGTTGTTTTTGAATGCGATGTCACCCGTTTTGGTTAAATTTGCAATAAGAAGGCTGGTAAAACATTTTTAACAGAACTAAAATATTTTTTCCAATCACATTTTTCCCTTGAATCTCTTAGATTCCAGAAAGCGCAAGCTTTAAACTCTATGAAAGATTTGTTGAAAAATTACTGATATGTAAAGAGAGAAATCGATAAAGAACTGGGTTATAAAATCGCACTCACACTACTCCTTGCTAGGGACCGTCTCTCGAAAGTCTCAGTAGTTACTGGTCCTGGAAAATGTTTTATGATTGCCCCGTTCGCCTTCAAAGATCGAGAGTTTATAGTTTTTTTAGTTTAAAAAAATCAGAAAACGAAACAGCATGGTTTGGTTTTTGAGCTAAGACCCGTGCTGTTATTCCTTAGATTTAGATTTCAAAACACGGCTCAGGGCCCAAATAAAGTTACCGAGCTCAGGCTCTCGAGGTGTGGTCTTCGAATGAGTAAACTTGTGTTTTGAACAACCCTACACAAACATAGAGATTTAGGTGCGATCCCTGGCCGGGTCGTTTTTGTATGTTCTCAGGCAATACTATTAATTCTCACAATACCTCACTCCTCTAGGGTGCAAATATGGGTACCGCCGAACGTCAGGGAAGATGGAAAACGCCAGAGAAAAAGGTAACGGAAATTTTCCATGGATAAAAATTCGTCGAGAACGAGGAGAGGGTTAAAATTTTCGAATTTCCTCGAATCAATCCAGACAAGGTAACAAGAGAATATCAACTGTAGACATTCTCTTGGTCCATCTTAAAAGTACTAACCTGGGATCCATTAATAGATCTTTTCGGAATGTTTATTTCCTTCAGTGGTGATCCTTTGGAATCTTTAAACGAAGCCATGCGAAGCTTTCGAGACCTGTGGTTTGCGATGAAAAATATTTAAAATTAAGTGGTCGAATCAAACCAACAAATTCAAAATTCTCAGAAACGAGAATATCAGTACTTACCCTTCATAACGTATTGAAATGTGAAGTGTGTTTCGCACCAGAGTGAAATGCACGCGTCCCACGCCATTTTGGCGGGAAACTGAAGATGCAGGTGCCCTCAGTAATGAGATGAACTCTTAAAAGAAAAACGATACAAAATAAGTTTGTATTTAAAAAAAACATTTAATTTATGGAAACCGCAAAGTTACATAATGAATTTTCGCTTTTTCGCCTAAATAATTGTTAAATGAGCTCACTTGCGAGGTGGTTCTCTTTTCAAAACCATTCACGTGCAATGGTAGAATCACAGCTAGCGCCAAGTGAACCGAAGTTAACTTCAAGTTCCTAGTGATTGATGGCATTTTGCCTGACCCTTCAGCTAAGAGCAATCGATAGATACCGCTAAATTACTCAACCTGGCGAAGAGGCTTTTTTTTTGGTTTAGGGTCAGTCAAATAAAAGCAGTGAGGCTTATTGACAAGGCACGTCGTGTTTCCCGCCATTTGAGTTGAATTCTGGGACATCATGCGTTGTGTGCGGCCTGGTTACTGAGTTGCTCTTAAAATAGTGACGTTCGTGGTTGAATCTTCAGCACATTTGAAGACATATTTCGAAGGGTTAGGATACTCTTTTGATCTTATAACACGGTAAGAAGAAAAATTTTTGTGTATACAATTTATTTGTAGAAAAAAAATTAGTACATAGTCTGCGGCAAATAACTCTAAAAAACCAAAACATACTCAGTCTCTGTGGTCACTTCAACTAGTTCAAAGCGCTGTTTGAATGAAGCTCACTGAAGATGTGTTTTTTTCCCATATTAATTAGAGTTTTCTTGAGCTTAAAATGAGATTATTCATGATCTTGTTGTCTTACCGTCTGGGCACGATGGACAGCAATGCCCTTCTTCAACCTTAGGCCGAGCACATGATGTAGTTGGGCAGCGGTTTCGCATATTCCGGCATGTCACCTTCCCTTTTTCAGAGTTGTTTGAAATCTGTTACGAGAAACGAAACGGCTTTAGATGTAAGCTCAAGAAGCTAAAATCTTTACAAAAAAATGGAGTGTAAAGGGAAGGTAGTTTACTTCAAGACAATTTCTTTACTTAGTGGCAGCAATGTATCAAAACGTGTTCTTTGCTGAAGTAAAGTACAAAGAGGGCATTTCGATTGAGAGTCGCAATTCCCATTCCTATCGATCGAAAGAAAGCATTGAAGTCATGGTAATTACACGCAGAAAGTCATAAACAGGAGAAAATACGATTTATTGAACCGAGAATAGATGAAGTTTTGCATCTGTTTGGTTGAGAAGTTGGTCCGAGTTCTCCCTGAACACAGTGAAGAAAAGCCAATCCAATCCCAGATTACTCTCGAAACCCAATTGAAAATGGTTCTATTATTTGTTTTTCCATCTTTTTTTATTTGTAGCTACTTGAACTTTTGACAGATAACCTTTACAATAGTTCAGGATTTCCGGATCTAATAAACAACTAGTGAAAGGCCGAGCGACTCGAATTAAAGATGTTATTGAGGATTAACTGCCGGCATTTATCTGCTCAAAGATGAAATTGTAAACCAACCAGTCTCGATGATGATGTATCTGATTAACATAAATTTTTACGGCGATAAACCTCTGCTTGTCGTTTCGACGTGTCGTTGGTGTTCGCAAATGTAGGTTGAGACGACATTTCACTTCCTGATGTTTACTCTCTGTTTGAACATTTCTCATGTTTCCGTCGAATAAATTGAACACGGACAGAAAGAAAAGGATTCTGTCACAAAATAAAGGGAACTTTTCATTCGATGGCGGCCCTTTGCGTGGGGTACGGAGCTATAAAGGAAGCTTTTTGTTCGTGTTTTAAAATGAGTTTGTTTGCGCTCTATTAATTAGTAATCTCAAAAGGCAAGCCTCGGAATTGATTTTTCTTTCAGATGATTTTTAGATATCTGCCGGTATTTTTCGACGACACACCTAGAAAATGAAAAGATTTCTCCAAATAAATGTTTTATCTGAAGTTCATATGGAGCTACGTGTGATAATTTTGTCTACCCGTGACCCGTGCAATTGAGAATGTATGGCGGCTGTATAGTTTAATTACAAAGTCTTTTCCTGAATCGGGTAGACAAGGCCTTTTGTGAATGCTTGTACTAAGGATCTATTTAATAGGCGAATGAATTGAATTCAAACAAATAAGTGTTTTGTTGTAAATATGAAATGAGAACAAAGTAGGTGTGTCGAAGCACGGAGATTCATTAGACACCTAGCCGGGAGATCCTAGCTTCAATTGAGTGCTAATTGCACTATTGCAGAAACAAATGCGATAAATTTCTACAATCATGAGGTGAAAAGGATTAAGGAGGATGAAAAGATAAATTATCTGCGGTGGCTTGCCGTGGGGTCGCGTTTGAAAGAAAGTGATAGCATCAGATCAAAAGCGGCAGAGAGCGTTTGGGGTGTGCCTTTCCAAACTGCATTGATTTCAATAATGATGTTTTACTTATGGAACCGTTAAGCGAATTGTTTTGGTGTAGGACTGCACCAGGTGTTAGTTCGACCAAGATATAACCGTGTGCCTAAAAAAAAGGAATAGGTTGCGTTGTTGTCTTACCTTGTTGCATGTGCATATCACGCAAAACAAAACCCCGAAAGGGGCTACATCCGGGTGCCAGCTCTCGTCGATAACCTTATGTTGAATCCCAAAATTACACCCTGTCAAAAAAAGAAAGATTTAACTCACTTTAGAACTTTTAAAACTGTACATTCATCGAATAGTTCTGGCCTTTGAGGCACTGAATTCTACTATTTGTGTCAAAGGGAAGGATCCAAGGTTGTTAATTAAACGGATTCCTTAGCAATCGATCCTTTGAAGGGCTAAAACTTCAACTGTGGTGCAGGGTCAATCTGCTAACATCGAGAAAGGCTCTCCGAACTGTTTCCGTGAAAGTATGAAAACGCTCATTAACAGAATTAGAACTTTCAAGAGTCGCTGTATATGGCGCCTAAGTGCGAGAGGACCTAGGACAATTAACTACAACCAAACGAATCAACCAGAATTATTTCAAGAAATTACGAGTGTGTTACGCAACATGTGCTATCACATGAACGGCGATTTAATTTGCAGCGATGTTCCATACTGTCAAATAACTGGTTTCAACATCATACCAACTTTGTATGCGTGATCACTATCCTCTGCAACCATTGAGAGGCTGTCTGTAAATGTATTATGTAAGCTATACGCGCCTAATTTCAAACCATGTCGTCCGGGAATTTTCACGCTATTTAAATTTGAATTGCTCGACAGTGCGTATCGTTTGTAAGAAACTAAAATTAAACCACAATGCGGAAAGTGACGTCGCCTGTTATATTCCGCGCGCCATAAAATCGCAGGAATGAGTGGAAAGTGAGAGCCGCCTTTCGCAAAATATGCAATGACGTCTGCCTACAACTTCCCTGTCTTTCCTTAAATATCTAAAAACGTAGAAAAAGGGAAATTGTAAAGTTCTCCGAAAATTAAAGACAAACTTGAGGGTGAAGCTCTCTCTTCTGTAAGTCAAGCGGAAAATTATCTAGATGGAGACACGAAAGTAATTTCTGACGAAATTTTGGGCTAGAAATATAGAAAGCGTGATCGTTTTCAAAAATGTACACAGTGGCAATTCCTACATTGATTTTAGTCATTATTACCGACGAATGTATAAACACGCACGCTTTCACACTTTAGTTTTGCGTTGAAAAATGGCTGTTAAAGCGATTAGGAAATGGTTTACTGATTACAGTATAATCTCCGACTATAAATAAACAGAATGACTATAAATCCACGAAATCTTAGCAAAAGTTCTCCTTACCTCCAGGCTTGGGATTAATTGCGCGATATTCACTACCTCTGGGCCTAAAAATGAGCCTTGAATTCGACGCAGTACAAAGGGGGAAGAGAATCAAAAACCACATTTCGATCCGCAAGTATTTCTTAACACGATTCATCGCGGAGAACACCGAGGCGATACTACTCATCGATCCTGTAGCCTTTGGTGGTGAAGTTTGAAAAGCGTGAGAATATACAACAGCACGTCACGACTACAGCCTCCCTTAAGGACTATACAACTTCAACCCAAAACAAACAAATATGAGCTTCTAATTTGCACCAATGACAATATTTACTCTTACTATTGTTCTGTGCCCAGATGTGCCTGTTTTGGGCCTCCCCCCTAAGACGCATTTGTTCTGTAGAATCCTAATATCATCACTTAACTTTTGAGGTGCGGCTTCCTCAGTCCTACTAGAATGCATCGGACTGAGTGACATCGGTAGACTTCCCGTGCGATATTAGAAGTACACGTTATCCCAGACACCTAAATTGCGTTTCGGTCGACTTTCAGTAACCGAAACTTAGTGGGATCGCCAACTTGACAAGTGTATTTTAAAGCTTTGTGGTTGGTTTTGTCAGTTCGACTGACGCTATTTGTCAGTGTTTAGATAGAATTATATTGCTTGTTTATTCAATTAGCGTGATTGTTCTTCGATTCATTGTTTTCTGGCCTGGCGAGCTACCACGGCGTTCATTCAATCAAACGCGTTTCTCGCAGAACATCCACTCGATAATAAAAACGAACAAAAAGCTTTCACACTCTTCGCGGAAAAGGTAAACAATTGCGCAGAGGAGGTCCAGGAAACTGGGCAAAATTTCAAACTTTCATCGTGTTTTCAAAATATTGACGCGTTTTTTGTAAACATTGTAAGTTATTTGAGGCCAAATAGATCGCTGTTGTCTGTATATGCCGAGACCTGTCGTGAAGTGTTTTGCTGCGAATGCATTCGTTGCGAGTATTTTAGGAACTCAAAACTTGTGCTACCTATTATATCCGTGTCTCTCTGAGTTTTTGATTGGTGCAAAATTTAATTTGAGTTTTAAACGCCCAGGATTAACTGATAGATCAGGGGAACCAATGGTTTTGCAGTTTTCGTAAAAAGGAAACTTATTGAAATGTTTCATTTTAAATCCTCGGTTCTCACTCAATTTGCTGAGTCACCCTTCGTAAATCTTGTTAAAAAGAAATGGTCAATACAGCAAAAATGCCGCAATTTACTTTTAGATGCAAGTTTTGACGTGGCCGACATACTCGTGGTGTTGGTCCGGTATGAAAGGAATTTTCCCAGAGCTTTCTGAAGAGTACCGGCTCGGCAACGGAGTCCTGAGCGAACGTCAAAAACACGAGACTGATAAAACTTCTGACTTCTAGTTAAGTCAGGAAAAACCCGTTCCAACATACTTTAGGTGTCCCTTGGGAACATCACGAGACAGCTCTTAATAAACTCACGTAGCGCGCGCGGGAGAAGAAATTTTGCCCCGAGCTAACGCGAGAAATCGCGTAAAATAATGACGGAATTTTTAACTAAGTTCTTTGGCCGATCGTGTAAGGCCGGTGAAGCACGTCCTCTAATATAGGCTTAAAACAGAACAAAGCCTTCGCTCTTGGAACAGCTCCTCCCTTCAACTTAGTATCAAGTGTTGTTTTCATCGTGCGCAAAAGTTCTACTTGACCAGACGCTTTATAAGACCGAGTGTAGACTGATTAAACTGCGAAAATTAGCATAAAAACACTTGAGATTTAAGTATTCTGGCGTCTAGCTTCTTTTATCGTGAAGATACGGATCACTGAAAATACCGTCTTCAAAATTTTTCCTGCATCCTGGCAAACGTGTAGACAGAGTTGATATAGTCTTTCGTTTTACTGACTCTGTTTATGCAAAATATTCTACATGTAGTAAAGGATAAAGGCTGTCACGTATATTTTGCTCAGAGTTAAAAGCCTTTAAAGTGATATAGTAGCAATTGCGCACTTCATTACTCTTATTACGTAAGCCTGATTAAAAACCTCTTTTGTCTAATGGGGCTTTTAAAGACACACCCCCGCGCCAAAACAAAATATTGGACCAGAATTTCTGACGGTCATGGTGAGGGATTTACTAGCTCAGCTGGTTTCGTAAGGTTATAGTTCGTTGTGATCTATTCCCTTTCATATACTTTTCAGTATGCATGTGAAGTTATTCTAAGCAGACAAAGCAACGCGTTTTGACTGGAACAACTAATTACAACAGTCATGAAGTGTACAGAAACTTTTAAAGATATTTCGCGGGAAACTACTTTGCCTTAAGACTAGGCTATTTTAATTATCGCTTTTACACCTATTTTCTTTAGTTTGTCTTATTTTCAAGTTCTCTTTTTTTCGGTCTGTACTGTTGTTATCGCTTTTAAACCCAGTAATGATTAATTTCAAAATAAGTTTCTGTTTCTCTCGTGATTCTACATCATTATTTCATTAAGAAGAGCAATCACTATACCCGAAAGACGTGTTTTGACTATGCTTCAATTATAAAGGATTTATCTGAACTGAACAATCTGAGATCTTATGCCCTTTCACTGTAGAATTAGGGTCGTCCGGCACATTATGCTCCATGCTCACACTGTTATGTTAATTCCTAATGCTCAGAAAAGGTCACTTTTATGCTCAAACAGCATCATCATTATCTTCCATTATGATTAACATAAAAATAAATCAAATAAATGAATAGACCACAGTTGAGGGATTGAAAACCCTTTATATGAGCGTTAATGGAAACAGAAAAAAAGACAGTGCAGATTAAAATCATCTTTAAGTTTGTGGTATTTCAGCATTAGGAAGACCTCCATATAATCCTCTATTGCTTACGGTTTTGACAAAGTTTTTGTAAAACACAGAGTTAAAGAAATCACTTTTTTTCTCATTTTTTTTTTTTTTTTTTGCACTATCATTCAAGCGTAGTGCTTGATAAGTTATTTCCTTCGCTATTATGCTCAAAATTATGTCGATATAATGTAGAAAACCCTGTTTAGAACCTTATTTATTTCATTTCTTCATGTGGGTAGAAAGTGTCTTTCGTCCGTGCCCAAGAGTTTTCAGTCAAAGGAATGATACCGCTGTTACTGCGCGGCAGATGAGTATGGCGGTGTCAAAGTATCTTGCAGCTGATGCTTGGGATGGAAATACAAGCGAACCAGTAGGTTAATTCGTGCCTTGATTCAGACTGATTCATTTACTTATTTTCCAATTTTTATTAATATTGTTTTTGTGAACAATATTTGTTCGAGCCTGGTTTTGCTTCTACACTTGGCATACAGTGAAGCATTATTCGAAGGTTCCCTCGCTGGAAACAATGGAGTACTTTAATTTGTCAGAAAACTGCTTCAAACGCAAATTTCCATGACAGACAGGTGTTAAAAGCATTTTAAAATGCTGAATAATTCAATGTAATTTTTTTTCAACAGCATTTTGTGAGTGAAAATGTTTCGCTGCTGGAACGTTTAACTCTCCGCTAAGATATGTACTCACTGATGTACCATGTTACCTTTCCCATGTTTTTCTGTTCAATCAGCGTATCTATGTCCTCATAAGATATTTTTTCAGAGTGCATTGCAAAGTTTAAAATGTTCAAAGTTTTCAACTTATGTTTTACAAGTTCGCTGAATTGTATCAACAATGTTCAACGTTGGGTAACAAATTGAAAACATCACTTGAAAAATCCAAATGTACCTCGTAAGGTGATAACGGCTAAAAGAAAAATGATCTAAATCATACCTAATCTATGAATTTGAGGGAAGGAATAATTTAATTATAATTATCTAGTGCTGTTGAAATTTTGTTACTTTCCGCCATCTTCGAGTCCTTTCTCTCAATGCTCCTGGAAGCAGAATTCATCATGCATGAAGAGACGTGACGTTTTCTTCCATTATAACCGCACAATACTCCCTTCATGGACAACTTCCCCTATCCTTTTCTCTTTCCTATTCTAAGGAATAAAAGCCCAATTCCTTTCATAAATATGTGCTTGTACCTGTTTGTACGTTCTTATTTTTGAGCCTCTGAAGATGTCGCCCAATTGCAACTTCGGCAATATTCATAGAACAAAGGTTAGTAGGACCAAGGCAACTTAATATAACAAATGATCATTTCAAATGAAACAAAACAAGATTGTACATTCGAATTGCCAGTAGGCAATTTATAAGCATGAATTGGATGAAAACACGAACTGGGGATGTTGTAATGACGAGTTCAGGGCTTTAATCACAGTCGGCCTCGCTCCTTTACCCATTTCTTGTCCAGTTTTTCAGTCACGAAAATTTTTGCATCTGAAATATAACTGAAGACTTAAAAAGGAAAGGAGAAGTAAAAGGGCAAATTATATTGATCGAACCAAACTCTCCATGATTAAATACATAAAAGCAGTGAACGGTAAAGTCGTACCGCCATTTCTAATATCAACTTGTTTGTCAAACTCCGTGTTTTTATCCTTGCAGCGTAATAAATCAATACGTACCTTAATCGCCAGAATTAAAGGCCAAGAGCAACTTCTTTTCTCCCCTAGATCTTTCAGCAGAACGCTATTATATATTTATCTTAAAATATCATCAAAACAATTATGAATGGTATTATAATGCCGGAAAACCACAAAAAATCTTGATAGCAGAATTTGTTTAATACTTCACGTTTTTGTAGAAGTATGGCGTCAAATTCCTTTTTTCCTCTAAGCTTTTCTTCACTGATATATTCCTAGTGATAGGTTTCCTTGTATGTACAAAGTTTCTGCGTTCAGATCTCTATTTGTCTTTATTTTCTGCCATTTTACTCGCCCCTGAAGAAAATTCTTGACCTTCTTTGTGTTGCAATTTTAAGATGTCATAACAACGGTTAAGACTTTAAAACCTTCAGTTCAGCTTACATGTTTCAGTATGTTCCTTTTTTATCTTTTTTTTTCTGTTATTTGTTGTTTTTTCCTCCTTTTAATCTTTTATTTGTTTCCCTATTGTAATGGTTATATTGCAACCTGACCTAGGAGATGATTTGTAATGGGTTAGTCTCTCATCACTTGCGACTGAAATAATCGTTGCAAACCTTCATGCAGCTTTTTGTCATCTTCTTTACCACGCATATCTTTGAACAACTGCAAGACATTTCAGCGGAAACAAACGAGAAAAAAAAAACAAAAAGAATTAGGATTTGCATAAATTTAAGGCCGAGATCATAATTTATTTGAGTCGTGTTTCTGCCCTGAATTATCAGATCTGGAAACTTGTCAAATATATTGCAAGTTGGTTGAAGTTGTTTGCCAGTGTTACACAGATTGATATAGTCATTTAGATGTGCAAGGAGAGGAGTAGGCAAGGAGAGACTTTGTCGTGCAATTCTTCATCTGTCCATGGGTGGGTCGGGTTTCGCTGCACTTGCTGAGCCATTGGTGGGTTATATATAACATTACCACAACCTTGC